CTCGTCGTCGACGGCCGACAGCCGACAGCTGACGGCCGAGCGCCGATAGCGGACTCGAGGCAGCCGCCGGGATAAATTGATCGACTACTGCGCGACTTTGCGTGACTGCGCGGACTATATAGCCTATCTTCTATCGATTAGCCGTTCGCCGCCGATTGGTCATTGCACTTTGGCCGCTCGCGCGCGCTCCCGACTACCGGCGCTCTCGCTCGGCTCGTGGTCGCCGGGACCGCCACGACCGCTCGACGCGCAGCGAAGCCTCCGGACGAGAATGGAGCTTGCAGCGCGCGCCGGAAGCACTGGCCGCGCCGCCCGCGCGCGGCCGAAAATGCTCGGCGGGCCGCCGAGGCGGCTCGGGAGCGCGCGCGCCGGAGGAGCGTCGTCGGGCGAGCGCGCATAAAACTGCCGCCGCGTCCGTCTGCCCGTCGGCGGAGACCGCGCTGCAGCGCGGCGGCGAGCGGCGGCGCCGCTGAGAACCGCTGGCTAGTCAGCCTTGGCTGAAGTTGTCGAACCCGCGACCCAGTTACACGTACGCTCGCTCTCGCTCTCTTGCACACGCTCGCGCGAACACGTACGGGCGAGCGGCCCTCCTCTCACCCACACTTCCGAGGCTCGCTCGCTGCATACTCTATCTCCGTTGCGCAAGCCTCGCAGACGCCGACCAATGCAGTGTCGTTTGCCGCGCACATCACCTATACACGCACACGCACTCGCCATAGCAGTCGCTATGCACGCCAGATAGCGACAACAACTATTTTTCCTCTCCGTCGGACTGCTCTAATGGCATTTTAATTGGCCCAGCCGCTGCGCTGCTGGCGCTGCCGCGACGACGATCGAGCTTGTCTCCGCCGATAAACCCGTGCGACGTCGCGCGTAAGCCTCTCCCGTCGACTCGGCTGCGCGATCAGCAGTCGACCGCGCCTCCGGGGCGAGGTGCCGATGATCGAAAATAGCCGAAAAACGAGACAGGAAAACAAGAAAACGCGACGCCCGGGGACTTTTGCGCGGCGACGCGGGGAAAAGCGCCGCTCGCGCTCGCCTCTCGCTCTCCACCCAAGTTAGATTCTTGGCATGCGCTCGACGGGCCCTGCATTTCTGGCCTCCGCCGACGTCCGCGGCGCATCTCCTCGTTCTCCTCTGGCGATTCGCGCGCGCACTCGGCTGCGAGCGCGAGCGGCGTCGACCGGCCGCGAGCGGCCGGATTCCGACTCGCCGGCTCGCCATCGATCGGCCGCTGGCCGCTGGCCGCTCGCCGCGGCCTAATACGCTAACTGGATTCCCGAGCTAACGCGTACAAGCCCCCCCCCCCCCCCGACAAATCGATCCCGATTATGCAAGCGAGAACGTCTCGCGGCTGACCGCTGCTGAACGGCCGAGCCCCGCGGATGCTCGGCCGGTGCCGGCGCGGCGGCCCTCGCTCCGGACGGTCGGTCGGCGGGACACGAACAAGGGTGCTTCTGGCCCACGTCCGCAAGCCCATTAGCCGAAATGGCTGCTCTATTGGCACAAGTCGCGGCCGGCTGGCTGGTAAACAGCCGATAAAGCTCGCTCTCCTTATCCCTTTCGCCGGCTTATCGGCGCCGGCCAAGTACAAAGCTACGCGTGCGTAGGATACACTCCGCTATTACACAATGGCGCAACGGCAAACAGGCGAGATACGAATTTCTCGCACTGGCCGAGTACACTCGTGACTCATTGGACGGATCGGAGGCGTCGCGAGCGCCCGCGTCGATCGATAATTAATTGTCGACGAAGAACAACAAAGCGCTGGAAGTGGGCCATCTATTTGTGCAGCGATTGCGTATCGATCGGGCAGAGCGATAAGGGAGGCGGGAGTTGGGCCGGCTCGTCACTTGGCGGCGTTCCGCGCGCGAGTGACGCTTCGCTGGCGGCTAGCTGCCGATGTGGGTCAGCGGCAATAGCGGCATAAGGCAGCGGCGGCGGCGGCGGCGGCGGCGGCGGCGATCGGATCGGCCGTGGCGCTAGTGCACGCCGCACGCATAGGTCCGCGGCGCGCGAGCCGCGGCAGAGCGGTATCGCGATGTGCCGAGCGCGCATCTGGGTCAGCGGCGCTGCAGCGCATGCGCGCCTGCGCTGCCGGCGGGTCGTTCACCGAGCCGCTGCGAGTGCAGTCGCGGGCCGCGACAGTCGCTGCGCCGACTCGACTGCGGCGAACTCCGCCGCCGGAGCCGCGGAGCCGGAGCGTGGCCCGCCGGCTCGCGGCGATCGACAACATCAATGGCCGGCCTGCCTCATTGACAATCGCCCGCGCTTATCGCCTTCGCGCGCCGAGCTTTAAACGCCGACAATAACAAAAGCACGCGCGCCGAGATCGTCGGCACACGGAGGCGACTCCTCGGACGCAGCAAAGCTCTGCTCCGAGAATAGCGCGGTGGGCGGGCGGGCGGGCGGGCGGCAGGGGGCGGCGTCGTGACTCAAACCCGCCACTCGGAAAATCGATCGGGCGCTCGCATCAAACATTCAAATGGGTCGCCACTGGCAGTTGGCGACCCAATTTTCCAAAAAATCAGTGAGACGGCTTTTCATTCATCGTTTGCGTGCAAGCGCGACTGCGCCATCGCTTCGCGAACTCGCCAATTTTCGCTGGTTCGCCAGTGGTGGCAGTCGCTTCGGTCAGACGCGTCAGCAAAGACGATTCGACGCTGGCGGCGTCTGCGATGACGAAAGCAGAACGGGACTGCATGGCGGGGGACAAGGGAGGGGTCGGATTCTATACTGTACAGTAGTACGCGGGAGAGAGAGAGAGAGGCACGAGGTGCCGGCATCGTGGAGTCGCGCGCGCGCTCGGCATATAGGCAGAGCGCTCGCGGAGCAGAGAGTTCAGTGACCTTACGGAAGCCCAAGCGCTCGCTCAGAGCCGGCACTCGCGCTCGTTGTGTGGGAGGAGGGGGACTCTGACACATCGCTCTCGCTCTCTCTCTCTCTCTCTCTCTCTCTCTCTCTCTCTCTCTCTCTCCCTCGAGGCTGTACACGCTCTATGAGAGCGACAAAGACGGAGACAAAGCTAGCCCCAAAAAAAACGTAGCTCCCAGCAACGAATAAAGAAAGGGCTTTTCCGCCTACTCCGGAACTCTTGCGACAGACAGAGACAGAGACCAGACTCAAAGCTGCCAGGACTCTCTCTCTCTCTCCTCCCTACTCTGTCTGTCTGTCTGTCTCTCTCTCTCTCTCTCTCTCTCTCTCTCTCTCTCTCTCTCTATCTCCTTCTCTTTCTCCACACAGCCAGAAAGAGAAAGAGCCTCAGTTTTTCGGGGATCGACGAGCCGAGCGGCCAGCCGAGCGAACGCACGAGTGAGCGAGCGCGCGACACAAAGGTCGTTCGCCCCGCGAGAGTAGTTAGCCAGCGGCAGCAGCAACAACAACAACAACAGCAACAGCAGCTGCAGTACTCCTCCTCTCGTTCTCGCTGTTCCCGACTAATTTCCGAAAAACCAAGTAACGCCGGGCTGTCGGCTGGTGCGCGAGCGTGCGTAGTGCCGTTCAAAGTCCATCGGTGCGGAGGCAGTGCGCGAACGTCGGAGGTGCGCCCGTGGGCCTCGCGCCGCTTCCATGTGTCGGCCGTCATTACCGCGGGCGTCGGCTTTCCGTAAAAAGTGGCCCCGAGAAGAGAGCGGCCCAAGAACAAGTGCAGTGGCAGATTAAGCAGCGCGATAACAGTTATCGCTGGGTTCAGTCGGCAGGGCGCGGGCGCCTCCGAACCAAGCAACTGCGGAGAAGTGTCATCGGGCGCGCGCGCGCGCGCACGCGATCCGCGAGCAGCGAGCATTTTTCGGGGCTCGGTCGCGACTCGCGACGGCGAGAGCGAGCAAGCGAGCGACCGACCGAGCAGCTGCATGCGTAGCAGCCAGTGCGTCGGCCGACTCGCGCACTCGCGCTACTCTCCGGGTTCATCGTTCTCGGTTACGTAATGTTTGACTATGTGCTGCAAGCGCGCGCGCGCGCCAGCCAGCCAGCGACGCCAGCGCTCCCGACTTATTCACTCCCACTTGTGCTCCCGTGCTCTTGTGCTCGTGCCGCCACTGCCACTCGACGTGCGCAATCAGCAACCGCCTCCGACGGCCACCGCGCTCGCCCGATTTTCCTTCTCTCTCTCTCTCTATCTCTCTCGAGATCTGTCCTGCGTAGCAGTGCTTCCGCGGTACTCTGCGAAAATACAGCCACCAGTGTCCCTTTTCCGCGCTCTTGCCGTCGAGTATTTGTCGAACGGAGTTGGTGCTGCTGCTGCTGCCGCTGTTGCTGCTTCCCCTTGCAATGCCATTCTTTTTTTATCCTCCCGTCTCCGTTGTGCTCCCTCTCTTTCTTTTTCTCAGCGAGCCATCGCTTATCGATAATAATTCTCGGCAGAGAGAGAGAGAGAGAGGGAGAGAGAGAGAGCGAGCGGGAGGGAGGAGGGGGGTGGGGAGACGTAGAGCACGAAAGCGCAAAGAAACGTCCATCGAGAGCAACGTCCTGTGTAGGTAACGCGTAACGGAGATGCTGTCGGGGCTAGGCCCGAGCCCGGTTTGGCAATTGTATCGTTGAGAGCGCCAGTGAGGACCGACGCTTAATATGCCGGATGCCAGAAGCCTGAATACTGGAAATAGCAAAACAGTGCGCGTCGTGGAGAATGAGCCAGACGAGGAGCGTAGCGCGGAGTTAGGCTTGCGTCAATGGAAGCGAACTTGACGGTGCAGTATTGCGGCTCGAGCCGGGGAGCCGATAGCACCAGCTCGCCTATCCAGCAGCCGAGCGTCGGACGCAGCAGCCAAGACGACCGCCGGCTCCAGGCCAACTCCATTCGAGGTAGCTCGCGGGCCTCCTCGCTCCTCCGCGTTCCAACTCGCTTAGCTCCCCCTCATTTGTGCTCATCTGTTGCTTGACGAGTGTCATTTCCAACTAGAGCGTGCGTGCGTGCGTGCGTGCGTGCGCGTGTGAGAGTGAAGCACCTCTGGCGTGCCACGGCTGCCGTGACTAATGGCTCATCTGCTTGTGATTTTCAGCCCAGATCGAAATAATCCCGTGCAAGGTTTGTGGTGACAAGAGCAGCGGCGTCCACTATGGGGTGATAACGTGCGAGGGCTGCAAGGGATTCTTCAGGCGGTCGCAGTCCTCGGTGGTCAACTACCAGTGTCCCCGGAATAAGAACTGCGTGGTCGATCGGGTCAACAGGAACCGGTGTCAGTACTGTCGGTTACAAAAGTGCCTAAGGCTTGGCATGTCCAGAGATGGTGAGTAGCGCTTCGGATCTTGCGCCGTGGCTCGTTAAAACCACTTGGCGCTCGCTCGCTCGCTCGCTCGCCGCGCTCCTTCGCCTGGAAAACAAAACGCGCCGAGCAAAACGAACGCACGCGCCGCGCTTCAATTGGAGTGTGCATAATGGCAGCCGCCGAGGTACACGACCCGTTATCGGCGAGCCGCGCGCCGCCAGTCGTGTAGTTCCTCGCCGATAAATCCAAAGAAAAAAGGAAAAGAAGAAAACCAAAAGAGTCGCGCTCGTTGCTCGTACACACCTAGTCACCCAGTGTAGAACGAGCGCACGGGCCCGCTTGCATTTTCGGCTAGGCCGGGATCGCCGAGTGCCGAGCGGAGCTGGCGCGTAAAGCGCGAGCTGATAAGCCTCGCGATCGTATATAGGTACTCGCGCGGGTATATATAGCCGTGGCGCTGCTATATATAAAATGCGCCAGCTAAACGCTCACGTACGCTCTGCACTGTTCCTCCTTCCTAGTTATGTCTCCTTCTCGCCAGCGCGGTCGATCACCTTCTCGGCGCGTTTGCCTCTCTTTCTCTTTCGACGCTACGCCTTTCTCTGCTTCCTCTCTCTTTCTCACTCTCTACGCGTTCTCTCGCGCGCTCGCGCTCTCCTCGCGCGTTGACAACCTTCTCGCGTCAATCCCGCCGCGATTCTCGGCGAAGATCCCTCAAACTTGGCCACGCCGCTCGCTCGGCTATCCGCCGCGGCTCGTCAATTAGAAACCTCGATCGCGCTTATGTAAATGCCATGAGAAAAGCCTATTTCGTCGAAAGGCTGATTTATTCTGTAACGTTGCGGGATATTGCACAACCTCTTACAAACTAGTTGAGTCATTGAGAAAGTTACACTGCCAAATCGGCCCGAGCTCTTTGCGCGGAATATTCCTCGTTCTTTCTTCTTCCCTTCCATTGCCGTTTCCTCTTCTTTTCCGACCTTTCGGGGTCAAACGCGAGACAAGTTCGGCCCCGCCGCGGATGTCGCGCCGGCGAGCCGTGTTCGCAAGCGCGCGCACGGATTTCGGTTGCCGCTCGAGCGTCACACCAGGCTGACGTCAGTCCGGTCGCACTTCCGCGTTCCGCGCACTGGTGCGGCCCGCGCTCCGCCAAGTTCGTCCTACAAAGCTTGATTCGAGAAGGCCGACGGTCGGCGCACTGGATGTCGACGGGAGTTGGATTTAGAATGGCGTGGGCAAGCGCGAGCGAGCGAGGCCCGATTGCACAAGAGGATTGCGCGCGGAACCGACGTAATCGGCGCTCGTTTGCAGCCGTCAAGTTCGGACGCATGTCCAAGAAGCAGAGGGAAAAGGTCGAGGACGAGGTGCGGTTTCACAGGGCCCAGATGAGAGCGGCCTCGGAGACAGCGCCCGACAGCAGTGTGTTCGAGCACCAGACGCCCAGCAGTTCGGACCAACACCACAGCTACAACGGAGGGTCAGTTGGCTCGCGATTCGATTCCGCGCCCCGAGCAGCCAGAACAACGATGACGAGCCGCTTGTCGCTTCTCGATCTGTTTGCAGTTACGCGTACGGCAGCAACGAGTACGCGTCGCCGGGCCCCGGCACCGGCAGCTCCACCTACTACAACGCCGCAATGACCAACTACGAGCTAAGCGCCGACTACGTGGACAGCACGACGGCCTACGACCCGAGGCCCACGCCCACGCAGGTCGACCAAGTCGCCGCCGACACGGTGTCCGTCAATGCCCAAGGCATGCTGCCCAACATGGTGGGCACCGGTAAGTGCGCTACCCGAATCTGCCCCCGGCCCAGCCCGCTTCCTCCAACCACCCACCACCACCTCATCAAATCGCGAATCATGCGCCTACCCCGTGGCCGTCCCTCGCCTACGAGAGATTTTGCTTGGACCTCTAACCATCACGTTTGCGCGAACTAACTCGATTAACAACAACTGCACGACGGGGCGCATTGTGATAAAACTGGGTTGGTTAGGCACTGGAGCTGCTGGCGACGCCGGTAGCACGCCCACTGCCGCCGCGGCCGGCGCCACGGCCGGCAGCGGCGCTCGACCGACCGCTCAGTCGGCGGCTGCGGTGGCGGCGAGCGGCGGCGGCATTGTCGCCGTCAAGCAGGAGGCCCAGCTGGAGCTCGCGGCCCTCGGCCACGGCTCCTACACCATCGTCGACTCCACGACCTTTCTGCCGCAGGCCCAGCAGCAGAGCCACGCCGCTGCCGCGCAGCCGCAGCAGGACGACGACGACCCACTTCCCAGTACGTCCCAGCTCTCTCTCTCTCTCTCTCTCATCTCAGTCTCTCACTTTGTTTCTTCTTTTCTCGCATGCACAACGCTTATGCCATGTACTAACTCTCGCCTCACTATCGCCCCCCTTCCCCGCGCACACTCTCTCCCTCCCTCTCTCTCTCTCTCTCTCTCTCTCTGCTCGCTCTGATACTCATTTTATTCGTTCGCCAAGCGCATGTATCTCATCAACCATGTCTCACTCTCATCACTTACCCTCACAGTTGTACCTGCCTAGTATTACAAGTCGATGTGTTCATGTTGTTGTTTTTTATTGGTGTTTCTTGTTCTCGCGTGTGCGTGGCTCCGCGAGGAGCCGTCAAGCCGAGCAAGTCGGGCGTCAATGTCGAGCCAGCCTCGCTCGTTTGCAAGCCAATCGCGGCGTTTGATAAGACGTTGAAGGACGCGAGTCCGGCAGGGGGAGGGGGGCGAGGGCGGGCAGCGCAATCAGGCAGGCGGACAGACAGCCAGTAAAGCAGCGGTTTGCGCGCTGAAATTGCAGGCTCGGAATCGGTGAGCGAGGTGATGGTGAGGCTGGTGGCGGAGGCGCACGCGAAGACGAGCCCCATGCAGCCCGAGCAGATCCAGGAGCTGTTCCGTAGGGGCCAGAGCCAGGACATCGCGAGAGTGGTGGCCTACAAGAGCATGTCGCACGAACAGCTGTGGCTGGAGTGCGCCGAGCGGCTGACCACCATGATCCAGGGCATCATCGAGTTCGCCAAGATGGTGCCAGGCTTCATGAAGCTGTCCCAGGACGACCAGATAGTGCTGCTCAAGTCCAGTGAGTACGGGGCAGGGAGGGAGGGAGGGAGGGAGGGAGCCGAGGCGAGGGGGCCGCGCGACTGACCGCCGTTCGACGCTTGCAGGCTCGTTCGAGCTGGCGGTGATACGGATGAGCAAATACATCGACTTGAGCACGGGTAACGTGCTGTTCGCGGAGGACGGCCTGATGCTGCCGCAGGACGCCTTCTACACGCAGGACACCGCGGAGATGAAGCTGGTCACGTGCGTGTTCGAGCTGGCCAAATCGATCGCCGAGCTGAAGCTGAGCGAGACGCAGCTGGGCCTGTACAGCAGCCTGATCCTGCTGAGCCACGGTAAGCGGGGCTGACCGGCCGCGCGCCGCCGCCGCCTTGGCCCGGGTGTGGACTGTCGCTGACGGCCGCGCGCTCTCTCTCTCTCTCTCTCGTCCGCAGATCGGCCGGGCCTGAAGGGCGTGACGGACGTGCGGCGGACCTACGACCTGGTGCTGCGCTCGCTCAAGGGCGAGCTCGAGCGAATGCACATGATGCCGCTGAAGGGCGACGTGACGGTCTTCGACGCGCTCATCGCCAAGATCTCGCAGCTGAGGGACGTCAGCCACATGCACATGGAGGCGCTGGCCAAGTTCAAGCGCTCGCAGACCCACCTGGAGTTCCCGGCGCTCCACAAAGAGCTGTTCAACCTCGACAGCTGAACGCGCCCCGGCCAGTCGGGCAGCGCTCGCGTCGCGGCCGCCGAGCACCACCACCACCACCTGCTCCTGCTCCCGTCACCCCCCGCCTCACCCTCGACCTTCATTGCACGGGGCCTTGCTCTGTCGAGGTGCGTCTCCGCCGCCACCAGCCGCCTCAGCGCGCTTGCTCTCTCGCTAACCGCTCTTCTCTTTTCTCTTTGCAGATTATCTCCTTCGATTATTCAACGTATTGGGCCTTAAATAAACATAATAATATTGTTATTAAGTATAAGCAGAGAGCAACATAAAGTATATATATATATATATATAAGGAGGAAAATATATTACATATAAATATATATATATACATATATAAGATATGTATACGCATACAAATATATATGTATATATGCATAAAAATGTAACGATGATCGATATATTTATATATTTGTATGTAGATAAGTTATCGGTTGTTATCGACAAACACCTTAAGTGTGTTTATACACAAGTTATGGACTAACGTTAACCTTATAAGATGCACTTGCGGACGCTAGGGTGATCTCAAAGCAATCCTTCTTCGTTCTTTCTTTCTTTCAAGCACTGAGGCGCGCCGTCGCGAAAGCTTTTCATTGTCGTTGACAATTCCGACTGAGCGGACTGCTGCCGCCACATTATCGCTCTCGGCTCTATATGCCGGGTGGTCGACACTCGTCAGACGTACAGACAGACAAAGAGAGAGGGAGGGAGAGGGACAGGGGGAGAGAGAGAGAGAGAGAGAGAGAGAGAGAGAGAGAGAGAGAGACTATCACGAAAAACGCTGATTTTTTTTCTATTGTTAATGGTACCATTATTATCGCTATTATCATTACTACTATCATTCTTGTTATTATTAATACTATGATTATCGTTACTATTACGGCTATTATCAGTACTATTATTACGATTACTATTATTGAAAGCGCGCGAGTTCGGCTACATACGAGAGCAATTGCTATAGAACGACGGAACGGCTCGCTCGCTTCGACCGCGGCTCGTCAATAATTTCAAGCGGTTCCAATGATATTCGACTGCGTGCTCTCGCAGAGGGCCGCGCTCAGCGATGCTTTTTGTCTTGAGATCTCTCTGGCAGCAGCGAACACGATTTTAACGACGACGGAACAAACGAAACAAACGACTCGACACGCGCACGCACACACGCACACACACACACACACACACAGCGACCCACACGGACAGGTGACTCCAGCGAGACGCGGAGAAATTAGGCTAATCGCGAATCACGTCTCTTATTAGCCGTAGCGTAGCGTAGTCGAAGCGTCGAGGAGGACTGTGAACGAATTTAGCCGATACTGTACTAGGGAGATTTGGTTGGCGCGTGGGCGCACTTTTTAGCCTTTCTATCGACATGCTTGAACAAATGAAAAATACAACTTCCTATTCTCGCTATACCGTGGACACTAGGATACACACAGCGAGCGTAAGAGATTAGCTAGGGCATGAATAAAACGACCACCCTGTGCGACGACCGACTCGCTTTCCGGATTCTTAGCCTTATCACGAACACCTCGTAGGACTACCTACTAACCGATATTCTCTGTTCATCCTTGCATTAACACTCGGACTCGTAGTTTTTCTGGAATCTGGTATTCCGCCAAACGCAAAGTTTAGATCTGTAATGCCACACACTGAATGTACAAAGATTTATATGTAAATTCCTTTTAAACGTACGACTACAACTATTGTATTGCGAGTAACTTATCGATACTTATTCGAAAACATTATATACGTATACGGTACTCGAGCACCTTACGGCAACTGTCCCCCTTGTCCGCGATTGTTTTCTCGAGCGCTCGCTCTCGTCAGTATGGAAGCGCGCCGGCTCAATCAATCAAAACGCCTCACCCTCTGCAGAACCTGCGCCCCCTCCTCGCCCCTATAGAGCCCCTTCTCTTCCTTTCCTTCGTCACAGATGTACATATCGGTTACACGAATGCATGCGGTGGTTTACATAGCTGTGATAAAAATAAGCTAATATTTCTTTGTAGCCGGCGAAACGAAAGGCTGCCACGGTCGACCGATTGATCGGCCGACACGATCCATCGATCGGCCGCCAGCGTTCGCCTTCTCCGATTTCCTTCATTGAATAATCGATACACGCAAGTTACATCATTTACATAGTCTAATTGCCGCTCTGTTATTTAATTTTAGATAGTACTAACAGCAGATGTACGTTATAGTTGATAGACTTGAAATTGGCATCGACGGGTCGCATTGGCAGACAGGTCGCGAGCTGTGCTCGAAGCAACGGCGCGATGCGTATAGTTGAGGCACCCACCTGTAGACAACACGGGCGAAACTGTCGTTTGGTTGATTTGCGCCGGAAAACGAGTCGTCGGCACTTGCGCGAGTCAGTGACGCGAGGCAAAGCTCGAAGCTCACGGCCGGGACAAAGTAGCAAATCGATACCGTGCATCCGGACACCCTCGTCATCACCAACATTATTCATAAAGCTGCATTATTGTGATATCACGATGAATGGAGAGTGACGAAAGGACAGGCAATTTACGAAGGATCGTTCAGGCGCCATGTAAAAAGCTCGCAATCCAACGTTACGCAGTGAACGCAAACACACATATGTAATGTAACAAACAGTTAAACATGCAAGTTATGTTCGCACGTGTAATATACACTTACGTACAAAGCGTACAACAAATAATGGACATGATAAATATATAACATGCGAATAGAAAAGAAGACAAGATACAGTGAAAAGCGTACAAGTGCGTAATAATTATATATTGTAGTTATAGTAAAGATAAGTAGAAGAAATTTGTAAGAAGACAAAATGCGAAATGAATAAGACGATGCGCAAACTAATACATTAATGTTAAATAACGACGAAAGAGCTGAGGCGCAACGTTCACATTATTATTATTATTATTATTATTATTATTAATATTATTATTAATATTATTATTATTATTATTATTATTATTATTATTATTATTATTATTATTATCATTATCATTATTATATTTTTATCATTATTATCATCAGTAAAAAATATAGACTTTACTTATCTTTAGAAGAATTGCCTGACATTACAAATATTGATGAATGATTAATAAAAACGGGAAAAGCTGGAAACGAGGCATGCTTATTGGTGTGTGGTTGCGTGCGAGAAATATGTTAACAATTGAAAAGGCATGATAGTCGAGGGCGACACGCAGTGCATAAGCACGCAGCGATGAGCAAAACGGCTCGCAAGCAGAGGCGAGGATTATAATACAGGCAAGAAAACAAATAATATACAAGCAAAGAAGATATTGGCGCTCGTAACAAGCAACTTAGATTTAATGAATTAAGAAACAAAGTATATTATATAATACAGTACACACGTTGCAACTAGAAGTTATTAATGCAATTTGGAGTTAAATTTTATATCGTATATAATAAATGAAAAGTTGACGGATAATATTTAAAAGAGAAAGAACGTTATAAGCCTACAAGCGAAGGATTGTGCAGCACTTGGGAACGGCGAATGTTAATTGTCTTGTTATTGTAGTGCCCTGTTTTTAGTCACGCATTAGGCTCGTTGTTGTTGTTATCACGTTCAAATAATTCTATTTGCATATGACCAACCGACTCGTCGATAGGCGTTCGCGCGCGCAACTCTCACCAGCTTCACTGTCCCGCGCATTTCCTTCTTTTCCAACTGGTCGACTCGCTGACGCGATCGTTGTGACTTTCTATTGTGAAGTACCTATCTATATTGCTATGTTGAAATTTTTTCGATTATATATTATTCGTCATATGTATTCTATCAGAGGTTGTTTCTATCACCCCCCCCCCCCGCCCGAAATTTACATTGTCATCGTTGCTTGTACGCGAGCAATCAAGCAGGCACAATTCTTCGTGTGTGAGGTCTATATTCACACGAACGTGCGCATTGCGCATATATATATATATATATATATATACAACATAAAGACGAAGTTTATTACCGAATGAAAAAGGTAATGAACAATATCGTACTGACTATCAAGGATATATATACACATATATATATTGCGGGTCAACGAGACGAAACAAACAAATAGTATATTCGGCAAGACGCACGTTCGCGCGACCAAGTTGATTTAGCTTTAAGATACTAGTATTCATTGAAAGAAAACAAGCGTTGATATTATACCATATTATTTTGCGCGATGGCTCTCGAATACGGAAAATTAACTGAATGTGCCGAGGGTTATTATTTTGAAAGAGAATCGACGTAGATTTTTCTAAGAAAGGCAAATCTTACTTTTCATCAGCAAACGCAATAACCTAAAATTTTATCCGAATACGAAACAAAAATGTGGCCTTGGACACTTTTCAATGTGCTATATATGATTTTAAATAAGGGCGGTACATATGTAAATAGAAGAGCCGAGTACGAGATGTAAAATACTTGTATAAGTTTGTGAATAAATGGAAAATGGCTAACGCGATAAAACATAGAGAAAAAGAAGATAAGCGACTCTCGCGCGCATACCGATCGACGAATAATACTTTTGAGAGCCATCACGTAAGACACTCAAAACAATTTAGACTTACACATCACTTTCATTATTCTGTACTTGACAATGAAACTGTAAATTATTCATTTGTAACGCTGAGAATGCAAACGAGAACTCACTCTCGGACGACTTACTTTTTCATTTTCTCAATCGAATGACTTAGACTGTTATGGTAGGTTCAATCATTCGTTCAAATGGATAATTGTAGAACACAGCGATCGGAAATGAAGACGAATACTTAAGGGCGCATACAGACAAACGTGTTGAGGGATGCGCTTATTGTTTACAATTTTTTAAGTGAATTTTATCAAAAATAATTTAGACAAGCATTATATTTAGTCAAAATTATAAATTTGCCTTTTGTATACTATTATTCGTGAGATAATAAATAGAAACGTACTGATTATAAAATTTAATATGAGGCGAGAATAGAGAGACAATTTGAGAAAAAAAGTGTGTGAACGCGAGAAATCGTGAAATCGGCCTGATTTTTAAATTTGTATCTTATCAGCAAAAAAAAAGAAAAAAAAAGAAAATCTATATCTACGTGCATTGTTCTACAGATCCTGCGACCCCTGCGCTATATATCATTTCAAACTTTACAGCCGGAATAATGATGTGCATGAAATAAGGAAACAAAGACTTTATTATTTTATATATACATATATATATATATATATATATATATATATATATATATATATATATATATATATATATAATTTTTTTTTAATTTTGTAATTATGATCCTGCTGTGAATCAAGTGAATGCCTGAACAAAATACCTTTACGTATGGGTTAATTAAACGAATAGAGTAATATTTGGCTTGTAATAATTATTAAAAAACAACATAAAAACGATGTAGACGTTCTTAACGGTGGTTTGTTTACCGTACGTTTTTGTATAATGACGGTCGAAGTCGTCTGCAATTGATCGACACTTGCGACTCTTTTTATTATTCTTTTGCGCTTATCACAATTGATTGAAGTTTTGCGTAAGCGAGGAACTTGGGTGCTTTTTGGGATGTATATATATATACATATATATATATATATATACACATACACATATACAGTAATGAATATGTAAGAGAGAAAGCGATAATAATGTGAGGTTACCTCTTCAAGTGAAACAACAGCAGAAACAAGAAAAACGATAAAATTGTGACAGACTATGTAACTTCAGCAATCAGACGATTATTTTATTTATATTTAATTAGTATTATTTGAAACGCAATATTAGGTAATTAATATTATATATGTAGTTTTAATCGCCATCACTATGATTATTACTGTTAAAAATTACCTATATTTCTATCACATTATCACTATCTAATGTATCTCATTGTCATTTTTCACCTTCAATAAGTGATCATTCGTCACTCGTCAACTGTCGTTTCTACCAAGATCGTCATCCCCTTATGCAGTTCGTCTCTTATTCTTTCATCGTCCTCATAGACTTTTTTTCTCATCCATTATTCATTCATTTTTATTTTAAAAGATACGTCTTATTCTATAATTGCGATCACGCTAGATTGTACATACTTTACTGCCGACTCTGAAAACAATTTTGCTTTTATTATGGCCAAAATAAAATCACAATAATTAATACTCGGTCGCATCATTATTTCTTAATCTACTTGAGAAGCGCTCATCCGAATACACTTATACAAGAACTGATGCTACTCGTGAGACTGTCTTGGAAGCCTTATTATCAAACAAATTACAAGTACGCTGCGAATTACAAACAATTCAACCACTACACTTGCCTGTCTTTCTTCGAGAATCTGCTCTGTAGGACATCTGAACATTCGTAACTTTCTGTTTATTGAAGAGGCCGCGGATGAAGACTGCTGCTATTTTCAACTTGTTGTGATATTCTAGTGACATTTATGAAAACAAAAACACCAGACGTCCCTTTGGTAGTCGAGCCTAGATAATACTCCTGTTTTACTTTGCTCTCTCCATTGTGTTTTTCGGAATTGTTAACGCAAGTCTTTCGCATGTTCATCCAGTTTCCAGCCGGGTACACTTTATCAAAAGTCAAATTGCAAAGACAACTAGCAATCACAAGCAAATTGTCATCTTGCATGAACGCAGCTCTTAGAAACATCAATTACCAAGTATTATTATGACTTAGAACGATTTTCGTAACTGACACTGAATATACATTTATGTCTAAGGTAACGTTTGTTCAAAGCGCTTGTTAATTTGCGATGAAGCGCAGCTTTATTTCATTAGCTCTCCTCAGCTCGGAATATAAGATACAAGTAAATTCGATGAATAATTATTAAAAAAGAAAAACGCTAAAATCAGTCGCCAGTTGTTTAAACGTTAAAAGGTTTGTATCATAGAGGTCTTGAACATATAAAACCATGTATAAATAGGTCTTTCAAGCCAATCACTATAGCAGCATAGCGTTTCGACGACCCTAATCACGAATGACAAGTCATGACTTTGATTGAAACAAGTGCATGGGCTGGATAAGACCATTGTTTGCTAGTACTATCAAAGATTGGACCGCTGCCTCATAGAGATGCGTCGCATATAATTAGACCATCAAATCACTGTGTACAATGTATTTCAAAAGATCCAGACATTAAACACCTTTATTTACGATACAATAACAATTATATGTAGATAAATTATTGCAAAATAAATGACAAAACATCAAATTATATCATTGAACATTTACCCTACACGATTCAATTCCAAAACGCCAACGTAGAAAAAGCATATGCTGTCAGATATCTTAAAAATTGTAAAAAAAATATTCAATTGCGTGACATACAAGTTACGTTGTTTCATGTGAACACTCATCATTATGCAAATATTCGTGTTTAGCGCTAAGCTAGGCTTAGCGGATGAAGTTCGAACGAATCCTCGTATGAATAGGATTTCTTTCTCGTCTGTCTTAAATTTATATACGCAAATACTATATGAGCCATTCCACAAAAGAAAAAGGGCCCAAATTCAGTCAAATTTATTCAATTTAAGGGTACGATCTAAATTTTTTTTATTTTTCCTTCTTATGACTTCAGGCGCTCCTCAAAAATGTGCCTTACATCAGAAATGCTTGTGATAACATACGCATTTTCCGATATTTGATTTATGTTTCGATTAAATTCAAATTGGATTACAGTTTGAAATACTCCTTGATCATTCTATCATAATTTTCATTTTACCATTGATTTGGCACGAATTTAAAGTTTTTAAATAACGATATCGGAACTTGATACGATGAAAATTATCTGAAATTTGATTGAAATGTTTTTTATCCTTTATGTCATTTTTGTCTTCTCATTGTTAGTAACCGTATATAGTACAGCACTCTTGCTTTTTATCGATATAATTTTTTAATCTTTCTTTGTTATTATTCTTCATTTTTTTAGTTTCTTCTCTTTTGTGCTGTAGTCGCAGTTTATTTTTAGAATTTTAATACTCAAGATTTTTTTTATCTTGCATCGAGTAATCTTTAAATTATTTGAAAAAGTATTTGGAATTAATCGTTTTGAAATCTTACATTAATTAAAAGTTCAACTACCAATTCATAATTTCTGAGATAATACCGCTCTTATTTTTCAACGGAACTAAAGTATAATTAAAGGAATTCAAATAGCTTCCAACAAAATTAAGGAACAACTAAGGAATTGATACATATAAACAAATTCCGATCGATTATAAATTGTTTCAGTACCAACATTTGAATTCAAGCTTTTTAAAACTTATGTAAAGAACGGCTAATAAAACGCAAGCAATAAACCACTGTTCCCTCCATCTTATATTGATTAAAAATTTCTAAATATTTAACAACTTTACTCAAACTAATTTGAATCAATGTTCAATATAATAAACAAATTTTCAAATGTTGAACAAAAACTATCTTTACCATTTATTCAATAGAAATCATTTGTTATGGAACAGCAATATTTAAAACTTGTAATTTTGCGCTAAAAACAATGGCAAAACAACCGTTCAAATTTTTTCAATAAAACCACTACGAAATAGTAATAGAATTATTAAGCATAACGTCAAACCACGATGTGATATTAGTCTAGTAGAAAGAAACATCGTAAATCAAATATCGAAAAACCGCAAAATTACCGATTTATTCTCGAAGCGTTATTGAGGAAAAAAGAAGTCATAAGCATGTCCATTAGCATTTCAGGGTTCGACGTTTTCCTGATTACGACCTTGAAATTGCACCTAAGTCGAGACACGTCTAGCCAAAATCTTTACAGAGCATAAGCTTCGTGACGTAAAATCTTGACATACCTGGTCGTCTATCTTGATTTAATAAAGTTAACCATTTTGCCATTCAAACACAAATCCCTTGTCGTCCGTCTTTTTTTTGTCTAACTCCTTCGCACATCCATTCCATTAAAAAGGATCTGTTAACGTTAACTCTTCCTCCCAGGCGAAAGATCAATCAGAACTTTGGCGTCTAGCACGTATGTACGCTTCTCTAGAGGGCATGATTACTGTCAATGAATATAACTCAGTATAAATTAAGACTTGCTTGCAAATAGTATTATAGGCATAGTTTTCACTTCAAATCACTAGCGCTATTGAACGCGGCTCGCGAGCTCTTTTTTTTATTTTTCTGGTATTTATTACATTATTTGTATTATACAATAATAAAGTTACTCAATAGCAGTAGTTTTCTACGGCCTTAATGTTTTATTAGTGTTAGTAATATATTTCAACATCGTATGATCTTTATAATATAAAAAATATAAATGTAATTTCCGCTACTTTAATCTATTCACTTTTTCTCTCTTCTAATAACATTTTAAAACGACACTATTAATTTCACAGATGGTAATCAAATTATCGATTCGTACCAATTACTCCAGCGTAATTTGAAAAGACGTATGACTTTTAATTTTACTTAAAACGATTGATTAACGACATACTTCAATTTTTCATCTATATTAATTATTCATAAATTGAATTTATCGCTGAAATAAAAATTTCATATTTCTAGACTTATATCATAAAGCTATTTCAAAGTACATTGAAATTCGAAATTTCGCGCTCTTTCCGGATCAACCAATTGCAACGCTGAATGTCAGCGACTCGTCACACTTATAAGGAAAATTACAAAAAAATATAGGAGAGAAGAGTTGAGGATTGATCGAGCTTGACGATCGATCAAAAAAATAGTGACGCCGATTAATCCACACACTCAATCAGATTAGATTATGGAACTAACTGATGATTCAAATAAATTTTTCATATTCAGATAGTAGTTTCGCTGTAGCTTATAATCGGAAAAATAATTAGCCTATATCACACATTCGTGCCAGATGAAGCATTCAATGTATGTTCATCGTCTTCGTGCAATTGAATAAGTTACCATATATTGCAAAATATGCGCGCAGACAAGATAAAATATACGAATTTAGTAAACGATAAAACAACAGCAATAAAGCTTGTGAACAGAATATTTTCAAAGTTGCCGCTACATGCGAGTACGCAAACGTGACAGTACGTATATACTAGTAAATGGCGGCAGTCTTCGCTGGAAGATGTGATGACAAAGCAAAGAGGGTAATTAACGTCGGGTAACGAAATAATCGAAAGTGCTATTAAGAGGCATTGAAACATGATCAGAACATGATCAGTACTAAGATGACAGTCGTTTGTTCGTTGTTCGTCGCTTCTGAACCGGCGCCGGTTGCGAACGGCCATGTTTGTTGTGATCACAGTATAGGTACGGTAGCCGACTACAGCTGTTGCGCGCGACTGTCGTGCCATTCTTACGAAAACGTCCGAAACAGGGAGTCGGCTGGACAGACCTACAATAGCACAACAGTCGTTCTGATCCTCGATATCGTGCAGCGCACGGTCAGTGGTTCAAAGCGACGTACAGTCGGCACAGTGAACCGTGCAGCTCCATTTGGTGCGATAGAGGGAGACAGAGTTAGCTGCGTGGTGCGCTGTGAGCACGTAATATACACGCATTGTAGTTATAGCAATGCAGCATGCAGCCGTGAGAGGCAGACAGAGACTGTTCCACGACCACAGCATCTCACTGCCAGCGAGCTACGCAAATCTGTGTACGCGTATGTCATATGTACATTCGTGAGGCAGCTGGGAAACGGCCGTGACGCGACAGACAACAACTGCTCGCGCGATTTTTGCCGAGGCTGACTTGCAGCTCTGCCAGCGGATTGATAAACCAGCGACGTTTAACTGACAGTAGGTACGTAGTAGCTTCAACTTTTTGCTATCGCTATGGCTCTTATGCCTCGCCTCGTCCCGACAATCTCACTGTCTATCCACAGGTGTTACTTTTCACTTGGGAACGATCGAGACTCGCATCCGTCCAGACCAGCCTCTGATGATTCATGACTTGCTCGAGTGTTTTTCCGTAGACCATGTCTATGCGGCATTGATACTCAGCGACGCGATTCACTTGGAGGACTCGACATCGTGAGGACATCAGCTAGCAATCAATCGTCCGCCAATGGGTGACTCATCAGTGAATTCCCTGGCACAGAAACTCGGCTACCTGCAATTCGAGGATGAGTCTTCTAATAACTCACGGCCAGCCGGTTCAAGGCCAGAGGCCCAAGTACCCGTGGGGGGCAGGACCGTTGTGGCAGCCACCGAGAGCTTTCTCGAAACGGATAACCATGGCGGAAGGGGCGCACCGCCCTGCGCCGATTTCAAGGCGTACGAGCGGGAAAACAGCGTAGCGGCTTCGAGGTATACCACCGCGAAGCCCGGCGAGCAAGTCGACGAGCACGTCCAGTACAAGGACAAGATGCAGTCTCCCGTTTACGAGAATATCGAATATTATCCAGCGCACAGCCAGTCGTACGCGCCCTACTATCATTCCGTCGACTCGAGGAAAGCGGCCAATGCCAGGGATAGCCCGCGAGCGTCGCTCGTTGCTGAACAGTTCGAGGCCAATTATAAGGTTGGTCCGATCGCTTGCCGACACCACGCGTACATGCGTTACTCTCTTCTTAAGCCTCTACACGAAACTTTCTCTTCTCTTCTCTTTCTTGTGACTTTTTCGTACGTATTGTGCTATATTATAATCGCTTCCGCTGATTAACGACTTATCCCTAAAGATTCACTAGAGCATTGACTATTTAACAGGTTGCGGGGGGGTCATCTGCCGACGGAGTATTGAGTCATTTGAAGAAAGCGCAGCCTCAGGTGCCGACGCACAGCGCTAGCCGATATCAGTCGGCCTCTCCAGCCAAAGATTTGCCTCCGTACGAGGCACCACCAGTTTACGAAAACATTCAAGATGTGCACTCGGCAGAGATGAACAGAAACAAAGCGCGTCCCCAAGTCCCAACGAACTACTGCAACTCGATCAACATCAACGGGGGCGATTACGTTGTGATGACTGGAAAATTGGCCAGTCTGCAAGCAGGACCGAAAGGCCCCTATTCCGTGCAGAAATTGGACAGAGGTCAGAATTACGATAACCTTTTTCAGCGCTCTTGCGACCAGATGCCTCGCAGCAAGTACCTGTCTAGCTCTCTCGAGCAACAGAATAGCAAAAGTACCTATGTACCACCTTCGGAACTTCAACAAAGCAGCAACAGCATCTACGAGCAGCCGCAGCAAGCGCCTCAGCAGCAGCACTACGCAAGAGCCAACATGTCCTATCACGGTGAAGCCTCAGTCGCGCAGTACCCCGGTGAAGCGCAGTACCAGCATTATCGAAACGCCTCTATTGATGGGCCCATGCAGCACAACTATTATCGACCGGACAATGCACAATCGAATAAACATTACGTCGAGCCAACTGCTAACTGTGCGAGCACTACTTACTACAACGAGGCGCATACCCGTAACGTGCCAGTTTACAGTTCTCCGAGATCGGGGGAGCCGCTCAGCAGGTATGACGCCATTCAACCATCAACCTGATGGTTGATCGGTCTCTGCATTTCAAACGAATGTTTTTGCTTTCAGGGGCGCGCCCTCATACTCACCGAGTCGCATAGTTCGACAAAATGAACGCAATTGCCAACACCCGGATTTCCTGGCGGAGTCCGAACGACAATCTGCTCAGCAACAGCAGCAGCAGCAGCAGCAGCAGCAGCAGCAGCAGCAGCAGCAGCATTGCGCTGAACCCGGCTATTCGGGCAGTCCCACAACCGATAGAAATTACGCCGAATCGACAGACTCACTTCGAAAGCCACCCACGGCTCAGTACGCGCAGCAGCCGTGCCTGAGCCTAGCAGCGCCTCAGTCACCGCAAGACAGCTGCCCGCGAACCACGCAAATGTCCTCGCAAGAGGCCGACCAGATCGTCTCAAACGTACTAAGGCGCACCGTCGCCGAGATCTCCGATAACCCGGTGAGGGGTCAAGTGCAAGCGCCGGTCACGAGCGCCTCCACCGACAGCTCGTCATTCCACGGTCCGAGGATCACCAGTTTGCCTCCGGGGGTGACTAGCGGAGTTGCCGGACCGGTAATACTCAATGATGGCGTACCGAACATACACAAGAATACAGAGTCGATCTCACTGGTCAACGACCCAAGGCAGCAGCAGCAGCCGCAGCCGATACCCCCGCCGTTGAAATCAGCGCCGGTCAAAGGATTGCTTCCCTACAATGTCACGCCTCCGAGACCATCGGTACTGCCCTTTTTTCACACTTCAACCTCGCAATCCACAGCTGAAAAGTAAAATTAACAAAATCCATTGCAATATGTTCGCTGCACTCGTCACAGGGTCCCACTGAAGCCGAACGGAAAATCGAGGAATTGACAAGACAATTGGAGGAAGAAATGGAGAAGCAAGAAGAAGAGGGTGAATATTTCGGTAAGGTTTTTTAACTTCTGATTAAAGCCCATTCTTTTATTTTCTTTCGCACAACAGAACTAGTAAGAGAAAACACTGTAATACTTGATTACAGGTATCTGCCACACATGTCGCGAGAAGGTGACGGGTGCCGGACAAGCTTGCCAAGCAATGGGTAATCTCTACCATACGAATTGCTTCATATGCTGCTCTTGTGGCCGAGCACTTCGTGGAAAGGCATTTTACAACGTTGACGGCCGAGTTTACTGCGAGGAAGATTATCTGGTAAGTGATCAAATAAAAAATGACAGAAGTTGCTGCTGCAATAGTTATTGCCGTTACGAGAAAGCTATTAATAGACATGCTCTTGACAGTATTCGGGATTCCAGCAAACGGCTGAAAAATGCGCCATCTGCGGTCATCTCATCATGGAGATGGTAAGCATTTCTTCCATGTTACTATCATTCACGTAACGTCGTGATTTCACTGACGTCATACTGTTTTCGCTGAAATCTCGCAACAGATTCTGCAAGCTATGGGAAAATCGTACCATCCAGGTTGCTTCAGATGTTGTATTTGCAACGATTGCTTAGATGGGGTACCCTTTACTGTGGACATCGACAATAAAATATATTGTGTCAACGACTATCACAGAATGTTCGCGCCCAAGTGCGCTTCTTGTGGGAAGGGGATCACGCCCGTCGAGGTAAACGATATCGAAGTGCGTTCTGTTTGTTTTGTTTATTTTCTTCATTTTCTTTCTCTTATTCCACATTTCTATCTTCATATGCATTCTTATTTTTTTTTCGACTTTTGTACTACCGATAAATTATTGTACCTTCTGATTATTCCGACTTTTCCATTGATTTTTTATTGACGAGTCTTTATCGTTCACTCGCTTGATGTCAATTTCAGGGAACCGAGGAGACTGTCCGCGTTGTATCAATGGATAAAGATTTTCACGTTGATTGCTACGTATGTGAGGATTGCGGTATGCAGTTGACGGACGAGCCAGACAAGCGCTGCTACCCTCTGGACGGCAGACTTATGTGCAGAGCATGTCACATTCAGCGTATTTCTCATGTACAACCAAGAGCGCCTCAACCAGTCTCGGCAACCTACCAATTCATGGGTTGATTAAATTTTAAGATGACAAGTTTTGCGGTTAGCTATCAGCTCGTTTTTAGTAGGAGCATCGATGCAGTCAATGCTCTAATGTGATATTCGACACTGACTCAATAGAACTAATTCCACCGTGGATACATTTATAATTCAACAGAACTAACAATATGACTATTATTTGTTAAAATTAGTTGTGTTGAACGGCATCAGCAATGCTTCAATTGTAGTAGCTCGTTGAAGAGCTACCCATGATTTTTAATGATTACGTAGTACAAGTCGAGCTTGTTAGCAGCTATCGGTGGTTGCTGCAGCCTTTGATCGAACTCAAATAATAGCGTTTATTAGCTCAATTTTTTAGTTGTAAGTCATAATAATGCAAAATTATTCTCATATGTATAAGATGAATCGCCATTTGATATTCTACAAATTGTTTGTTCACTAAAGCAAAGAAATTTGACGTTGGCTTTTCGTAATTATTGCAGCCGTTCGACGCGGTAAGTTAGTGTGTGCGAACCAAAAGAGACAAAGTGATGCAAACAACACGAAGTTTTTCTAAGCAATGTATTATTATATGACTATTGATATTTTGTTATAGCGACGACTAGCCTAATAAAAAGCAACAAAACCGGTGGCTCCCGTAACGTAATCCAATGGATTTTTTTCTACTTGTCACTTGATTAGCATAAATGAAAAGCGAATCGCCTAGACTTTGACTATGATGTTTTATGCTATTGATTGCGGTGTTATTGTTCGTGCATCTATGAGCTCCTGTTAAAGTAACAAATGACAAATAAAGCAATGAATTGGAAAACATAATTGTCTTTTGAATGTTGCCTATGTGAGTATAGTGTCAGGGTAAAAGAACGTGATAAGCCTACGAGGGTTTTGTACGGTTCGGAGAGCAGTGTCATCCCCAATCTCCATCCCCGTAGGCAGTGAGGTGACGCATGCGCCGTGGAGCAAGAGAGCGCAGGCTGGCTGCTGCGATGGCTGGGCGGACGTGCGAAGAGGCGAGGAGACAGGGAGTCAGTTGGCTCATTGCTGTGCGCGCGTGTGTCTCGTCCCATCGCCGAGAATATCATTTATTCTCAGGGGCGACGACGACGTAGCGTGAAAGCGTAGATACCGAGCCGGACTGACTCGCCTGTGTCGCGGCTCCAGGCGTACGGCCCAGGGCGAGACAGAGGCGGCCAAACGTAAGTAGAGCTTTCCTCCATCGATCCAAAGAGCAGGGATTATAAAGGGCTCTCGAGAGCCGTTCGCTCTGTTTGCCTCTCTCCTGCTGTCTCGCAAGCACCCCGTTGCAACCACTCGAGACTTGCCTCGATCGGCGCCGTGCACCAGGAGTCGTGCTTGCGGACGCTGTCGGCAAAGTGCAAGTGATGCTGGTCGCTTGGCTGCAGGCAGCCTTGCCCGATCGATACGAGACGGTCGTAGCGTAAGCTACTGCGCCTCGCGGCGCGCACCCCGTCAACGTCAACTTTTTCAGCGCGACGTCTTACTTCGCGCTCGCTTCCCTTTCGATGATTTAGGGCACTGCTGAGGCGACGTCCGCCGCAACTCGGCCGCTGCTGCGACAGTTCTGGGCGGGCTACTGCTTGGCGGAGATCTGCCGCCGAGCGGGCATGATCGCTGTGTCGTGCAGAGCCGATCGAGCAGCTGTACGAAAGCATCGTCGCCGCGAAGATGTGCGCCGAGGGAGAGAGGCAGAAAGAGAGAGAGAGAGAGCGAGAGAGAAAGAGAGCGCGCGCGCGCGCGAGGGAGAGCGGGGTCTATCGATCGAGCGGAGGCAAGCACTCAGTTTGCGGCGGCCAGTCGAGTCGGGAGTCCCTGCCACCCCCGCGAGAGCTTCGCTCCGGTTCGACGGCCGCGGTGCTGTCCCGCAGTCCCAGACCAAGATGCAATCGCTAAAGCTCGGCTCGTGCCGCCGGCGCCGGCTCGTGTTTCAGCAGCACGAGCGCTATGCGGTTCAACGAGGTCGTCTGCAACTCCACGTCGCCGATGCACATCCAGCACCGTCACAACAATAAGTAAGTAGCCACAGCCATCGAGTACGAGCAGAGCTGCATCCGCGCGGCCGTGCGCCGCTTGTGTCGATCGATGCGGGCCGACGACGCGCGACGTGCCCTCGCTGCCGCCGTCTGCGCCCGCCGCGAGCGAGCGAGCGATCGATAGCGCGGGCGCAGCGGACCAGCTAGCGATCGTCTGACCGCGAGGTGCCCGGCACCCTTTGCTTCGCAGTCAACCGCCACAGAGGAGCACCTCGGAGCTGATGATCGGCGGGGGCAAGGTCGCCGACGCCCCGACGGTCGCAGCTCAGCAGCAGCACTTCCACGTCGGCCAGGACACCGGCACCTACTCGTCGCTCGCCGTCACTCGCAGCAGCAGGCTCCTCGACTACAGCCTCAACAACAACCTCGACGGTAGCTTCCCCAGCAGCTCGACCGAGAGTCTGGCCGACTACGGGCCGGTCGACGAGGAGGAGGAGTTGGAGGAGGAAGAGGAAGAGGAGGCGGGCTCGGACTGGTCCGAGTACTCGGAGGACGCCAACCTGCCGGCGGGCTGTCGGGGCATCGTCAACCCGAACTATCCGGGCTTCCAGCACCTGGGTCCGTCGCTCCTCTCTGACACCGACGACACCGACGACGAGCTCGAGCTCGAGCTCGAGCGTAAGCCGGCGTCGCTGCGCGACGACGTGTTCAACAACAACAGCGCCGCCGACAAAGACAACCGCTGCCGGCACAGGCCAGTCGGCGACCAGCGCAACAACAACGACGAGCACGCGCTCAACCGCCTCGACGTGCAGACCGAGCAGAGTAAGCACTTCTTCTACGAGAAGTCCAAGTTCAACATCCAGACGGCCAGCACGCTGATGGAGTGCATGAGCTACGTGAAGGGCGTCCACGACACGCTTGCCAGCAAGATCAGCGACGAGGACGTGGAGATAGTGCAGCTGAGCACCAGCGTCAACGAGAGCCTGCAGTTCGCCCAGATCGAGCAGATCGCCACGGACTCGTGCAAGAGCAGCGAAACCGACGAGGTAACGGTCGTCTTACCCGCCCTGTGCCCTTCGTCTCGACACTGCTCCACTGACGTGCCACAGGTCGAGGAGAGCGGCGCGCTGGACGAGCCGCTCGATCTGATCCGCGAGGCGAGCCTGAGTCTCAACAACAACTACGCCAACAACCGCACCAACGGCAGCCAGACCAGCGAGTCCTCGAGACTCTTTTGCAACAGCAAGAACAACGACAACAACAACAGCACCAAGCTGATCAATTACTCGCCCGCCATCTCGACTAATCCCTTCCTGAACAACCCCTTCCTCGAGCCCCTTCCCACCAAAGTGGCGCTGCTCGAAGAGATCGACCTGCTGGCGGACTGTCGCCAGCTGCACCAGTCCACCGGCACCAATCACAACAAACAGCAGCACGACTACCACCATCACCAGCAGCAGCACCAGCACCAGCAGCACCAGCAGCACCAGCAGCAGCTGCTGCCAGACTCGGTGCCCGATGTCGTCGCCGTGGAGGCGGAGCACCTCAAGTGCAGCCAGTCCGACGCGGTCGCGCGCGCGCAGCAACACGCCAGCTTGAAGGACCAGTTCGGGCGCTGCCTCAAGGACGGCACCAAGCAGCAGCGGCGCAAAGCCGAGCTGGATGTCGACTGTTTCGACGTCTACAACATCGAGACGGCGATGCCCAAGATCGACATGGACGCCATCGAGATGCATCTGAAGGCCGTGCTGGTCGAGGAGCGCCGGGTAAGAGAGCTTGCGTCACGCGGCTGCGCTTCTCGCGTCGATCGCGAGCTCGGCTCGTCGAAACGCGACGTCGGGCTTTCTTTCTCAACTCGCTCGCTCGGTCGCTCGGCACTTTCACTCCAGCGCCTAGTTCGGTAATCGCTGGAGAGAAGGATGCTCGGCGCCGCAGGACTCGCTGCCGCCGCAGTCGGCTATGCACGCGCCAGCGAGCGAGCGCCGGCACTACAAGCTGGGCTCGCGTTTCGTCGGCGATCTCTACACTCTGACGTACGACGACGACGAGGCCGAAGAGCCCGCGGACGAGCCCGTGAATGCGCTCCGACTGACTCGAGCGCCGTGCTCGCCGTTGTTGCAGCGCCGCAACGACCGGGAGGAGATCCGCAGGCGACTGGCCATGGGTCCGGAGGCGCAGGCGGAGGAGGCCCGCAGCGAGCAGCGCCGCGTCGGCGGCAAGCCCAGCCTGCAGTCGCGCCTGCAGAGCGGTAAGTTGGTCGCGGCGACGCGGCGCCTCGCGAGGCTAACCAAGCGATGCCGCGTGTTGCGCAGGCATGAACCTGCAGATCTGCTTCATGAACGAGAGCGCCTCGGACTCGGAGTCGCAGGACCGGCCGGAGCTCGCGAGCCCGCAGCAGCCGGCGCGCAGCCGCAGCCCCTCGGCGTCGCGCTGCTCGTCGTCGTCCTGCTCCTCCTCCTCCTCCTCCTCCTGCTCCTCCTCCTCGTCCTCCCCCTCGGTGTCCTCGGGGCCGAGCTCGCCCCGGCGGCACCCGCTGTCGGTGAGCGCCTGTGAGGAGGCCGCGGCACGCGAGCAGCGCGCGCGCCCCGAGGAGCCGGCCACGGGCCCCGCGGACCCCGTGGCGCGCCAGGCCCGGCTGCAGACCGAGGCCCGGCTCGCGCTCGCCCAGGCCAAGGAGATGGCCCACATGCAGATGGAGATCGAGCGCCAGAAGCTCAAGGTCAGCCCCGTCACCGAGATGATGCGCTGCAGTCTGCGCAAGGTGAGTGGCGCCCGCTGACGGGTGAGCGCCGAGCGCACTGACCGCCGCGGCCCTGTCGCAGATCGGCGTGAGCCTGGGCGAGGAGCGGCGCCGCCTCACGCGGGCCCTGCTCACCGAGCTGAACGTCGCCCAGCTGCAGGTGCTGGCCAACGACCTGCACGCCCGCATAGCCACCCTCAACGAGGCTCTGGTCGACGGCCTGCTCATGCGCGACGACCTGCACATGGAGCAGGACTCGATGCTCGTCGACGTCGAGGACCTCACGCGCTACCTGTAAGTCGGCCAGGCCGGCCGCGCCCGCGCGCCACGCTCAATCCCACATCTCTGCCCGCAGAGGCGCCAAGCAGGAGTCCTTCAAGCAGCAGCAGCAGCAGCAGCAGCAGCAGCAGCAGCAGCAGAAGCAGCAGCAGAAGCAGCAGCTCAAGCAGGCGGCCACGGCGAAGACTCCGTCGGCGAGGAAGAGCGCGTTGGCGCGCGCGCACCTATTGCAGCGCAGCCAGGCGACCACGCGCACCACCCTGGCACTGCTCAGAGGGGCTTCGCAGGGCAAACTCGCCTCTCAGGGCCGTCAGCTCGTGGCCAGTCTCGTGAGGAAATAGTACGCGGTGGGCGCCGCCCTCGCCGCCTACGTCTGGCGCAGCGCCGCCGCCGTCGCCGGCCGTGTCGAACTGCCTCCCCGACTGGCCCGCCAGCCTTCGCTCGTCGGACGGTGCTAGACGGCCAGCCCCTCCCTGCCTCGCTCCTGCCCACCCCTCGTTCGTGCCCGTCCGACGACTGCACTGCTGCCCGGCACTTCGTGTACATAGTCGTCCCTTCGACAACACCTGCTGAGCTCCATTGCACTCCGACAACGTCCGTCGTCGATCGCTGCACTGGTTCCATCCGCTAGACTCACTTACCCGCCAACCTAGCAAGCTCGGCTCCAAGCTGTCACTACTCTCCGTTGCGAATCTCGTCAACGCTCGACCATCCTTTCCGACCTCTCCCCCGCCCCTCTTTGCAATAATCGTATGCGTGAAAACCGGATTATCGCAACTGCAGTTCGGCGACAACACCTGTTCCCAGCCGTAATCGTTCGTTGTGTTCCACCATCGCCACCGATAAGAACAAACAATAACACTCAATTTATATCAGAGTGCGAAGGAGTTTGTACCTAAATTAACAGAATTGTTAACTAATATGTATACATTAGTACAATAATTCATCAACTTAGTTATGTACAAAATCAATCTTGATGTTTTGACTACGTAAGTACGTACTGTTTCCTATTTCGCGCGCAGGCTTACATGTTTTTCTATTTAAGCATTGAATGAAAAAACAATAATCAATAACGATCAAGCGATTTCATACGTTCGTATAAATATTTATCGGTCAGCTCTTCTTCGTTTCTTTCTTAATTTTTATTATTGATGTCGTTTCAAATTGTTAGTTACTACTAGGATCCAACCTGCAGCCTAGCTGTCGGAAGTGCGCTTTTAAAGTATTACGTACAAAGCGTCTCACAGCTGCAGTCAACGAATACCGTTCACTTCGAAAAATTTGAAATAAAGACACAAGAGCTCGGCATCGTTATAACAGATCCGCAGTTATTCACTGACAAAGAGAAACGTACAATAGTTCCCAACCCCGTTCCAACGTTCTTAACGTTTTTTCATTACACAATCCAGTCAAACTGTCATTCCTTGTCAAAATAAATCAGCGAGGAATTAGCCCTCTCTTCGTGAATCGCGACGCGTGTTGTGCAAATACCATGAATATTGTAGAACGCGGTGAATGTTATATCATGTAACAAATTTGGTTTGTTAAGGTAAATCTCAGGTTAAGTAGAAGATCTACAGAGAGATACTGATAAATAATAAAATAGCGTATTATCTACAAAATAGTTTAATCGTAATAATTATTATCAATATACAGGCTGTAAATAATTAAACAATAAAATACGCTGTAACAAATTCATCATTCTTATTATTAATCCTTTCGCAAATGCACTTTTTCTCTCAACTCACTTTAAGCGCACATGATAAAAGTTCAACATACATAAAACCATTTTATTGTTATTGGCTTATCTCACATCAAAAACAACTTGACAACCTATCAAGACAGAAGGCACACGGCAGTAAATTGTCCACAACTTTCGTAAATGTTTCTTTTTCTCTATTCATTTATTTATTCTCATTTATTGTGTAATTTACGTTACATTTACGTAATTTGCTCCTTTTTTGTATTTCTCTGTTCTATCCCTTATTTCGTCGAGATAATAGCACCAAACCACCAATAGGCGCTATTGGTTATTTATGAAACTTTTGACAATGTATTACATTTTCACACTCATAGCAAAAGCAATGAAAATCGATTGAATTACAATTTAATTCCAGTAAGACTAATCCTTATCACTGTTGAAAATTATTGTACAAGTGAAATAATTGTTTTCAATTATTTCCTCTCGAGGCACTTTTTCTATGTTTTTATTTTAATCATTGCTATTTTCAATTCAACCAGCAAAATACCCACATTTCATTTCAAAACTTAATAAATCGTTTCAAGATGAAAAACAAACTTAGTGATATTAATAAAAATACAGTACATTTCAATTGGTGCTTGTTTTCAAATGATCTTTACAAAATCGCGCTGTATTTCATATTAATTATTTCATTCGTGTGATAACAATTTTCATCTAACAATAAATTCAATACACGGTACTTATACAGCAATCGACGACAACACAAGTTAATGATAATAATAAATGTACATAATTTTTGTATGTTACATTTCATGATAGAAATGTAAGATAAAACTAAAATTCTATTTTTTTTATCAAAATATGTCATCAATAATTGAATCAAGAATAAATAATGTGTTCTCTAGAAAAAACAAAAAAAAATAAATAAAAAAACTGCCTAATAGTTATGAGTGTAAACCAGTGATTGAAATTTTTATTTTCTAAATCCAACATTTTCATCTTATAAACTTTTTGATTTGCGCACATGTATATTAAAAGTAACAAATGATTCATACCAGTGTTTTTAGAAAAGTAATTATTACAAAATCTTTTTGGTTTCTTTATCGCTAACCCATTAATATCTCCACTTTTATACACTACACATACACTCGACGAGTTTTCCCAAAAATGTATACAATTGAGTAACTAAATAGATAAGTCCACATGGTTTGCTATTATATATTTTATAACCAATATACTGAAAAATGTAATCGATATAACAACATGTAAATGCAATCACAGTATTCAATCAAATATATGAAGTCCAGTCAAATGTTTCAATAAGCAAAAGGAGTACGGTAAAGACAATCAGTATCCAAAAAAAACATGACATATCAATTCAAATATCCTCAAATATAACCATATTATTTTATATAAAAATAAGTTCTGAAAGTAGAACTACGATTAAATAATCGGTTTTGATACACATTTTGCGATGATTTGAATTAACATGGCTGTTCAGTCAGTTGTTGGTATAAAAATTTTGAATGCAACCCCCCTCTCCCTATTCCAACTAATTAGATTTGTTTTTTTTAACAATTATTCATTTCTAATTTATATGAACAGATGCATGTATGCATTTTTATGATGTGCTTCTGAAAGGCCTAGTTGTTTAGTTTTTACAATACTTATTTTATCAAATAAGCCAGTAACGAATTGAAAACAAAACGTCACGTTAAAAGCTGATTTCTTTTTTAATTTGGGGAAATGTAAAACTTTTGATCACGCTTACTGATAATAATGCGGCTTACAATAAGGAAATGTATTTACTACCTTTCTTTCCTTTTATTATTTTATTTACATATTTAAAGGCAATTATATAACTACTAAGCTAACTCCATATTAAAGTTGTTAACATCAAAGCGTAACGGTCTCTAAATTAATTTACATATATATATAAGTTCGCTTTGACCTACAATTCATTGCTTGTTTTCCGTTATCGACTGATTGGTCATTAATTCAATTGTAAAAAATGTATCAAATCTATCTATTCCATAGCTCATACATTACAAATGTTTTTGAAAGACGAAAAAATGCACAAGAATAAAAAATGTTTTGATGTATTTTCATGGATACAAGCACATCTGTACTCGCACAACCTTTAAAACATTAATTAACAGATGCTTGTTAAATTGTAGAAGTGGCACATCATAGATAAAGCATATAGAAAAACGCTGTATGAACTGGAAAATTATACGAAGACGTTATTCGTTATCATCACTCTTTCCAATGATCTGACGTACGTTTGCCAACCAATAAAAGGGAGTGTACTTGTTATAAAAAAAGCTCGTTTTTCTATAGTCATTTGCCCATGCTAGCATTTGCGGGTAATGTTGCTGATCTTTGTTGGGCTGATAAATACGGTTTAAGAGTTGACCTTGTCGATTCTCTGAAAAAAGTAAGACGATGTGTGCTTTTGTTAATGTTTTTTAACTACTTTATCAACGGTTGATACAATTTGCATGTTTCTAGGTAAAAGCAAAACTTTAATAAAATAACTCAATCGCGTAAATGGTTCTATTAATAAAACAAATTGAGAGGTTTAATTGAAAAATATTTGTATGATGATACGATATTATAGTAATTGAATGCATATTTAAAAATTGTAAAACTTTTGATAGTTTTTCAATGGGTTTTCTACTCTAAGCCATGAGATACCACACAATTGCAAAATAAATATAAAAAAACTATTAAGATCTATTTCTTCTGGAGATGCTGCAATGAGCTTCTACGCTACCTTGGTGAAACTCGTTGGCCTGTGCCATCGATATGCGAGTTGGCCTTGTAACCGCACTTTTGGATTCTGCGAGAAAGTCGAGTCACCCAATACTTTTGATCGTCGGGGCTACCTGCAAGTACGAGCAGTTCTCGAGCACTATTGGGATCATAATGAAGCTTACATGGGGCTATAGCATCCTCCTTTTTATCCAAATGTTCTTTGTGCACCTTGATATGACATCCTAAAATATCAAATGTCATTGTTTTTAACGAATAAAAAAATTGATTTATTTAGATTTGCAACATTAAAAAAAATTGTCTCGACACGGATTGAGATAGAAGGTCATTTACAAAGACATCGATCTCACCTAGTGAAGAATTTTATTTTCTTCCATTGACGACCTCCGTCACCAATTCATTAGGGTAACGCAGGTGCTTTATAGGAAGGTTTCTTATATAAATTATGAAAAATCAACGTTACGAGTAGGAATTGAACCGAGGAACCTCAAGCCGCCAGGCGGACTCGCAACCTACTCGGCCAAGACCGTCTCGAGGCCTACTTACGAAACGATGGCTTTTGACAGGTAACGACTACTAGCGCTCTCTATCGTATTAGTTTAGGAGAAATTTGAACTTACGTCGGCATTCTAAAGCAGGAGGCGGTCTGAACATGTGCCACAATTGCTTCGAGCATATTTCACATGTGGTAGGCATGTGAAAAGAAATGGAAATAAATTCATGCCCCTTAACAGGCTGTGTGCCAGGTTTATCACCCAGTTGTGACAATTCAGATCCAGGCAAAGCGTTACCCTCATCGCCTGGCCGTCGGGCTTCACCTTCGCCAGCGTAGAGTAACTGGAAAATTATTTGTGACCAATTAAAAACAAGGTCGTATAACCGAATGCACAAAATTAAAAGAAAATTACCTGAAATATCCTAGGAATATCTTTGGCATCAGCTCGGATCACATCTCCTTGAGTGACAGATCGCACGTGAAAAACTTTACTAAGGTCCAATATCAGAACGGGATCTGCATTTATCTTGTCGTTTTCGCTGTTGTAAAAGATGATCTTTTTTGAGGAAACAACAACATATTGCTTTTTCCAACCATGTCTCTTGATATTTTGCTTGTTAGGCACACTTAGCCATCCTTCTAGCCTCATCACCCCGTGCTCCGAGAGCACAGAGTCCTCGCCGTCATTTTCAATTGACGAGACACTCGCAGTCTCCGAGTTCATTGACGTTATCTTCATTTGTAGCGTCTCTATCTCCGAATCCTTAGAATCTAGCTCCATTTGCAACCTTCTATTGGCGGAATTTTCCTCCACAAGTTGTGCCTAAATACAACCAAGCGATAACAGTGAAGTTATAAACATTCAATTAAGGTAGAAAGTTATTGCACTGAGTGCGCGTTAAAGCTACCTGCAAGTCTTGCAAGTCCTTTTGTAATTTCGACAACAGCTGTCCGTACTTCTCCCTCTCCAGCGTTAATTCTTGTTGCAATCTTCGACAATCTTTCTCTTTCTTCTTGAAATCAGCCGAGGAAGCCTTGTTTTTAGTCTTTCCGCTGACCGAGAAGTCCTTTCTACTGGTGATCTCGGTAAGCTTATTAATGGCCTGATGCTTTAGTAACTGTTCCGTTTTCAGCTTGCTGCTTAGTCTTTCTATCTCGTCAGCGTTGTATTGAACCTTGTTCATCTGCTCTTGCAGCTCTTTCAAACGCTTTGACAGCTCTTCCTTCTCCTGAAATAAAATAAAGATGCCATTCTAGCTCGAGGTCCGTGCCGTTTACCCGGCGAATGGTGGCCTTTTTACCTTGCAGTATTGCTCGCAATTTTTCTTTGCCTCCATCTCACTATCTTTCAAACGATTGATCAGCTGTTCTTTGGCATTGAGATCCTGATGATGCTTAGCCACGCTGTCCTTGTACTCAAGTTCCTTCATAGTGCGCTCCTTCTCAAGATCGGCCACTGTCTCCTCGGCTATTGAGCGAGCAAGCGCCTCGCTGTCGCCACGAGCTAGAGACAACTGCAGCTGATGGACCAAAGAAGTACGTTCTTCTTCCAGCTCCTGTTGAAGTTTTGTCTTCTCGTCGAGCTCCTCGCGAAGCTCCTGGGTTTGCGTTTTGTAAAGCGTCTGAAAACAATATGCGCATTCACTAGTCATTTCAATCAATCACAGACAAAAGTGGGGGATTGATCAAGTGAGACACTGACCGAAAAATATGCCTCAGCCTCCAACTGTTCCTGTAACTCTTTCGTCTGTAGCTGATCGACGTTCCTTTGAGTTTTCAAATGATGCAGTTCTTCCTCAAATTGCCTCTTAGCTTCCCGAAGTTGCGTTACTTCACCGACCAGCTGCTGCTCTCTAGCTCTCAGCCTGCTGGTATCTGAAGATTGTTGCGCCAAGTCAGACTGCAAAATCGAGCGCTTCTGCTGTTCCTGCTCGATCTGCACCTGCAGAGCCTTTACCTTCTCCGCCTCTTGTCTATGCTCGCCTTCTAATTTTTGAAGTCGTTGCTGAATTTGACGGTAGTCTACAGAAAGCATCGATGTTTGGCGTTCTTTTTCTTGAGCCAAAAGCTCGGCTCGTTGTCTTCCATTCTTTTCCTCATTCAGCTTGGCTTGAAGTGCTGCTATCGACCGACAGTAGATAGCATATCAAAGTTAAGACAAAAAATAAACGAACGATATTATTAATTTCTACCTGCTAATACTCTATCCATTCGTCCTGAAGCGTGCAATAATTCATTTTTTTAGTACGAAAGAAAGAGAAGAAGAAAGTATAGAAAAAAAAGAATAGAGGGAGGTAGAGAAGAGATGAGAATAGATGCAAAAGTGAGAATAGAGCGTACCTTTAACGTCTTCCAAGTTGACCTCATCTTTGGAGGATATCCTGGAGCGTTCTGTTTCCTGTCGAGCGACGATAATTTCTTGATTGTATCGAGTCTGTGCAGCTTTGAGCTCGAGCGCGAGACTAGCGGCCTCCTTTTCAAGACCGGATATTCTTTCATTAAGCTGACGATTGTCCAGCATGGTCTTCTCCTCGCGCTCGCGACTGCGCTCGAGTTCATGATGTAGAGCTGTGAGCCGGCTCTCTAACTCCGCGGTCAGTGTCGATGCCTGTGAACGCGAACTCCTCTCTTTCGACAGCTGGCCTTGAAGACTGGCAACCTCCTGCTGGAGTAAGTCCCGCTGGGCCTGTAGCTGCGAGCGCGCGACCTGCAGCTCGTTGGCCATCTGCTCGGCCGTCTGCTTCCCGAGCGTCAACTCAGTTTTCTCTTTACGTAGTCTTGTCGACGTTTCTTTCTCGCGCTCCATCTTAGACTGCATCTCCTTCAGCTGAGCCTCCAGGCTTTGGATCTTTTCCGAGGACTGCTGACTCGAGCTTGCGTCTCTGGCCCGCCTCGTCTGTTCATCCTCGAACTTCTTCTTAAGCTCGGCCAGCAGCGATTCAGCCTTTCTGCGCGTCTCTACCTCTTGCTCGATCCGCCGCTGGGCTTCCTTGCAATTGTGCCTTAGCAACGTCAACTCTTTGTCGGCGCGTGCAGCCTCCTCGCGCAACTCGGCCTCCATCCGTGTCACCGAGTCCAGCTGCGCTACAAGGCACTTCTGCTTCGCCTCCAATAGTTCCACAGCCTTTTTCTCTTTATCCAGTAGGCACTCCAACTGACACTCGACCTTGACATCGTCACCACCGCTCGTGCAACCATTATTTACGTGATTCTCCAATCCGTCCACAGCCTCCCTTCCTACTTTATACGATTAAGTTTAGTTTGCAACCGATGCCGATTCAGTAGATGCGTTTGTGCGGACAAATCATACTTACTGTTGGCTATCAGATGATAATCACTCGAGTAGGTAAAGCCAATGAAGGGCAAGTGATTTCCCGAGAAGGCTTTCGGAATGGGGAAGTTCTCTTCAGGGCCATCCTCTTTTTCTACGTCGTCGAAATTACTGGTGTCGTCATCGCCCGACAGTTCGGGCACCACCGGCGGGACACTCTCTCGCAAATTTTCAAAAGTCCACTGGTCGTTCTTAAAAAACGCGTGGCTCTTGATCTCTTCTACGCCATTTCTTCCCAGGCGCTGTTGCCTGTCGGTCAGGAATCCGCAGATCAGGCTTTTGGCCGAAGGCGAGATATCAACCTCCTGAGGGAAGTGCAGTGAGTTTCGGAAGTCCATTATTTTCGAGTAAGTGCCGACGAGCGAGTCTGCATAGAATGGGGTATCGCCGACAAGCATTTCATAGAGAAAGACTCCGACTGACCACCAGTCGCACTCGCGGCCGTACTCTCCCTCTCCGCCTTGCGATTGTAGAACTTCCGGGGATATGTAGTCCGGTGTACCGACCGCTGTGTCGGATCGAACAAGACCGTCCTGTAACGTAGCATTACAACGAATACTTATAACCAAAGAACGATCGCTCATGAACAAATTAAATGTGAACTTACGCTGTCCATTCTCATGCATGTGCCGAAGTCGGCTAATTTCAAGTGGCCGTGTTTGTCCAGGAGCATATTATCGGGCTTCACGTCGCGATGAACGAATCCCATATTGTGTATTGCATCCAGCGCGAGTACCACTTCTGCACAGTAAAACTTTGCCCACTTTTCAGGCACATCATACTGTGACATAAGATTCACTAAATCTCCGCCAGGCATATAATCCATCACCATGTAAAGATACTTTTGATCTTGAAATGCAAAATGCAATTGAACTATCCACTCAGAATTGGCATGAGCCATGATATCTCGTTCTTCCCAGAAAAACGCTGAATCTGACCTTTTAATCTGAAAATAACACGGCAAATTAGCTAATTATTGCATGATTTGTGTGCAGTAAAGCTTGATTGATAATCTCTTACCATTTCAAATTTGCTCAATAATTTCATGGCATATACTTTTTGTGTTGATTTATGTCTCACCAATTGTACTTCACCAAAAGCTCCTCTACCAATAACTTTAATAAGAGTGAAATCATCTGGGCGCATGCGCATCTTACAAATATCTTGGGCAATGGAATCATCTGAATAAATTACATTGGTTAATTGCTTTTCAAAGATACCAGTTAATGATGTGTAGCTGTCAATTATGTCATTTGTATAAAATAAACTCACATCTATTCATATAGGCTTCGATATTTTTCATTCTTTTGACACTAGGGTGATCACAGTCAGACACCAGAGCCTGTACAGTATCCAATAGGCAATCAATATTTGTTATGCTACGAGGATCCCTGATACGCTCTTCAAGAGCTCGCAGGCGCCTACGCCTATCTTCATCCCTAATGATTTCCATCTTTACAATTTATCAGCTACCCTTGTATTGCTTTGCCTCTACTCTGTGTAAAAAGTATAATTGTATCAACTTTAGTGGTAAATAATTTTCACTTCTAATGTTTGGTTATACCGTGAATTATTCAGATTAAGTTGAATAGCTAACCCTATTTTCCTTTATATGTGCTTTATTTTTTAGATCTTACAAGGGATAGACACTGGATAAATAAGCTCTTAATGAAAATAATTAATTAATTAATTAAAAAGTTCTACAAAAACATTCACTCTAAATAACAAACTCTAAAAATTATTATTGATTTGCAAAAGGCAACTGTTGAAATTAAAAATAGTTCATCTGTGGATTAGTTATTTAAGAAATGCAAAAGCAAAAACTATTTGCTTGTAACATAGAAAACCAGAAGATATTCATTGCTGGAGTATTTGGTCAATGTTGACTAAATAATATTGGCAATGAGGAAAAGTATGCAGAGTTTAAAATAAAGACAAGAACTCCTGTGTCTTGCATGAAATTTCTTTCTCTTCTCTATATGAATCATTTGCAAAGCTGATAGTTGGAGGCAGTGGCAGAGCTTGTTTATACTTGGCAAATGACTTTGTTCTCGCGAGTGATTGAGCAAGACCAACTAAACAGCTGAAATAACAGGTTGGAAGCGATGGAACTGCTGGCGGAGAAGCAAGTAAACAATAAAGTAGGAAAATCAGCGTAAGACGAGATGAGCGGGTAACGTATTTCGCGAATGGAAGAGGGCACAGCTAATAGTTGGAGGTCACTTAATAGGTAGGTGATATTATGTATGTAGCTGCGTACATACATAAAGAGAGCGCGCTGGCCTGGGCGAGGCTAGATAAGTTAGTGCTGTCGCTCGAGCAAGTGAAGCATCGTTGAAGTTGCAGGTGCAGCGCCGGAACGCATTATCTCCGAACTGCCGCAGGAGAACTGGTGTATACGCCGAGTATACTTGCGCGAAACCGCGAGACAGCAATGAGAGGCTGCGCACAGCTCAAGCACGTAAAAACCGCGTCTCCGTTGACCGTTTACCGCCGGTATATACTTATAGTTCGATAGGTGCTCGACTGCAAGTTGGCAGTTGCGAATTGCGATGGTTGCTACTCGCGTACTTACTTGGTCTACTGGTAAGGGCTGGTCAAAGTCAACGGCGGCCAGTTAAGCGCTCAGGCATTATCACGGCAACTGCGGGCAGCTGGCCAGATGCCCGTGTTACTCTCGGGACATCCTGGTCGCAGACATACGCACACGCACTGCTCTGTTGTTGGCTCACTTTATTTATTTTCTCCACGCTCCGCTACTCTGGCTGCGCGAATTGGCGCCTTGGCGGCGGCGTTACTGCGGCTGTTCTGGCTGCAGACTGACTCTACTCTCTCAAACGCGGTTCGTGTCGCAGACAAAGCGCGTGTCAAGACGATACATAATTATCTACTCATACGTGTGCGATAGCCATAGTACACTTTAACCGTTGCTCGTAGCGCGTTACAACAACCGTTTGCAACTCACAACTATAAGGAGCGCACTCCACAGCTGAGCCGTGGCTGCGCCATTTACAAAATCATCGGCTCTCTTTTCGGAAGGGGCTTGCTTCTTCCTACACACTAGGTGGCGCTTACATGGCCTTTTTCATAGAGCCGAGCTTTGCTAGTACCGTTCGGTTTTCGCGGTATCCACTTATGTGAATGCTTACAATTCAATACTTCAATAACGTTTTTCCAGAATATCTGTAATGAATACAATAAACAAATGCGATTTGCATTTAACTCAAATTTAATTTACTGTAGATTATAATCTATGTTTACCAAAAGGTTGGAGAACACAACAGCACGTTCAATATGAAACACAGCAAAACTATTTATTTTATGTGCAAAATTGCTCTTTCTAATTTTTCTGTACTCTGTTATTTTTTAACAGTTACACAATTCGTAACTCGATTACACATCAAATCTTTCGTTGGAAGAATTATTACATCGCAATGGATATATAATGAGCAAAATTGATGTTTGATTACTTATCAGTGCTCCTCTTCTAATTTTAATAGCTAAACAGATTGAACAGGGATAAAATAAAAAAAGTTTTTATACAGTTTATCACCTCTTCGTGTAATTTGAAAATTTATAGTTTCGCGCGTTTTTACGGCGCTATCATCGCTGTAATGTAGTAGTAGTGCTAAGTGCATGCTGATTATTAGTGATTATTGCATCTTTCTGTGTATTTCTTTCCATGTTCATTGTCTATAATAAATAGAAGAAAGACATTTAAAATAGACAACTGTCTCCGTGATTTTTGAATAATTGTTATTGTAATTATACACACACATACATATATATATATATATATATATATATATATATATATATAATTACATCATATATATATATATGATATCGCATATATATATATATATATATATATATATATATATATATATATATATATATATATATATATATATAATCTAAAATCGCAAGTTGTAACTATACGTTAGTTGTGTTATTACATGATTGGGTTAATTGTGACAGAGGTTGTGACTTTGTAATGTGAATGTGATTGATGCGCGGGCACGTTTAGACTACGACTACGACGAATTCTACAATTAACAATCTTAGCGGAAAAGTTTCTGTCATTGTAAATAGCAGAAAATTTTCGTGCTTAATAAACGTCTATCCATGTTCTAGAGTAACGTAAAGGAAATTTTAAAAAACAAACAAGACTAATGGATTTTGAAAGCCCCGACGTTGAGAAAGAATTTCCAGGACTTTATGCCTCGGATGCTGCCAAGAAAAGCGAAAGTGACTGTTAGTTTCACTCATTTTTCATTCTCTTTTTAAATACTTTTAACAATTCTGACTAAACTTATAATTATTAGTTTCATTAGGTTAGGTTTGATTAAAGAACGATTCCCCCCTTTTCCACTGTATATTTCTCATCATTTACAGTATATATTGTATTAACAAAATGCATGGTAAATTTTTTTTTTAATTATTACAGCTTATTCTTTATGTTGATTGTTGCTATTACGTGTTTCACTTGCTTTACTAACTAATTACTCTATTTAAGTCTCAATCAAATAACAGTATTTTAACATTATTTTATCGATATTTATATTTACAGTTAGTGATGATGGAGCACATGATAAACATTCAAAAAAAGAATTATTAGGTAGCAGCAAAAAAAAGGATAAGAAAGATAAGAAAGATAGAGGGTATGCAACATTGGAAGGAGAGAGCTCAGCAGATGAAGAAGAAACAAAGCAAGTATTTGTTTTTTAATATACAAGCCTCAATAGACAACAAAAATAAATTATAAAGCCTTAATTGAATTTCTTATTGTAAGCAGTTTTATTTATAAATGTTTTTTTCTTTCAAATCTATGTCCAGAAGTCCTTCAAAATCCAAATCCAAAACAAAGACTTTCAAATTTCCTAGTAAAAGTAGAGAAAAGAGAGAAAAATCTAGAGAAAAAGATGTTAAAGAGAAAGACTCTGATAAAGATAAGAAAAAGAAGGATAAGGAAACAGATAAAGAGATTGACAAAGAAAAGCGTAAAGAGAAAGACAGAGTGAAACAAAAGTATAAAGATCGTAAAAAAGCCAAACATGGTGATGACGCTGCTGATATTGGAGGTAAATATAACTAAATATCGAAGAAAACTTATTTTCTAAACAAATGGTATTTTTGTATTAAAGAAGAGGAGCCAATTTTTGGAGTGAGTTTGAATTTAGCTGTTGAAAGAAGTCGTTGTCACGATGGCACAGAATTGCCTCTTGTTGTTAGAGATTGTATAGATTATTTGGAAGAATATGGTATGTCTACAGAAGGATTGTACAAAATACCTGGAAATAAGTCTAAAGTGCAACATTTAAAAAAACTATACAATCAACGAGAAACCATAAATATGTCAGAGTTTGAACCAACAGTTGCAACTAGTTTATTGCTACTTTTCATCAAGTGAGTCGTTATTTTGTTGAGTATGACAGTAACAAATTTGAATAACTAATATTTATCATTCTTAAAATTTCAGAGAATTACCTGAACCAGTTTTAGAAAGTAGCGAATTGATATCTCGATTTGAACAAGCAGCATCAACAAAAGAACTTGCTCAGAGGGAATGTCAACTTGCAGAATTAGCTAGTCAACAATTGGCTGAATGTAACAGGGTACTTTTAGCCTGGATTACGTTACATTTAGATCATGTGACTGCCTGTGTAAGTTTTGTTTATTTTGGAATGTAACAATAGACAGATCAAAGAAATACTTCTGGGAATAATAATAATTATCATTTATCAAATAGGAAAAAACAACGAAAATGAACGCACAAACTGTTGCAATGACTCTAAGCCCAGCATTACAGATGAGCCACAGGCTTTTATTAGCTTTACTGTTCCACTGTAAAGCCTTATTCCCGAGAGTGCGCCTGACAAAGTACATTCCACCGCTACCAACTGGTAGCACTAATTTGCCAGAAACGGCTCAAGGCATAGCCGCGGAATTGTCAAAGCAAGAATCTCTTCTGGCACAGATTCATATGCTTATGAACGCGGGTTATGTCAATAAATCTCGCGAAGAACAATTATGGGAGGTGCAACGAATGATCACGCAATTGAAGGTAAGACTTTGACAATTTTATTAGTAAACTCGTTTATATCCGTACTATCGAGTATAATGCGACCAGGAAACATTTTAGAGAAAGTACAAATCAGTTCAAAAGCTGGAAGGTTCGACACAGAAGAGTTTAGACGAGGATGCAATCAAACAGCAGCAGCAGCACGAAGAAAGTAAATCAAACTCATCCGACAATCAGTCAAAGATAGTAGCGAGCTCCGAAGACGACAACGATCGTCTGAAAGTATCTGACGTTCCGAGAAATGATGCGAATCGCAGAAGAAGATCCGCTGAAGGTGCTATTCACCCAGCAGTGACGCCGTCGGAGACAGATGCAAAATTATCGGTAGATAACGTCGATAGTAAGACCGAGGTACCATTAAATTTGACGTCGGATAAAGTTACTGAAGAAGAAGGTAAACGCGGCATATATGTACACCAAGCGGTCTACAGAACGAGTAGGATAAATATTTGTCCAAATGTTTCAGCTGGAATATTACAAAAGCCAGCAAAAGCGGAGGAACCAGCCGAGAACGAAGTGGATAGGCTGCGCGAAAGACTGATACACGAGGAGCTACTAAACATGCAAGCTTTGTTAAAAACTCGTATATCTCAGGAGCGACACGAGATTGAAAGACTGCACGAGCTATTGGCGGAACGCATTGGCTCGGGAAACGCGAAGCTGCCGAGCGTTGACCGAACTCATAGTCCTAGCGAGGCCGAGATGACGGCTATGATTCAGTTGGTTAATGAAAATCAGTTATTGGAGGTAAACTGAATACATCCAATTTTTCACACACACGATGTAACCTTGTTGCTCTGATTTCGCGCCTTTCAGAAGAAAATGACTACTCTGATTCGCAGCATCGTTGAGGAAAAAGACACGTGCGTAGAGCTGAGAGTGCAGTTAGCTCTGCGCCACCAGCTGATAGCAGCCGAAAAGAACAACGTCGTTAAGCAGCTGTAACTTCGATTAATTATTTATATATGATTTCTCCTTCGCTTTATCTGTTCAATGACTAGCAATTTTGCTAAAGTACGTCAGCTTCAACTCGAACTTTATGTCAGATGTACACGCGCGCAATGTTACTCCAAATTTATATATTTGCTCACGATTGATTCGCAGTAGCTGTAACAGAAACAAACTTTAATTAAATGTTTGTCAGGATCGTTCGCTCGAATATGAGAACTTGAACTTACTGAACTGTTTATACTCTTGAGGAAGATTGTTAACTTCATATTTTTTCTTAAGTAAAGTCAAAGGCGCTAGAGTATGGTATTGAAATCCTGAGACGCATCAGTCCACTAGTTTTATTAAAGTTATCAATCGGACTTGAATAAATCAAGACGAAATGAATATTGTAAATAAATATTTTCACAAAAACTAACAAGTTCGAGCTTTATTGAATGAATTATTGTTAAGAGTTTTAGCTGACGGGAATTAATATTTTGATGATTATAGAATACCAAGTTCGTGAAGTAAGATTTGTGCGTATTGAAAGACCTTCATTTTCTTTGGCGTTACATACCCTTACACTTTACATGCAAAAGTATGTGTGTGTATGTGCGTGAGCGCGCGCGCGCGCGCGTGTGTGTGTGTGTGTGTGTGTGTGTGTGTGTGTGTGTGTGTGTGTGTGTGTGTGTGACATGAGCTTTTTATTGTCGGAAGGAGCAGCACGCGAATTGGCGAGAATGAATGCATACCAGTCTTTTACTACTGCTACATAAGTGTCCATCAGCGAGGACTGCTACTCCAGAGCGTGCCGCACAAGCGGCGATCGGTTCATTTCGAGGGAGAGCAGTTTGTGGCGCGATCGACTCACATGCTTTCCCGTGCCGGCTGCATTCAGGTACCGTTTAACCCTACTCGCAAAGGGGCTCGTTGAGCGGTCAAAGCTTTTCTGCCTTGGTCTTATATTCGAGCTCAATTCGCTCCCAGCACTTGGATAGTCTCTTTCTCTCTCGACTCACCGAATATTTTGATCATCGACGCAGCAACGTTTACCACAAGTACGCGTCATCATCTTGCAAAGCATTATTTCCGCTGTGAAGCAATTGATAGATTTGACGATCATCGACAGATCAGGTATGATACTAGAGGCCGAGGACCTTCAGCGATGTCGACATTTGTAATGAATACAAGCTTGCCGTCTTGGTGCCTCGTTACCACTTACCAATGTTATCGCAATTGGCCCATCGCTTTTTCAGACTCCAGCAGCTAGACAGCGCCTGGGCATGATATCGTTACTTTGTCGAAACGATGCATTGATAGGGCCACACGTTAGATCGTAAACTCGTAGTCGAGGCTATGTTTTGTGGCAGCGATTTTGTCTACAGCTCTGGCCAGTCCCCCTGAATGCGACCCGCCGCCAATTCTGTCTCGCAATTACGTTTCGCTACCTAGTGTGACATTATTTGCTTGTCACCGCAATTTACTTAACTCAATGTTATTATTCTTAAGCGAACGTAGTTTAATTATATTTATTGCAATTGCACGTCTTGACCAATATAGCCTTATGTCATATTACTAATCATTAAACTTATTTCCATTTCTTTTATTTCTTTACAATAACTAGCTTAAGCACTCATCGATGGATAATTTATATAAATTTTAATAAATTCTCTAAATAGATTCAACGGAACTTTACTCATTTTAGTAGCTCCCAGCAAGCAGATATTAATCATGATTTTTATTCACTAATGCTTAGAAAAAATCATACACAACTCCAATTATTATTTAATAAAATGTTCATTTATTATACAATTTCTTTATGCAACGATCAATTGACCGTTACTATTTGCAAGTTACTCCCACAAATCATCTCATTCGCCTCTTTATTCTTATCTATCAACACTTTTGATACATAAGTCCAATCCTAATATGACAACCTCATATACTAAAATACATATATTGGCGCTTCCTCTCTAAAACTGTAAATAATTTCATCTTAAACTCAATCTTCTCGATCTTCGTCTTAAACTTATTCCTTTTCGCTATTCAACTTTTCGCGCCCAGTAATACTTTTGCTGCTGGCTCATGTTTATCTACTCGATATGTTCTTCATTTTCTTTCCTTCATAAGTACGAAATCTAATATTTAACAATTTTTCCTGCATCGAAAAACTTTTATCTAGTTACAAAAGTTATTCTTTTGCTTGCTAAATTTTACATTTATGTAACAAAAATTTCATTGCTGCACCTTCATATTGGCGCCTTAATCGCCCAATAATTATCATTTTGAGTATAGTTTATAATGATACAATATAACTTGTAGGTATTTCATATGAAAAATTATCGCATCCATTATTTTTTTACAGAAATTGTAAGCTTCTAAATAGTATACATCTATAGAATAAGATTTCACTAAATTGAATGGCTTGAAAGCCCTTTAAACATAAACTTAAACATATTAAACATATATCAAATTACAAAATCCACTTTATGGATATTTAATTTTAAATTAATATTTTCTTTAAATCAATATAATTAAACATTTATCAAAAATAACTCGATTTATATCGTAGATCCAAGACATTACTACATTTAACTTGTTTTTCAATAGAAAGTCGTTTTTGTAATTGTTTGACTAAATTAGTCAACATAACAAGTGACTCTCAGAAAGACAAAAACATTAAAAACAGGTTAAAACACTGTATTAAAAACTTTTTATAAAACATCTATAAGCGTCGTTTGATCTGAACGCGTGACAGTAACAAGTATCAAAAACAAAAAATAGTCTCAACGCCAATACTTTTGAATATATAAGATCACATTCATTGCTAAACAACATATTCAATACCAGTGACAATCATGCCATGATAAGAATTTTAAATGAATCGAAGCAAAGGAAATTGTGTCTTACGTTATTCAAAAAACGTTATATTTAGTTTAACGAAGTGTAAATCGCTATGGATAGTAAACAAAATTGCAGTTTCTATAAGAACAAGGCGAAATGAAAGCTTATCAAAGCATCACTATTGCAAAATATTGTCCGATGAGCACTAACGACGATAATAAGCGGTTGGAGAAATAAATGAATTGTGCTACCGCAATGCCCAGTTTGATAGTGAGCAAACGAGCAAGCAGTAGTACAAACGCTAAACCTCAAGATGGCAGAACGTCGAGCTCGAGTACGTTTTGGGTAGGATTGGTCTTGTCGTCGCGTAACGGTCGGCAGTTGGAGTCGTTGGCGAATATTCTTTCCTCGCTGGCCATCGCGCAGACCGCAGCCGAGTGTCTCGGCAGAGTGGCAATCGGATTGATCTCCTTGATTCGTTTGACTTTATCGTCGTGTGCGATGTCTCTAGCCGATTCCGAATTCAGTCTTGGCTTGCCTGTACGATTATTGGTGACTCCTTGGGAAACGCCTGCGGTGACGTTTCGCTTAACGCAACCGCCACGACACGTCTCATCATAATAGTTGAGCACCGTCTGCATGGACACGGTGTTACGGCGCTCGTCGCACAAAGAGCGAGGATTCAGAGGCACCTCACGAGTCGAACCACCAAAGCGCTCGTTATTAAAGGGCAGCAAACAGTCCGGAGGCAAGGAAGGTGCCGGACTGGGGCTACCGGCTTGCTGGCTGTGGGAACGCTGCCGCGCAACGCTGCACTCTGATGGTAGGCTCTCGGTCACTCGCTTCTCGATCTTGATCTCTGTTACCTGCAAATCAGTGAATAGAAAAAAAAACATTATCAAACGACAAAGTGATGGCGGGTCGTGGGACCAAGAGGCCAACGAACCTGATGACTCTGGCGTATGAGAATGTCAGGCGCAGCCTCGGGCATCGGCTCCTGCGAGAGCGGTGGCCATTCGCCGTTAGCGCCCATGTCTCGTTCGTGCAGTAGGAACTTTCTGCGCGATTTCTCGACGTTGTGCATCTTCTTTCTCAGTTTGATGAACACCAAGTAGTCAATGACCAAATACTCGACGAGCATTGCCACCAGAAAGTTGGCCAAACCGTAAGCCAACAACATATATCTGAAATTGCGGTCCTCGGGTATTTCCAGCTCGAACCAGTCGACCAGCCAGTCAAACGGCCCGACGGACAGGTACACGGAGAAGGCGCTGAGCAAAATGAAGGAGGCTGTCGAGAAAAAGAGAGAGAGAGAGCGAATGAGATCGAGTTGTAAAGGCTGCAGTGCCAGCGAACTTACACAACAGGCCATAGTTGGTCCAAATAGCTTTGCGGTAAGGACGACCTTTCGAGAAGACTATTGCGAGAATAATGTACTGGATGGAGCTGACAATGAACACAGTATAGTTCTCGGTGCAGCGCACGTCATCCTTGTCTAGTGTGACGTTAAGGCTGCCAAACGGCACAAACCAACTCATCTGGCGTAGAGTCCATAGGCTTAAGTACTGGAACACGCAGACAATAAGAATCTGCGCGAAGAGGCTGAGCACCGGCGTGAGACTGATCAGGCTGGTGAGTGGAGGCATCTTATTGAGCGGACCCTGGTAGGCCTCGGTCTTGCCGAAGAAAAAGGCGAATATCGAGATGATGAAGAGGTCAATGTAGAGGAACTCAATGTCGGTCAGGTTGGATTCGATGCTGTAGAGCAACATCACCGAGATGAACTGCGTTAGGGAGTAACCCGCCATGTACTTAAAGATGCCGAAAGACGTAACGAGGGCCGCGCGACCCTCCCGAATAACTGTTAACACACAGGAGATGTTGGTCTCGCGGCTGGTGAAGGGCGAGGCAACCGATGACTCCGTGTCCGACAGGGAGATGCCTGTGTGCGCGGCCTTCAGCGCTCCACAGTCGTTCGCCCCATCACCCACCATTGCTATCAAAGAGAGTATTTATCATCAGTGCTCAATTCGATGGACTGGCAGACGCGGCGTCGCGGCGAATGACTTACCCACGTAATAGCCAAGAGCCTGCAACTCCTGTACCAGCTGTTGCTTCTGGTCGGGCGACATCCTGGCGAAAATGGTTCCCCGTGTGGTTATCTTGGGGATGAGCTCCGGGTAGTGCTGCTTAACGAGGGCCCATGTCTTTCCGGTCAGCGAGAACGCGTAGTCATTGCGCCTGCCACGGGCCTTGCCCGAACAACAGCGCTCGATCCTGAAAGGCCGAGGAACCGATTAGAGAACTCGAGGACTTGTGCTAGCGACCATGGCCAACAGCCGCACTTACTCGTCGGATAGGTAGTTGAGTGCGGAGTCCTGCCTGGAAACCCCGCCACTCTCCATGGTGTCCAAGCTGACGATGCTGTTGATATCGGTAATCTCACTGAGATCACCCTCGCAAGGCCCGCTGGCGGCGATCGGTGACGACTGGCTCTGATTGCTGTGGCCGGTGTCGCTGCGGGTGAAATACAGCTGCGGCTTCACCTGGTTTTGCTGCGTAACCACCGTGACCGTGACCACTGGCAGGCCCGGTTTCACGATATCACAGTCGCGAGCTACCGACAGAGCCGTGAGCATATTGTCGCCAGTGACCATGACCACCTTGATGGCTGCATCATTGAGTGCGCCGATCACTGGCGTGGTCTCAGGTTTCAGCCGGTTCTCCAAGATGACGAACGCCAGGAAGTCCAGGTCCGCCTCAGCGACCTCACGAGTGATGCGCTGTACCTTGGCGTAGGCTAGGCGCTGCAGGGACTTGTGCGCTAGAGCTATTACACGGTAACCTTCCGAAGTGTACTCCTGCAGGACGCTGTTGAAATCGTGCGGCACTGCGAGCAGACGAGCGCACGAGAGTGGGTTAAAGAGAGTCAGACGGGTCTCGCCGGCCTCATTGCGCTGTGGCTCACCTGACTCCGGCTTCGACAGGCTCAGGATCATCTCGGGACTGCCTTTGCAGTAGAGGTCATAGTGGTCGGCGCCCAGAGTCCTCGTGATGACGCTCATGCGCTGCAAGCTTGAGGTGAAAGGGAACTGGCGCACGATACCGACCTCGACGCCACCGCGAGCTTGCTCAGTCAACTGTTGGTCGTCCAGCGCGGCAGCAGGACCTGCGGCCTGGGCTTGTGCGGCAGGCCTCACGATCGTCGGGAAAAGCATCGAGAATTTGGAGGTGTCCGAAACGTTGGGTTCCTCAAGGATCCATCCAGTCGACTCAAACATCTTCAGATCCAGGGGGTCGCCGATCAGCTGGCCGTCAATAATGGTGATCGAGTGGCAGCTGACCATGCCGATAAGCACCTCACCGAGGGATAAGCTGCTGATATCCTTCACGGGTACCTGATATGGCATTTCACAGAGTGCTACTTAGTCTTTGTACGAGCAGACAAATTTTACACAGAAAACGCATGGATTAACGAGCCAACCAAGGTGGTGTCAAAGCCTCTGAACGTGGTATTGAGATGATCGAATTGTAGGGAGGAGCTCGATGAGCAAAGTTAACTGAACTTTACAGGACTTTCTTAATAAAGACGAGTTTACTACGAAAAGTTAGGAACTGTTTAAAGTGTTAAGTCATTTATTCGCTGTATATGCAATTTCAAATGTTTGGATTCAGTACTGTCCAACCACATATATTGAAAAAACTTGCGTTCGTTGCGATTACGTACGATTATGCTTTGCTCTTCACGAGTTACTGATATTTAAAAAAATTATATATGACAGATTATAGTTAGATTCAGTTATAGTTAGATCAGCTCATTATTAGCAAGGCTATTACTAACAATTAAAAAAGGGTCAAGTTTAATAAAGAATAAGAAAAAAAGGTACATGCAAAGTTTGAAGCAATTGAACAGTTTACCTGGAACTTGTTGGATCCGACCGTGACGACTCCCCACATGTCGAGGCCGTCCTCCGTGAGGGTGCCCGTCTTGTCAAAGCACACGCAGTCGATAGAGCCTGACACGTTGATGGCCCGGGGACTGGTACAGTAGATCTTGTGCTTCTGCAGGCGACTCTGGGCGACCAGCCGTCCAACGGTCATGGCGGCTGGAAGTGCAGGCGGCACGACAATGGTGATGAGGTCAAGGGCCTCGAGAACGATATGGCCAGCGGGCACGCCACGCAGTGCCTTTGTAATCACGGTGTAAATAACACCTACGCTGGCGATACAGGCTAGCAGTTCGACGAACTTGTACGAATCCTGTTCGAACTTGAAATCGACGGGGGGCGGGTACATGATGGAGCGCACGAGGCCACCCTTGCTGGTGTTGAAACCGGTGCGCACCACGACCGCGAGAACCTTCTCGGTACCGTAGTAGCGCGTCTGTAGGACCTTGGTGCCGCAAAAGAGGGTGTGACGGGCGTGCTCCTTGCTGTCGTAGGTCGCGTCGCCGGTGGCGGGTGGGGTCTTGGTTACCGGCACCGACTCGCCTGTCAGCATCGATTCGTTCAGAATGCAGTTGCCCGTCAACAGCACCGCGTCACATGGCATCACACAGCCGTGCGACGGGATCACAAGGACATCACCGGGCACCAGACACTTAGCCGGTACTGTAGCCGTGGCACCGCTACTGCGGTCGCGCAGCACGTTAACCACGTCCGACGATGATACGGTCGAGCGCAGGCTACGTTGATTCTACATTAGGCAAAAGCAAAATCGCTCGATTAGTACTGTCTCGTGGTATCAAAACTTATCGACCAACCTACCCGACGAGTCTGCAGCACGGCCATCACAATTCCACAGGCCGACATACTTAGGATGACCATCGCGTAGTAGACGTAGTCATCGGAGATCCACAGACAAAAACTGAATAGCTGGAAGACGTAGAAGGGATTGAGCACCTCGAGACCGAGGAGCGTGAAAAAGCCCTTGACGGGTACGACGATCTCGTTGTTGCCATAAACGCCACGGCGCATACACTGCTGCGCCAGACTCAGTCCAGCCATCTGATGCAGTGTCGAAATGAGCACTCCCGTGTCGAGGCCTCGTAGCTTCAAGTACTCGCACCTATCCGCGTCCCAGATATAGGTAAGCTTCTTGCAGACAAATGTGTGAATCAAGTGCGCCTCTGTAAACAAGGCATGTTTCCGGTTAGTTGCTCTCCGCGCTACCACGCTCCATGCGCACTCACCTTTAAAATGGCCACCAGACAGGTGGAACGACAGCGGCATCGGAGCTTCCTCTACGCCCAGCTCGCTTGCAGCGCTCTGCCACGCTCCCGTTCGCGAGTCCTTCGATTTAGCTACCGTTTCCTCTTCTTGCTCCGTCTCCCCATCCCTTTCTGTCTTCTCCTCTGTGTAGTCCTGGCAATTTTTCCTACATCAAGGGAAAAACTCATTAATTTTCGTAGGTAGATATTAAACTGTACTATTAAACGGTAACGTCGAATAATACTTACCACACTTCTTGGGCAGACACAGTTTTGATTCTTTTCACGTGATAGATCGTGTGCTTTCCCTGGAATTTCTCCAATAGCAGGACAGTCTCGGCCTGCTCTAAGGAACATCTAGAATGGGTGGCTAGTAGCATAAGATGTGGCACCCAATGAAAGACAAGTCTTAAAAGTCCACCTGAGATTATTATCAGGAACCATGTTGCGGCAGTGTAAGCTGTATTTCTTCTATATCTGCAATTTGTCAAATTAACAACACATAATAGCCTACTTATTTATTCATTTATTCATCTTTTACCAAGCTTACCCATAAATTTCCATTTGATCTTCCTCACCAGGATTAACATAATCCACACCATTTTTCAAGTGAAGGAGTCCATTACCTCTAGTTCCTGAAAATCACAATTGAAAAGCTTGTCAATGAATAAATAAACATAAATAGGTAACTTATATCTGCTAGAAAGACATTACAAGCTGCACAAATACATGATTTCGATAGATTAGCGACGGGACTAATTGATTTATGATAAACAAATTAATATCGGTGATTTTAGTTCCTTTCTTACCCTCAAGTAATTCAGTTTTTTGCTCTTGCTGCTGTTCTACATTCTCGTTGTTTGGTCTTGTACCAAAAACACTATAACTGTTTTTGTTAAAATTCAAGGAGAGCTTATTTGGTGTTGCTGGCATTTTTGAGCTTTGACTTTAATGGCTACTTAAGTAATTGTTACGTATAGAAATATATGTACACAGATATGTTTATATGTACATAAAGATAAACATGAACTAATAACAGCGCTATAAATGTACAATCTTTGGTTTCAATTCTTAAATTGTAACTTTCATTATAAATATATATATATTATATAGATATATATACATATATATGTATGTCACTACCAAAGTCCTATAAATGTAAGACAAATGCTAAGTAGTATTGAATCTATAGACAGGAACTCAAAAAATGTAAACGCTTCTGCTACCGACACCAATCAAGTAACATCTTGAAATCTCTCCCTGGGAGTCTTGCAATTATTGATGTATAATTACAGCTCTGCATTTAATAAGGAAGCCAGTGCTATCGTTTGAAATTTTTTGAAGAGAAACTGGTGTTGTGTCAGTCACCAGGATCAGCCAATTTCCTCCAACCAAAGCGTGCATCAACAAAAGATTGCTCAAATTCACACATTGCAGACCGTAATTTCTGTGTTTGAGATTCTTCAAATCCACACAAGATAATTTGTTGGTCAAACAGGAAGACGTTCTGTACGGAAAGGTGAGTAGCTGTACAGAAATATAAAAATTTAATACTCATGTGATCGTTCTGTCAATGATTGTTTTCAATTGTACACAAGTTTGCGAAGAAAGATAATTTTGAAATGAGTGATAATAGAAGAACAAGAGTGTGCTAGTACTTAAACTTGTGTCTAATTTGAAAATTTTATCACAAAACAAAGATCAGTACCTTTGACTGATTGGAGATCAAACTCTGTAGTAAATTGTCTTACAAACTCTTTCTTCACTGCTCTTCTAGTGTTGTATAATCTCAAATACATTACGGTCTCTGAAGGGTATCCCAAATATGCCGTTGTCTAATTGAACAACTGAACTGTCAGAAATTTAATTGAATTGATTGAGACCACTTGATGCTTGTTTCAGTAGGCACGCACTTGAATATCTCTTGATTAAGAGCAACTGAGTAAGTATTGTATCTTGTGTTACTTCACTTATTGTATGTACTCACGCACATTCACTGAAGAAATACGAAGAGTACACTATCACTTGAAGTAATTGATTTGACAACTACGAAAATTTTATATTAGGAAAGTTTGTGAATGTGAAAGCCAAAGAGATTTAGATTTAATAAAAGAGAATCAGAATAGTATTTATATGACAGCTAAGTCAAAATTAAAGATTTATATTTCAATGACTCAGACGATTCGCTTAAATACGATGATACCCGCCACGGGACTTCTAAGAACTCGAAATTCCATGACACTGTGATTGTTTAGTCCTTTGGATAATTTGTGCATGATTTCGTGTTTTGGAAATTTGAAGAATCTTCTGTTATTTGATTTGATCTTTATCGAGGTAAAAAATAATTGAAAAATCCAGTATAAGTGACTGTTGAGCTTGAAAATACTAAAGCCTTGAACAAAGATAAGATTTCCACTCAGTAAGGGAAAAAGTCGCCGTGTCACTTGTCCGTCACTTCCATCGCGTTATCAGATCTTGAATTGAATCTGGAATACTCTATTTAGTGCTCACAAGAAACTTTACGAGAAATAGACGCCACAGAACACTTCGTATAATTATAAACGAGGAGGAAAATAAACACTGCCCAATTTGTTAATAGCTGCTAATAATATCACAAGATTATAGAAGCAAAATGGCGTGATGATATATATACACTTCCAGAGTCCTTAAATATTCAGTCCAAAATTTTGCAGCACTTTTGTGAGCGTAGTATGCTTCTCTTCTCGTCCAGCGTTTTACCAGGCTCTACTGGGCACTGACTGACGCTCAACAGTCCGGCTATTCTTGTAACTCGCGCGCGCGTGTGCAGCCTTACGAAAAAGAGGGAAAAAAAATGCGGAAGGGAAAAGAGAGAATGAGAGAGAGGACAAGGTTAAAATATCTGGTTATATCCTATCGCGAACGTAAAATCCAGAATTGTATGGTGAAGTTTTTGCCAAAATAGTAGAGTTGAGATATATTAGACGTATCCTAGGTGAAGTTTTGTAGAGGTCTAGTTTAGCAGTGTAGATCGCGTGGGTAGCGCGGGCGCGTACGGTAGAGAGGATGAATGGCACACCCCCTCCACGCCGAAGCTCCGCGGCAAACTCTAATTAACTTTGGCAGCCGCAAGCACCGACAACGGCAGCAGCAGACGAATAACTACGGCAAGTACACGCTTGAAGAGCCGCTCATCGCAGAAATGCAGTTCTCTTTCTCCCTCTGTCGCGGCTGGGTGATTGTGATAATCCCACTACCAGTCGAGGTTCGAGGTGTCTGTTCGAAGATATGATGGAAGTGTGGAACTTGCGACTAATTGCGACAGATTCTTGGATGTAAACCACAATCCGATACGAGTGACTCACTTATCCCCAATCAACGAACTGTGTGAGACTGGCTACGAATGGCAATGTCCAGCAACACGAGCGGACATGATACTTTTAGCAGAAAGCACGAAGAAACAGCGCGACTAGGTATAGGTAGGTAGCCTGCAGCCAATCATTTTCTATACCCAGCACAGCAGGCGGTTGCTTCTGCTATCTGCTAATGCCAGGGGTGAAATTCTATAACTTTGGTACGCTGCGACGTACGTTACAATACAAGATATATACCGGGCACAATACGAGACGGCTACTAGTACAAGTTGAAAACATTGTCTCGCTCGATTGGCGGAACTTTTAAAATTGAAAATGGGCAAGTGGCTGCGTTTACAATGTTCGAACCAAAGCTCAGAGCATATTCTTGCTTTTTTTTTGTTAAATATGGTAGATCTATATTTTTTTCATTACTTGCATTCTGCGTGGACATACCCAGATGCAAAACGAACAATTTGCTTTTTGACTTGATATCAAGCCCAAAAGAGAATAGAAAAGTTACGAAATAACGATTGGATTAGTCACTTTGCAAAGTGTCAAAGAGGTAATATACTCATATTCCCATACTTTCCTTTTTCGGCAGTATTATTAAAAGTAATTATCAGGTTATTCCTCGGATTAATTTTCATAAGAGTAGAAAATAAATTCTGAATTGACTTGTGCATTTGCTTAAACATTTATTTAATGAATGAAGAGAACTTTGGTTGCATTTAAGGTGGCTCGACAAATTTTTAAAAAATCTTAAAAATTATACGAATGATGATATAAAGTTTAACTATAACAAATGTGATATAAAAGCAAATATTAATTTTATCATCCAATTGTGTACTACAAAATAAATATTAATTAATAATAGATTCAAATTTTAATTATCTTTTTCTCAAAGAATTCTTGAAGTACAAGTTATAAAATTATTTTTAAACGTGAAAATGAATTTTTTTACATATTATTACCAAAGTTGCCAAGGCTATGGTTAAACATAATAAGGCACAATAAGGCATCATCACGTCAAATGTAATGCATATTTATTATTGTTCAATCGAAGTCCACTTCCAAATATGGCTATTATTATAAATAAATGCAAGAGTATGGCCCTAGTTTCGGTTGGAACGTTGCAACCGCAGCCACTCGCCGATTTTCAATTTGAAAAGTTCCGCCAATTGAGCGAGATAATGTTTTCAGCTAGGGCCTTGGACTAATAGCGTACCAAAGTTATATAGAATTCCACCCCAGCAGTGCTTGAGCTTGACGCCTTGATCGTCTCGTTCGCACGTATACGCCAATGCGCGCAACTTTATTGTGTACACATACACTGCTTGGACGTAATTCGCGACCCGCGAAGTTTAAAATCCAAATTATCTTCAACGATTGAGCATCGCGCGCATCAAATGGGTTTTTTTCTGGCAAGTTTTGGGGACATAACTTGCTAAAATAAAACCTTGATCTTATCTCGTTCGGTCACGTCGATACGCTCAGTCGTGAAAAATAAATGCGATTTTGAATTTCGCGGGCAGCGAGCTAATTTCCGAGCAGTACATTATATTTTCAGACGTGAGTCATAAAGTCATCGGTTAACATGACGCATACTTGCAAACGAGATTTAAATTTCGACTTTGGTTTGCTTTGAGTAATAAAAATGACTAGACGGGACAATTTCTTATCTAAATCGACTTTCATAAATACTTCAACTTAGAATAGTGAATATGACAATTACGCTAACGTCCAACTATCAAATGTTTCATTGTTTTTTCAACTTTGCATTACAATAAGTATTTGCGTTTGATTTCTATTATTCTACTAACTAAAATACAGATGAAATGAACTAAAAAATAGCGTTTATTATTGATTTAGAAAGCAATGAGACAGAGTGATCAAATTAGAAATTTAGAATAACTAAAATTGACTGAAGCTTAGGACTGATTGCATGACTACATACTAAGGTAAGATAATGTGATATTTAAATATTAATATCGATTGCCCGGGTAATGATAGATTTCCGAGTACTGCGAAGTAACTTGGCTTTGATGAAATAATGTAATTATAAGTAATCGACTAATCGATCAAAAGAGAATTCTGCTTAATACGTTCATTATATAAAAGCGAATTGGCATTTTGTACCAAAGTACGCGCCACACTTTGCGATCGTTGTTCAACTCGAGGATTGATGCAATAATCATTTCTTTCTTAAAAATTTGTAGTTGCAATGTTTACTCCTGTCATCCAGACTTTTGGTCATAATCGGTCAAACTGTCGTATGGACGCTGGCTGATCCGTTGCGAATTATCGAAATATGCACAGGCGCATAATAAACACAGTCGGCGATGCTGATTCGTCAAATTACTCTATTCCTGCGTGAAGCGTTGTGCTTTGCGTTAACGCATTGGGTTATATCATAGTTACGTCAGCACGATAAAAAAATCCGGACGGTTCGTGGTCGCGGCACGCTGCAGTGGCCACGCGCGCGGCCGACCGCTACAACGAAGCAAGTCGCTCGACGTTCGAGCGCAGTCGACGATCGGCCCTTCGGCTTCGGCACACGCGGTGACACGCCGCCCGAGAGGTGGCAGCCGCGAGCGCTCGCGTCCGCGAATTCGATTGACGCTCGGCACGCGATTGAACGCCAGCCAAGTTCTAGGTCACGATCATCGCGGCTCAACTGGATGATCGTCTGCCCGCGAGCGCTGGCTAATGCCCATCGCGTGGCGCGCGGATGTGGCCAATTTGGTCGGCAGCTGCCGCCGTCCGCCTCCCCACCCCGCGCGCGCGCGCCGCTTCACGTCGGCGGCTGCACTCCGCAAGCTTCGCGCGCGCACCGCGACCCGCGCCGAGTCCATCAGCGCCGAGCGAGCAGTGCGAGCCCGCGCTCGCTTGCGCCAGCGAGGAGATAACCGGTCGCCGCGGCTCTCGCTCGCGCCCGCATAGCTTGCATCCGCCTTGGCCTCGTTTCCGCGGCGACCGCCGTGCAGGCCAATCGCTCGCGAGCCCCGGCCTCGAGCGCGTCTGCCCGGCGGCGTCCGTCGCCGACTTTGCAGCGTGACAGCGCCAGGTGCCGTCGAGCGCGCAGGCCATAAAGATAAGCATCGGCAGCAGTGGGAAAAGCGGCTCGCGCGCGGCGGTCGAAGAAAGAAATGTAAATGTAAACGACTGATAAGCGCCGGCTGCGCGTGTATTAATGCTTCATTGCCCAATTAGAGCTAGGCGGCCGCCGAGCGCGATAAGCCAGCCGCGCTAAGCGGACCAATTGTGAAATGACAGGCCATTACAGGTAATCGCGGGCCGATGGGCACTAATCGGTCGCTCCCCGCCGGACCGAATTCCGGCGAGCGACGAGGAGACGCGTCGGGCGCAGGCACTGACCGTCCATGATGTCCATGCTGCTCGGCTGCGAGACCCTGGCGTCGGAGCCTTCGCCGCGGGTGCGAGTCATGCGTCGGGGTCGCCGTCGTCGTAGCCCGTGGGGCCCGTGCTCGCGGTCGTCGCCGTCCGCCAGCGGCAGCAGCAGCAGCAGCAGCGGCGGCGCATCCTGCTCCCCCTCCGCCGCTCGGTCCGCGGCGGTGCCAGCCGCCTCTCGCTCGACGCTCGCTCGGCCACGCCGCGCTCCGAGGAAGCTGCTCCGAGCTTCTGCTCGCGGTCGCCGGCGTCGGATGCTGGCCCGTGGCCCGCGGTCGTGCCTACGCTCTGCTCGGCCGACGCAGCACAGTGCCGTCGTCGACGGCGGTCGCGCACCAACTGGCGCGCGCCGCACGCGGCTCGACGCCGATCGGCACTCGGCGGCGCGCCTGCCCCCCTCCCCCTCCCTCGGCGCTCATTTCCATATCGGTGAGCATCGGCTGCGTCGTCGCGATTCTATCGTCGCGGCGCCTCGCGCTGCCGGGGCGCCGCGGCGATACGCGCGGAGGCCTCTTCGCGGCCGGTCCGCCGACCGCGCGCTCGCGCGAATAAAGCAAACAACTCGGTGCAACGTCTGAACGACTTTTATTACAAGTAAATAATAATCAACAATGATTCGCCGCCTTACAATTACAGTGATCGCATCGCTTGTGCGTAATATGCCGCCCTCGTGCGTAACGCTCTCTCGAATAATTACTACGTAACATTAGTTGTCGTTCGACCGAGTCGAACTGTCGAAGCAACGACCGCGCCCTGGCAAACTTGTACGTCGATCGCTTTCTGCAAATGAGCGCGTTCCAAAACCACTCGTTGGCTCGACACTTAACAATGTACACCTGTGCGAATTACACTATATATACGCTCTCTTTCTGTGCACCTCGCGCAATCATCATTAGTACATAAGCAGATGCCTTACAACCTATTATCGTAATAAATAATTGGGACAAATTTACTGCGATGACTCGAGAACTCGATTAGTTTGGGGCTTTCTTGGCTTTGAAGTTGCAACCGCTCTCCCGGCCGTCGGTCGCGAGGAGAATCGGCCACGGCTCCACCGAGCGACCACCGCCTTCCAAGGACTCGTCCTCGTCGAGCGCGCCACGTCGACGTCGAGACCGAGCCACGGACGAAGCAGGGCGCTGCCCAAGCGAATCGGCCGCTCCGAAAGTGAACGCGCGTGCGTCGGCACTGACGCCTAATGACCGCTTGTCCGCCGCTAAGGCGACGACAAGTCGCAAGAAAGAGAGGGCCGCTGGATCGGAGCCGAAGTCATGCGATGGGAGATGCAATGCACGTGGCGGGTGCCGTCACGACGCATTCGCCTTGGCTGGCGACCGAAGACTCTAAGTACATATTACGTATTATAAATAGCTCGATTATGACACTCCAACTAGAATATAATACAATGTTCGATAATATTTATCCAATGACTAAATACGGTTGTCCTACTGAGAGAAATCGGGCGACTGGTCGCGCTCAGCACCGCAGACGCGCAAGGTCGGCCGACGGAGGCCCCGCGGGCAGCAGGCACGCGCCTCGGCCCCGGCGGCCCTCAGAAGTCCTTCTTCTTGGCCTTGTCGAGCAGGAGGTTGTCGTGGTAACTGATCTCCTGGCCGGCGAGCGCCGGGTGCAGGTAGTGCGAGTCGACGTCGATCTTCTCCTTGACGCCGGCGTCGAGCACGAGCGAGTGGTGGGGCCCGGTGCGCTGCAGCAGCGAGGCGGCCACGCGCAGCTGCTGGTCCTGCAGCGAGGGCACCTCCTCGTCGTCCTCGTCCTTGGGCAGCTCGGGCGCCGCCGCGGCGGCCGGCTCGCCGGGGCCCTCGGGGCGCGCCGCCTCCGGCTGGCCGGCCGGCGCCTCCGGCTGCGCGCGCCGGTACTCGTGCAGCAGCTCGCCCAGCTTGGCCAGCAGCTCCTTGGCGCCCGCCTCCTCCGCGGCTGCAACGGAGAGCGGCGAGCTGCAGTGCGTGCGGCGGCGGCGGGCGGCGCGCGCGCGCCACTTACCCAGCTGGTCGAGCTTGTCGAGGTCGCCGAGGGCGCCGAGGCCGGCCAGCGGGTCGGCCGGGCGCCCGGGCTCGTCGAGCTGCTTGAAGAGGCGCAGCAGGCGGTCGGCGGGCGGGGCGCGCGGCGGCGCGCCCGGCCGCGCGCTCGCGTTCAGGTGCGGGTCGAGCAGCAGGTCCGGCAGCTCGCGCTGCAGCTGCGGCCGCGGCTGCTGGCTGGCCTCGGCGGCCGGCGGCTCGGTCTGCGCGGCGCCCGGCGCCGGGGACTGCGGGCCGCTCGGCGCCGGGGGGGCGGGCGGCGGCGCCGGGGCGGCCGCCTCGGCGGCGCCCGCCGCGGCCCCTGGCGCCGGCTGCGGCGGGGGGCCCGGCGGCGGCTCGCTCGGCCCGGCCCCGTCCAGCCGGCGCGCCGACTGCAGCTCCAGCGACTGCAGCAGGCTGTTCAGGTCGGGCTTGATGCGCTCGGACTCGGCGCACGAGCTGCACGAGCAGTTGGTGATGATCTGCACCTTCTTCTGCATGCTGGTGGGGCCGCCGTCCTTGTCGCGGCACTGCAGCGTGACCGTGTGCCAGATGCTGTCGAGCGGCTGGCAGGAGTCGCAGTACGGCCGGATCAGGTCGCCGGGCGCCGAGGGCTCGCTGTGCGGCACCATGTAGGAGAAGCAGGCGCCCACGCAGACGTTGTTGTCGAGCTCCTGCGGCAGGCACGAGGCCCAGGTAACCACCTGCTTTATGGGCGTCGTCTTGCACCAGCTCTCCTTGTCGGGGTAGAGCACGATGTTGTGCACCTTGTGCTCGCGGTGGGCGTCGCCCGGGCAGGCCGCCCAGCAGGCCCACCAGGCCAGCGCCAGACACCTCGCCAGATTACCCATCTCGCTCTCCGCGCTGCTCCTGCAAACGATCGCCAGGCTAAACTGCTGCCTCACCGTGCGCCGCAAACAACGTGATAGCTATTAAGTGGCGCCGACCGAGCTCTCCTCCTTTTTTTCCTCCTCCCCGCTCGCCGCCGCGCTCGCGCTGCTTCGCCCCCCTTTCCTGCCCGTGCACGTGGATTCGGATTTGTTTCTGCTAGCGCTCTGCGGCGCTGGGTCTGCCTGGAGGCTGCCTGCCTGCGAGGCGCGGCCCGTGCACGAGCGGCTGCGGCTCGCGACTGCCAGCGGCGCGGAAAACTCGAGCGCGGTGCGTTGGCGGTCGCGCGCGGCTACGCACCGGACGACCGCGAGCCAACCCTTTCTCCGCGCGCCGATAAAAATAGCGGATTCGCCTTCATGAGCCGCCGCGTATCCACGGTCCCTACGTGCGCAAGCGCCGAAGCATGTATTTGTAATTCTCGATCCCGGTTTGCCCCTCCATCCTCCCACCGTCACGTCCCTCTCTCTCGCTAGCCGTACATCGCTTACATCGACAACTCGATTGCCTCGATCGCGCAACTGCAGCTGGACCGCGCCGTCCGACATTCGATCCCGTGTGCGCGAGTAAACAGCAGCGGGAGACTGTGGCAAGAAAGCGAGCGAGCGAGCGAACGAGCGATCGAGCGAGACACAGAGAGAGAGAGAGAGAGAGAGAGAGAGAGAGAGAGAGAGAGAGAGAGAGAGAGAGAGAGAGAGAGAGAGAGAGAGAGAGAGAGAGCAAGAGAGACGGAGCGTAAAGAAATACGAGGAAACTGACAGCGGAGCGGCAAGATGCCAGCAACGGGCGCTCGATCGGTCGGCCGACCGATCGATCGATCGGCAACTGGTTCTTCGCGCGAGCCAATGGTCGTCGAGGCGTTTCGCTCGACGAGCAATGCCGCGATGCGCGCGCGCGCGCGCGCGCCTAGAGGAAAAGCTCGCGAGGAATCGGTCGGGCGGACTGGACTTCGGGGACAGGCGCGCGCGCGGGCATCCGGCGCAAAAGACGGTCCGCGAAACTCGGCGTAACACCAGTATGGAAATGCCGTGTGTCACGGCTAAAATTGGAAAGGCCGCGCGATCCCGAGGCGAGCTACCTGTGCGCCGCGCGCTGCCCGGCCCTCGCTCCGTGTGTCCGTCGCCGTCGACCGAGCGCCGGTCTATTGCCGAGCCGAGCTCGAGGACGGAGTGTCGCCCGCGGGCAGGCGCGCGAGGCAACGCGCAGAAAGGTGCGAGCCGAGCGAGGCGAGCTTTCCTATTACGGGATCGCGCGGCGGCCGCGCGCTCCCCGGTCCCCCTACACTCACTTGCCAGACGAACCGCTGCTCCGGGTGGCTAGACAAGCATCGCCGCTGTTCCGCCGCTGTGCTCGCTGTCCTCGTCGTCGGCGTGATCGTGGGCTCACTGTCGCGTTCGCTGCTGCTGCTGCTGCTGCTGCTGCTGCTACCGTTGCTGCGGTCGCGCGCGCTGCACTGGCACTGGCGGCGGCGCGCGGCGAGAGGCGGGGGGCAGCGAGCCGAGCCGAGCCGCGAGTGTCGGAGGAGAGAATAAAAAAGGCGAAATAAAAGGTGGCGGAAGAGAGGCGGCGAGGCTGCGAGGTGGGACGGCGGTGCGAGGGGCGCGCGCGGCGCGCCTCCGAACAAAGTGGCCGTTCTCGCTGACGCGCTCGCGTTGCTCAGCCTCTCGGCGACGGCGGCGGGATCGACTGCTCGGCGGCTCTCGCGGAGCGCGGCCCGCTCCGCGCCCCCTCCCCGCGCGCCCGCCGCCTTATCGCGGCCGCACCTCGCTCGCGCGGCCCGCTTCCCTCTCCGCGCGCGCTCGCCGAGCGGCGGCTCGCGCGCGTACCTGCCCGTGCGCCTCGCCGCGCGATCTATCGTTGCGGCGCGCCATTTTCCTGCATCACCGTGAGTCGCGCGCCGCGGCCGCCCGGGAAATCGGCTACCGCCGTAGGCCGCGTCCCGGCGAGCCCGTGCCTCCAAAGCTGCCCGTCGCCACGGAGCCGAACACCCGCGCTGGCTCCGATCGCGAATCGGTTGGCCCGGTACGTTTCCGCGCCGCGACGGAAAACCCAGCGCTATAGGTGTAAAGCGTGTGTACCCACGGCACCTTCTCCTTTCTCTATCTATCTTTCTATCTCTCTCTTGCTCTCTCTCTCTCTCTCTCCATGCGCGCGCCGTCGCACCGTTCCCTTCTCTGACCCCCTTCCTCCGACGTGCGCGATCCCGCGCTCACTTCAGTCGAGAGGACTCGACCAGTCGCTCGCGCAAAAGCCGAGAAAACCTACAAGGCTCGTTCGCTCCTTCGGCTGGCGCGCAGTAAACGCCGCGCCGTTTGCCGCCGCGGCTCAGGGACACGAGGCGTCGCGGTGGGCAAGCGACGCTCGGGCGGATGTCGTCGGATCGTCGCGGTGCGATGGAGCGTGGACGCCGCGCCGAGCCGGCGAGTAGGGCGCGCATCGACGCGCGGATCCGGCTTAGAGCGAGCCGTCCGCCGCGACGCGTCGCCGGGCGCGCTCGAGCGCCGGCCCCAAGCTCTTCTCCAGGTAGTCGGCGAAGCCCTCGCACTTGCTCCTGCTGTCCAGGTCGGCGGAGCTGCCCCACAGGATCAGCCCATCGGCGCCGCTCCTCGCGATCTCCGTCACGGTGTCGACCAGCTGGGCCTGCGCGCGCGAGCGAACGAGTTAGAGTCGCGGGTACGGGGCTGCGTCCGCGTGTCGGCTCACCTACCTGCTCCACGTAGACGTCGCGCTGGTCCTGGTACTTGAACCAGTAGTAGACGAAGACTTGTGGCGTTGGCCGGTCGCCACCGGTCGCCTGGGCAGCCACCCTCAGGGCTTCCCGCACGCGGCCGCGCACCATGCCCAGGCTCTGCTCGGCGCTGAGCGCCCGACGCAGGTACACCGAGGGATAAAGCGCGTCCACCGTGCCGAACAGCCAGGACATCCTGCAAAGAGGAGGGCAACGCTGAGTGGCGCGGAGCCAAGGGCGCGCCACGACCCGCGCCTACCGGTCGTTCTCCCGTTGGACCTGCGGTGGGCACCGGGCGCTCGGCTGCTGGGCCGACCAGTTGAAACAGTAGGGGTAGGCGTAGTACCCCCAGCGCGCCCGGGGCCGCAGCTCGGCGGCCAGCCGCAGCGTGGCCAGCATGAAGTCGCGCGCCGCGATCTCGAAACGGCGCGTGGCTTCCTCGCGCAGCCGCGCCGGCGACCAGTGCGGCTGCCGACGGCGCTCCAGCTCCAGCGAGTAGTTACGGTAGAGCTGCAGCGCGGCCCAGTTCTGGCGGAACACCGGGCGCCAGCTCTCCATGTCCAGCACGCCCAGGCCGGCGAACTCGCGATCCGGCAGCAGCTCGTCCAGCTGCTCGCGGAAGCGGCGCAGGTGCAGGCCCAGCTTGCCCTCCTGCGGCACGCCACCGTTGCGCACCAGGATCGTGTCTGCGCGCAAAGTCGCGCGGTATAATCGGTCACGCCGTCTAACGTGCGCAAGCGCGCCTCGGCAGCCGGCTCACCGTTGCTCGCGTGCAGCAGCGCCGGGAAGACGCCGGGGTCGTACAGGATGGCGATGCGCTCACCCCGAAATTCGTCCGCCTGGTTCTGCACGATACCGAAGCGCTGTGTCAGCCCCGTGAACTCCATCTGGTACTTGCGGCACACGAAGCTCGGTACGTTCCAGTAGACCTGAAAAGCCCCACTGCTGCCGGTTGGCGGCGATCAGTTTAGCGCGTCGGCTCATCGCGAGTGCTCGAGCGCACCTGCGGACAGTGGTGACCAGTTGCAGCAGCAGCAGCAGGCGACCGCCGGTGCAACCGTGCGTCGCCCGGAGCATCGCCGCGGCCGTATAGTCCCTTGTAGCTCGTGGTCTTCCGGCGCTGCGCGCACTCGCTACTGAGCTTGCCGGGCGCTTCGTCGGCTATTTATCCCTGTTGCGCGTGCCTGCGCGAGAGCTTGCACTCCCCTTACCCCGAGCACGCTATCGCATCCATGGCTGCGTGCGCCGCCGCGTCGCTCCGCTGAGCCTTATCGCTCGGCCGCTCTGCAACTCGTGTTTCATACCTGCACGCTATTTTCATGGCTGGGCGCGCCCCGAATACTTTGCCCTTGACCTACAGACTGCCGCCCCATTTCGAAGCAACCGCGAATCTCGCTCGAAAGCTCCAATGAACGGCCACGTTGCTCCGAACAAGCTCGCTTCCCCGCGATCGAGTCAACCTCATTTTCCGCGCGCCGCTTCGAATCCGACGGCTTTGGCAATCGACAAAGAAATTGCTAGCGGAGCATCATCGGTGGCGACAAGGTTTGGCTACAAAAAGGTCCATTCAGACACCGAGCGCCTGTACGTTACGTTTCGCATTTCGTTCTAGTTTGCTCTCTGTGGTTTTGACGTGTGAGCGTTGCATCGACCTCGAGCGACGTCGAGGTCACTCGCGAATCGGGCGAGGCGAGACGAGTACACCTGCCAGCCATCGTTTCTCTTCGACAGATTTCCAAAGACGGAGCAAGGATCTTGACAATAATTGGACAACATATGTGTAGCTCAAACTGGTGCTTTATTATTGACAATTCAGTATAGCGATTGCGCCAAGGTTTCCAACCATACGTGCGCTTGCTCTCCTTTTAAATGTCGTATTATCTCCTATTAGCACAATTCATCTATTCAATAAAAATTCATCTTGCAAAACGCAACGACCAAACAATGAGACAATATTTTTTGATCAATTTTTGAGTGCTTCGACATTCATCGCCTCGTCCACCATTCTGCAATGACTTTTGCTTCGTTTACTCTTCTTCACGCTAATTATACCTACATTTTGTATCTACACCAGTGATACGCCATTTTGTTAAGCAGGAATTCGTCGCTTACAGTCATGCAGTAGCAGAAAAGTACCAACAATAACAGCTAATAATATCAACGCGTCTTTCATAGAGTCCTCGCTTCCCAAGCTCAATTCAATGATCATAATCGATTCAATAGCATTCTGGATAAAGCCTACTTTTGTATATCCACATCTTCTTCCTCGAACTTTATCGTGTCGTATGAATGGTGCATTTCGTAGATAATGTCTTTTGTTTCCTCTCCGTCCCTTTCCCTTAAATCTTGTTGCAAATTTATTGCAAAACAAGACCAATCTTATTTGGCGACATGCTGGGACATCGCCAATTATACAGGTAATACTGAAGATTACCATCACCAATGCCAAATTTCAATTGCTCCAAAAATTCCTTGTTATCCATCAAATCGAGCGCGTTGAACACGTCGAATCCCAACTAAAAGATAATCAATATCATTATCATTTGTCATCACTACATTGTCACCTATGCTTGGAATTTGCGCTAAAGTATTAAAACGCGATAAAAAGCGTGCGCTTATCTACACCTGCCGCAACTTGACAGGTTGCTCTCATTATACTACGCAGTTATCAAGCGCACTCGGTAAATACATTAATTATACGGGCATTCTACAGTCACAAGCCGTGTACTTTTATTACATTCATGCACCAAACTTTCAATCTTGCAAACATTCACTTTATTCAAAGCTGAAATTAAAAACAATTTTTATGTTCGATAACCAATGTTGCCTTACGTTTTTTGCCGATATAAGAGCATCCGTCATGAGATCTTGCCAAGACGTTACGGTTGATACATTATAGAAGCTGTAAGCCGCTCGAAGGGTTTTGTGTGTTTGATGATGCATTACAGAACTAGGTAGCGTGTAGTAGCTAACCATGTCCGTTATCTTCTTCAACTCGGGATTATCTACAACAAAGCTATCAACTATGCCACTTTGAGGAAAAAACCAATGTCTAAACTCTTCTTCCGTGAATATAGGCGCCAGATCAAATTTGCTGAGATACTGCAGAGGAAAAAATGCACAGTATAAATTGTCATTGGAAATCTTTTAAACTTTTTTAATTTTTTACTTATTTATTTGTTTATGAGAGTCAATCAAGTTACTTTTGATACTCTAATATTTTGCATATAAATCTATGCCATCAAATTTTAATTTTCCGGTTGTATAAAAATATATTGCAATATATGACGCGCGAGCGGCTTAAACGTTGATAAATATTGAGTTGACTACCTCGTTCATGAGTTTATGACACTGCGGTATATCCTCAGCCATCAACTTTCTATATCCTGGAACCTTTGTGCTTTCTGGTAATCTGTACAATTTCAAAGTTCTTTGCATCGTCATGTTTCTCGACAAATGCGAAAACTTTATTTCAATCAGTTTTTTCGGGTTCAACGAACGATGCCAATATCTACATGTAGAAATAGGTTTGGGAAGCACGATACCGGCAGTATATACCGCCTGAAATATTCCCGTTAAATTGACTCTTCTCGTGATTTCACGAATCAAAACAGGAGCAACGCGTTTTGATCGCAGTTTTTTATGAACACATAAAAAGTTAATTTCTACCATTTTTTGGACTCTGAAATAAAGGACACGGTCATCATATTGAAAAATTATTTTCTCCTATAGGAGGGTCCTATAAGAGAGTCCTATAAGATACCATTGGGTCATTTACACAAAAAGAAATCATGTCTTACTTGTCATAAATTCGCACTGTCGCTGGTATGGCAGATATGAAGCCCACCAAACGGCTGCTTTTAGTTACTCGTACACCACAGTGCCATTCATTGCACCATCCTGGAGGTTGCAGAGCCCTGTGGTCAAGTCACAAAATATGAAAACCCTTTAACGCACTGGTTTGTCTTTGTAATATTTACCATTTCAAAAAGGCAGGTGGATAATCAAACCTAAACATAGCATCATCATCTTCAACATAATTTTCTGAAAGCAGTGCATACAATTCTGCAAGAACTAATGGATCATCTAGATTCAATGTATCCCAATGGAAATCAGATGGGAGGGAATAAGGTTCAACTCTGACAGACTCCTTGTCTGGCTCTATTGGTTCGTTGCACGTAATTTTTTCATCTGCAAATCACACAAGTTCATAAGCTCAAGTAAACTATCTGTATAATCTACATGGCAATCTTACCCATTTTAGGTACTGGTTGAGTACTCCAAAATTGGTAAGGCTTCTGCATTGCTTCCTCTTGAGTTTTTGCAGGTTTATGTTGCAAGTTCAAGATGTCCATAGCCATTTGTATGTCTTTGATAGAAATATTGGTATAAGTGCTAGGCACTTGTGGCGATACAGGCAACGAGGTTCCATCGGTCGTCGGATCTGTATTGGCATCTACGTCATTGCTTTCTGCTTTGGCCACAGTGCCAGCCTGAGCCTTTTTCTTTTGTTTTTTCGAGCTAAAAAACAAATAAATATCAGTGGAAAAAGCAGCCATTGAGTATATTGGCAAGTTCAGTACGAATTGATGAGAAAATGACGCGATTCATCTAGGACAATGAAAATTGATGGAAAGTCTTTTGTCGCGAGGTGTGAGTAACCGTAGACCTAACCTATGAAGGCGAGGCCCACGATATTATGGCACACGCCTAGAATAGATTTCTTTGAAACACGTCGATAGCATTTGATAAACAAATGCTTACTCAACAAACCGTAGCTTATTAAAATGGTAATCAAAAAAGGAGATTGAAATTAATGATAGATTTACCTCTTGCTTCTGCCATCTTTGTCGTGAATTTTATCATCGTGAGCCGGCTTCTTCACCACTTCCGACTTGATTTTTTCCAAATCCGCGGTTCTTTCCATTGTCGTTATATGCTTGATCTCAGCAGCACTTTTTATATAAAAGACGCGCAGCTAAATTAAAATATAAATGCATGAAAAGTCGAGTACGAGCCGAAACTACGAGCGCCACATCGCGCGCGCGCGTGTGTGTGTGTACGTATGCCACAGATTACAGGATATTGAGTAGAGCGCTGCGCCCCTCGCGTCGACAAGTGTATACTTACTTTAGCGCATCTTCTCTCTTCGCTAGTAGCAAACACTTTACCAGAATTATTTACCAAATCGAAAGCTTCTAGGGGCGCAGTTTGTTATAAAATTTTCATGAAACTTTACGACCAAGCCCGACGTCTTAAATCGAGACTAGACATTGTTTCATCCCGCATTAAAACATGCACACAAGAGAAATACGATTTTATATGATTTCTCATGATATTTTTGCTGCGTAACAAAAAACTAGAATATATGAACTAACATTTGAATACCCAGAATAAAAGTACGATGAAACGTTGTATCTTTTTACATTTCGACACTAGCGAAGCTTTGAAAATTGTAGTACTATAAAAGACTAATTGTTGTAATTAAAAAACTGTAAAGCTTGATGCAATACGAATTCGAATGCAAGCTCAGGTTATCATCGAGTTTCTTACTTTCGTTCATGAATAATTGCTTATAATATAACATGCGCGCCGCAGTGGATTACTGTGGACCGTCGACGTCGGTTATTTAGTGCGAAAAATCGGTCTTCGTTGAGCTCTCGTTATAATTTGGTGATGGAGACAAGCGGTTCCCAATATTGGCGAAGAATTTAAACCTCTGGATGGCTTACCTTAGCATTATCTGTATCTAACAACTATGACGTGGCGTGCGTTACATAAAGGTATGAATTTGGAAAATAATGAATTGTTTTTTCGGCAGAAAAGAGCTTTTATACGTTTCAATCTATTTTATTCAAAATAAAAATGTTCAAAGTACATCGTATTGCTGGCACATGAATATAGATATGTGCAACAGCAGTGACACACACGTGCGTGGTCACTGATATATATATATGTATGTATATATTAAACAATAATACTATATAACTGACGCAATCAAGGCGCGTGCGTGTACAAATAAAACAAAGGTGATTGTGATATGCATGTTTGGAAATTTCTATTTGCAATTAGATGAATTACGTTGGATATAGTAGAGTATGAAAATGACGTGTAGTATCAGATGGGATAACGGTAGAGATCGACAGCTACAATAAAGAGAGCGTAGTAGACGAGAGAGGAAAAGAGAGAGAGAGAGAGAGAGAGAGAGAGAGAGAGAGAGAGCAAGAGTACAATTAATTGTTGCATACGCTTATAAAAAATAGATATTTGTTACGCAGCCACGTGCTATCCGTTAGCCTAATCGAACAGCAGAATATTTTTTCTTTCTTCCAATAGACTTTAGGTGAAATTAATACTTTAGCTTTCGTGCGCGTCCTCATCGGCTCGACTCATCCTGATGATGCAAGGCTATACGTGCGTAAGAATAGCTGCAACATTACAGCGAGCTTGACACTCAAACAAAAGGCACAGTCGCCTAGGCGAGAAAGAGAAGAAAGTATGATCAACGTTCATATATATATCTATATATCTGCATGTACCGTAGGTTTACGCCGTGAGATATTTAATATACTTTTTTTAAATATAAATCGTTGAATGAGACTGCGATTGCTTTTGTAATATGTCGAACGCATCGAAATAAGTGGCGACCTGATCGCAAGTGCAACGTGCGCAGATCGCCGGAGTCGCAAAAGAAGTTCTCTAGTGCTAATATTGCAATAGACGAGTGCTTATTGCCTTATGTACAGCTAGGCGTGCACCTTAGGCTGAAGAAAGGCTCGCGACGAGAGCGCGAGCGATGATCGATCGAGGAATGCCGCGTGCGCGCGTGGCCGTGCACAGGTATACGTGTTATGCGCCTGGTCGGGGGGCAGCCGCCGAACGCGGCTGCGGTCCGCGCGTACCGCACGTATCGATCGGCCGTAGCTCGCGCGCGCACGGCCGATCACTTATATACTACGTAATAATGTGACGCGTGTGCGTGTTTCGTGCGCGTGTCCGTCTACGAGATAGGTACTCTTGCTAATCTAGACCGTTTGCTACATGTGAGTTACACGTGCGGGTCGCACCGCGAGAGATGTGTACAGTAATCAATTCCATTGGTTGTTCATTTGTTGCTCGACGAGTGGTCGCTTAAAGTTACAGCACTTGGATCGCCTCGACACCCGATTAGTAACTATGTGATAACGCGCAGGCACGCGCAGAAGGGAGGTGGGGGGAAGTAAAATATGCGTTATATCGACGACAGGTATCTGTAGAGGCACCCCTTTCCCAAAAACAGCTTCGGCAATTCCTTGATTGTGCAGCGACGCGCGCTGAGTAGGCGCTCTCGTATCCTTATCTACATCCGGGATCCGCTGGGACCCTCGGCCAACTCCGCCCGGCGCCGCGGGCTCGGAGCCCGCCGGAGCGAGACGAGTCGGCGCCGCGCTGTTGCGCCACCACGCGCGCGCGGCTTTATGTACATACGCGCGCGCGTGCGGCTGAGTTGCACGACACTACGGCTACGTCGTCGACTACGACTACAGGTGCGTCTAGGCGCCTGTGCGCAAGCTGCCCTACTGAACACAGTGCGGAGAGGTCGAGCGAGGAGTCCGGCACGCGCCTCAGACGAATTGACGATCGGCCGCTGGGGTCGTGCTCGCGCGCACGGCAATTGACGGTGTGTGTGTGCGTGGCCGCAGGCGGGGCCGCGCGGCCCTAGCGCCGAGCGGCGAGCAGGCGGCCGAGGAGCGTGGCCAGGGCGAGCAGGCCGGCCGGGCAGGGCCCGCGGGCCGCGCCCGCCCCGGGCCCGGGCTCCGCCGGCGCCGCGGCCTCGGCGCCCTTGGGCCAGGGACGCCTGCGCGAGTAGGTGGCGTTACTCGCGTCGGTCGGCGCGTCCACGTTGCAGTAGCTGGTGTCGCAGCAGCTGATGCAGATCTGCAAGCAAGCAAGCAGCGCGGGCTGGAGCGCAGCGGGCGCGGCCGCGGCCGGCTTACCTTCTGCGTGTCGACGGGCATGCAGCCGACGCTCGCGGGGCTGCACTCGGCTCTGCTGGCGCAGCTCTTGTTCACCTGCAACAGCGAAACGGTCAGTGGTGGCGGCGGCGGCGGCGGCGGCGACGGCGGCGGCGACGCGCGAGCCGGATGCTTGCCAGGACGCTCTGCCCGCGGCTGTCGACGATGTGCAGTGACCGGCAGAAGTCGCGGCCGCCCGCGGGGCAGGGCGTGTCTATGGCCCACTCGTTGCACATCTGCCGGACAGACAATCAGCGAAATGAGCGGGGCGCCGGGGCGCCGGGGCGCCGGGGCGCGCGACGGTGGCACCGGCTTACCTTGTTGTCGCTCACGTTGACACAGGTGTAGCAGGTCAGACCTGGAAGCAGACAAGGCGTGAGCGATTGGCCGGCGGCGCCAGTGGGCCGATCACTGCCTACGGTAGACGTCCTCGTGGCCGGTGCTGGCGCCCGGCGCCGCCGGCCCGTCGCGATCGCAGCCGGACTCGCCGAGCAGCAGCAGCAGCAGTCCGATGAGCATCGGCCACCCGGTCATGCCTCACATGCCCTCCGCGGCTCGCGGCGCCGCGCACACCTGCACTCTGCGCTCAATCCGCGCCTGCAATCAGCCGGTGCGTATCAATTCTCGCGAGGTCCCCCCCCTAGGGACGTGCGCCTCTCACCCGAGCCGCACGCAGCCGCTCATCGCGGCCGTCGCGGCTGTCGGGCCTGTGCGGACGAACCTTGCCGGCGACCACTGCCGAGCACCAGCCGCGTTCCTGCGCGTCCCCGCTCGGCTGCTGCAGCTGCTGCATCTCGCGCGCACCTGCCAACAACGTTCCCGTCACTGCCAGCCCGCGAGATTCGACGATCCACCCGCGCGAACCGTTCGCCGCCAGAGAAGGCTCGACGCTTTCGTTGGACTTTTGCACTGGGCGAGAGCTCGAGAGCGAGTTCGCTCGTCCGTAAGCGCGTGGCTACGCCGGGCAAAGTGTGCCAAAGCTTCCCTTTGAAAGAGACCAGCGCGAGCAGCGCTTTTCATCTCGCCGGAATTGCAGCCTCATTGCAGCCGTCGCAGCCTAATTATCCCGTCAACTTTTCATCCCAGCGATGAGTCACGCGGCACGGCCGAAAGATCCTAATGACACGCTTGCCGACCATTCAGCGATTTGAGAAATAGCCGAGCAGAGCTCGATGAATAATGCACGCTCGAGCGAGCCGTCTGCTTGCAATTATTAGCGAGGCTGTTGCGATCAGGGTCGGTCGATCGAGAGAAGCCCGTGCAAGAGAGCGGTCGGGCCATCAGGCAGGCATGATCGATAACGAATCTAGCTTGGTCGAATCGCAGAGCAGGAGAGCGAGACAGGGCTTCGCGAACGACGGGTCAGCTCCCGACTGGTCCTGGCTCGGTCGACTGGTCATCGCCGGGAGCCACTCGGCAGTGCGAGCGAGCCCCGTGCCGCGCGGGAACGCACACTCGTCTCACTCGCGCACTCGGTGGCCGCCGGGGCGTCCCGCGGGGACGACGAACGGACGGACGCACCGGCAGGTCGGCGGGCCCGGGTCGCGGACGGGCGCGAGCGCGGCCAACGCGGATCAAGGACGGCGGCGCGAGCGAGCTCACCGAGGGCTTCACCTCGCGAGCTGGCGGCGAGCAGCAGCGGCCAACTGGAGGCTGCCGGGCCGACTGCCGAGCGGCGCACTCGATACTAGCGCGCGCGCGCGCGCCCAGCGCAGCCCGGGACTGCCGACTCTCGCTCCACCTAGCCGCCGTCTCCCGGCGGGCTTCTAGGCCTCGCTCGGCGCTGCGCGCGCGAGTCCCGCTCGCCCAGCCGCCGTCCGCGTGGCTTCGCCGTCGGGCTGCGACCCGCAGCGCGCCCAGCTGGCAACTGCTCGCGGTGCGCGGTTCGGGCCACGCGCGCCCCTGTGCCCAGTCGCTCTTCGCGCGCGTGTGCGCGCAGCTCCTCGGACGATCAGGCGAGCTGGTCTTGCTGCGCTCGACGGGGCTCCTGGAGGAGACGAGCGGAGCAACGCGCTCTCTCTCGCTTCCTCTCTTTTTTTTCTCCGAGAGCGAGGCCGAGTAGAGGCGTGAATGGCGGTTGCGGCCGGCGCTGCTCTCTTGGCCCACAGCTATATTGATTTTGCTCGAGAGTCTTCGCGGGGCGCCCCCGCGCCTGCCGTCGTGCTCAGTTCGATTCAGTCCGCGTTATTAGTATACTCACCCGCTAAACGTCGGCATTCGTGCTGTCTCATCTGCAGCCCGTCGACTGCTGACAACCCGCTGGCTCTATCGGGCTCGTTGCCATTACTCCTATAGTAGGCAGATTGGCCATATCGCTCTCCATCAAATCGCACCTTTTCGCCTCGGTCGATCAATAATCACGCTCAACATTCATTGTCTCAAATACTCAAATTCGATTCATCGTCGTATTCGCAATTAGTTTCATGCAAATCCAATTGAAAAAAATCTGACTGATTTGTGCGTTTTATAACATTTTATTAAAACGACCATATATATCAAAATGTTGTACATCATTAACAAAATTTCAAAAATTCGTCACAAATGACGCTAACTAATTATTTTGTACTTTGTTTGATGGTCTGCAAGGAATTGTAGTTTTCAATTCACTTTCTTTTTCCCAATAATCTCTGCACGCTCTCATCGATCTTATCTATTTGATGCTATTTCCCTTTCTTTTACTCTTTATATCGTCAACTTTCAATGCTTGACAATAAAAAAACGAGTCGAGCTGTGATTGGACTGGCACATGAAATTTCACTCGCACTAAACTTTCAGTCGTTTTTTCCGGACGAAGTAGATTTTTCCTTCAGCCAGGTGGTGTCGATGACGGAAAGCCCTCGAATGTAACACCTACCTGTGAGTACTACTTCAGTAAATAACACGAGTTGAGGCTTCGTACCATGGAGGACTGACGATGGATGGATAGCCACGGGCTGTCTCGAAGTGACCTAAACAGTGTTGTAAGCACGATGAGCATTTGAAAGAGTAATCGAATTCTCATCAGTTTCCATCGGTATGTCAGTACTATAGCGACTTGACTCATGTAAATGAAGTGAGAAAGAAAACTAAAAAAAGCAAGTGGAAGTGTGAAAAGCGCAATTACCGCAACATAGTTTTGATCCCTCTGTAACTCGGCCAAGTTTTCACTCAAACCTTCGAACAGAGCTTTCCTGAGACTCTCGGTGTCGTTGCCACAACTATTTCGCTCCAATTTGGCTCTCTCGGTGAGCGAAGCTAATTGCTTTCTAACGTTTACTGCGTACTCTAGATTCCGATGGTGTAAGAAATTCTCGTGACACCAGACCTTCTTTTGAGTAACATTGACGAAGCCTTTGTAGACGTTTAACAGAGTCACATGGTCCCCCTCTTCGGATGCAAATCTGAACCGTAAGTCGACAGGCAAGTTAGTACGAATATTTAACGAACGGAAATGAGCGCTTAGTTGTGTCATCGTCAATTGTACGGAACCTTGATCTGGCTGTCAGAACTTGTTGACGCTTAGCCGGCGGGTCGAGAAATATATTTTCTCCCGATAAGAGAGCGACCACGGTCAGGGCTTCCTCGAGGCAGTTGTATTCCACCGAGGCCAGGATTACTTTGGTGAAGCGTGGGTCGAGCGGGAATAAGGACATCGTCCTGCCCAGCGTAGTCAGATGCGGTGGCGTGCCTGCACTCAGTCGGTCGCACGTGAATCGCCGATCCATTTCAAGCCAGCGCAAGAGCTACTACTCACCTTTGACAGCGCCCAGCTTTTCCAAGCACGTCACCGCGGTGTCGATGGAATCCGCCGGCGGCTTGTCCATAAAGTCGAAGGTCGTAATGTCGATGCCTATGGCCAGCAGCTGCAACGCGACTCCGGCGAGGGAGCACCTCTGGATCTCGGGAACCGGCATCTCGTTCAGCTGGTCGAATTGCTCGCGGGTGAGGGTCCGGTAACACTTGCCCGGCGCCTCTCGGCCCGCTCGTCCCATTCTCTGCCATGCCTGCGCCTTCGACGCCTTGTCCACCCTCAAGATGTCCATGCCGGTAGTCGGATGATGAGTTCTCTGCTTCACGACGCCGGTGTCGATCACGTAGCGGATCCCTGCAACGCCAGGCGCGCACGGTGAGCAAATCGCGGCTTGAGTCACCGCTGACGCGGCCACGAACCTCCGATGGTGACCGACGTTTCCGCGACGTTGGTCGCCAGCACGAGCTTGCGCGCGCCCGGTGCCGAGGGCTTGAAGGCCTCGAGCTGCTGGTGGGTGGGCAGTGCCGAGTACAGAGGGAACACCCTGAGCGGCGGGTAGCCCTTGCCGTCGATCAGCTTGGCCGTCTGCCTGGCTGCCGCGGCTGCCGCCTCGATCTCTTCCTGGCCGGTCAGGAACACGAGGATGTCGTGGCTGAAAGGGTGAGCGGTGAGTGAGCGACCCGGGACCCGGGACGAGCAGTGATCGGGCCGCGCTACCTACTTGGGCGGGGCCTCGCGGTGTATGCGGAAGGCGGTGACCAGCGCAGAGAAGGCGTAGTCGTCCTGCGGCTTCTTCGCGTGGAAGACTTGCACCGGGTGCTGGCGGCCCTCCAGGTAGATGGCCGGCGCCTGGAAGTACCTGCTGAAGCGGTCCACCTCCATGGTCGCGGACATAACGAGCAGCTTGAGCGGCGGTAGGCCCTTGTGGTTGCGCAGCTTCTGCGCGCGGCGGGCCACGCCGAACAGCACGTCCGTCTGCACCGAGCGCTCGTGCGCCTCGTCCAGGATGACCACCGAGTAGTCGGAGAGCGCCTCGTCGGTCATGGCCTCGCGCACCATCATACCGTCGGTCAGGTACTTGATGCGGGTTTGCGCGCTCGTAACGTCCTCGAAGCGCACGCAGTAGCCCACCAGTCGGCCCGGCGCGCAGCGCTGCTCCTCGGCTACGCGGCGCGCCACGCTGACGGCCGCCACCCGGCGGGGCTCCGTGATGCCGATGCGCCCGGTCGTACCCGCCAATCCCGACGACAGCAGCAGCTGCGGGATCTGCGTGGTCTTGCCGCTGCCGGTCTCGCCGACGATGATCAGCGTGCTGTTCTTGCGGATCTCCTCCAGCAGCCTGCAAGGCCCCGGGCTTGAATCTCGCGCCGAGGAAGAGGTCGCTGTTCGCGCCTCGCCACAGGGAACTTACCTCTTCCGAAGTCGGTAAACGGGCAGCGACTTTCTTTGCTGCTGCAGGCTGTTGCTCGTCCCGTCGGCGGCCTGCGCGACGCCATTGTCGATGCTCGCTCGCTGTGCGATTGGCTTTTGTTGGCCGCGCTTGGCGATCTTGTTGCTACTGGGCGCTTCGCTCGGCGCGTCCTTGCTCGGCCTCTTGCCCCCGCCGAACTTGGGGAAGCTCGGATTCGCTCGGCTGAGCGCGCTGTACTTCGAGTCCAGGTTGTCGTGTACGCCCATTTTAGCGACGTGTGCTTGGCTGGACTATGCCTGCAGCTCTGGCGGACACCTCCACGCTGTTGTACCGGACGATTCGATCGCTGAGTTGCATCCAAGTGCTGCTCCCAGTCAGCGATCAGCAGTGAAACGTACACAGCTCTTGATTCTCGATTCGCGCTCCGTCGCGCGGATCTCGATCACTCGGCGTGCACGTGTCGCGCACAAGTCTGTCCTGTCGTCTCACTATGTTGTTCGCTCGTGTCTGATCAGCTGTTACCCTTCCATGCTACTACCGCGCACGCGCTCTCTGTCGAGTGTCGACATCGCGTCTCACTGCCTCACATCTCAGATTCTAGTTTCCCACGCCTCTGCCACTGTGCTCGTGCAACAGTCGTGAGTCGACTTACCTACATAGGAGAGGGGCATGAAATCTTCATCCCGGCGCATGCCCTCGACAATTTCACTTTTACACGTTCCCTATCTGATTCCATTTTCCGTATCTACATTCTTTGACGTATTTCGGTAATCGGTTAACATTTAAGCAATTTTGTTCAAACTTAATAGGCTTGTTCTATGTGAAATATTAAATATTTGTACTAATATTCAGGTCAAAATAACCATTATTGCAAAACTGTTCATTTTCAAGAAAAAAAAATCATTATTTCAGAATTGTTATTATCAATAAAAAATGGAATTACTTTTATTTCGATAACTTTGGTGATAATTAAGATATTGGAATGAACTTTTTTTCACAATACGCGAAAAAACATATTGTCAGATAAAACATTTGAAAAAATATTCATTATTTTATTAAATTTTCTTAACATTTATAATAAAAGAAAAAAGATTTCTTTGATAGGTTCTGTGTTTGGATTTTAAAAATTTGTAATTTAGTGGGTTCCTTGGACTTTTTCACATATAAATAAATAATAAAATTTTCCGGGACTCTAAAAAATAGTCTGCAATAAGCAATGAGACATGTTGCTAGTCGACGCAGCATGTATATTGTATACGTACCATATCAAGTTTTTACGCCAAATATATATCCTTCAATTGCGGCCTTACACTTTATTTACATTGTGTATTCGTCTACTTTCAGTTAGTTTTATATATTGTTTTAAATTAAGAATTGTTCTTAAAAAATTATAAGTTACAAATTACGCATGCGTTTTCATAAAATAAATTCATGTGGAGTATTTATATGTATTATACTGCCATGGGAAAAATTTGGGAATACAAAGCATTCAACTACAAAAAACATTACAATTTATTTATTTGATATGTTTTAATTAAATTCTCATCAACAAGATTCATGATCTATATTAGACATTAGATAATAACTTATAATATCTTATTATGCTTCATATTATTGAATGAATTATCAAAACTTTAATTGGTTTCCCAGTTGATAAAACGTATTTTTTGAGTATTGTTTCAATGTTCTTGGCATACATCTTTAACATAACTAAAATATCCATAGTTTTAATTGAAAACAATGGCTAAAAACAACTTTGCTACTGTAAATTGTAGTTCATATATAAAATATCGTGTACAATAACTGAATACAAAAAACAAAAGGATAGGAATCCTTTTATCCTTTTCTAGATCCAGATCTTTGATAAATCTTTATTCGCTAAAATTGTCTATATATGCTTTGGCCAGAAGCACCAACGTCATTATAACTTATCTTTTCAATTCAAACTAATGATACATCACAGATACACATATGCTGTGCGGTAGGAAGACAGAATGAACAAATTTTTTTTCTAGATGTTCAACATCATCCTTGAAAAATTATCCAACATTTCTTAAGATTCTTTTATTGACGATTACATTTTCATGGTAAAAATTTTTTCGGTAATTGAGCAACACTTAGTTGACGTTCAATGGTCTTATATTGTATTGTAAAAGCATGAGCTTGCAAAAAGACAGATAAGAAGCTATTATTTTGTCATGCCAAATGCATGTAGATTCATCAACAGAACAATCGATATTCAGGTACACTGCAAACACAGACTTAAAATTACATAATAAAATGCGGCTCAGACATCCTTCAGCTCTAATTCAAAGATGTTCATTAAAAATTATCTATTAGTACTTTAAAAAAATAAAACCTATCATCGCGGAGCGAGATAAGTTGTGCCCTTAGCGTATAACGGAGTCTGAAATACGTCAGATTTCCAATTAAAAATTCACATCCTAAATTGGTACATCTGTCACGCGTCAAAATCATCATCATCCGATATCTCCGCACCAACTCGTGCTATATGCTCACTTCTCATTTGTGCGTCCGACTGAGGTTGAATTAAATCATCTCCTGATAGATCTGAGACTGAGCCAGCTCCTTCTGTCAATAATTTCTCTCTTTCCGACACTTCTCGTGCACCAGGAAGCATCTGGTAATGTTCTCTCTGCTTTGGAGACATGTTCAAATAGCCACCAGTTGAGTTTGAATCCGATATCCAGATCGCTACAGCAGTCACCAGAGATACTATAAGATGATAAGATAAAGGTCGTTAAACGATCTTTTAATTATTTCGATTATTCAACTGATTGGAAAGGCTCATTTTACTCACTCCATAACCAAGCAAGGAAGAATAATTCAAGCATAAAGTAACCATGATTGTCAACTATAATTCCACAAAGTATAGACATCACTGCCAAACCCAAATTTTGAAGTGATTGAGCACTAAAAGAGATTAACAAAGTAAAAAACGAATATTAGTAGTGAGAAAATAACATTGTATTGTTTATTAAATAGCATTGTACTCACATTCCATAAGCAGTTCCTAGTTGGTGCTCAGGGATTACAAGTGCAATCAGTGGCCAGAGGCTGCTCGCAAGCATTGAATATGAAATTCCCAACAAAACCATACAGACATAAGGAGTGACATATGTAAAAGCAAGAAGTCCATGGGCAAATAAAGAACCAATGATGCTTGTTGCAACCCAGAGTACATTTCTTCCAATCTTATCAACTAAAATACCAAAGAGAGGAGATGCAATAGCAGAAATACTATAAACCAGTGAATTCACTGTATTTGCTGCATCTGGCTCAAATTCATACTTTCTTATAAAGTACAATCTGAAATAAGAAAATTTTTTAAGTAAAATAACACTTTAAAATAGATTAATTTTATAAGGCACATCAATTCATTTTTCAACCAACTTTCCCAGTGAAATAAATGGAAATATAGCTATATAATAAGCTACGCAAATCCCAGCAACCAGCCAGAAGATATTTTTAAAGTCCTTTACATCTGTAAGTTTTACCAATTCAGGTTGTGGGCCTTCATTTCTTTTCAAAACTTTCTCTGCATGACTATCCATATAACCAAGCAAAAGAGCACAAATCATTGAACCCATACAAGTCATAGCAGAGAAGAATAAAACGATTCCAATGCACTGGGCACCATCATATCCCAGAGTTTCTGAGACATATTTATAAATACTTCCCACTATTAAGAAATTAACTGTTGAGCCCACTCTAGCAAAGCTCAATTGTAATCCAAATACCATATTTAACTCTTTGCCTTTAAACCATAGCACCGCATAACTGTTTTGAGCTACAGCTAATGATTCCGCTCCAATTCTATAAAAAATTTAAAAACAATAAAATTAAAAATATAAACAATTTTGTTTACGCACATAATATATACAATCAAAAAATTCTACCCAAAAACAAATCTGCCTAGCATCATGAGCCAAAAAATATTGAGGTAGACTCCTGTGGCAAAGAGTAACTGACCACACATAGTTAAAGTCATGTATATAATAGTTCCCCATCTTGTACCAAATACACTATCCAAAAGAAAACCTCCAATAAAACATAAGATCACGTTTGGCCATGAATAAATTGAGTATAATAAAACAAATTTGCTCGCAGGCATATCCAAATCTGTTTTAAATTTGTCTTGTAATGCTGCTGGGTTATCATAACAGAAGTATGAGCCTGAAATTAAGATATTTTAGACCATATTTAGAGTGTGTCAAAGAAATTTAACAGTATGCTAATCCAAAATGTGTCATTATTATTTTTATAAATAATTTTATTTATTTTTGTTCTCATTAACAATATTTTTGTTCCCATCATAAATATTTTGAAGACAAATTGCACTGTTTGAAAGAGAAGAAAAAACTATTGTTATCTACTTCAAAACAGCAATATCCCTTTGGCATTTAACACTAAACAATCTTTATTCAAGATAAAATGTTCTACAGTATTAGTCATTATGCTTAATTTATAGTGCTGACTTCACTTATCTTAAGTAGAACTCCTTTGTTGTGAAGCAAATATGAAAAATGATTGAGTAAAAGTTAATTTGTACAAATTAGCATTTTATTTATTAATAAATTTTTTTTTGGAATTATAATAATGAAATGGTAAAGCAATTGCTATTTGTGAAATGAAAAACAGTGCATACTGAGAGCTGCTTTGATACTGATGTAGCCTAGATAGTTTATTAAAAGGGGAGTAGAGTAGATTAACAATATCAATGATATTTCCAATTTACTCACCAAATCCTAAGAAACACATAAACGTCAGACCAATAAATCTGAATGTGGCTTTTTTGGGGCTGAAGCATCCTTGCAGTCCAGGATCATCTTCTGATCTAAGAGTTACTTGACTGCCTTGTTGAGACATAGTGATTTTTAAATGCCGTTGCACGGAAACTTGTATAAAGTCAACTAACAGTAACAGCTTTCTTTTTATGTTTATGTCGATTGTTCCGCTGGCTCACTTTTACGTAAACTATTATAACGACCTTCAATGGCCAAAAAGAGGCATCATCATGTGTCGAGTATGAGTGTTATAACATTCGTGCGTTGTACAAAATATTCACATTATTCGCAGTGTCTTACAGAGTACATTACAGGTACAGCTCAATAGTGAACTCAACTACGAACTACGACAAAGCAGAGCAAAGCAAGTCGTCAACAATTATCAGGGCTTAGGCCAGCATGTCCATGGATCATAGAAACAATATAGTCTTCATGCTATGGATCTAAATCCAAGCATTATGGGATCGACCTCTTGTGGCACAAAATAGAAATAAACAGCTTCGTATTCCAAATTCCAATATCAAGCGACCCACGAATGACGAAGTTCAAAAATTCGAATTATTTTTGACGATTGAGTATCGATGACACTAAACGATAAATTAGATGAAAGACTGCAACTTGTGAGAAAAAACTAAAACCCATTTGATGCCATCGATGTTTACTCGTCGAAAATAATTTGGATTTTGAATTTCACGAGTCACATAAATTGTCTAAACAAATCTATGTATATATGTATGTATGTGTGTATGTATGTATGTATGTATGTATCTATGAATGTATATGTGTATGTATGTATGTATGTATGTATGTAATACATACATCAGGCAGTATATAGGGCTGAGTGTTTTTTTTTATTTAATGTATTAATGCATTAATATTAATGGAAGAAACTTGTAATTTCTTTTACAATAAATCATCTATTATTGTTAGAATAAGTTACGCCCACTCGTTTACAAATAGCTTCGATTATTACTAATATATTATATAATAACCTGATTTTTTTCTGTGCCATATCCTCTCTACGTTTAAGATTTCGCAATTATTTATACGTAAAATATGTCCATGTGATAATAACGTTTATACAGTAGATCTATATTTTTTATCATTTTTCATGACACACAGACATTAAACAAGTAATTAATTTTTAATCTTGATAGTCTTGATACACATCCAATATCCGATATCTTATACGTCCGAATTCGTTATAATTACAATTACAATGAGTACGTATATCAATCATTTATAATCATTAGACAGGCTACCATTAAAAACAATGCATAATATGGTAAATGCTTTTCTTACACGATTTTGTTAAAACTTTAGTTTTTCATTAAGGATGAATATATGAGAATGAGGCGAATATTAATAGTAACTTATCTAACTAGTGCGGGAAAGTAGATTCTTATCTCGTGTAAGGTTTACGCTTGATACGAGCAAAGCAAAGCGAGGATGGAAAGACACGAGACGAGACCGAATATCTTTCCCGAATATGTTTTGTGTGAGAGTGTGATGTGGTATGTGTGTGTATAGGTACAGTATTTTTCAAAACAACGCGTGGAAAGCGCAAATTTGAAAATTTTAGCACACATTTTCCGATGAGCGTGCGAGAAAGTCGTACTTTCCACAAAGCGTGTTTAAAAAATAATTACACTTGCTCAATTATCATGGAGTTTTATCTAAGAAATTTTCTACATAAGAGCCATAAGACATCGGATGTTGAACGAATATTGAGGTAAAAAAACAAATTGATTGTTTGTCATTATCTTACCAAAGATTTGTGCACGATCTTAAAAGATCACGAGTAACATTTATTTTTATTTTACTAATTAATTTCAAACAATTAATTCATTTTTACATCTCCGTGCACGTCTGACGTCCGCGATATTCGATGTCCGATAGTTTCTATGTAGAAAGTCTCTATAAATATAAGATCAATTTCAATTATGGATGCAGGAAAGTTTAAAAACGCAGTATTATTCGCTATTTATACGGATTTACTTATTTGCAATTTATTAATTTAACAAGATCTTTATTCTAAATATCTCAATATGTTGTGATACGATGTATGGTATGGTATGATGACTATATTGGTTTATCTATTTTATAAAATATTTTCACAATATTAACTAAATGAATCTGCTGTTTTAGACTTTAATTTCTAATAAGCAATGAAATTTTTTTTAACATTAAAAATCTCTGGATATGTATGCATATGAATACTAAATTTTATTTTGTTTATTGAAACTACATAAATATATTTGAACAATTAATCTGACATTTAAGGCTCACACATTGATGTAATGATTATATATTTCAAATTTATAGGACTGACATCAATCATGATCATGTAAATTGATTTACACGTTGAATAGTTTAGGTCAAGCAGTATACAAATGAGTTTGAATCAATGTTTTTTAATCTTTTATTATACTTTTATTTATTTTCATCTAAATAAAATATTCATTTTTTTATAATCATTTCATTTGACATCGATCTTGCAAATTTTCAATTATAAAAATAAAAAATACGTAAAAGAAACGTAATATTATAAAATAATATTTGAATCTCTACGCAAAGTCTGTAATATTATGGAACAAAAATTTTTCTAATATAATTCGTTTAAAAATCAAAATCAAATTTAGTAAATTGTAAATAAATAAAAAACAAATTTTTAAATTATCCACATAGCGGTGTACAGATAAAATCCACGCTACCAATAAAAATCGATTGGTTATTTTTATATCTATGAAGATATATTCAAAAATAGTAAATAAATAATAAAATATTTTTATAAAAATAGTTTAATTTTGATGTTTAATAATTATAAATGCAATTTCACAATGCAAAGTTGTGAGACATATAAAATGTAAAATTTTCTTTCAATTTAATTCATTTAAATATCTATAGTATTTTATCATCAGTAAACAGATGATTAAAATATGAATTTGTTAATAATATAAAAAACATACAAATAAATAATGTTTTAAAAATTGTTACATTTATAATAATCTATAATAATACCGATTGCAAAATTGCAACAGTTAATTTGATTTTCATGTTTTGATTTGAAGCTTCACGAATTATAATATGTACAATTAATTATAATATTATACGAATAAGAAAATAAATAGAAAATCTAATAAATAAAAATTACCTAAATAAAATAATATTAAAAAAAGAAGAAGAAATTTTGGCATAAAATACAAAAATAATATTCTTATAATCTGATTTTCTTACTCTTTTTCTTTAATTATGTGCACACGTCCATAAATGACTTCTTGTAACATTATTAATTGTCCAGCCTTTTGCAATCCTAGAAAAAAAGAAGTTTGCTAAATATTTGAAAAATTCAAAATATATTCTTGTTTCGACAGATGTTTATGCCCTTCCCTCTCGACTGAATAAGAATCTATTTTTCAGCACTTGCACCGTACGGTATTTTTGAATAAGATACATGCAAAGTTCGATTTTGAGTTCATTTTTTTGGCCGACCGTGTGAGAAAGTCGCATTTTGCACACGGAGTGTCAATAGTACATTACGATACAAGTGCAGGAAAGTAGATTCTTGTCTCGTGTGGCGTTTACGCCCGAGCGAAGCGAGATACAAAAGATACACGAGACGAGAAACTCTTTTGCGAACGTGTGCCGTACCATATTTTTTTATACAACGTGTGGAAAGTACGATTTTCAACGCACGTTTTCTGTCGAGCGTGCAGGAAAGACGCATTTTGCGCACGGAATATCGAAAAAGATTCGTTTTTACTTGTATCGTAATGTACTATTTCCTACTATCGTGCGCAAAGTTCGATTTTGCGCACGCACATACGTTCGCAAAATCGAACTTTGCGCAGCTTAGTAGGAAAAATAGTATACGTAACTTGTGCTCAAATAAGGTGATAGCGTACGCGCATTGCCGCCCTCATTTCGCTTGGGTGGCAAACTTACGCGTACGGGAATCATTTACTTTGCACACTCGTTGCATAATGTACTATTTCAACATGTGCGTAAAGTAAGATTTTGCTATATGCTCGACCAAGACCATCTCAAATTCGCGCTTTCCACACGTTGTTTTGAAAAATACCGTATCTATATAATGTGTTTAGAAAAGACGAGATTTTCATCTCGTATTCCTTTCCACTTTTCTTTTGCTCCAGTGTAAATCTTACACGAGACAAAAATTTATACTTTTTCGTCCTAGTTTCGTAATGTACTATGTATGTAAAATAGTGCTTACTTTGTAAAAACACAAAATATCTGAAAAATGCTACAAGAGAAGGTCGTAGTGGGATAATATTGTCTAAATAAACTTTGTCAAGTCTGACGACCCACATATTTTTTAAAAATTGGTAAAATTCATCTATATCCATGAGCAATGATCTCTCATCTGCAGAGGTGATAGAAATAGACGATCTATGAAATAATAAAAATTTCCATTTATTAATAAATTATTTTAAATAGTATACAATGAAAAAATACTTACGGCGATTTTTTAATTATATGATATGGTTGGGGGTCCGGGCGGTCATTTTCTTCCGGAGTAATTGCAGGCAGTGGTAAAGCGGGAGGATTAAGTAAATCGTTATCCGGTGTGTTAGCCATAGGTGGTTCAAAGTTATTGGATATGGATTGGGATTGCCTTGGTGATACACCTGGAGCATCTGGTCTAATCGACCTTCTGTTAATTAATTCTATTAAATTTTATGTACTCTTTAATTAATATCAAAGAAAAAGTAATTAATCTATCGTACCTACTAGGAGTGCCCGGTAATTGTTGTTGTGGTGATTGCTGTTGACCCAATGCAGGCAATATTGGGAGATCAGTATGTATTTCGGGTAATCTACTAGATTCGCTGGGTGATGGAGGTGGTGGCATCAATGTTCTGTCGCGATATTCATTATAGACATTGTCCCCTTCTAATGTAACGTTCCGATCTCCAGACTGAGTTTGTCTAGAATAATGCTTAAAAGTGGATAACCTCGGCCTTTTGTTAACATTTATATCTCTTGGTACTGAAGACCTTGTCGATGTATCTTCTGAAATACAATATTAATTTATCATTGAATGAACAATAAACATTATGATGAACGTTATCAATATGATAAATTTGTTGATTATAATATATATTTTTTAATCTAAAATTTACTTACCATGAGCGAGCAATATTGGTCGTGCTCTTTCAAAATATAAATTTAGGAGATTCTTTCCAAAATAGCATGGACCTCTTGGATTCATTCTTGTAGCCGGCAATGAAAATAAATCTACTACTCGTTGTTTTTTAAGATTAACGCGCGTTGACTCCATTCGCTAAAAATAAAAAGTCATACAAATTCATCAAAAACCCATTGTTAAATAAATAAATAAAAATTATTGTATATTTTCCCCAAAAATCGTTGAAAAAGTAAATAAAAGTTACCCTAGTATAAACATTGATAAATTTTTCTCTTTGGTTTATTACAGGTAGTTTCTCAATTTGCTTTATTTTATCCTGCCACTGTTTTAAGCGTTTATAACGTTTTGGAGTAAATGCAGCAACTGATTCATCTGTCAATTCTTCTAATTGCAGATCATCGTCAATATTTTCAAATGATTGACACCTGTTAAACATAAATTATAAATTGCGCAATTACAAAATTATAAAAAACAACCTAAAAAAATGGTTATTAATTTGTTTGTAATTGGATTTACGGAGGGAGTTGAGCACCCTCGGGCACAATAAGAACAGTTGTCATAGATTCACGATTTTGTTCCCATTCTTGAACACTCTGAATTTGATGAGAAGAACTTCGATGAGCTTCCTCGTTGAAGCTTCTTACTGGCATATGTTCTGTTAAAATTATTAAAAGTAAATTATCAATTCTGTTTTTGAAAATATTGAAAAGATAATCTGTAATTTTATCATGTACACACCATGAAATTGGTCCAATATAGTTTTTTCTGCGACATCAAGTATCTTTTCATGAGCAGATGTAGAAGAACCTTGTCCATCTGATTCAAATAATTTTCGAACTATAGTTCTTTTCTCTTCTGAATAACCATTTGCGTGCGATGACAATTTCTTATAAACGTACAAATTCTTGAATTAAATAAATTTACATCATATTGATAAACATTCTTTAAATAAAAAGCTATTGATTATACTTTTTGACGTTTCGTTGGAGTTTCATCGAGAACTTGAAAAGTTTTTCTTTTAGGAGTTGTCGCGACTGGACGGTCGTCCGCTGCGTTATCTTTCTTTTCATGCTGTGCTGTGCTAGGTGAATTTGTTACTGTACTTTCTTTTTGGGGCGTTGCAGATGTTACAACTACCGGCGTACTCGCGTAAATTTCACCTCCATCAGTGATTTGAAAATTATCAATAATAGATTGCTCCGGTTGTGCTATTTCATCCGGTAGATCTATCTGTTGTCTAAAACAATCAATTTAGAAAAGCTTACTGTTTGAAATAATGTAAGAACTTTAATAACATAGTACCTACTTCAGGTGTATTTCATCGCCAAAGTCTCCAAGATTATAAAATGGATCCTACAGTGAAAAAATGCTTATATTGATATGTATTACCATATGCAAATTTCAGAAAATACGGGATCTTTTGATACTTTTACTTGATTTCTCACTTCCAGAATATCCATTTCTTGTAGAAGGTTTTGATCGGTTTCAACGTCTCGCTGAAAAATATGTATGAAGGCACTTTCTTTACAAAGTTCCATAGAGTGCATTGATTCAATATTAATATGTTTATCGATATTAATAGAGTCTTCTATTCCGCCTTTGACCTTTTCAGATTTACTATGAAAAATAAAAACTTTAATGAGAATAATAATTAAAAAAAATATATTTCTATTTCACAAACCTGCGGATGCCGATAAACACCGAATTTAATTCATTATTAACTTTTTGAAGATCTTCTATAAAGAATATAAATTGTCTATAAAAAACAACAGAGTAATAATCTAGAATTAGAGAATATGAATTTATAATAAACCTAGCAACAAATTAACTGATTGTTTATATATCCTCAAAATTCCAAGGCAATATGTTGATAGCAAGGGATATGAGAAACAGTTGGCAAGTCGAAAAACTCTATCCCTACAATCAAACGATCACTTCATTTATTTTGATTCCATACAACAAACCGATAAATTTCAAAAATGATATCTTACGTTAATTCGGAAATATTAAATTTTTTTATTTCCCATTTGGATGTTTTGCGTAGTCCAGTGCCTACGAAATTTTTGTAGCATCCCGCGTGAAATACTTTTTCCAATAAGATGTCATCCTGAGACGAAGCTGTCGATTCAAACGAATACATTTTCAAGTCCAAGATCTGTCAACCAAAAATATGAATTACCATAGCATAATTTATAGCATTTTATATAAATTTATATTTGCAAACAAATTTTTTAGTTTTACGGCAATAAATTTAGATTTGTATAAATTATTTTGAAATAATATTTATTCGATAAATAAAGATTATTAATTAATTATGCACTCATAGAAACTGTCTATTTCGATTAATAATTAACATTTTTACTACAATTATTCTGCTATTACCCTAGGGTTTTTGTTACTAAGGGACTTTCTACGTAAGTCACCGGACATTATACATCAGATGTTGAACTGAGGTAAAAAAACAAAATGATTGTTCGTCATTTATTCATAGTTTGTCTTATCAAAGATTTATTCTTGGTCTTAAAAGACCATGTGAAACATTTATTTTTCTTTTACGAATTAATGTTAAATAATAAATTCATTTTAACACCTTTGTGCACGTCTGACGTTCGATGTTCAATGCCTCTCATGAAGAAAATCCCTAAATGCATCGGTAAAAATTACTATAGTGTACTTATAGTGCATTCTTCGATTATTTATGCATTCTTCCACTTGTTTGCTCATCAGTATAGAGTACTTCTTCTGTTTCATAAAAAGCACACTGAAATGACAATTATGGATAAAGAAAGAGAATTAATTATCAACGAACTCCGTACTTCAAAATACTTCAAATATATTATAAATACGAAAGTCGAACGAATTTCTAAAGATGTAGAAATTTCTCAAAAGGTTAGAATGAAAGGAAATGTTTTGTATAATAGCAATGGTCATACAGCTCAAACACACGAAGAGATTTTTAAACTTTATACACAAAGTATAGCTTTAGCTCCCATGAATTCAGAAGAATTAGCTCTTGCTTATGGCAACAGATCAGCTTTGCTTTTACATCTGCATAAATATAAAGAGAGTTTAAATGATATTGATAGAGCTTTGAAAATAACTAAATCAAAATCTCTCAAAGAAAAGTTACTCATTAGGCAACTGAAATGCTTAAATTTACATAATTCCAATCAGAATCTTAAAGAAAAGCCACAGCTTTCCAATATTCAGAATCAAGAGAAAGTTGATAGAGTAAAAGCTCTATCCCTAAAAGACCCATTTCAATCAGTGGTAATTAAATACAATGAAAAATATGGCAGGCATTTGGTGGCTGCTCGTAATATAAAGCCTGGAGAAATTATTTTTGTTCAAAAACCATATGTGACGTATTTGAATATAAAATACCCATACATGTACTGTTGTCATTGTCTCAAAGTTGCTTGGAATGGTATTCCTTGTGAACATTGTACATGGTTTATTTTTTGCTCTGAAGAATGCAAAAGTCAAGCTTGGGAACAGTATCACAATATTGAGTGTTCGTGTATATCATATATTCTTCATTTTCTAAGATACATTAATAAAGAATCAGGAGAAGCAGTTTGTTTCGATGGACTTAGTATTCGAGCTTTAATTACAGGACTTAAAGAGTATAATAGCTTTGAAAAATTGAAAGATGAATTGCAATTGGTTGATCGAAGATTAGGTAATGTAAAGACAGAATTTTCTAAATCGTTATATGATATTAATCTGGTGTTTTTTAATTCTTACAGATAAACAAACCAAAGGATTCTCCAAAAATGGAAAGTTTGAGAACAATAGCTTGAGAAGTTTGTATAGTTTGTCAAGTAAAATTCCTTACAATGAAGAGAAAATCCATATCATGTTTGCTATGGTTGCTCTTACTTGTTTTGCTAAGTATACATCTATTTTTCAAGATAAAATCCAAACGAATGATTTAGAGAACTTGATAAAAAATCCCCATTTCATTTTTGTTGGATCGTTAATTTTAAAATTGTCTAAAATAAGCAATGTTAATAGTCATGGTGTAAGTTTTTAAGTGTTTTTTAATTCAAACTGATTTTTCTTTTCATTTACGTTAAATAAACAGTCTTTTTATCGTTCATTGATATGTGTATTTATTTCAATTGTTTTAGATTGTTAATATAACTGATGATTGCAAATATGGTAATGATCTTATAACATGTAGAAAGAATTGGTGCTGTGTTAAAGGAGTATGCATTGTACCACTTGCAAGTTTAACGAATCATAGTTGTAATCCCAACGTAAGACGCTGTTTTACTAATGATTCAAAATTTATTTTATACTCATTACAGACAATTAAAAAGAATTCTCAGGTTGGTAATTTACCAATCAATATGTATTTATTTGTACTTAATAAAATAATAACTTAATTTTTTTTTTCAGATATTTGATAGCTATTTCTGTACTTTCTTTGAAACACCAAATCCTTGCAGGCAGAACATTTTACAAGATAATTTTTGCTTCAAATGTGATTGTATTGCTTGTAAACAAAATTGGCCTACTTGGCCTGTTAACACAATGTTTGAAGTAGGCATTTTATATATCACATGTGCATATATTTATTGAACAACTGTCAAAATAATATTACAATAAAAATTGTTTTTAGGTCCAATTAAAATCTATAAAACTAAATCAAAAAGAACTGGAAATATGGAAAAGGAATGAAAATTTGATAAAGCAAGTTGAAAAGGGAATTACAGACCACAAAAGTAGTATCATAAATGACCTCTCAAAAGCTATACTTGGTTCGATGAAAAATTTACCTCAACCTTCTATTGTAACATACAAATTTATTTTTACTTTGATAACAGCATTTGAAAAATTACATGGATATTCAATGAATAATTTCAATTCTTGTGAAAGTTAATTAATTAAAAAATTATTACAATACAAGATTGGTATTTTCGTTTTATTTTCCTTACAGTTTCAAGATAAATGATAGAAACTCACTATCACGATTGAAAAATGTTTGATTGTCTTTATAGAAAAATAAAAATAGAGAAAGCAGCTTTTGAAAATTAAGCACTTTGTTGAGCTACAAATATTTCTTCATGTTTTTCCGACGAATATTACATTCTTTAGTCTATGGTAAATAATGTGATTACTTTTAATATTATACAGTAGTTGTATAATGCATTATTTATGTATTCAAATGATGTTATATTAAACGCGTTACGAAAATTCGAATACTTTTGAAAATCGAAAATTTATATTAATGAAGTAATCCATCAAGTAAAAGAAAAAGTAATAAACGTACCTGCAATTCCAATGTCAGTGATAGCTCAAGCAAAAAGTAGTATAATGTACAGAAAAAAGAAAAGAAGTAATGCCTCAGGTAAAACTCCGCGGTTAATTTGCAGTTTGGGGCGCACGCAGTAAAACAACTCTTACTTGTCAAAGACTTTCTCGCGAAAACTCAGAAATACGGACCAAGTTCAGTAGAAGTTTGTAGTTAAATGCACGCGACCTCTATTGAAGGGTGGGAATGACTAAAGGACTGTATTCTTAGAACTGCAACTTGAACCTTTTTTCAGCGAAAACTGTGGACATTAATCTGTAAAAATACTAAAGATCATTTCTTCATGTACGTAGGAAGAACAATTTTTTTATGAACTGATTTTTGAAGTCAAATTGATTTATTGATAAATTATCATTTTAGCTTTCGGTAAATAGCAATTTTGAAAATATATATTAATAGTCATCTTATTTTATTTTATAACGTCACGAAAATAAATACCAGTAAAGTAGAAATAGTTAAATTAAAAATGAACATTGCACTAATCTTCTTGATTGTGTTATCATCACTACTCATAGCTACAGGTACTATAAGTGCACGTTTTTTGACATGTTTAGTGAAACATGTCGATAACAATTAAAATTACACTATTTGATATTATTTGTCTGACCAATAAAAACCAGCTACTAAGGCTTTCCACATAATTCTATAGCTATCTACAATATCTATATTAAACGGGAAAAATTTATTGCGTCTTCTTTGTCATCATTTGCTTAAACGAAGCACAGTTATAGTACTTGAAAAAGTAATAGTGATAAATTTTACAACGTAGATTACATCTAATCAATTTTGGAGTAATTTATTTAGCAATTTCATTATAAAAAATAAAGAAATCAACGATGAATGATTATGAATTCTTTTGAGCTGTCACTGAGATATTTCTGTTTGCGTCAAAAACAAAATCAATTATTACTCTAACCTTGATAAAATATAATGATACATGCATTATTTGTAAATATAATACTAATAAAACTTACGTAAGAAACGTTTATCACAAATACAAAATATAAAATAACCTTTCACCATTACATGACTACTCTGAATAATGTATCATTTAATAATAGTATATTTCGATACTACTCTTCACTTCCACCAGCTTTCGCTTCGAAAAACGTAAACGTCCACGTAAGGCTTAAATCGCTTTCTCAATACGTGTGCGAGATGAGTCCTCGTGCGCGGAATATAAAAAAATTTATTTTATGATGAATCTGCTAGATCGAATTCTCTAAAATTGAATAGTTATAATCTAGGCTATAACATTTCGTTTAGGCAAATCATTGGATGGAAGATGTGACTGATATTCCTCGTTTATACACACACGTATAGAATTGTATGGAAGGGGCATTAATTATTTAAAAAGAATGTCTGAACAATTAGTGGAAGAAAAATACACTTCCAAATCCCATGGTAAATTATATGAAGTTAGTGTTAATACATAATAGTATAAAAATAAGTTTTATTCGAATTTCAAATAAAAGTGGCTGTAAATAGTATCGCAACTATTTAGCGCTTTGTGAAAGTAAATCTTATTTGATATTATAATGTAAATTAACTTATACTAATATAAATAAGTTTCCTTGACAATTATGTTTTAGGTTTTAAAAAAAGTATAGGAATAACATTACAGTGTTTACGTTCGTAAATATAAAATATAACAAAATCAAATCATATTAAAAATTACTAAAACATTAAATAATTTGTTAAATATTTCAGATTCATAGATAATCCATTAGAATCGGCTATTGGGTGTTCTTACAATGATATAGTATATCAAAGCAACTTAAAATTATATATGCATCAAAAGCTGTTAAACTTATGAAAGTTATTTTTTGCAGGTACAACTTACAAAATGAAAATAAGTATTTCTGATAACTATTCAAACTTATTTATCAATTCTCAAAGTGAACAGGAATCAAATATTTTTTAGAAAAGAAATCGTCATCTTAAAACAAAGTTCATAAATGTCTGAAACACTTTTATTTTATTAAATTGACACATAATTCATTAGAATATTTCAAATTAATCAATTCAAATTGCTACTATTTCGTATTAATTAAAATAATTTTATAGTGAATTGATATTTATTTAGAACTAAAACTATATTCCATTGAAACATTGATCATATAATTAATAACGTACATTAAATTTGTGAAACGTTTTTACAATTGAATATACAAATATCTTTTGGCACAATAAACAAATTTTTAATTTCTATTCACTTGTCACTATTTGAATACATACGAAAACTAGTTCGGACAATTGATAATATTTACATGATATTACAAAATGTGTGAACTAATTTAGAAAAAGTTCTTTGACAAAAGATTCTTTTAAAAATAGTATTAAAAATTTATATAATATCAAAATTTCTAAATTTTTATTTTTAAAAATGTAAAATAAAATCAAATTGAGCATTACTAAAAATACTGATATTTTTCTATTGATTGGCTCATTTGTAAATTTTCTATCTTATCTATAGTAAATGAATGGCATTTCACACAAATAAATTTTATTTACACCGAAACACACATGAAACATTAACAAAAAGAGAATTCCTTCTATTGTTTCTAAATTAATCAAGAAAAAACTTTGCTACACTTGCTAAATTAGATAACGTTTATTCTTATGATTGTACATATTTTAGCCCATTGTGTAAAATAATACTTTTTAATTTATATTGCTATGCATATTTGGTCAGTCATTAAGTAGTTATTAATATAAAATCGTATATAAATTCGTACAAATGCTGCTCTCTCAACAGCGATTTAAAAATAACTAGATATTGCATCATTATTCCAAAATAAATATTTCATTATCCTTTTGAATCGGCAATTCATCGAGTGATGTACTAATTTACGTTCAGAGATCTTTTAAGTCATTTACAGTGTAAATGTTTATTAAATAATATTTACTTCTAAAATAACGTATTTTTAAATACATTTTAAGTATTAAAGTTAAACACGAAATCAAAATGCAACATCAGTATATATTAAGTACCATCATACGAGTGAAAATACACATTCAACAACTAGAACAATGACTTATTTAAGTAGACCATCTAATCTTATAAAGAGAAATTAATCGAATTAATAAACTATAATAAAATAATAAAATACTTCGTTTAAGTCTTGTGAAAAATATTATGAACCAGCCATTGTGATCATATTATTTGCCGAGATTCCGTTAACAATAGGATTTATTACGTTAGTAACAGTCGTTGTAACATTGGTCGTTCCTGTGGTAGTTATAGTCGATGTAATCGTTGCTGGCGTGGTAGTCGACGAAATCAATCGCTGATGAACTTTTGGTGCACTAGCTTGGCGAACGCTCATTTCCCATGTGTTGAGTAGTTGTGATATCGAGTATCTCTTAGGTAACTTGGCCAATCTTGCGTCCAAGCCTTTCTGCACTGCTTTCAAATAAGACGTAGTATATTCATGGCTAGTAAGAACACACCGAGGTGGAATAGATGGATAATCAGTGGGAACGATTACTAAGACTGGCGGAACACAAGGTAAATGTTTGTCGTCCAACCAACAAATCAGCTGAATACATTTAGAACCATTTTGTTGGGCAGGATCCAAACTTATCTGTTAAAAAGGTGTTATTAGTTTTTGTTCAAACAACATGCACGATTTTCATACACTTAGTTGACCATAAAAAATCAACCTTGAATCTTTGATCGAGACGAGCTATCTCTCCTTGGAGAACATCAGGTATTTCGCAAGAAGATTCTTCAGTCTTTCTTCTCTTTAAGGGAGGTGGTACATTTCTGTAATTAAAAAAATATTTAATAATTATACAGAAATATTATCATTAGCTAATAGATTATTAGATAGATACTTTATCTCTGGCCCAAATAATACTTCTAAACAAGGTCCAAAAGTACGGTGAAGAGTATGGTTTGCAACGGGACTTTGTAAAACCGTTGTTACCACTTCAAGTAGAGGAGTGAAGAAATGATGCTCTTTCAGAGTAGTCTGCACACCAGGACCACCTGTAGCTTCAAACTTCTTAAAGTCTAATTTTTCTAATACCATTTCGCATCTATGCAATACATCTAATTTTGTACTTGAAGTAGGATTCGTTAAAACTTCTAACAGTTTCTTCATTTTGCTCATCTTTTCTGTATCTATAAAATTACAAAATATATTAATAAATAGCATACTTTCAATAAAATTATATGAGAGAGATCAACTTACTTCCTTCACTAGTTGTCTTTGAAATCATTCTTCTTAAAGGCTCTATATATTTACTAAGTTTTCGAACTTTCTCTTTATACGCTTGTGTAGTTTGTTCATCAAGCAACGGGCTTGGAGTTGTAGCAATTGCTCCAGCAGGTGTATTTACAGAACTACTGGGTGAGACTGACATTGCTGAAAAATAATGAAATTGAATGAAAAAATAAAAAATGAGGTAAGCCCTAATTATTTCTTTAAAAACTCAATATTTATTATTACTAACCCATTGACCTCTGAGCCCCACCAAGCAAAGCATGTTGAGGATTTGGAGACGATACCAGAGCTGGCGATGCTACCATTTGACTAAAAAAAAATGTCTCAATAATTTATTTAATTGATGTTGCAGTTATTGAAAATGTGTTCATTAGCTTCAAATACTTTGATGGAGTCGGTACACCTAGACCTCCAGGACTTGGGACTGATGGTGATGGACTTTGTCTTAAAAATTGATTTGGCGTCATATTTCTTGTTCCTGGGAATGCAGTATTCATCATTTCTACAGGCTAAAAAGCAATGTCATAAAGTTCATATTATATTATCAGTATATCTTTAAGACTTGTACAAAACCGAAAAAATACTTACTTTACGTTGCATTTGTCCAAGTTGAGCTTGAGTCAACTGATTGGCAGCTATCTGAGCAGTATTAATTTGGTTCATATGTTGTTGAGGTGGACCTTGCTGTTGTTGCATTGTAGGCTGCATTCCAGCATTCATAGGGCCTCCTAATTGATGTGCACCTATTTGATTTTGCATTTGATTCTGAAACATCAAAGTAGTATAAAAAAAGAATAAAAAATATTTATAAATAAAATTTTATAAAAATATTTATAAAATCTTAGTCCATTAACTATCATAACAAAAACAATTTTCATTACCTGCAAAATTTGCATTTGATTTGGTCCCATTTGCGATACATTAATTTGAGGTCCTCCTATCTGCTGAGACTGCATAAGTTGAGGTCCCATTGGTTGCCCTAAATTCCCTTGATTAATTTGATTGATTTGAGTCATCATTGGATTTCCTGGCATACTTTGCATCTGATTCATTTGATTTACTCCCATTGGAGGACATCCTTGTTGATTGTGCATCATACCCATGTTTGGCATTTTATTCTGCATTCCAGGCATATTGATAGGTTGTGCTGGCCGCTGATTCAAATTTTGCAAAACTATTAAAAAAAATTATTAATGTTTTTATTCTAAACCTCTAAGCTTTTATAAATGCTTAAATTTAATTGTATAAGAAAGAAAATACTAATGGAACATACTTTAGAAAACAATTATTAAATTATAGTTAAATATAAATAAGCTTATGATTGGTGTTACCACCTGGGTTTTGCTGAAGAATCATTTGCGGATTTTGGATAGAAGTTTGCATTCCCATGTTTGCATTATTACCAGTACCCTGTCGTGCCAATGTTTGTAGTGCTCCAATAGGATCAGGCATGCCTTGCTGAACTCCAATATTTGTATTAGTAGCTCCTGATGCTATAGTGCCACCAGGTTTCTTACTTTGAGAAATATGAATAATTAACTTGGCGATGAAAGCCAAGTACTCATCCTGAACAATCAAATACATTTGTCAATGTAAGTAAATCAATGAAGATTTTATATGATAAATAAATGTAAATGTATTTACTTTTGATTTGGCTTTCATGAATAAATGTGACTCCATATCACTGGCATTCTTGGACATGGATATTTGATATTTCTGCATCTCTTCTTCACTAAAATGAGAAAGATCTTTTCAATCTACATTTTTTAAATAAAATGTACAAAATGTACAACTTATTACATTTTGGCTATCATGCTTTGGCGAAAAGTTGGTGTTTTCCACATATTAGGATCTTCAGAAGTCATTTTCAAGATTTTACTGCAAAAATAAAATAAAAAATTCTAGTATACAGACAAATTAAGGTATACAAATTTTATTTCAAATGTCAAAATAAAATTTAGGTATCAATCACACTTTTAATATAATTGTTTAATTTACTAAAGTAAATTTATATCAGACCTTAAAAACCAAGCAGCAGTTGATTGCCTTTTTGTTATTAATATTTCAGTGCATATATGTATTTCGGCCAAATAACGTTTATATTTATCAATTCATTAGTTGATAACTGCATTTTTTGGTTAGAAAACACAACTTATTTAACACGTTTGATTGAAAAAATCTTTTTGACAATACGAATTATGAAACATTTTTGGATGTTAATTCAAAATAATACATTTCTAATATGCAATTTTGAAATATCCGTCGTTAATGTCACATTTTTAATGACTTTTTTATGCAGCGTACGAGATTCAGGTTACGGTTATCAACGAATATAGACGCTTATAAAAGACCAAACCTGTGTATAAGTATAAACATTTCAGAAATATCTGTTAGATGGTGCTCGCAAGCGTCAGAAAAACTTTTGTTAGCAAGGGGAGTGAAAAGTGAGTGTTCGGAAAAAAATAGGGTGAAGGCAGCGAAAAAACGAGTGCTTAGCCGGCTTAGCTTAATTTTTAAGTTTTATCACTTTTCGTATCAGCCAGACTGGAGTGAAATTTAATATTCGTTGTGGTTACCGACTAAGCTCTGATATGAATGGTATGTATACATACATAATGTTCAGGTTTTTGTGTATGTACACACACACATATACCGGTATATGCATAATACACTATATTCCTATCTGTGTAGTTATGTACAATAGTTGTTTCTTTACCATGATTTTTACAATGCTGACCTATTTCAAGCTGACATCACCTTTTTAATAAATCTATGGAATAAGTAAAACAGCTGATATATTAATAAAAAAAATATTTTTGGCCTTGCACGTAAAAAATTTATTTTTTACATAATTATATTATAAAACAGTTATTATTTTGAAAAATGATCAAAAGTTACTGATTATTACCATTGCTGATTAAGTTTATTATTCTGAAATTAATTAAGAAATCTCGAAGACATATAGGTGCTTTCAAACTCGTGAACATTTTAAAATTTATTTTAGAACACGAACAAATCTAATTAGAGAACCAGCCTAAAAAAGCATGATTCATCTTAAAAATAAAAGAAGGAAAAATATATTGCATTTAATTATTTAACAGAAACGTCATTTTCGTAGGAAACTCTAAAAACATTTATGTCCCAAGAAAAATTGTAAAAGCACGCGTCAAAATGAAGGAGTAGTCGGAGTGCACTTTTTCGCCTTTTGCGTGCTATCGACTGATAATCGGTACACAAGTAGACGAAAGCCACGATATGTGACAATATAGATTGATACTCGCATTGGTCTTGTTCTTGTTCTTCCCCGTGCGCGTCTTGACAGACACATCGATCTTATGCAAATTAGACAAATATTCACGCGTTGAACTCGAAGGAATGTTCTTTATACCTCAAAAAACACGCGAATAAATTACGTAACGCGTTGCAACTAGTAGACTAGGAGGCTACGCTTCGCTCCCGCAGGGGAAAAATATTATATATTTCTCGTCGGCGCGTTTCCGTTCACGTCGTATATTAAAGCATGAAATTCGCTCGATTAATGTCATTCACGGTCGGGCGTTTGTCCTGATATTATAGCTACTTACCGATTCGCGCGTTGATCAAGGAACAGCATCGATTTTTCAAGCGCACATCTCGCGAGCATGAATAAGTTTTCTTTACCGATCATCGTCGCCAACCTTGGGCTTTTAACGTCATTGGTTCTTGCTGCTCCACCCAACGATGTACAAGGTATACTATTTTTTTTACTAGTTTGTGTCAAACGTGTTTGAATTATTGTCACCCATTGCGATTCTATAAGTTAAGCTGAAATCTTTAGTTCATTCCTCGCCACTTTAGCCGACCGACTTTTAACCACTTTCGCGCCATTTCCAAGATTTTGAATCCCGGACACTTTGTAACGGCTAACAACTGAGCACTGTTCAAATTGATTGCTATATTTACAGAACCTATTGTTATTAAAGTTATTAAAGATATACATCTAGATTATATTCGATGCGAGTACCGCGTAAGATGAATGATGACTTTTATAAGCAATAAGTACACCGATACCCTCAGTTATCTCGCTTTCGCGTCCTTGGCAAAATTGCACTCGACGATATCATAATTCTATAGGAGACACTCGTGTCGACTTTCTTTCAACTAATAATTTCGTCGGTCCTTTTTCTCCATCGCACTTATTTCGTTGTTTGGATTTTTGGTATCGAGTGCGATAACGCGGCATGGCCCACTGCCGAATGGAGAGCGCAAATGTCTAACGTCAACGAAACAACTCGACGACCAACGTAAAGTAGTCATTAGGATTCGCATTTGGAAATCTGAAAGGTCAGGAAAAATTAGTCGTAATAAGATGCTATACTTTGAGCTTTTGAGCTATACTCTGCTTTTGAGCAGAGATGCCGCAAGTTTTTAACAAGCTATTCATTGCGATTCCAATAATACGGAGCTTGCACGAACTATTAATATGTACCGCAATATCCTATAAATGGTGTAAGCTCTAACAACGTGCGATAGTTAGGTGGATAAGGGATTCCCATTTTGTTATGGTCTGATTAACGGTTTTACGATGAAAAATCGGTATCCATGCTGACAAATACGTTTTTAAAAATTAGAGTTGATCGGCTATTTTACTCGGTTTCTCATAAATCAAAATCAAAGGAAAACAATTATGATTGCAGGATCAGCAGACGCAGTATGCCCACGAATCGTGACCCGCGACGAGTGGAAGGCTCGAGAAGCCCTATTTCCGGAAAAGTTGCCACACAGCCCAGCTCCTTATCTTGTAGTTCATCATGGTGGCATAAAGCGTTATTGCCACGATCAACTAACGTGCTCGGCAATAGTGCGCTCCTACCAAGACTTGCACATCGACACGAATGGCTGGCAGGACATCGGCTACAATTTTCTCATCGGTGAAGACGGCAACGTTTACGAAGGACGCGGTTGGGATACAGTCGGTGCCCATGCGCCTGGCTACAATGTTCAGAGCATCGGCGTGTGCGTCATTGGCGATTTCACTGGTAAATATATGCAGCTATATAATCTTTCCTGAGAGAGCAACAATTCGACGAATGTGTCATTGGTTTTCCAGATAGGTTGCCGAACGAAGCCGCTTTGAGTGCCTTGAACTCACTGATGCGGTGCGGTGTAGCTATGGCCAAGCTGAAGAAGGATTATTTGGTGATCGGTCATCGACAAACTCGTAGCACTGAATGCCCTGGTGAAGCGCTATTTAAATACGTTCAGAGCTTTCCAAATTGGACCGATCGACCGGTGCCGATTTTGAGCAAGCGAACCGACACAATTGCTTAGTAACGTCATGCTTTATAGCTCATCGCAAGCACGTGGATGATTAATATAACTACATAATATACAACAATAGCAATTCCTTGTTATTTGCGTTTGAATCCCTTGATACGCATTTGCAAGCACGAGCCGAAAAGCCAATGGCAAAAGAAGTAAATAATTGTAATGACAACGCAAAGTTTACGTAATTATTACTGTGCACAAGCAGATGCCCGTGCTGCGCCCGACGCTTCGATAATTACGCGCTCGTTTAGAAGCATTACATGAGTGCAGCAGCGCGAGCGCAGTGTTAAATAATGATAGCCACGACGAGTGTCTGTGAGTGTTTGAAAATAAAAAATGGACTGTCAACCCGACTCACGTATTTACAGTACTTTCAATGCGTTTAATCATCTTTTGCAATCGACTATTGTTTTTCATTACAAAAAATTTACATTGACATACGCAATGTTTGAGTTACTTGTAACTTGCAATGACGTCCGCATAGAATGTACTATTTTTTTATCAAATAACTTGTAATCTACGTTATAGTTATTATTATTGTAATTTTTTAGTTGTACAATATCAATAACATTTTATTGTTCCAAATTATTTTTTAAATAAAAGTATAATAAAATGCAGCTTTTTCCTGCGTTGATTCAGTTGATTGTTTCAAGGTTTAAAAAAATAATCATTTAAAATTTCGGATATCTACTGCGGAAAAAAATAAAGTAAAAACATTAATAAACAAAAGCACTGAAGTAATGATTAAAAAAAGCGTAAAAATGAAATTAAATATTTTATAATAATAATTATTAGTTGAATTACAAAGTAAACGCCCGACGAAAGCATTCCAGAATTTCAATTGTAATCGATCGTTTACTTTTCGAAATGGATATCGAATGAATTTGAAACTTTTGGTGCCTGGGGTTCTACTGCAATCGTCGACAGCACTGGAATCACAGAAATAAGCCTCATTCAAGATAATTTCTTAGTTATAGAACGAAAATGACAGCGGGGAAGTACAGTCGTATCGCATGACGTTTCATTATCAAGTGTCAAAAGTTTATAGAGTGTGTATCATAAGCAATCCACACAGCCAGTTCGCGTCTCGCCGCGAGATATACTTTAGAATGAAATTTAGACCGTTCGTTCACTTTGAATAGTGTACTTCAACCATGATTATACAAACGTTGACTTTATCGATTTTGCTGTTTGCTGTACAAGGGAAATCGCTGCCGAAAAAAGTTGAGATTGGTGGGTAGATTGTTCGCTTTAATATTCATTGAACTTGTATAATTCACGTTATTTAAAGTGAACGACTTTAAATGATATTTTTATAATAAATTGATTGACGCAAATTTAGAGCTACGAACAGGAAAAAATGTAATTGAACAATATAATAACAATAGAAAATTAATGTTTATCGTTATCAGTCATGTTTTCATTGAATTACTTTTCAAAGATAAGATAAAAAATAAGCTTCTTGCATCTCATGTCTATGAAAACAGTTCCCACAATAATATCAAGATCAGAATGGGGCGCAAAGGAGCCAAAAGGATCAGTGGATCCACTACGCGTGAATCCGCCCACTTACATTATTATCCATCATTCGGCAACTGATACATGCACAACTAGAGCGATATGCCAGGCTAGAGTTCGAGCTTTCCAAGTAAGTTGTTGTTTGCGTTTTCACACATTTATAAATCTTTAAACTGCGCTATCTGAAAAGAAAAGCTTTAAAAATCTATTTATTTATCATGCAAACTTATCAGAATAAAATCAGTGCTTTTATTTTTTGAAACGAGTACGGCGAAGTAAAAATTGATAAGGAAGCTCAAACATGCTCGTTGAAAAATAAATAACAATTTTTGCGGTGCGAATGAACTTCAATTTTAACAATAGCGTTGTTTTTAGAATTATCATATGAACGAGAAGAAATGGAATGATATCGGATACAATTTTATCGTGGGGGAAGATGGAAATGTTTATGAAGGACGAGGATGGGCAAAAACTGGCGCACATACTAAATCATACAACGATAAAAGTATCGGGATTTGCATTATTGGAAATTATGACAGTGAGTATAGATAAGTTTTTTCTATATATGTAATTCAAACATTCCTTTCAAACATTTACATAGGCTAGTGATAACTAGCATGCTTCACGCATTCATCTTTTTCGTCTTTTTTACCAATTCATTTTAATGAATAAACATCAAAATTTTTATTAGAGAAATTATAATTTCGAAAATTCAATATACATTAAAGATTCCCCTGAGTTGATATAAGATATAACCGATGATATTTATTGATAAATAAATATGTAGTTACGTTGATACTCACGATTAACAAATTTCAGTTTTTTTATCCGAAGTTCCTAAAATATAATAACAAATATGAGAAAAGTTTCAAAGATATTGTAGCTTTCTATAACCATATATTAACGGTGTAAATAACGTACTTCGGTAGACGTTCACGGTTGTAAGTTAGTGCATTTTTTTAAAATTTTCTAATATGTTAAGTAACTGAATAAAGTCGAAATTGCTGTACTATCATAATAACTAATCGATTTATATATTTTACTGTCTATTCTGTTTATCCGATGCTAAACTTTCGCATAGAACAAAATTCAATTCAATTGTCTATCGAGGTATCAGTCAATTTTTATTTTGAGATTAATACGATTAAATCATCAATTCATATTAAATTCATGCCAACTATACCGATAAATTTTTCAAACGTTTAATCATTTACGAAAATCTTCAGTAATTTTTCATGAACGTACACAATACACACATATATATGTGTGTATATACATGTATATACATACATGCATACATACATACTATCACACAACAGCTGATCACGTGACTATTTTAATTCAGATCATCGGATCACGAATTAATTGGCCTCATCTTCTCAGCTCTCTTTTTTATTTTTATTTAATTATTTTTGTAGATAGAACACTCGATTTTACAATACTTCATAAAAGACTCGACAGTAATTTACACAAGTTTCTTTTTCAATGAAAAAAGATTAATCGTAAAAAATAACCTTTTATATAACATTTTTAAAACCAATGTTAACAGATCGCATCCCAAATAATGCCGCAACTGAAGCTACCAAACAGTTGATTTCTTACGGGGTAGCCCAAGGAAATATAAGCGAAAAGTACTTTTTGATTGGTCACATGCAAGCATCACCGACATCTTGCCCTGGAAATAAACTTCATCAATTAATACAATCTTGGCCACATTGGACAAAAAACCCTTGATCGACAAATTTTGATTATTGTTATAATTTAAAAAAATATAATTACACTTTCTTTATTTTTTATTTTATTTTACAATAAATCTAACGATATTTAAAAATAAAATTAATATTGCTTATACGGTAATTATTCATTTTTTTTCAAGCGCTCAATGGTAAAAATAAAGTTAACTGCAAGTAAAATCTGTTCTCGTTTGAACTATTTTTTGTTTGCAATTACTTAGTAAAAATAAAAAACGGACCTCACGTAGAAACATTAACAAAAAGTTAAAAATCTAAATGTCATACCTATTAGAATGTTGGTGTTTGGTGCAACCGATATCGTCGGTTAATCCATGTCAATAAGTTGCTGTATACTGGTTTACACATGTTCGATTGCATTGCTTAGAAAACCGAATGGGTGTTTTCGCGACTATGAAATTCTTCGAAAGAGTTCCAACCGTCTTTTATTTGACTACAGGTCTTTGAGTCTTGCGTGTGAAGTACCGAGTTTTTCTATCATTCTATGAAGTTTTATAGTTTAAGTTGATTTATAAAAGTTTAAGTGACTTGATTTATTGCATAAAAAGCAGGAGCATGCATATAAAGCAGGTAAATGAATTGACATACTTGTACGTGTATCAAATCGTACAATCAATGGCCTAATAATGTTACCTTTGTTCCATATTGGCATTGGGCTGATGCATTTTAGATGAATAGTTGTCTTAATTTGATTTTGCTTTTGTAGTCATTAATTTGATTTCTGTTAATAATATATAATACATATTGTATTTGTTTAGTTCAGTTAAAATTTATAAAAAAATGTTTGTATTATAGATGCAAACACAATTCTAACAAGAAAGATAAAAAATATCAAATTAATTCTAGTCTAAATTAATATATATATTTTGAATTCTGCTCTTTTTCAAATATTGTATTTTCAGATTGTTATTGAAGGATTTAAATCTTATGGATCTCACACAGTCATAGGGCCTCTTGATCCTGGGAATAACGTTATTGGTAAGTTTTAAAATTTTTATTATGTAACAGCACTTGACTATATTTAATTTACATATTTGGTTTATTATATAGTTGGAATTAATGGATGTGGAAAGAGCAATTTTTTTGCAGCAATACAATTTGTACTTAGTGATAAGTTTAATCATCTACACAAAGATGAGCGACAAGCACTATTGCATGAAGGAGTAGGATCACGTTCAATGACAGCTTCAGTAGAAGTTATCTTTGACAATTCAGACAGGAGAATAGCTGTAAGTATCGGTAATCAAAATTTTGTTCCAATGAATGCTATAAGTTTTAACAATGTATATAAACTATGATTGTGTATATTTTATAAGTATATAGTACTCAAAATCCAAATATTCCAGTAGTTTAAAAATAATTTAGTTTTTTTATCTTTTATTTCCAGATTGAAAAAAATGAAATATCTTTAAGAAGAGTAATTGGTGCAAAAAAGGACCAATACATTTTGAATAAAAATGTTATAACTAGAAATGAAGTAGTAAGTCTTCTAGAAACTGCTGGATTTTCAAAATCTAATCCATATTATATTATTCAACAAGGAAAGGTAATGTTTTAGTAGAATTAAATTCTTTATTTTAATTAGACTTTGGACACATTGACAAAGAATTTCAATGTTAGATCAATGAAGTAGCAACAACTTCTGAATTTCGCTTAATGTTATTGAAAGAGATTGCTGGTGTACATGTTTATGAAGATAAAAGAAATGAGTCATTATCGATTTTAAATGATACACAAACAAAAATTAAAAATATTGAAGAAGTTCTCGAGACTATTAGTAAGCAATTAAAAGTTAATAGTTGCATCCTAAAGTGCATTGCAGTAAAACATCTTACCATATTAATTTTTTTGTAGATGAAAAATTAAAAGTTTTAAAAAATGAAAAAAAAGAGCTTAAAGAGTTCCAGGACTGGGATAGAAAAATGAGAACAATAGAGTATATTATTTATGACAGAGAATTATCTATTAATAAAGAAAATATAAATAAGATAAAAACATTGCATGCAGATTTGAAAAAAGAACAAGCTGAATTACGGAATACTATTGAGAAACTTTCCAATGAAATAAAAGATGTCAATCATAATTTAAAAAGAATTCAAAGAAATATTGAATTGACAGAGGAAGAAAAAGATAGTCTGAGGTAAATTTTTTTATAATTTTCCATTGATAGTTTAATTTTTTAGAATCTTTTTTTTCTAAAAATTAATTTTTACAAGCTTGTTATTTAATACTTACATGCCAGTTTCACTTGGTAAATTAATGTTGAACTGTTGACTGTATTAATAAGCATAAAAAAAAGTCCTTTAAGAATCATTATTTAAATTTAAATTTATCGAAACTCAGATTAAATTTTGTAATATGAATATAAAAAATTATAATTTATTATAAGTTTTATTTTTCTATCTTAAATTCAGCAAAGAGCTTGAAAAACTTTTAGCTGAGAAAGAGTCGCATTCAATAAAACTAGATGATATACAGCTAGATATCAAATTAGGAACTGAAAATCAAGAATCCATTAATAAAGAATTAGAGGTTTTAAATGCAGACATTGAAAAAACTCAAAAAGAACTAGAAGAAATTAAACCAAAAGTAAATATAAACTATTTATTACATATAAATTTTCCTTTATACTTATATAAAGTAACATGTAATTTATTGTCAGTATGAAAATACAGTAAAAATTGGAGAAGAAATTATTAGAAAGTTAGATTCGCTAGAACAAAATCTACAAATATTGTATACAAGACAAGGTAGAGGTGCTCAATACAAAACCAAAGTAAGCAAATTACTTTTTTAAAATGAAATGTGAATATGAATTGACAGTTTGTGAATTATTTTAGGAAGAAAGAAATGCATGGATCAATCGAGAATTAGCTTTAATTGACGAACAAGTAGGAGAAAAAAAAAAGCATATACACAATCTTGAAGAACGTATTGGTGAAAATGATTTAAAACACTGTGAATTAGAAAAACATCAACAACATATTATAAATGGTTTGGGAAATGAATATAATGCTGTTAATAAATATCGCCAAGAATTCAATGAAGCTAACAAAAAAAAAGATGAATTTTCAGCTAAGAAAAAGGACTTGTTAGTAAATCAATTTTTCAATTTTAAACTGTAACTGTAATGTAGATAAAAATATCTTTTTATTTTAGATGGAAAAAAGAAAAAGATTTACAGAATAATATAACATATCTAGAAGAAGATTTAAGAAAAATAAATCAAGATATGATTTCACGTTTTGGTAAAGGAATATTTAATGGCATTAAAAGTGTTAACAAAGTTTTAAAAACATTTAGGTACATTATTTATCAAGTAGTAAATTTAATACAATTTATATTACAACTATTTTATAATGTCTATCGTAAATGTCATATATGGGCACAAAAATACTTAAAAAATTTATTATTATAGTGAACGTGCAGATATGATTGAAAAATTACATCAATATTATGGCTTAGTGGTTGAACGTTTTACGTCTGCTCCTGCTCTTTATAGAGCTATTGAAGTCACTGCAGGTAGCCGTCTTTTACATCACATCGTTACAGAAGCTAAGTTTGGTCAAGAAATCTTGAGAGAAATGAATAGACAAGGTTTACCAGGCGTGGTATCTTTCTTGCCTCTTGATCGTTTAAAAGTTGAAGCTACATTTTATCCACGATTTGAAAATGCAATACCATTAATATCACAATTGACATACAGCGAAGATATTGTAATTCCTATAAGGTAATGTATTCAAAATACACTCAAAAATACAACAGATTACAAAATTAGTGTTTTAATTTAAGTACATACATAAGAAGCATAATGTATGTCCTAAAATTAATATAAATTTATGGATTACTTACAGGTTTATTTTTAGGAAAATAATTTTATGTCGAGATTTAAAAATTTCTGCTGAGATTGCTGCTCAAGGAAAATTTGATTGTGTAACTACAGATGGAGATCAAGTTTCTTCAAAAGGTTGGCTTAAAGGTGGACACCATGCTAGTTCTAAATCACCAATGAAAATGCAACAAGATAAAACTTATTTAATACAGAAAATGGATTCTATACGGAGAGAACTCTCAAATTTAAATCAGCAAATACAAAATACTGATAAAGAAATTATTGATTGTATTAGCTGTTCACAGAATGCTGAAACCAAGCGCATTAAAGCTAAGTAATACATTTTTGTGAAAATAACTTATTCATACATTAAAATGAAACATTGAGATGCATTTTAATTTTTGCAATGAAAGTTAGGAATGATTATTATTTGGTATTTTACAGAGAAACTTATGATAGACTTAAGTATGATTTAGAAAATATCAAAGAGCAACTTAGAATTTTAGATAATACTCAAATATTAGAAAGAAAAAACTTACAACAACTCAAGTTGGATTTGAGTAATTTGCAATCATTGAAACAGAAATTGGTGGAAGAACTTGATCAAGATTTGAATGACCGATTAACAGAAGCCGATGAACGTCAGGTATTTTAAAAATATGATTTTGAACATTCATAAAATAATATTTAATTTTATCTGAATGTTCTAGATTGAAGACTTGAATAAAACTATGAAAAAGTTACGAAAAGAGTTGAAGACTGTGTTTAAGGATAGAAAAGATTTAGAAAAGAAAAAAATTGACTGTGAAAATAAATTATTCAACAATTTGATTTGCAAGAAAAAAGAATTAAAACAGAAATTGCAAGAAATCAGTTTAGAAGATAACAAAACGACTTTACAAGAATTAGAATATCAAGCCAACGTTATTGAAGAAAAAATAAAAAAATGTAAGAGTGACTTCGAACTGAATGAAACGAAATACAAGGATGCTGATTCACAGGTTTGATAACAGATGTCATACTCTTTAGATCTTTATACAATACATAGAAAACTATATAATGAAGATTATATTCTTAGCATCATTATTATTTTATGGAGGCACGTTGAGATATAGAAAAATTTCATGAACATATTATTAACATAGTTTCCGTATAAACCATTCCACTTAATTTCTAACAGTCGTTTCATCCAAATTGGAAATTCATTAATCTAGTTTTTATTGATGGAAGTAAATGTATATAAACACACTTCTTGGTAATTTATTATCATTTATTTTATTTGATTCTGATTGTTATTCATAATGCTTCAGCATGAACTATATATATCAAAATATACATATGCTATTTATTCAATTCTCAATGTTCCATGAAAGAATAATTGTGAAGTAATAGGTCGCTATTTAATATACTTATTTATATATATTTATATCGGATAAATTTTAAACGATAAATGTTTTATGTAGAAACAGCAAAATCTTGAAGAATTGGAAATACTCTATAGTAAGTTAAAACCAGATCAACTAGAATTTGAGGAAAAGTCTAAAAAATTGGAACGTTTATCTAGCAAAATAAGAATACTTGATGAAACCATAGATAATACAAGAAGGAAAATAGTTGAACTCGGACCTCTTTCAAATAAGGAACTGCATTCAAAATATCAAGCAATAAATACCAAAACATTGTATAAAAAACTAGATAATTGTCGAAAAAATTTGAAGAATTTTGAGTAAAACTTTTTATTCGTAAATTTTTTATTAAATTTTGATGATTAATTTTAAAGATTTGCAAATATTTTCACTTTCACAGGCATGTTAATAAGAAAGCACTAGATCAATATGAAACCTTTAAAGATCAAAGAGATAATTTCTTCAAGCGAAAAGAAGAATTGGATAAGGCAAATGAAAAAATTGAACAACTTTTTAATTTTCTTCAACAAAAGAAGTATGATGCAGTTCAATTCACCTTTAAACAAGTAAGAAAGTTATAAAATATGTTCATATTTTTAGTTGTACTAAGAGTTTTACATTTTATTCTTTCAGGTCAGTAAATATTTTACAGAAATATTTAGTAAGATTGTTCCAAGAGGAAAGGCTCAACTTGTTATGCAGCAGAGTAATTCACAAAGTGAAAACGGTTCTGAGTCAACAACTTCATTAGATGTGGAAAACTTGACCGGAATTGGTTAAAAATTTTTATCTAATAGTGAGGTTTATCTACTAACTGTAAGAAAAATATTAATTTTTTTATCTTCTTTTCAAGGTATTCAAGTGTCATTCACATCACAAACGAGTTCACTGATAGATTATAATCAGCTCTCTGGTGGTCAAAAATCTTTGGTAGCATTAACATTAATTTTTGCTATCCAAAAATGCGATCCTGCACCATTTTACTTGTTCGATGAGATCGATGGGGATCTTGATACTGATCACAGAAGAGCAGTGGCTCAAATGATACATGAACTTAGTTTTGAAGCTCAGTTTATCATAATCACCCACAGGTATGAAAAACTATATTTTTATATGAAAATATTTATTAAAAATATCATAAGTGTTTAATGTTATTGAAAAAAGGCTTTTGTAATAATAATGTTGAATATTATGTAGAAATTTTCTAGTTAACTTTAAATATTGCCTGCTTTATTAATTAAAAAAATTTTTTTTTTATGTTTAGACCAGAATTGTTGGAATATGCAAATCAATTTTACGGGGTGAAATTCCAAAATAATAAAATATCCTCCATTTTCGAAATTAGTCGTGAAGAAGCATTAAAATTTATTGAGCCTGATCAAGCTGATGAAGAATAAAGTAATAACTTGTACTTTCTGAAAAAAATATCAAAGTTCAAATTCTAAACTCAAGTACTTTAATATGGGAATCAGTAATGTAATGTATTTATATAAATTTCATCGGATAATTTTATTTATTTTAAATAATCTTTTATACTTCGTAATAGTTATTTTATAAACCGCATGTTATAAGAATACGATCTACATTGCCACTGTTCCAATAGAAATTAAAAAAAAAATGTGAGTTATTAAAATATATCGATTGCATGTAAAAAAGTTGTTTCAGTTAGTCTAAAAATAAAGTACATCCGTTATTAAAATTATGTTTGTGTGTACAAAGTCACAACCCGATTAACAGCGTTGTCGTAACTATCAGCCTCAGTTCTTACACAGATATCTAATCTTGAAAAACCTTTGCTTCTTAAATTCAATCCGTGATCCCGTACCTGTGATCAGAGTTATCAAAGATTGACATTTGATTTATTGAATCACTATAGATTCACTCATTTTATCAATTATTTTAACAATTACATTATATGTTACATAAACGTTGTTATCAAAGTGTTTTGAACTTACTTGTAAAGGAATCATTCTTCTAAAATGCTCATTGAGCTCTGGAACGCAGATAGTTGAACCGTACGGGAGTTTCTCAATATGATCCATTGCTACTGTGACATATTCAGCTCTACCATCGATGAAATCCTTGGGTACAATCAAAATACAATGATCTTACAATACGTTTCATCGACAATGATAAAAATATCTAATTCTATTTCAAAATTTACCTGTAGCGCACGTAATTTTTTGCCTCTGCTGTCAAGATAATCGGATTCATTCTCACTCGTGAAGTCCGGATAGTATGCCGTAAGAGTAACATTGAAGTGCGCGCGTCCTGAACAACTCAAGTTTTGTTCATGCGTATAGCCTAATGAAAAAAATGAATTTTGTATTATCCAGCAAATGTTAAACATTGAGTGATAAATAAGAAAAGAGCAAACCCCCAGCTTGTACTGTGACTGTGAGAAACAGCGCTATTAGTATTCGATACATGTCCACTTGTAACGTTGAAAGTTCGTCACGAAATGAAAAGATGTTCAGCGCAGCGCATTTTGCATTGACAATAAATACTTTGCTTTGCAATTTCTTAACTTGCTTAGCTTGCAGTCAGTTTGGCAATATTCCAAGTTGGCTCTGTCATTGCGCAAAAGGAGACGGTGACAATGACATAATTATTACAACGTTCCAAATAAGAAACGTGTTTATTTAAAAAAAATTGTAAGATTGATACTCTCGGACTAATCGAGAAAACAAGTGGATCGGTGCATAGACTTGCAATCTTGATGTAAAGCTCTCTGCGGTGTCATTGAACTGCAGGTAGAGAATCGCGGAAACGAGGAGAAATCGATTAGAAATATACTATGGAAAATACTGCTGTGGCTATAAATCAGTTTTACGAGCCTACTACCTATTCGTAAGCTTAACGTTTGTCCATTATTTGCGTTTATGAGGACGTCTCTTTTAGATCGTAGATTGTACAAGATTGAGATTTATATATTAAACCTGTGGTGATTGTGTCGATTGCCCTACGCATTCAGTTGTCATTTCTCATGTTCTAATCATCATATTTATGAAGATAAATGGATGATACGCACGTTATAATTGTGTACTTTGAAATCGCAAAATTTATTTGTTAACGTAAAAATGCTGCGTAGATTAAAACTTATAGACCTATAAAACTGCGAACGTAGTTTAATTCTGTAGAAAAGTCCGTACGGCAAACCTTGAATGTTTCTAAAAATAATTGACATGGTTCGTCATGCTGACATCGTTTATGAGGATACTTATGTCTAGTTGTACAGTGTTACACGTTTAAGATACTACGTTGATTTCCATTTTTGATGTAAGTACGATTTCCGTTACAATTAATACGTCTTCTTATTTTTCTTTCTTTCAGCAGTAATATATATAAAACGTCTTATTAGACTATGCTCTGCTTGTATAATATTGAAAGAAAGGCATAACTGTACAAGTAAGAAAAATCAATAATTGTCATTGATTTTTTCGTAATGTACGGTTTAATCAGAAAAATCTATCCTGAAAAAAGAGGATAGGCATTTAGCAGAACTTTCATGATTTAACTAGTTACGTTTAAAATGAATTTGAATAAATGGCATATATTATATTCGACAAACAGATAAGTACCGAAAATATTGTGTGCTTTTGAATAATAAACTAGAAATAATTAATTGTAGTTCTGACTTTGTACAGTGTAAGAGATGCTTTTGTTTATATAATTGAGATTTAACTAATGAATTGTTTCAATGTTTTTTATCTCTAGTGGAGCCACTATACGTAAGATAAGCTTGAAGCAAGAAATAATTAAGAAAGTTTTTAGTTAAAAACAATAAAAGCACTTTTAATATTTTAATTTTTAAAACTACGCATTTCACGTCGATCCATTTTTAAGAAAAGGAAATCCCATTAAGATAACACAATGTGGGGAAGCAATTTATAATTTTGAAACAACCAAAGCTAGAAAGCGTTCAATATAAAGTTCGTTATCACAACATCTTTTAAAAGCTTTTGCGTGTTAAGAAAAAAACTTCATGGCAAAGTTTATTAGTTAATGATTTATTTTAATTTTGCAGAGTAACATTCAGTGATAAAGGGAAAAGTCTACCTAACAAATACAATGCATAACTATGGATTCGAGTATTGTATGTTTCGCATGAATGTTGACAATGAAAAACCTAGTTTGGACGATTTCATCTGTCGCATATACCTACATTTTGTTGCAAGCGCTGAAAAGAACACGACGCGTTGGCAGGGATAATTAGATACAGTACGCATACGTGAGAAAAGGTAGCAAATGTGGGCCGGACTTAAAGACAGTACACACACGGGGGTGTAGGATGGATAGTTTGCAGTAGTGGCGACGACGGCGCACAAGCACTACACTCATTCGAGCCACGACTTTTCCACGTGACACACACATACCGACAGAGAAACTTTAGGTGCCTGTTGTTTTTCCTATTTTTTTTTATACTGTCAGTGCAGTTTTTACCAAGGAATTATTATAAACTACGATTAAGACTTCGATTGATCAAGGCCGTTTTAGACCGGAGTGAGCTAGAAAAATTGAGAGTTCAGGCGGATGTCATCTTCTAACGTTAAATGCCTTGGTTCGTTCATCCACGATCAAATAAGGTGCGTATCAGCAATTTTATTTCTTAATTATTGATTTAACGTAAGCTTTTTCTAATTACTTTTTTTCCGGTCGATGAATGATAAGTATTGTGTACTCTAAAAATAAAATTAATTGTTTATGATGTCTCTCGTGACGACGAAACATCGATAATTGAATAAAATTTGGTTTTTGTTTTTGAAAATATTGAATGTTACAAATGGTTAAACTTAACTTATCGAATTTTTCGAAATAAGAGAAAAAAATATTCAACAACCTATAGCTTCGCGTTCAATTGAAATTACTTCACTCGAATTCGTCTGTTATTTTTGCCTTTTGCAAACAGAAATAACATTTAATTATATAGAATCACATGACTTGCATTTCACGTGCCCTAGTAATGATTGCAGGGAACAAATATTGAGATCAAACGTTCGTTTTGCTCAAATCCACAAAAGCGTCGAGTGTATTTCATCAAGTAATAATATCGATTGACGAGCCTCGAAAAAACAATCAATATTTTGCTCCAAAATAGTGTAGGATAAACACCAACGTTATAAATTGTCGTAAAATTATTTAAAATTCAGTGCGAGGGACAATTGAATGGTAGGCAATAGAATGTAACGTGAATACATTTTACCGAGAAAAGTATACGCTAAATCTTTGAAACTCTAGAACCGTGTATAGGTATATCTCTGTATGATACAAAGAAATGAACTACTTAACTTTGGTATATACGTTGAAACAGCGTTTCTAGTCAATTTATTGATAAGTTTAACACGAACAAAATACATATGAGAACACGCGAAATCGAGAGCTTACTAATTTCGAATATTGGGCAATTATTCAGTTAGTCGTAAGGTTCAATGTAACACTTACTGTATTTCATTTTGAATAAAAATCGAAAAATGTAACAATAAAGTATTATATAAAAAAGATTGTCGTCAGGAAAAAGCTTGTCTTGAAATGGAACATCTATCAGCTTGTACGGGAATCGATCGGCTGTAACAGGTACCATGAGTGACTGAAAAATTAATTATCTTCGAATACCATTTACTTACATGCGATGTAGAAAAGTTGCGACTGTTGTTCAAAATTCGATTAATTAAAAAAATATATTCTAAGATTTATTTTTTCCGGTCATTAGTCGTTGAATGTCTAAACATTTATTTGCAGAAATCTCGGCAAAAATTATATTCATTTCTCTGCCGAGTATGTATTTGATAAGATTATTTTTGTTAAACTTCAAATTTATAGCAAGTGTAGAGTAGTTTTTTAGTAAATAAGTTTTACTAATAAATTGAAAACAGTAGCCTAATAATTTCAATGTTTCGAGGGTAAAACTGCTTAAATGCTTCTTTCTGTTTTTTTTAATTTGAATTTATTGCCTTTAAAAATATACAATACTACTCGTTGCTTTTTTAAGATACAATTTGAAATAAGCCAAGCCTCAGAAGTAAGTATTGATTACATTGAAATCCTGTCAACGATACTTCAAGACACCATTTCATGTTGTTCAAACATTGTTTTACAAAAAATGACAATCATTACAGACTACAGATATCTGCAATCTTACGTTATTTGTAAAATTTCGTCCTTACTAGAAATTTTTTTCTGGAAACATTGAGAAACGTCAAAACATGTTTAACTATCAGTTATATTATAAACAAAAGTAGCATCTTTCGTCTATTGATGAGTGTTTCAAAATTGGTATCGTTTAATAATAAAATCACATGTAATCGTACGTCGCATCATATTTTAAACTATATATAATTAAAGCATATCTTTTGTCAAGGAAATCTATTTTAACGTCATTTTATTTGAGGCAGTAATTATAAGAAAAGTATCAACATTTAAAAAAGTAATGGGTAAATGACAAATTAAATACTTTTGATTATTCATTGAAACAAGAAAAATGAAGAAATTTCCAGAGCAATCGCGAGCAGCATTAGCGAGTTTATTGTTGACACTTAGGTAGCTAAACTCTGTTAAAAGTATATACACACACGAATGTCCTTAGGCCGTAGTTACTTATTCATCGGCTTATTACTGATGGTCGATAACGCCACGTTTTTTCTTGCTCTTGTTTAGATGTGTTCGCGTTCGTATTTACATTTAAGGTAAAGACTAACGATGTAAATGATGATTGCCAACATAACCCGTTTTCAATTGAATTGTGCTAACGTTGCATTAGATTATCTTGACATTGAGTCCGGAACTCGATTATCTACTATCTCATTATGAAACCGTCTTGTCGGCACAACATTAACTGTTGGAAACATTACCCTCCGTCAAATTCTTAAAAATTAATGCTTCTCCGGTCTTTCCAATTTTCTACATATATACATCGATGTTCTTAATTTCCAATTTTTTACATATATACATCGATGTTCATTAATTGTACTCATTTTCACGCAATGTTTAGGTTCGCTGATGACTACTTCGAATCTAAAGCATTGGTTAAGTCGCGGAGAACTCGATAAATTAGAAAATGTCGTCCTCGAAGGTAGAGGAGCGCGACTGCTGGGCGAACAATCTCCCGACCTCAGAACTAGAGTATTCCTCAAGGGGTTGCCGAATTACTTGGTATGTATTTCAAAATGTTCCTTATTACGACAGTTTTGAATTGATGTACACTTATTTAAACAAATAATTATTTCACGTTATAATAACTTTATGAAATAATTTTTATACACTAAATTCTTACATTAAAATGTTTGAAATACTAATAACTATATGAATAAATAACTCATTTTTAATATAAGTTTTGGAAAACAGATAGTTCGTCAAGCAATATAGCTTTATATTATTTGATATTGACCACCGCAAGAGTAGTTAAATTGCAATCAGTACATGGTGAATGAGTATTGATTTGAGTTTAATTTATTTATTAATTAACCACCGAAATAATTTTTTATGATTCGCTAGGGAAAAATAAATTCAACTGTAATATACTTTCAACTTTCAATAATAAACAAATCATCGTTATAGTCATAACATCAAATTCAATGATGATATTGTTGGCTTTTACTCATTGATTATAACATTTGCAGACGAAAATCTCACAAATCCATGATGCCGTAATTCGAGGTTCACTGGCAGAAGTACAACGAATTGTAGACGGGGAACCAAAGAAGAAGCTAGTTGTTGCCAAAGATTCAGCTGGTACTCCATTAATTCATAAGGCTGTTTACTACGATCACCAAAATGTCGTGGAGTGGATTGTTGACAATTACCCCACAACTGTTGAACAAAAGGACAAGGTAAACAATTACTGGTATAAGCGTAATGTTATAACGGATAAATGAAACCATTCTACATGAAAATATCCAAATTTAAGATTTATAAATGTTTGGACGAAAATCTATTTGTAAACCATGATAGTTCCAAAAATCTCGCTAAAAAATAAATCATAAAAAATTAATTTGAGTGTTAAAATGAGAAAAACTGGCTTCATCGAGTCATATTATAAATTATTAGTTTACGATTACGTTTATATTAACGTAAAAGTGAGATGGTGCAATACAAAAGAAACTAAAAATAATCTAGCTGACGTTTAATTCATACTCGTACACTAGGATTTTGTCGATATATTCATTCTCAGATCTATTGTTATTATATCGCTAGACAATAAATGCGTAAATGCGTCGCATTTTCCACAACTAAAACATTATGAAAGTTAGAAAAATCAATTAAGTTAAAAAATAGACTTTCAAGTTACGTTAGTCAGATTTCAAAACTTCCATCAAAAACCGTTCGATTAGAATTCCCATCAAGCGAAAGTACACGCGCACGCGATTAGCTTATGTCAGAAGCGAGCTTGCAAACAATGCTTTTTTTTTATTCTCGAAGGTCAAAGCCAACGCACAAGCACTTCCGTAAGTTTATCATCGAAAAAAGAATTTTCGTGGAAGTCGGAAATGTACATATATCAACGACGATCGGAAGAGAATCAATATTTGCATGTGTATGTATATAACAAAGTACACATACGTACATCACGTAGCTACACGAAGATTCGGTCGGAAATGTCTCGCTCACGCGACGGATTTCCTTTTCGAGGACCCCCACGCGCGCGAGGTGTCGCATACGAAAGCTTGAGCGTTTCTTTTATAAAGCTCGCGTGACCTATAAGAACCACCTGTTTTCTTCCCTTATACATTTCGCGTGAGCCGTGCACGTACAAGTGTTATATCTTTTTCGAAAGCTTCCTTCCTTCCTTCCTTCCTTCCTTCCTTCCTTCCTGCATGCTCTTCATCGTCGACATGCTATACATCACTCACTCCGTTTACCCTCGCGCGAGATGTTAGTTTTGCCGTCGCGCTCGTTCGTTTTTTATCACGGTCCCTATACCGAATGTGTTCGTTCGACGAACGAGCGAGTTGCGCACATTACCGTTCACTTTCCCAAAACTTTTCGTACAGTCGTTGACAGAGAGTGAGCTTGTTTATAAATATATACGAATTGCAACTCTATATGCGTAAGCGTCATACGGCAGACCCAACGCAGATTCGTAATACACTTGCGACTTGTCCTTCGTAGCAATGGACGAAATAATCGCAACATATACCAAGGCACCAGAGGGCTAAGTGCGGATGCCACTTGTACGCGCAAATTGTGCAGTCTGTATCGAGAAAAAAACAAGTATCTTCAGGGTTGAAAGTGGGCGGGTATTTCCAATGGACATCGCCCGCCCGGTCGATCGTCGTTGAAGTGATCTATACACGTGTATACGCGAACGCATTTAGACACCTTCCCGGCTACACGCACACAGCATAAATATTCACACGCGCCGCTTCTATTTTCTTTTGCGTTATTGCGAGCTAGCGAGCCGAGAAGGCTAGCGGAGTATACAGTTGTCGATTGGGCTTACGATCGCCAAGTCCGTGGTACACACTTTGGAGCTTATTTCTTTTAATTGTTTTATTAGTGTAGTTAGCAAAGTTGTATTATGATGTTGCGTGGGTGAATTGTGATTGTTGTGATATTGACGGATTGTATTGTAGTATAATGGAGCTGATAGAGTATATCTGTGGCTCAAGACCATCCTATTTTGTGTTTATAAAATCTAAATAAAATATTTAAAATCAATAAGTTGTTTCCAACATGTAGTTGGTTATCAGGGTTTCGGATCTTGGTAACTTTTTCTTGATATCAGTAGATCTATTGGTTTTGCATATTTTAATTCTATTTCTAACTTACTCCTTTCGAAAGTAATGAAAGAATCGTATGTAACAAACTTACTACAATTTACTTTTACTATTCATAAATGCGAGAAGAAATTACTCAACGAAAACTAAATGAAAGAAATATTTATTGTGAAACCATTTAAAAATTACAAGTCATATTAATAATTTTTTAAATTAAGACAAAAAATAACAATACTGTTAAAGTAATCGATTTAATAATTTATCGATTTAATAAGAGGACAAAATTTTCAGATGAAAATACGAGTGAATTTTCTTTGTGAAGTTGTTATGAATAAGTCGCACCAACCTTTATAGCTTATACCATTCACCGGATATTCAATTATTTACTCGTACGAGGCATACCGAATTCACCCGAGTAAACTATGAATAATTGAATTAAAGCTTTGAATAGTCATATATTGTCATCAACAGCTAGTTATAAAAATAAGATTAAATGAAATTTACAGGAGGGTCGAACAGCGCTGCACTACTGCGCAGCTTGCAGAGATCCGGAAGCTGTTTGGGATATCCTCATCGAGGCGGGCTGTGACGCGAGCGTCTGCGACAAGAAAGGCAATCCAGCTGCTTATTATTTGCAACGCGGTGCTGAAATCGAATTACCTGATCCCGAAAAGATGCTTGGACACCGTGGCAGACGCCGACACACCAAACATGACAATCCACAAGCCAATAGTTAGTATACAAATGACAATCGATACTTTGCTCACTCGCTTTATATTTTTGCACGATAGTTCAGACGATTAGATAGGGTCGTGATTTTGTCGGGGTTACCGGATCCTTTTTTAGTTTATAAGTAGGTTTATTACGAATTTTTTAAATGACATCATAACGAATTGTTTGAAAATCATACTGATGTTTCACGACAACGAAGTAGACTACTAGTATGAGAATATTGATTTTACATAGATATTTTTTATCGTTTTAAGAAATTTTTAATAGATTCACATGTTTACGAATACTTTGACAGTTGATTTTTAATTTTAGTTATGATGTACATGAAACTGTTAATTACATGGTAGGATCTGAAAATACTATAGTAAAATTTCGTGACTACTATAGTACGTTTTGAAGAAAAAAAATAATGAAAAATATTTCATTAAACAAGCAGAATTGTAGAACTGGAATATCAGGTGTTTGCGTAATTAAATTAATAGTGATTAGAACATTACAAAACAAGTTTAGCAATTCGAAAATAATGCGACTACTATGTTAATAATACATTCTTTAAATCACATAATATCGACATAAAAGTTCTAGTAAAATCTATTACCGTATTCGAAATTCACTTGGTTTTTTCGTCCTTGGCAAGTATATATTACACGTCAGGCTCTAGAACGATTGACATTGTAAATTCCACGGACTTAGAGCCATATGTAATATTGCATCGCTAGCTTTTTTCTTGCTGATCGATCTCACGTCGGCGTTTTAATTTTTAAAGCTTGTTTCACTTCTACGGCTCGTCTGAGTAACCATGCGGTTTTTTTTAACTAGATAATCGAAAACTTTTTTACGACTTTGTTTTCTGAATTATTAGGTTTTAGTTTTGAGCTTTTTACGCTGTTGTAAATGACATTTCAATAAAGATTATTATGGAATTTTTATTTTCATTGGATCAGCTTTAGTTTACAATAAATCACAGTCGTACGATCCCTAAAATCACTACTTTCATGATATCTTATTATTGAATACTATTAAATTTCTGAATCTCAATCTCAAAACGAACGAAATATTTTCTTTCGAGACTTTCAAGTCTCCTTAAACTAATATTCGAATTTTGATATAATATGTTTCCATTACATTCACTTCCACTGAGTGGTTACTTAAATTCAAATATTTCAAATTGATAGCACCGTATATTAAAGCGTATGTCAAGTTTTATAATAATTCATTTATTACTACAATTTTTGTAATATGATAAAAAATATTCAAAGTTTAGTGTTTAACATTGGCTGGTTAGCTTGACTGTTAATAAGCATAGTAACATACATACAAAAAATTTGACTTCAACACTTTTTTATAAAGCTATCAAGTACTGATTAATGATCTCTTTATTGATTAATGAACTCAATTTTCCAATTATATGTATAAAAATTCAAGAGAATTAGGACAAACGTTTGCAATGTTTTACTATCTAAAATAAAAGAAATTAATTTGGACACTTTACCCAATCTATTACACTTAATAGCAATGAATTAAATGATTCTTGAGTAATTTATTGAGCCAATAATTAATTATCTATTACGTCGAAAATGTACATTGGCTTCAAGAAAGTGTAACGTACTATCCCTTGCTGTTTTACGTATATAAAAAATTATTATACAGCAGAGCATAAAACCAGACTATTATTTTCAGACTGACTCAGTGCAAATTATACTTAAATGACGTATTTCTCATATTTAAATTTTGGTAGGTTTACAAATAGCTACATATAAAGAACAAAATATAATTTTGCAATTTGAACAATGGTTATTTATAGACCTAATTAAACTATTTATTTCTACAAGTAAATTGTGCTAGCTATAGTAATAATAATTAACCGGGTTCGTTTCATACAGATACCGATTCTACACACATTTATTTAATTAATTTATGTAACATAATGATTTATTAATTGAATAGAAAACATAAAATAGTTATTATTTTATTCGAAAAGATTAAACGTTTAAACTTTCGACAGAAAATTCGATAGCAAATATTCTTAACTTTTTTTTACGTGGAAATCAAAATTTATTTCTATAATTGTCAGCATGCTCTTAGTGTTTATTAGTACGCGATGTTGCTTCAATAAAGAACAAGTCATTTATAACGTAATATATCTGTACATTTTATTTTGTAAACACGAAACCGCATTCATTGCGTTAAAAATTAATACGTTTTTCTTTAAATATAATTGATACTGCATGTATCAATCTTGTTAAGCAGAACTTTAAAAATGGACCTAGCTAACAGTCAAAAAGTAATTTCAGCATTTTATTACTGAAGTACATCTCATTTCAAATGTAATCAATTTCAAAAGCCTTGTCAATCATAACTGATGGATACGTTTTGAATACACAAATGGTTCATATAAATTACCATAAAAAGTAATGGCTGGAAAAAAAACTGGAACGGATGAAAAATCTATATAGGAAGAAGCTGTCCATAAGAAACGAAGTAGCTCCTTGAAGTTGAGAGGCCGCGCTTGGTGCATAGTAGACCTTGCTCTACGTCTTGGCTCTCTTCGACGTAAAATCTTATAGCCTCCTCTTCACGAGGTGCGCACGTGCAGATCGAGAGCTCGCAACTCCGCACACTGTGTGTTCGCGCGCTTGAATAATTGATAAGTCGATAGAGCTATTTCTCCCTTGTTGCGCATCACGAAGCTTGACTCGCGCGCGATGCGGCAGATTTGCAACAAACGCCCGCTCAAACTGCCTTCATAGTCCGATTCTCTCGCGTATGCGCGATAACATGAATTTTCGTATATAAACCTTGCGACGGAGGGGAAGGGGGCGAGATCGTTTTGTGTTGCTTGACAGACACTTCACCTTCTACGCCCTCGCACGCTAAAGCTCAGTTTATCCGCGGATAGTGCTGCGAACATGGGCAAACTCAGTGCCAGCTCCGATCGAGCTGCTGCTGTTGCTGCTCTCGGTAATGATTCCCATTTCCAGTGCAAGTTCAATGCAGTTCTCCCTTGTTTTTATATTAGCTGCTCCTCTGTGTTTCAGCTGGTTATTCGCGAGCTCTGTGATTTTTAAATTTTATTGCAAATTTTAAATGAGTGACACTCAATGACAACTACAAGCTGTTGTTCAATTATCCTCGTTGTAACAATCGGTTGGATAACAATCTGACCTTCATTTAGTGAAAGATATATCAGGTTTTTTTTTCATATAAAAAGATACATTCATTATAACGTAATATTTTCAAGCATAATTTAAAAAAATATATATCATGAATATTGGAAGATCACTATAGAATTTCTTTAGTGATTTTAGTGATCATTGAAAATGATTTCTATATTTTATCGTTTTAATGAAGGTTTATCGTCAATTATGCTAACTAATTTATCACTCAATAATAAGTAAATAAAAAATTGTTTCATAACGTTTTGTGCTCATTAAGTAGTCTTTGGACGATGGGTGAAAGTTTTTTTTTAATTAGTCATTTTATTTGCGATTTTGTTATTGGAAAAAGAAAAAATAATTACCTTATTATTAGATTTTTTCTAAAAAATGCGTGATCAATGTGATAAAAATTTTACTATATTGAAATTAAAGCATTATAGTGTATTCTACATGGTTCACAAATGTAAAGAAAAATTATCGAGGTACAAGTGTATGTATTCATAATCAGCTATATTGACAAGAGTACTTTAATACTTTTTCAGCTATTTTTCAGCAAGAAATTTAGTTCTAATTTATACATAAAACAATGAGTTAATTGAAATGGAAAATATAAATGTTACCACAAGTAGTAATGATAGAAAAAATCAAAAATGTTATATCATCCTCATTATTTAAAATGAAAATATTCTTCATAAGCACAGAGTGCTGATTGTACAGAATATAAACTGAATTAAAGTAGCTTATAAACGTTTATAAATTTATTGTATTAGTGAATTAGTTTACGTTTCATCGACACAATTTAACTCTTTCAGTAATACACTTCTATGTATGCACTTTTACTTGAAAGATCTATTTCTTTGAAATTCGCAATTTTATTTCTATCATAATATACCGTAATTTATAAAAGATAAGAAGCATTTCGTACGCATAAGACGAGTTTAACAACTATCATTTATAAATTTGATCACGACGAACGTTCAATGAACGTTGTTGTACGCTATTTTGAACATAAAGTCTATGATGACTAACTTTCAATCTAATTAAAGTTTATTGATTGCTGCGTTTGATTGCTAAAGCACAAGTGGTATTATTGAAATAAAAAGTATCTCAACATATTATAAATTTAAATATTCTATGCTAAGGCTAAAGTTCTACGTACATAAAACTTTAATCTAACGTTTGTAGGTCTCGACTTTAAACCTTCGAACATACGAATATGGATCCACAATCGAGACATTGGAAAACTACAACAAGTGCTGTGGGAAGGACACGGGGCAAAGTTACGCTGTGAAACGAGCAACAATGTCCGAGTTAGGCGCTTTCTTGAAGCTGTGCCTTTTATTATGGTGAGTTTTATTTGTATATATTTCACGCGAGTCGTAACTGAACGTTCGTGATGTTTTACAGGGAACAATAAAAGACATTCACGCAGCAACGATCAAAAACGACATAGACACTTTTCGGAAAAAAGTGGAAGATCCAGTATCCCCTATTATTTTATCGAGCAAAGATTGCAATGGCCTTAACGTTTTACATAAGGTAATCAACAATGTAATATTGTCATTTCTCGCTGAGCAATTGGAGTTAATAACAACTGATTCAAGGCTGCTGGCTTGGGATACGTTGAACTGGCCAAAGAAATTTTAGACAAATATCCGGCAATAGTAAGTGCACAGGATGGTGATGGTAGAATTCCTTTGCACTATGCTGCAGTTTGCAGAGACGGTGGAGTTATGTTCGATCTGCTTGTGGAGTATGGCTCCGATGAAAGCAAACTGGATAACGTAAGAAATTTGGAAATAATTTACAGAACGTAGAAGTTGAATTGTTTACCTCTGCTACTCGTATTTTACGGTTTATGAGTCTTTTTGTTGGAGCTACATATTGCTGAACATTTTATTCAAATGATTGACAGCGAGGTAAAGTAGCGGCATTTTACAAGAATCGCCCGATGGACATTGACTTGTCAAGCTTAGTGACAGTGCCTGATGCACCGCGAGTATCGGGCACAAACTATCCGCGACACTGGGACTGGCGTATCATAGACTCGGACCAGCCGTTGCCGCGCATCAAGCGTACGGGCAACAACGCGGACGACGACAGTGCATTCGGCAGCGCCGAGTCGGCAAAGCTTACCGAGGAAATCACCACACCAGAGGTATTAAACGACGATAACGATGACAACTGAGACGTACCTCCAAAGTGTACTACTCGCAGTCGCGAACTGCAAGTTTTCGAGTGTCGTAAAAAGTCTCGTATTTTCTTTAACTTCATTATACTGCGATGCGTTGACAATGCTCGAGGGAGCTGTCAAATTTACGTCGTTATTTTTAATAAGAAAGCGTTCTGAATAATTAAAGTTAGCTTGAACGATTTAGACGAGTTTTATATCGATTAATTTCTTTTAATACAGCAATTTTATTCTTAAACATCTCGATCATCCGTGCTACCATTGTAAATAAAACCTTTTTAGATGCTCTTTTCTACATATAATCATACTATGCACGAGAAAATGCAATGCAGATTGTTTTTTTTTAATCAAGCATTTCATCGCTTGAAAGTGTAAATTTTTATCAGTCGCGCTTATACAAATTAAATGAAAATTTGAATTCTAAGAAAGCATGAGACTTTTGTTGGTTCATTGGCAAAGGCTAAATGTATATAATTTTCATTAGCTTTATCTATAATTTTTCTTGTAAAATACTCATTTGTCATTTGGACATCTTCATTTCGTTTAGCAGTGTTCTCTTTTTATAACAGTACACAATATAATATATATTATGCATCTTTATATTGTACTCACAAAGCTTCAGTGCTTAAATATAATTATATTTACACATATATAGCCATTGTTTGCACTCAACGTGTTATATCGCATATGTAAAAATTTTTCGTCTTATTTGAGGTCAATCTTAATGAAATACTATTTATAGATATAAAAATTTTATTATCTTTAAGGTATCACATACACTCTAACCATTGAAGAATTATTCTTGTAGCTTGAATTATATATCGCGACAGCTGTCGTATTTAATTTTATTTAACAAGTAAGATTTAGCTTGTTCCTATTTTTGTTGACCTAAATTTGCTAGTAAAATGTTTAGACTTGAGTTTAATTATTATAAAGCTTAGTTTTTGTAGTTAATACTTGAGGTGAAATAATATTTCTTAAATTTTATCTGCTTCTCCTTCATTTCAACAAAATTAATTATACGTTACTTTACATTTTTTTATAACAGTTGAAAATTTAATTATATCAAAGTAGTTTACATACTAAATATTTTAAATATGTAACTCTTAGAGAGAGAAATCACTTGGTTAAATTGTACACAATAAAATAATGATTGCTACATATTCAACATTGTGAAAGAATATAAAAACGATATTAGTTGGCGGAATTCCAACAAAATGAAATTATATATAAAAGCAACATTAGAATATTTAAAAAGTCGATTATATAAATTTTCAAAAGTTACGTTAAATATATCTTTTCAATGGGAAGAAAAAATTATAGTGAGTAAATTTGTCATATATTGCTGCAATATTTGACAAAAGACGAAAAATTTTTGTACATTGCAAGTCGTCGGGCGGGTAATAAATTCTGTTACATTATCGTTAAAGTAAAAAGATGCTCCGTCGAATACAGTTTTTTGAAGAATTTAACGTAACTATACTGTTCTCGAAATTCATATTATGTACAAATAATATAAGATATTTTTCGAAAAAAATTTATACCCAGACAACTTGACTTGACTGCTAACTTCGAATTTCAAGTGCTCTGCGTAATAAGTTTGAGTTAACCTGTCATCGGCTTATTACTGTTTAAAGCTAAAATTGGCTGGTATGATATTACAGAGTTATAGGATATATGGTGTTTGGAATTTGGAATTAACTCCAAATGGATTTGAAACTCTATAACACTAAGTTGTCCAGGCGTGATACCACGAGTACTTCACTTTCGAGTTTAGCGTTTAAGGTTTCTTAGTCATGGGTACACAGTTTTTCATGAATTGTGGAAATAATGCATAACGTTTTGCAAAAATGATAATTTCGACATTGCATCTTATTTGACTCCCTACCCGACGGAGTAGAACTGAAAGCGATATAAACAATGAACTTGCAATTAACCCACATGCACCATTAAAAAGCCCCTCACAAAACAGATTGAAAACGCGGAAGACGAAATGAATGGCAACGAAGAGGAGCCTGAAGCGGAGGAAGGTGATGCACAAGCCGACGAAGGCGATGAACAAGCCGATGAATGCGATGCACAAGTCGACGAAGGTGATGCCGATGAAAACGATAATCCTGCAGAAAATGAAGAAGAGGTTGTTGCCGTTGCCGAAGAGGGTGAGCTCCATGACAACAATAACAACGAAGTGGCTGAGGTCAAGGCCGAACGCGCCGTGACTACCTATTCCACTAAATCCGTGCCCGAGTTCGCCGAGCCCACGTCCGAAGTAACCCAGTTCGAGTTAACCGAAGCAGTGTCGTCTTCGAAACCCACGTCTGTTAAATCGGAATGTATTGCTAAAACCGCGTCGGCTAAGACGAAACTCAATTCCAAATCCGCGTCCGTTAGAACAGAATCCACTTCTAAGTCAGTGTCTATTAAAACAGAGCCCAATCCCAAGTCCGCATCTACTAAAACGGAGCTCACGTCCAATTTTAAGTCCGAATTTTTTAAAGCAGAGTCCAATTCGAAGCCCTCGTCTACTGAAACGGAGTTCTCTTCGAAGCCCACGCACGTTAAGACGGGAGTCACCTCAAAGTCCACTTCTGGCAAAATGAAGCCCATGTCCAAAATAGACGAAAACGAATTTGTTCAAATGGAGCCCACGCCTGAACTAACTAAAAAGCCTACGTCCCAGCCTTCCGAGATCGAGTCTATGGAATCGGCGGCCACGTCAAAACCCGCCTCTGCTAATGTGGATCCCACATCCGAGCTCTCTGAGATCGAGTCCGTCGAATCGGAAGCCACTTCGAAGGCCGCGTCTGCTAACATGATACTCGAGATTCACAATTATGCGCCCAATGAGTTCGAGTCCACTCTTGAAATGTATAAAATAGATTCCACTGAAATAGAGCCCACTTCCAAGCGCGCGTCCGCTAAATCAAAGCCCACTTCAAAGCCCGCGTTCACTAAGGCAGAACCGACGCTTGAGTTCCCCGAAAGCGCGCCCGCATATCCCGAGCCCACGCTCAAAGTGGCCGAGGTCAAGACCAAAGCTGAAGATGAAGTAGAAGTAGAAGTAGGAGCAGGAGCAGGAGCAAAAGTTGAAGTCGAAGCTGGGGTTCAAGGTGGCGATGATGCCGAAGCAGAGGACTCGGGCGAAGCACAGGAAAATCAGAAAGAAAACCAAGAGCACGAGGAAGAGGAAGCTCCGCCAGTCGAGGAAGCTGACAAAGAAACTAGCGAAGCAGAGGTGCCGGTAGAAGAGAGCGAAGCGGCCGACCCCGCGGCCGAAGTCGAGGAGAGCGACGAAGGCGACGACAAGGTTGAACCGAGCACAGCTGACTCTGGCGTCGTCCGCACGCCAAACGATGAAGAGCAGGTTAGCGATAAACAGAACGTGTAATGCAATTGTTGTACATCTTTTCTGTGAGAGAGGCCGCTATATAAAACACGTCACTCATTCGTACAAATAAGCCTGTTAACCCTCATCGATTTTGCTAGTTTACAACTTTTAATTCAAGCACCTTCCGTCATATAATCTTGATGAAATGTCATTTGAACCTTATATTCAACTAGAGGCTTTCTACATGAGTAGTCGACACGCATCGCACTCCGATCCGCAAATAAAATAATACTCCGACTAATTTGTACTCGTTAACACCGTGACTCTGGTAATTCATAAGTCATAAACAACTGTCGATACAGTAATTAGAGATAATTATTTCGATTACAATTGGGTCTTAAACGTTCATATAATGGGCAAGAGTAATTAAAAAATTGGCAAAATAGTAATGTAACAAATTGTAACCGTAATGGTTTAATCAATGGCTTCGATACTCGGGTATACGCACCTACGATTCAGAAGTGTTTTTTCGATTTTTAATTACCCTAAGTAAACTCTTGATAATATACTAAACAAATCTGATATGCTCGTGTATGATTAATTTCAGGATTTCCCATGCAAAAATATTGAAGTGGAAAAATAAATTGTTTTTGTTGATTTTTTTCACGTAATTTATTGAGTAAAAACCATTCTTATCTGTATAATTAATTAATCATCAACAGATACCGGGCTATCATGCAGTATTCAATCTAGCTTAAGTTATTTAAAACTATGTATAATATCTGCTCATTGGCATAAGGATCGATAATATAAACTTTACGACGCATTCACGAATGAAAAATAATTTCAATAGCCCCGGGAATAAATGGTTAATGTTCAGTTTCTGCTCATGTAGAAAGCTAAATCACTTCATACCAGCATGATTGCACACGTATTAGAATGTTCAAGCTCTGAAATAACAAATCAATAAATAAATTTCACGCCAGTGGTACCATTGTGAGCTGAAATTACAAGAATTGAAAAGCGTGTACTCCACGCATAGCAGAATTTCCATAGAGTCGTGTGTTCCGTGAAAAGTAGGCAAAGTTCGTGACTCGTACTTGTACGTGTGTGTCTGCTGTTCATGCGATGTTTTATCGGCAATCTTCATTTACGGCTCTGTTATTGTCAATCAATCGGAAAAGTCTCTATCAATCGTACACAATGACTATCAAATAATCCTCTTCGAAACATACACGTTGTAAAACATTACAGGTTTATATTTAACAATGGTAAGCAATCGATTATTTTTTATCGCTTTTTTAGCTACGTCTATTTTAAATGAGCATTAAAAATAAATATGTTAGAGTTGACTGTTGCTGTGTCGATGTCGATAGTATATTTATTGTCGATATAATCAATGTGTTACACTATTGAAATTGCTACGTATGCTTGTCTGCAAGTGCAATATTTAGCACGAACAAAAATTTACCATGTAGTATTTCTTGAAAAGCATATTTGTCAACGTTATATCGTTAATTCGTTCTCTACACTTTATATGTTTCAAAATCTATTGGATGTTGCACCAAAGTTACGATAAATAAATTGAAATTACTTTTTACTCAATGAAAACTTTAGAATAACATGATCTATTACAGTCGTTTTACGATGAGAAACGCACGCTTTGGCTATCATAGATGAATATAACACGATCTAGTATAAATATATTGATGTTTGTATAATACACATAATTAATATATTATAAAACACAGTAAATTCAATAAAAATGTTTGATTATATTCAACGGTTTTGTTGACGACTGATAATTTCGAAATACCTTCGCTGTTTCACCCTCACCAATGTACAATCATGTATTACTTTATATATAAATATCTAATTTTTTTATTTTCTAGATATTCATCTATACTATGTGAAATAAGAAAATATTATAGTCTTCGACAGTTTTTACGCAAAGTAATTTCATATTATTTACAATCCAAACGTATATATGTTTCATCTGCGGAAGAGACCAATAAAAGGGGGCAAATATCCGGACGCGCGAAGCGTCAAGTGCACCTGCAGTATATCTGTTAAATCGTTGAACATCAAAGACCATCGCGTTTTCGTTAATTATTCCCGTCAAAGTGATTGCAGTACAAGGAAAACCCGAAAATCGATAGTGAAGCTGGCCGTCGGTCGATCGTGGTAGTGAAATTGACTGCATACGAAGCTATAGAAACTCGCGATACGCTGGGTAATCTTTGCCCAAGGTATTGCCAAAGGCAAACATTCGAAGCGAAAGACTAACAACTTTTTGAATTTTAAATGATATTCGATCGGCTTCGAGTATTCCACTCCGTGTTATTTTATTTATTCGAACGATTTCGATTCGTAGCTCGTTAAGCTGCTCGTGAATTACGAAAGACGCAATCGATAAGTTGTTAATGAAGCTAACCGGCGAAAAGAGAAAGCCTCCAATGACGATCCGAATGTAACAAAGTGATATCCGGCAATTCGCTAAAGAAAGACTCGATCGCTCACACGCGCGCGCGTACGCACTCGTGTACCGATTACCGTCTAGAAAGGGAAAATGTGAAACATTGATGTGCACTTTCATATGGCGTAAAACGTCGGGCATCGGCGACTGCACAAAGCTCATTACCACAAGCAAACACAGAGAGACACGAGGCGCACACTTGTGCGCGCGTGTGCACGCGCGCTTGTGAGGCAGATAAAAAAGCGAAATAAGGGCGCGCTTCCACGTACCTCGGAGGAAGGTATAGAGAGATAGCGATCGATCGGCGTGTCACGCACACCTGTCGCGACCACATTAAGCTGGCTTTCGGTCTCTCGTCGTCACCCCTTTCTCTGCGCTACGCGCGTTCACGTTGAAATGGAAAAACGGAGCGAGAGAGAGAGAGAGAGAGAAAAAGATCGATATACACGCGAGTCGCCCGCATCGAGGCTGGCGCATAAAGCGAGCCGCGCGAGATCGCGCTTGCGTCCCTTTTTCCCGCCGCGTTACTCGTCGCGCGACCGCTGGCCAGCCGACGTGCTCGCGCTCCTCTCGCGCGCCCCGTCGTCCTGCACAGAACCACGCGTGCGTGGCGGACGAGAGAGATGACGATCGGAGAGGCCACAACGGAGAGGACACGAGACAGGCTGTTGTTGGTTGTTTTGTAGGCTGACGAAGAGGCGCCAGACGTGCAGCAAGAGGAGGAAGCGCCAGCCGAGGGAGAAGAGGGCAAGGAGGAGGAGGAGGAGGAAGAGGATGGGAACGAGGAGCAGGCTGCAGCCGACGACGAGGAAGCAGCCGAGCTCGCGGAGAACGGCACGATGGAGCAGCTGGCGGCGCTCGTGCTGAGCGGCGAGGGCCACCGGCTCGTTAATCGACACTCGAGCAACCCCGAATTGCAGGCGTTCATCGACAACGTGCCCACTTACATGGTAAGTCGTAGCCGTCTTCATTACACTCGAGCTGCCTTCGATTGCGCTCGATATATGGATTGTTGACGCGACGTCCAGCTCTACTCGGCGACGAACTTGCGAACCTTGCCTGTCAAACTTGTCAAAAGGCGCGCAGACCTCGTCGCACCTCTACCCTACGTTTTTCCTTTTCCTTTTTCCGAGTCGGGCTTCGCGAGAGAATGCTGGCTAGTTCGCTGGTCGAGCAGCTGCTCATGGATATCAACCAGTTGTACATCGTCGGTATTCTCACTGAGGCTTTGTCGCCGGCTAGCCTACTCAGTCGTCTACAGGCCGTTTTCTTTCCCGACAGTCAAAGATACGCGCCGTGCACCGAGCGGCCAAGGATGGTAACCTCAAGGAATTGCAGATCTCGTTGGATCGGCGTAAGTTTGCCATGGCTAAGGACCAGTCGTCGCCGCATGGTGCCACGCCGCTTCACGTTGCTGTGATCTTCGGCCATACAACGATCGTCAGGTATTTATGCTTCCTTCTTTATCGTCGATGCTTCTTCATTTCGGAAACGCACGAACATTTCTGACATGGATATACTTCTTGAAATTAGTAACAATAATGCAATTTCTTCACTCGATATAAATATAAAAATTGCCTCTTGAAAACCGGCGAAACGTCTTCTTTTTAGTCAACGCTTCTTAATTGTTCGCGTTTCGCGATACACGCGCGACACGTTCGATACCGTGATCATTGCGTAGAATATTGACAAGAAGATTTGAGTCGTGAGAAATGGGAATTCGCAGGTACTTGGCCGGCAGATTTCCCGAGACGACCCACGCGCTCGACTTGGACGGACGCACTCCCCTGCACTACGCAGCCACGCTCGCCGACAATGGGCACTATTATAATCTACTACTGCATCTCGGAGCCAATCCACTCGTGCAGGATAACGTGAGTTCAGCTACTTTCGGGCTCGTCACCGTGAGCTTTTTAATTAATTGACGAGTTGAATCGTGGCAGTTCGGCCAGAAAGCGGAATACTACAAGCACAATCAGGACGACTTGTCACACAAGCAGCTTTTGCGCGATTTCGGCGCCCCGGAATCTCTCGCCGACGAGATGCTTGTCGATAAAGGTATTCTTCACGCCCGTGCGCCTTACTTTGCATGCGGACAACACTATTGTTTCAAATTATCGAACGTAATTTATTTTTCTTCAACTACGTACGATTTCGATCAACTACTAGTTTACATTACTTGTATTTCATTATTCAGTTTTGTTTCTTGACAAATGCTGTAATGAGTAAGAGAAGTGGAACAGCAATATTATATTGCGTATTCTTTTTAAACGTGTTTATCACAATCAAACTAATGATTTTAATTACAATTGTTTCAATTACATTAAGTCGAGAAGAAATTATTCGAGAAATTGTATTCAATACTTTTTCGCGAAAAGAAATCTACACGCGATATGGTATTTAATACTTTCGCACGGCTTTTGTAGATTTAGTAAGTAGAATAATGTGAAATAAGTAGTTGCGTACCAGAGAACTTGATTGATCAAGATGTTGATATTGAATATGTTTATTTCAGTATGAAGCTTGTCGAGAAGCATAGATATCGTTTAAAAAACACATTTTGTTAAATACTTAGAATTCTCGTATAGATATGCGTGTAGAAAAAAAGTATGGCATTTCAAAAAATAATTTTTTCTCTTCACGATACAAATTAGCAGAGGTAATTAACGTAAATCAATTGGACGTGTTACATTCAAAATTCATATAAAATCGATGTCACTCTTTTCATGTGTCAGCCAACATCACGGCTTTCATTTTTCGACTTTACGATTATTATTCCAAGACCAGAGTGAATCAAGAATTGAACGTTCATTTGAAAGTGTGTAGCGGGTCAATTGTTTTTAATCTAATTTGATTCACTACTGCGTCGTAGAATGTTATAAAACACACAACATCGAATTGCAAACACGTTACGTACAAAGTCTTGACATAATGTAATTGTGAATGCTCATAATTGCCAGTTCCTATTGTATTAAGCCTATATTTGAAGGATGTGTCTATAATTGTTCTCATGATTCCAACTCATGCTCTCGCAACCACCATGATCGCCACGACCACACCGCCATAATCGAACATAAAACGAAACGGAAAATCACGAATCATAAAACGATCGCTCGCAAAACGATCACCTCAGTGGCGAACGGGGACACGGCGTCGGCGCGTCGCGACGTCACGGAGCCGGAGACTTTGGCGACGCTGGAACGCTGCTTCAGGCTGCTGACTTCGGGAATCGGCGGCAACGGCGGCGCTGCCGGGGTGGCAGCTGGTGGCAGGCGGAGCTCGATGCCGAGTGCGGCGGCCGGCAGCACCAACAGCGGCGCCTCCAATAACGCCGGTACTTTGCTGGGCCGCTGCTTGCGGCGCCAGGTCTTCGAGAAAATCAAGCACCGCGTGACCTGCATGGATCACAATCTATTTGACGTCATTTGGCCCGCTTTGAAAAAGTACAGCAACGCATACGCCAGCAACAGCAGCCTCGAGGAGGGCAATCTTAACTTAGTGCGCGAGCGGAGGTTCGAGATTCTCCCCATCAATTCCCAACGCTTTCTTTATGACCCAATATTTCTTTTTTATTTTTATTCATTTATTTATTTACTTTTTACTTATTGCGCTCGTAGGATGCTTTTGGACGTGCTTTCTGCGAAAATTAAGCTCTTTATAGACACGACTCGTAAGATTAACTCTTTGAGGCGCGAATTGTACGAATATGTATCACCTGTATTGATATTGTTTATTTTTAAAAGACTAACATGGACAATTTGCTTCTACGTGTTGTCTTTTTTTCGCGAAAAAATTGTCTTTACATATAACGTAGACAGTTGAAAGTATGAAATTTTTTTTCTACATATTTTCCATACGTAGCGTGACAATGTATAATATTTTTCGTAATTAGCAAGTCCAAAAACAGAAAACAATCGCGGTCAGAGGTTTTCCTCGTAAAATCAACCGTATTATATTTTTTAGAGAGCTTAGCTATCAACTGTAGAGTCTGAGATTAAAATTCGAATAACCGAAAATTGTCCCCAACTGCAATGAACCAATAACAATACTAACAACGAAAACCTTCCCAATCCAAATATCCACGTAGATTATCGGTATCCTCGTACGACGAAGACTTCACGGGCAACGTAGTGGTGCCAGACTTCGAAAGCTACGTAGTTTTTGCCGAGCTCTTAGACCCATTGATTCGAGATCTTCACTGCGTGACAGCGACCGGTGAATTACCAGATCAGCCAGGCCCATCGTTCTTCTACGACGACGACTACATTGGAAACACAAGTGCCAGTACCCACAGCGACAAAGTGTCCCGCGAGAACATCACCTACTTGGAAAGTCGCGATCTCGACCCGAGCGGCAAGTACATCATGGCCGGTGTGATCGAATGCACTCGCAACTTCGTCGATCACCAATTGCCACTGACTATGCGCATTAACGAGCTGGAGGAGACCGAAAGAATCATCACGGGTATACTCATCGGTCCGGAACTCACCAATTTGCTGGCTGAGGGTTCAAGCGAAGACGAAGCTGGCACCTATTATACCCTCAGCGAAATAATGGACCCGTTCAACGAGGTGCGAGCTCAACTGGCGGGTTCGGGCCTGTTGCTGCCGATCAGCGAGACTGAAAACAGCGACGAGCGCCGGTTGCACGGCAAGCATTGGCCTTACGGTCGTGGAGTTTACGTGACGTCTTCTGGGGATCTTGCCATCTGGGTGAACGTGCAAGACCACGTGCGCCTGATCTGCTGTAGTAGCGAGTCGAAGCCCGGCTACATCGGCAAAGCTTACGTGCGCTTGGCAAGGGTGCTTGCAGTTTTCGATCGTAGCTTCGACTTTAGGCGCGATCCCAAGCTGGGTTTTCTGACCTCGAGACCGTGCGCTCTTGGCAATACTCTCAGATTCGACATCATCGTCAAGCTCGCCGGGCTTTCGAAGAAACCGGACGACTTGAAGCACCTGTGCGTCGTAAGAGGTTTGAGGATTCATCCGACCTTGAGGAGAGACACCGTGAGGCTGGGCAATCAGCAGAGTTTGTCCATCAGCGAGCTGCAGACTTACCAGGACTTCGACAGAGCCGTACTCAATGTACTCACTTTGGAGAAAGAATTGGCGCTGAATAGCTCGTACAAAATTGCTTCTGTTATTGCCAACATCTTCAAGAGAAGACGACTTTCCGGCTCGAGAAGCGTTAGGCCCTAGTAGTAGCTGCATACTTATTTACCGAGAAGACTGACTGTTACAACGCTTGTATACTCACTTGTCATTCTCTTTTATCTTGCAAAACAAAAACCCGCCTCATAGATTGTTAGCTCTTAAGATTTTTGTATTTAACTTAGCGCTTAAGTAAATCATCATTAAGCAATTATCAGTTTGCTAAAGCTGCCTGTAAATGGAGAATCGCCTCGACCAAAAAAATAAAAACACGATCTGTGATACGTTTATTTGGCTAATTAAAAATATGCAAGCTAATCGAAAGTTCGATCAACGTTAGGGTCATCATCAATTTGGAAAGATGTGTGAGCTTGTCGTGTGGCGGTTGACGGATACGTCTCTCTCTCTCTCTCTTTCTCTCTCTCTCTCGACCAATTGCTTTTTTGGGTTAGTAGATCCGATGATTTTAGCTTTTCCTCATTTCTTTCTCCCGACTCGATACTTTGACGCCCTCGTATTGTGAACCCAGGAAAGACTTTTCTTTTGCCTATGAAAAATTAATCAGCGATAATACGGCCGTTGAAAAAACAAGAGGTTAAAGGCATCGGAGTACATGTGTGCAGCATTGATTTTTCCTAGGTATATATTCGATGTGGCAACGAAACAAAGTGGCGACAAACTATCGACGTCTTCGTTCTATGTCACTCGCACTCGAAGCTAATCCACCACTGATCAATATATAAATGTGGCGCAAGCACATATATCTTTCCAACTTGATGTATTTCTTTTTCTCTTTGCTCGCTATATAGTTGAAGTGCGACTTTACATTGACTGTCCCAGCATGGATTTCTTATGTACAATAATAGAATATAGAATTGTTGGAAGGTAAAACTTTCAAAAATAGTAAGTACACTGCATGATCGCAAAACCTTGTTGATTAATTCAAATTCAACATTCCAAGGTCTCACTTCAATTATAATTTATCCATACATACGATAATTCAATTTATTACAAATGTTTTGATTCTACATATCTCCCGAGCAAAATCCCAGAACACGCCTGTAAATACAATGTGAGTTTCAGCTGCCCCCTTCATCCTTGAATATCGAGCTATCGTGGGCTTCGTTTATCGACACTTGAATATTACATGCGCCGACTAAGTAACGCTGTGGGAAAATTATTCTTTTTTAATTTTTATTTTGCAGAAGACGAAAAAGAAGAAGACCTGAACGCCTATGAATAAATATCTCTATATTGTGTGCATTTTCATTTACTTGCATATCTCTTTCGCATATATTTTATTTATCATCTTGTTGCATTGTTGTAATGAAGAATTAAAGAAAAAAGCTTATCATTATCATATTTCGTAATTTTCCTTTCATTTTATATTGCTTCATTTGGCTCTCATCACACCCCCAAAAATGTATTTTCAATGTATTTTGTTAGTGAATGTCGCACTTTATGGCTTACTCACCATTATTTATTTCAGTCTCATTTTTCGGTATTTTACAATGTTTTTCCACTGACGTTATAAACGAAAAACCCTATCTCACGAATTTCTTGTTGCAGATCTGAAAATTTTTCACGACGAGGAAGGACGATACTTAGTGTCTTGTAAGTTCAAGACATTGTTTTATCGATTTATAGAAGAATTCAGTGTATTTTCGACACGGCTATATTGATTAACTTTGTTTCAGCACTCGGCGATCCATTAATAAAAGGTTTAACCGAAGTTGCAACTACAAGACCAAAAGATCCCGTTACGTATCTCGCGACTTATCTGTACAACTTTGCCAACCAAGAAAAACCAAAAGACAACAAGGTAAATTATATGCGACGAGTTTCATCGTCTATTCTGAATATTGATTTGTGCGTGTACATATTTAGGATTCCAATATATTGATAATACCCGAACAGCAAAACGGACACGATGGAAACGAAGAAGAGAATCAAGATAACGAAAATGACGATGGCTATCCACAAAGTCCGGATTTTGACGCACCGGAATCGTTATTTTCGGAAACGGAACGGGTAAGCTTTTATATATTCGCCACTTGTTTTATTATTTCGAGTGTTTTAATCTAAGAATATTGAAACTATTATCAGGATGAAAACGGACAAAGTTCGCTTCACTTCGCGGCAAATCGTTCCCATTCAAAAGATGGTCTTTATCAGCATCTTTTAGAGACTCAAATCAACGTTGCACTGAGAGATTCAAAATACAGAACGGGAAGAGACGTTGCCGAAGCATCTGGAAATAGAGGGAATATACAAGAGATTGATCGCTTTGTCGTTTATTTGGCGGCACGCGGTATAACTCATTTGTTTCGATATGAGCTGGTATTTCCCACTATTGGATTATCATGTACATTGTTTTTTGTAAAGGCGAAACAGATAAACTTGTAGAATTGCTTATGGAGGGATATGATCATATTTTGGATACCGAAGATGATGATAAAAATATATTGCAAATCGCCGAGGAAGAGGGCAATACGTCAACCGTGGAATTCTTGAAATCTATTGAGAATTATACGGTAAAGTATTATCTTTCTTCATAATTATCTAAATTTTCATGTACAAATGACAACTGGATATTTTTTTTAGGACTTGAGAGATGAAATTCATCGAGGAATACGAGCAGGCAATTTGCCCAAAGTACGAGAACTTTTGGAAATGAATGGAAAAGGCGCCAAATTACTTGCGCTGGGTAAGAATACAAATGGTCGATGCTCGTTGCATGTCGCAGTATTAATGGAGCACGAAGATATCGTAGATTACCTTGCCAAAACCTATCCAGAGACTTTACAAATAGGCGATAATGTGAGTAACAGTTTTTACTGAATCGTCGTGATTTTCATTGCCTGGAATTAGTTTTTTTATTACTTCGCAGTTGGAAAGAACTGCTTTGCATTATGCTATGGGTGTACCTTCAGTCGAAGTTATGAGTAGCATGCTTGTCAAAGCTGGAGCAAAACGAATACAAAAAGACTTGGTAGGTTCCAATCATTAATATCCAGAATATTTTTAATACTTCTGACTTTTAGTATATTTATACAACGGAACTTTGAATGCTATTATCATTTTTTTTTTCAAAGATAAATTTCATATTCGTTTTCTCAAAACAAACCGCGACAGTTACTTATATTTGTATGACTTATGTAGGTCATATAGTATTGAACAAAAAATAGCGTTGCGTCAATAGTTCAAGATCAAGAGTCAAGTTTATAAATAACTACGTCAAGCGTATAAAATATTTTCATTTCTTTCACGTACTGCACTTGACAAAATAAATGTTAGATAAAATATTTAAAAGATATAATTTATCAATAAAAATTTATAAATTTGTTTCAGAAATCACGACAACCGTCCTATTATTATATGAACAAAACCGATATTGAAGAACTTCAACGCGAAGAAGAATCATTAGCTAAGTAGAAAAGTAACAAGAAATAACAAAGTGAATGGTCGAGGAGCGTTGTTCATTTATAAGAAAAAAAAGAGTCAATACTAATTAATGAAAAAAGAATTAACCGAACTAAAACTAACAAAATAATTAATGTCACATAGCTAAAAATATTTATATAAAAACAATATTTGTTGTAAATACGCATGTCATTAAACGTCGTTCTAAAATAAAAAAAATTATCTTACATTTAAAAGCAACGTACTTGTGCTTTAAAAATACCAACTCTTTTCATTTACACGAATTGTTGATTCCTTTTTTTATCTTTTTACACTAGCTTTTTTACTTCGTTGACTTTTGATTGCTGCACCGGATGTCTTAATTTGATTTGCATGATTGTTATCTGTATCCGATTCATCACTAGCATTATTGACTAATGGCTGCCAAGGTGTTGGATTGGTAAACACTGGCTTTGCTTTTTGATGAGCTATGAGAAAGAAAAGTCCCTTCTTTTTAATTATTTACTAAACAATGGATAATGATGTTACTTTATTAGAATGAAAAATCATTATTTATCGCGTCAAGGTCAAGTTTTAAAAAAATTTGAATGGAATAATAAATAACTCACGTAGTAAGCCTTGCGTAGCAGGCCTTGGCGCATATTTTGCCTTTTCTCGCCATTTCTCATAGGCCTTCGTGCTGTCTTGAAATCTTCTCTGTTTTTCTTCCTCAGCCTTCTTTTGCTTCACCAATTCTTTTTTTTCTAAAACTGTATGATGACAGAAGGAGACCAATATATTAACTCCCAAGCAAAAAATAAAAAAAAAGTTAATACATTATTTACAAAGATACAAAAAATACTAATTTAATTTAGGATCAATATTGAATAAAAATTAATTTCTATCGCAAGAAAACTTATCGCAGAAATATAAGAAAATAATCTGACATTTCTGCTGCTCCTCCTTCTTTCTGTACCATTTCTTCAAAGTCATATCTTTAACGACCTTGGCATTCTCCTCAATGTCTTGAATTTGTTTCCGAAGGTTAAGCTCCTTTTCCATCAGCTCTTTCTTAATGCTCTCTTCACGTTTTTTACGCTCTAGCCAATTGATAAAACAGTCGTAATCGCGTCTTTCCTTTTCCTCGCGTTCGCGCTTTTTGCGCTCTTCTAACTCGCGTCGCCTGAGTTCCGACTCACGCTGCTCATATTTGCGCTGTTGCATCTCGCGGTGCTTTTCACTACACCAATTTTCGTACGAAAGCATATGGCTCATGGAAGTGCTATTCAAGCGTTGACAACTCGCTGCAGTGCTCAGGGAAGTTGTACTGAGTGAGGCTACCACCACTTCTGTATTTGCTGGTTTATTTGTCAATTCGTACTCGTTATCTGATGATCTGAGAAAAATCAAATGATTCAGAACAAATGAACATTTATTACATATTTTTAATTAAAACTTAATAAATTGATTTTACTTTTAAAGAATTTAATTATCATTAAACTATATGTATAATGTTTTTAATTTTCAAAAAACAACTTTTTTTTATACCTCTGTCTATTATAAGTCCTATACTCATCGTAGACGTAATCTTTATTATCCAATTCGAGTGTCAAGTTTTCATTATCTTCGTCGTCGTCAAAGATTGCACAGCGATCAATGGACGACACTGTCGTTGTTGTATTTTGACTCGACGAAGAGAAAGCTGGTTGCAGTATGACGGCATCCTCGCCTTGCTGTGATAAACTCAAATCAGAGAATTCGTCGGTGAGCGCACCCGAGTCACCACAGCCCATCACGATGATTTTTCGTTGATGCGGGTACGACTTGCCGTTATCGCTCGTGTCGTTCGATGTTGACGTCGAGATTCGCCTAAAATATTAGGCAGATTTTTTTCAATTTTTAACCACAAGTTTAAGTAATAAGTTATCGATTAATCTTAATAAATTATCACATTGTTTTTCATTCAATAGTAGGCGCAATTTTTTTAATTTAGCTAAGTATTTCAAAGGCTCAACTTCAGTATCGAAAGTGCTTACGTAAATGATAATGAATTTTAAACTGACAATAATTGCAAATCCAATCTAACCGTATCAATAGCATATTACGCACATTTACAAAAAGTATAGGTTGTCTAGAGTCATAACCACCTACTATTTGGTCTCAGGTACTCACGCGCGTAGTAACCACCCGCGAATTGGACTGGTATAATTATATTAGTAATCACCAATAGTATTGTTTGAGCCTCGAGCATAGCCCCTCGAAGCCCAACCGAGGGTGGTAAACAAATGCTCTGAATATTCTTTATTTACCTAGGTGCTGCTCACACGATTTTATACGAGCCATGTCGTAAAATTAAATATTGTCACATTTTGAATACTAGTATACAATTTTGGTTTATATTAATTTATTATAATGCGCTGAACGAATAATAAACATTCAAGACTTATCATGAAGTGTTGCAACCTTAAAATTTAATTTTATCGCGAACACGACAAGAAAACTTTTTCCAATTATGAGAGTAGAGGTCCAATTTACCAGGTCCGTTGACCATCATTTCTAGGATCAGCATCCTCATCCTCGTCATCAGCTTCGTTTTCAACAAGTCGATGAGGACGACGAAATTCGGGCCCCGATCGGGTACACCTAGGAGGTTCCGGTCTGCGTCGGTGCTGCTGGTAATGTTGCAGCACAAGGGCCGCATGCTCGGAGTAACTCCTGGCCAAACCCGACGACCAGGTGGGCGCCGACGCAGCCGCCTCCTCGTCCATGCCTCGCCCGTCAACTTCTGATGCTGCTTGAAATACTCGCACGTACTTTTCCCAACACTCTCCATTGTTTTTTTGTCTCGTAAAATTTTGATCAATCAATTAAATTATTATAAATTTGAAATATAAATTATTATAGTTGTAGTAAATGATAATCGGATTAATATCAATTAAGTTGCATAGAGCAAAGTTGCTATACGTGTTTAACCCACGTAACTGTATAATCTGTACGAGGTTATTCTCAGTAATCAAATAAACGACTTGTCTAATTTAACGTCAAACATGTGACACAGAGAAATAATATAATTAAAATTTCATAGATAATAGATATCTGTCTTTATCTCTAGTTGTTTTGAAAGATAACAAGGAGAAGTGCTGTCACTTTAAGATTTGGCATTAATTAACTTTTTATATTGGCTTTGTCGTAAACTTCTTGTAGTTTTTTCACCAGCGCAATGTGCGGAAATTGTATTTCAAGATTAATTCTTGATACACATTATAATGATAATTCCAAGTACAATGGTCTAGCGTAAACATGCAACATAAAGATTATTTTTGCAAATGAAACAATATCTCAAATTCTTACATTTGAACAATTGCTCGTCATTTCATTTTTTATTTATTACAGATATATAAGCTTGCCATTTGACATCGATTTATATTTGAAATATGAATTTCCATTTGAAATATTAAGCATAGAAATTCGAAGAATAAAAATATTTACACTAATACGATACCAACATCTAGGAAATAATAAGATGTTTATAACAAAATAATTCAAACATTTTCAAAAATTAATTGGCTCTAAAAAAATTATTTCAAATACATGTAATCTCGCCATTTGAAATGAACCGTCATAAGTTGGTAATAAGATTGATGATGATAACAGAATAAAATAAACAAATAAATATTTACCGCATAAAATACTTGTTATGTAATTTTTGCAGCTCCTTTATTTTACGAAAAATGTCACATTTTATTTGGTAAAACTTCAGGCCGTGATATGTTGTTATCTAATCGTTTTTATTTCTTAATTGTATTTTTAAAGTTCCTATTATAACTGACTTTCATTTTAATGACTTCGTAGACATTCAACAAAATCTTATTGATTTACATCATATAAAATAGAAAGATATACGTCATTCAATTAAAACTTTGATAACATATAAATACATCGAAGGTGAAAGAATAATCAATAGTGAACTTGGCATCTCAATTTGCGCAGGAATGCTTATTTATGTTTTACTCAAAATACAATAGAGAATTTAAGCTTTTGTTTGTTGCAAAGCCGCTTTACGCAAATGGATGAAGCAAAAAAAAAATTTCAAGCAACTTGCAATATTCTATTTTTAATTACTGTATGGAAAGCATATTACTGTATACTATGTAGTGATACAATGATCCTTATGGCACCTAAGACAAATAGTAAATCTAGTAAGAAGATTAATGCAAAGCCTAAAAAGATATTGATTGAGTGTAAGGTTGGTGGTGAGAAGAGAAAAAAAAGAGTATCAATAATGTTTCGACTTGTACCTTTACAAAGTATTCGGTCAGTAAGTAAGATATTGGTATCTCACTCAAGGCAATGAGGCTTTTGAACAAGTCTGCTATAGTATTGCTATGGTAGCTATTATCACAGGGTACGTACGAAACCATCACTTGCCATGAGATCCAGTATGCTGTCAGATATGTACTCCATGGCGAACTTGCTAAACACTCTCACTCCGGGAGGGCATTAAAACCGTCAACAAGTGTTGCACATTTGAAGAGATTTTTATTTGATTCTTACTTTCCAAATAAAAGGCCCTTTTCGGGGCCACCAATTTAGTAAACGCTTCAAAATATCAATATTGATATTTTGATCAATATTAATATTTTTATTGTATAATTTAGTATTTAGAATTAAAAAATATTTCTCTGCGTAATCTTCGAAGGTTATTTTGAATTGTGTTGAAACATTAGAAAATTATGTCACAGTTAAATAGTTATAAAAATTTTACTGTCTAAAAAATGAGCCTTTTTCAGAGCCACAAATTCATCAAACGTATCAAATAAATATTCTTTCTATTTACGATATCTTTTTGTGATACTGTCGTCAAGCACGAGCAGCTAGTTCATCTATCGTTTGTATTGATATTCAGTTTCGTACTTGAATTAAATCAAAGTGAATATTATAGGTGACATTAAAGTTCTAAAATATACCACGTACATAAAATAATTATGTTTTAACACGCTTTTGATATTAATTTTTTTCTTTTAGTATTTTGAAATTGTATGTACAGTTTGAATGTCTAACCACTGGTCTAAATGGCCGACTACTGATATGGCTTTACCGTATACATAAAACTCTTTCTATTTGTAATATTTTTCTTGTATAATCAACAATAGTGTGAACTAGATAGTATTTAGACGGTTAAAGATTTTTTTACATTCTTTATCAAGACTATTGTGGGTCAACATTAGAATCAAAATTAATATAAGAGATAATAGCGAGCGCGGCACGTTGGCCTTGAGCGTTCCATCGCCAACTAACCTACCTTAATCAACTTTACATTTTCTTTCAGAATTTGAAAGGGATTTATTTTATTGCAGATAATACATTAACGTAGTAAACCTTATCGGGATTAATTATGTTAAGCGCACACTGAATATCGCGCATAAAAACAGACGAATAACAAAGGTTAGCCAGGCATCCGATTGTGGTTCATGCGCAATAGCAATTGCACATTGTGCATAGAGCTATCTTGTATATACGTGATGTGTATACGCGACGCACTTTAATGCACATAAGCATAGGACTTAAAGTTCATCTATTTTTATATCAATAATTTGTTATTTTTACTTCGGAAGACGAACATGATACAGCATGTTACATTGACTATAATTTTTTCAACTCCACTTTCACTTAATTTTTAACTTGCTTTCTTCCATTTGATTGTATAGCGTGATACGTGAATACTGCATTATGTATAGTATTTTCAACACTGTCATTTGAAAAATGTAAAGAAGGGTAATTATAGTAATGGGTAGTAACTCCGTTATTCAACTGATTATTTCGCTAATGTCGTTACAAATCCTTTCAAATATCACACAATTACAAATATATGTTAGTTATTATGTAAAGTAACGACAGTATATAGTCATTACGGCGTTATTTTTAGAAAAACTGTAACGAAGTATGGAGCAGTACGTCGTTAAATAACGATGTTATGCGAGGTCGTTATCTTAGCAAATTTTTTCGTCACGGTGACCTGACGATGAATATTGGGCGTAGATGAAAATTCATGTAGTTCACATGCATCGTGTGTCAATTGTAGTATGTCTAATTCGGTAATCTATTTAAACATATTTTCACAAAGTAGTAATGTCGATCAAGTCTATAATATATAATATATCTATAATATAATAAATTGAAGGAAAAGTCTATAATATATTGAAACAATAAGTATTAATATAAAAAAAACTTTATTGTTTAATACATTTAGTTTTTGGAAATGGCTGACAACTGGCTTTAAAAAAATTATTTCAGATATATGTATTTGCGCCATTTGAAATGAACTGTCATACGTTGATAATGAACTTGATGATGATAATAGAATAAAATAAACTGAATAGTTGTTGCATGAAACGCTTGTTTTGTCGTTTTTCCAGTTTCTTTATTTTATGAAAAATATAATTATTTGACACAATTTTAGGTCTTGATAAATTGCTATATAATGATTTTTATCTATTAATGACTTATCAGACATTCAACAAAATTCTCATTAATAAAATGTATAACATAGAAATACATGCGACATTTAATTCAAACATTAAAAGCATAAACACATCCAAGGTTAAAGTATAACTAATAATAGTGAACTTGGTATCTGGATTGGCACGGAAGCTCTTGTTTACGTTTTATTCAAAACAATAGAGATTTCAAGTATCTAATTGGTGCAGAGTAACTTCACACAAATTGATGGGGTAAATATTTTTGAAGTGGCTCGTAATATTCTATTTTTGGTCATTGTACGGAAAGCATCTTACTGTGTACGGGTTAGCGATCATTATGGCACCTAAGATAAATAGTAAAAAATCTGGTGAAACGGCTGTTGTAAAGCCCCAGAAAATTGTAGTCAAAAATAAAGTTGGTGATCAGAAAAAGAGAAAAAAGAGGACAGAATCTTTCGCCATTTACTTATACAAAGTATTGAAACAAGTTCACCCGGATACTGGCATCTCGAGGTAAACAATGAGCACGATCAACAGCTTTGTCAATGATATCTTTGATCGTATCGCTACGGAAGCTTGTCGTTTAACAAGCACCAGCAAGAAAAGGACAATGACTTTCCGTAATATCCAGACTGCTGTCAGGCTTTTATTTCCTGATGATCTTGCTAAGCACGCTATCTCCGAGAGCACCAAGGCCGTTACCAAGTATACTACGACTAAATAGATTTTCGTTTGACTCTTACTTTTCAAATAAACGACTCTTTTCAGGACCATCAATTTAAACGTATCGAACAAATATTGTGATAGTGTAATTATATAATTTAGTATATTCTAATTAACAAGCATTTATTATTTACTCTACGTTATTATTAAAGATTATTTTATATTGTTTCGAAATACTTTATTGATTACATAAAAGTTCAAACGGGTTGTCATTTCATTCTTGTTTGTAAAAAATGTAGCTTTTTTTGAGGTTACCTATCAAACAATTCTTTATATTTTTTACCAAGTTTTTGTATTGTTTCAAAAAAAAACGGAAGCGGTGAATGCCGTACCGCATAACCCTTTAAAATATTGAAACTATTGATCTTAATTTCATACCACTTTATAACTTTTATATTTTTATAATGATTATGAAAATATTTATAATTCAAGCAAAAGCAATTGCATAATGCTTGAGCATATGTCTTGTAATTAAAATATTTTCGAAAATTGAGGTTGAGAATTTGGACTCGAGAGGGTTAAAAAGAAACGAAAGATGATAAATTCTTATCCAGGTGAACACTACATGTCTTATTTAAGAGAATCGAGTAGATTAGACTTATGAAGAAATAATAGGACAAGTTCGATGAGTTTGATATTTATTTAAAACAAATTTTTATTTATTTATTTATGTTCTTAACTTTATTGAAACATACTATATAAGTAATTGTAAAAATGAGAAAGTTCATGTCGGTCTTTTTTGGTATCGAAAAATGACATGAATTTATGGTGTTCGTATACTTCTCTGCTGTATCTGCTTGATGTGTATTATTTTCTCGCTGTGCAGGTCCGTAAATCTTTTAATGGTCCTTTTATGATCACTCCAACTATTTCTTACGACCGTAGCGATCTATTTCTATTAATTCTTGATATGGGACTAATTGCATTCTTCTCCAGAAGTCTGGATGGAAGCTTGGCCGTCGAATTTTCGACAGGTTTGTCGCGCCTGCAACACACTAATGGCTCGGCGCTATGTTTGACAAGTCAACTATAGTGACTCATACTCAACTCTGTGTCTCATGAAGAAATTATTTCTTATAATTTATCCATTCTAATCCCCTACTATAGCTTTTCGCTGACAATAAGCGCAAATGTGCATTTATATATATACGAGATTTGGTTAGGCAAGTCAATAACAAATTTCTATCTAAAATTAACAGGAACCAAATCTAAAATTAAGAAGGCATTTCGGTTTCCAAAAATGTATACGCGAAAAGGCTGGAAAGTCAACGAGCAAAGGCAATCTGTATATAAGTGAATCTATATGTTATCGGTCAATACGATATTCGACTCTGAATACCAATGAGCTTTCCATTTATTTAAGCGCGAAATGAATGATAATTATCACACCCACGCAAATATCAAATAACTTTCTGATGTTTCGCAACGAGAAGAGAAAGAGATTAGCTGTTTGCGATCGCGTGCGTGTGCCATATGCGCAAGGGGATAAAGCATAGACTTTGACTTTTATCGTTGTCGTTGAAAAAAATAATCGGCAGAAAGAGAGTCACAACATATTGTAATCCAGCTCGACTATATAGATTCAAACGTCAGCCTTGCTCTCGCGGCGTGACTTTGATGATACGACTTTGAAATTTCATTATTTTATTATCCTGAGTACGTTTATATAGATTTCTTTCCACTTCACTTTTAATCTCCAATTGTTTTTTTATCTCTCTCGCTAACAGCCTGCAATTTACTTCGATTGTAATTTTTTAAATCTTGCACGCAGTTACGAGTTTAACTGCGTTTTCATTATCGTTGCAATTATTCCATGGTTTCGTTTAACAATTGTTTCACTGCGCGATAGAGCATATTTTTGTTGCGTGCGACATGATTTTTTTCTAACATTAAATATCTTCCAGTACATTTTACACTCTTATCATTTATTTAGTTATCACATTCAAATCGCATCGGTACAGAAAACCTGGCCTGCTGCACTTGACATTTTTATTCCACTTAATTATGAAACAACTGTGCATTGCGCTAACTAATTGAGAATTACGATACAGTGATTCCCCTGATTGCCATGACAAACGCGTGTGACTGCAACAAAGAATTTTCAAATAACGAACCTTCAATTGCATGAAATAGTATACACATCGTGTAAAACCTTGCTCGTATTCTGTATTTATACGAGTCATACGTAGGATGTAAGCATTTCTCATTTGTATTGAAGTCATGACCGTTGATCTATCATTTTTCTTTTTTTTACTCTCTTCGCTGCTGATGCTCTTCTTATCGCAAATAATTCTAGACGATTCGGACCTGAGTACACATATAATTTTAAAAACGCTGATAAACTCTAATACCCGTTGAGCTGTCAATTAGCTATTTGAATTAAATTTTTTTTTTCAAGTATTTCACAATGTAATTATACTGTCGTTAATTTGCATGATTTTGAGGAATTTAATAAGTAATATTTTAGCAGTTGTTGCAATTTACATTTTCCAGACGAGCGCCTCCTGTTTTTCATGTATCTCGTGAATAATTTATTTTATGTTTTTGCGCCTTCGTTATACCAGTAATTTAAAAAAATTATTACGATACCGCGAGTCGATAAGTTACTCATTTATAAGAATGCTGAATTCTCAATTGTTTACAGGGATCGCGTTGATATCTATTAAGAAATTAACGAGCATTCGAGCGCAATGTCATTTATGCAAGACAATAATAAAGGATGAGTAAGCGCGGTTTGGGAAATCAACATAGTGAGTGGAGCACATAGCTCAACGAAATTGCGCATTTCGTACGTAACAACGAAGTCGCGCCGCGGGGATAGAGTCTTACGCGATAAATTGTGCCTGACTTTGATTGCGCTCAATAAAGCGTGTAGCCAGTGCGATCAACTTTGTTCCAAATCAGATGTTTCCCAGTTAACGGGGGGAGGGGGGGGGGGGCACGAAGAATTCATTGGCAGAGAGGAGAGACAAATTCAACTCAGCGCCTGTCAAGCATTTTCCGGTGCCGTCTGGTTAACAAGCTCTTATTATTCAATTTTCATTCTCGGTTTACCGTCGCGCGTACGCTTTCTTCATTTTTCAAGTTCGCCTCCAATTGACAAAGGTCGAGCTGCCAGACTTATTGGCAGGGCTTCGAAAAGCGTTATTTGCTGAAAACTATGGCTGATAGCTAAATGAATTTCGACGAAAGCGGGCACACACAAACGCACGTAGGCGCGCGAGTCAGTGCATCACAAGCAGACGATAACGAAGCAGAGGAAAGAGGCGCGTGCGCAGTGCCGAGCATTCCTCGAAATCGGCAAACCGCAGGACTAAAAGTGCGCGCGCCGAGCAACGTGACCGTGCACGCACGACCCGAAGATGTAAAAAAAGCCGCGAGCGATTGAGGATCGTTGGGCGTTTTTTTTTCTTCTTTTTTTAACTTTTCAACGAGAAAAGTATCGATCACGCTATCTCGATACATGCGAGATAAAAAAACGTACACGGCACTTTTCTTTCTTTCTCTTTCGTGAATGTATATTTTACAGGTCGAATGCACATTTGACGTGTGATGCAATGGGTACTTTTTAGATAAAGTCTGTGTCTACGGAGAGCAGCTGATCGCAAGAGAGCGTGTGCAAGCATTGTTTTTCTACAGTGTCTGACCTGGCGAGGATTCCCATTTCTGCAGACAACAGCTCGCGAATAACAAGCAATAAAAAATGGAGAAGACATACAGCCCGAGTAGGATAGAATCGGCAAGCAGCATCTAGATCATATCAGCCACAACGAGTGTGCGGCAGTAATGATTGAGAGGTTGCCACAGGCAAATAATAAGTGTTATCGGCTTGTCATCAAACTATTCGTCGTTGAGGAAAGGGAGACGAGCCGGCGGCGGCGACGCGCGCGACAATACGGGGGAAAAGACTGCTCAGAGACACTCCGACGGCCGCCCGTTGCGGCGATACACTAGTGCAAGCGCCGCCAAGTGCCCGCAGTTTCGCTCGCTCGCTCGAACAAGGCACACAGCTGCTGCCGATCCTGCTACTTTGCTCGAATCGTCCTTCTAGCTAATCGAGCTTTCTTTATCTTTGTGCTTTTTCTCTTTTCTTTCTGCTGTCGGTTTATATCCAAAGTAACCAAGTCAGCGAAAGCTTGCTGCTGCTGCTACTGCTGCTGCTGCTGCTGCTGCTGCTGCTGACGACTTTTCCACTTGACAGTCACATTGTACGCGTCGAAAATTTCGAAAATTTACCGACTCGACGGGCCAAACTTCTGCCACTACAGGTACCGTGAGACCAGTGTACCAAGGTTCAGAAGCAGGCTACACAAAAAGCGTATTCTGGGAATGCATAAGACTCGACGGAAAGCTCGCGGCTTAAGATAGCTACTCTGACAGCCTGCAACCACTGTTCAAGCCGAAACCGTTTCTTCCTTTCTCTCACAGCTCAGGTAAGCTCATTGTACTTTACTACGCATGCTCTCTCAGCTGATCGGACGTAAACAGTTCACTCGACTTTTACTACGAAATTTTACTTGCGCGCGTAACTTCTTTTCCGTTTCGTTTTTTTAACCTGTCATTTTCGACAATGCTGCAAACCATACCGTATAATTTATGTAATTAGTGCTTGAATGGAACGGGGAAACGACAACAATCTTTTAATGGCAATAATTTTTTTCGTCGTGGCATTTTTTTAACGGCAAACGTATAGACCTCGCTGACTCAATATGCGCGAGATAAAAAAAAGTACGTGGCACATTGTACCTTTTTTTCTTTTTTATGAATTTATTTTATAGGAGATTGGATATTAGAATTGCAATTTTGTAGGCTGCGCGTTTCGAATAAACATTTGATTGTAGGTGTACCGGATACTTTATAGATAGTTTCTGTGGCTCTATAGAATGGTCATAGTAGGGATACATATATACTTGGATAAGTAACTACGAAATTCACAAGTATACTCAGAAGCATTTTTATTTATTTTAAAAAAAGATTATTGAAAAGTATTTATATATATGTATATAAATTATTCTCTTTTCGTTTATGTATTTCTGGTAAGAAAGAGTTAATCTGAGTCTATTTGAAAGACAAACTATCTAGATAAATAAAATTATATAAATATATAAATTTACCGTAAATTTGTTTATACATAATGGGACTGTTATCGTATTAGAAAATTTACGAATATCAATCAGATACTTACTTTGTTCATCCAATTTTACGTACATCCAAGTGTAGTAAATATAATCATTAATAGCAAGCAAATCAAACGCTGAGATACAGGTGGTTTCTTATGTACATACAATTTCATCTCGTAAATAGTTTAAAATTCATGAGTTATAAGTAAAGTCATATATAGTAAAGTCAGACCTTCAAATATCCGGTTTTGATAATTCTATTTAGCAGTTAAATCTTCCAGATTATGAAGTGATAGATCATATAAAAAGTTGGAAAATACTCCCCGAACTTATTTAATGATCTAATAGCTAAGAATATTATTATATATTTTTATTAATGGATCAACTAAGATGTAATAAAAAAATGTTTATTATTTAAACATTGCGATCAAATACAGTCCTACAATTGCCAATTTCTATAGAACATAACAGCCATACTAAGCGTTATGAAAATAAATTAGTCTATTTAGCCAAACTCCTGTAGCTTCTGTTTACTCTGCTTGGCGACTTGACGATTATAGTCTCGCGCACACAATCGGACGGAAGAAAGGAAAAATATAAGAACTCTTTTAAAATACTGTGTTATCCTGAGAACAAAATGAAGTTTCAAAGAGTCAAAAAATGATTTTACTAATTTATCACCCTTCGTCTTGAGTTTCGCGATTATTATCGTTACATCTTTGTACGCGATAAGGAGTCGTCGGCACTGTAATGACACTGTAATAGCTAGCATAACTAGCCAGTAATTTTGACTAATGCTCGACTCGAAGTGCTTCGTTGCTATAATTATTGTCCTCTGTATACACACTCGATCCTACTCCTACGTCGACTTTCGATGAAAGCTTGGGACAACACACTAACGTACCAATACGTCCGAAATTCGAAGTTTTTAATTTTACCCATTACAATCATGAGTTTTACTTAAATTTCCTGAGTATTTCTTTTGTTTTATCAATTTTGAAATAATCCTTTTTTTTTTATCAATTAGTCACAAATGGCTTACGTTTGAGATAACTATAAAATAATCAACGTTATTTGAATAGTTAAGTTATGATGACTTACATTTTGTTGTCACAAATTCACACGTACACTCGCAGTAACATTCAGTTAAACACGTAGCACTTTTTTCGAAGAGCAAGTAACTTAAGCTAATATTTGCACAGCATTGTTTGATCAACGTGTTAATACCTTTATTGAGTTCGGAATTTTTTGTACCTGAAAATCGTTAAGCGAAATTCACAACTTTTTGCTGCATAAATATAATACCAGATATATATAATACCGGTGTTATATAAATAACAATAAACATTGACTATTTTCTTTCGCACTTTCGATTGTCTTACGTTACAAATCATAATTACAGTAGAAAATTTTCCGAGATTATTGTTATTGTTGTTTTTTGATTTAGAATTGAAAATGTCTTATTATATTTCAGTGATTATTTAATTCAAACGGCGCACTAAGTTACTTCCAATTTTAAACAACTTGACGACAATTAGTTATGACTACTTATGGTACTTATGGTAAGATTCTTATCTACGCTATTTATTATGCAATATTTGAAAACACTCATCAACTATCAATCAATTCATATAGAACTAAAAAGCGAGAAGAATTTGGATACGACGAAACAAAAAATTCAAGATACTCAGGATGAACAGATGGTAAGTAAAAAGAATTGAAAAAACTATTAGTTCGTTTGTTGTATGTCAACTAATGTGTATTGTTAAACAGTGGGCGCACGGTTACGAGAGAAGTCTCGCAAGCACGGCAATCACTTTACTCGCGTGCGTATTGACAGGCGGCCTGCTGCGCCTGTTCTTTCACTGGTATCCTCATCTTTATCTATACGCGACCCACAAGAAGTGCAACCTAAACGGCGCCACCAAAATTTTAATCGTGGTATGCTTGCGTGCAAACTTTATGCCTGTTCAACAGTATATTACTTATCGCCACGCACTTATTTTTCGTAGGACGATTATCAAGGCAAATACAAATCTTATATTGTCAAAGATGTAATCGCCGTGTCGACCAAGAATGTCAGGTAAATCTTAATCGCTTTTTTATAGTCGTGCAAATTGTCGTACAAATGTGCGACAATTATTTTTCCTACTACGTAAGTACGTAATTGGCGAGTCGTTGTGATCGAAACTTTCATGGTTTCTATTTTTTCCATATCTGTCGTTAGCTGCAATTTACTTTTTTTCTTTGTTCTTTAGTAATATCGTACCAGGATTCATAAGATTCACTGAAATAAAATACGCTATTAAACATTTTTTTCTTCCTTATTAGCATCTACGCGTTTCACTCTGCAATGAGCACATTAAAAAAATTTTTTTTTCTTTCGTAACCAGTTGAACAAGCAAATATAATTCCGAATAAAAAAGATAATTATTAAAGTGTAACAAACGTTATTACAGATTGGAATCATTGTCTCGCCACTTCAGCAAAGTAGATAAAAATCTGATTGATCGAATTAGAGACAAGGACTTGGAATTGCATCTGGAAAATGGAACGAGGTGTCAAGTACAAGAGTATAGAACATTTCAGTGTAAGAAACAATGCTACGTGTGGGACGATAAAATGGGGGAGTTTTCGAAGCTTACGAGTCTTGAAAAATACGCCCTGTGTCAAGATCTTCAAACGGAAAAAATCAAGGGACTATCTCGAGAAGAACAATTACTTAGGTATTATAGCTATTTCGATAATTATATACTAGAAATCTATCGAATTTTGTCGATATAAAACACTATTAGTTTGATTACTTTATTAGAATTTCTTCGAAAAACCTATTATTAAAAATATCATATTTTCCAGGCGGATCGTGTACGGATACAACGAGATTCTAGTACCAGTAGAAGGCTTTCAAGTGTTGTTTGTTCTCGAGATACTAAACCCATTCTACGTCTTTCAAGTTTTCAGTTTATTCGTTTGGTTCGAGGAAGGCTACCTGTACTACGCGTTGGCTGTAATTCTCATGTCTGCTTGTGGAATTATTACCTCTATTCGTCAAACGAGAGCCGTAAGTTTGTATGTTAAAACCGCAAAAATGCATATCATTATTTACATTGAAAAATAGCACATCGTAATATAAGTGTGGAAAAGTAGATTCTTGTTTCGTATGGCGTTAACGCCCGAGCGAAGCGAGAATGTAAAGTCACGCGAGACAAGAATCTCTTTACTCAACATGTATCGTACAGTATTTTTTGATACGATGTGTGATATGATGTGGTTTGATATGACACGTACAAAGTTAGATTTAAAGCGCACTTTGTTAAGCCGAGCGTGCGGGAAAGTTACGTTTGGCGCGTGTAATATCAAAAAATGACTTTATTTGTACGCGTCGAAAACATTTATATTTTTCTTTTTTCGATCAAGGTAAAATCGAATAACTGTGATTGTTTCCCGATGTATCACGCATTCAAAACATCACTGAACTCGTTTGACACAGTTGCATACCGACATTAAATGATTAAAATATAAACAAATTGGTTATTACAGAATCAAATAAGTCTTCGGAACACAGTCGCCTCGACAGAGACGATACGAGTGTTACGAAGTAACGGCGAGTATGAGAGTGTCTCCAGTGACGAGCTTGTCCCAGGAGATATAATCGAACTACCAAAACATCAAGCAATTGTCGCATGTGATGCTGTCCTTTTGACAGGCAGCTGTATTGTCAACGAGTCAATGCTCACAGGTAATTTGTTATTACACTCTTGAGTTATGAGCTATCGGCTTTTTATGTACTATCTCAAGTGGTAAGGTTGTCGCTCACGTGTCTTTGTTTTGCAATTTCCTTTAACCAGTCTGCCACTTACATAAACATTCTTCAAAATACATTTTCCTCTTGAAATCAATATATAGTTGTTCATATGTTTATTAAACTTTCGTTATTTTTCGAATACTAAGGTCGATTGATGATTAATTATGTTTTGTTTTCTTCTATTGGCTAGGTGAATCTGTACCAGTTACCAAAACTCCCTTGCAATCTCATCCGGTATTGTACGACTCCAGAGCACACTCTCATCACACATTATTCTGTGGCACAACTATTATTCAAACCAAGTAAGTAACTTATTGCATTTCACTGATGCATGGTGTTGTCTGGGAAAAGCTTGCATTAGCAGTAATCTGGTTTTTATGTCTTGGGTTATCGTATAATATATTATACTCTTACAGACAGTATGGAGATAAACCTGTACTTGCTAAAGTTATTAAAACTGGTTTGTGGACTAATAAAGGGTCGTTGGTCGCGGCTATTTTATATCCGCCGCCGACCGACTTCAAATTCGATCAAGATTCGTACAAACTTATCGCAATACTTATTGCTGTAGCTTTTGTTGGATTTTTCTACACTTTAGCCACCATGGTATTTTTTTTATTTTAATTGTAATATACGAATCTTCAATTTGTATCGATTGAACTGAAAAAAATTGAAAAAACACCAACATTTTTTAAATTAGAGACTATGAAACAAAGCTTTTGGAATAAGATAAGCTAAAACTCACTATACGCATTTCAGTTTGGCTTTTTTAACTAAATGATGAAACTTGAGAAAGAGTTACATAATTATATTTTAATGCTACAAGTAATTGAATAAATTAGTCGATTAATTATTATGCAGAAACGATACGAGTTGAACGTTGAAAAAAATGCCTCGTGTTTTACATCTTTTTATTATATATAGCCAGTTATTAAATTGAATAAAATATCCTACAGATCGAACGAGGAAATACTGTAACAAACATTGCCATAAAGACTCTCACGGTTTTCACGATTGTAATTCCACCAGCTTTACCGTCAGTTATGGCAGTAGGAAAAATGTATGCGATATTCCGCTTAAAGAAGAGAAAAATTTATTGCATAAATACACGAGCTATTAACATTTCGGGTAGCATTGATTGTGTGTGTTTTGATAAGGTAGTTTTTGGATTTTTGAAAAGCACAAAGCAATTAAAATAATTACTTGTTTTTGCATGAAAATTTACCAAAACAATACGTACATTTACCGTTATAGACTGGAACTTTAACAGAAGATGGCTTAGATATGATGGGTATTGTCATGTACGAAGATAACGAACTTCACCAACTAGAAAAAGATGTAACAAAGTTGGAAAACACGCGAATTTTTAAGGGCATGCTTGTTTGTCATAGTTTGACGATGATCGAGGAAGAGTTGAGCGGAGATCCTTTGGACGTGAAGGTATACGTTTTAAAAGAATTCTTTTAATTCAAATTCGCTACAGTCGTATCGTATTTACTGAAATTTAATATTAATGCACAAAATCACTAATTATCTCATTGAAAAACGTGAAATTTATTATTGCCGCATAAAATTTTATGTACTAAATTTTACAAATTGATTACGAACGTCGAAAAGTATTTCTTAATAACATATTAATGAAAATCACTCGTGCACAAGCTTAAAACTTAAAGCCGTCAACAAAATAATATCTTATTCCAGTGTGTTAAAGTCAACCGTGCAAAATTATTAATCCTGTGTGCCGCTTTATCCAATGAACTACTTTTGAAGAAATAATTCGTAATCAATGATGAATTAGTTTCTTGCAAAAGCTTATAGTCATATTATCACGAAAAAGGCCAAAGAATTTCTCTCTTTCTCTGTTTCTCTTTCTCCCTCTCTGTCTCTCTCTTTCTGTCTCTTCCTGTCTCTCCCTGTCTCTCTCTGCCTCGCTCTTTTTCGGTCTCTCTCTCTCTCTCTCTCTCTCTCTCTCTCTCTCTGTCACTCTCTTTTTCTTTCTTTTTTATCGTCTTGTCCTTTTTTATATAAACGACATGATTGGCGACAAGGCTCTGAATAAGAAAGGAGGACAATAAAAGAGGTTGTTGACGCCGTTTTGCAGATTGATATTGAGCTATAAAAAATTGACGCCGCGTCTTGTGTTTTGCGCAGTTGATAAACTCTCGCAGAGATCTACAGAGTGACAATTTAATCAATTATAAGTTTCAAAACAAAATAGACATTAATAAGTAGTCGAGGACATTTTGATTACTCATTTTTGAAAATAAAAGAATTACGAGCCGAATCGTGTGAATAATATAAATGAAATTTATTATAAAAATTAAAAATTGAAATGAAATTGCAGATGTTCGAAAGTACAGGTTGGCAATTATACGAGCCGGAATTGAACGACCCAACGAATATTCACTCCTTGCAAGCACTTACAATTTTAAAGTCACCCCATGACACCTCGCTGACTATGGAGATTCTCCAGCAATACCAGTTCTCGAGTACGTTACAACGTATGTCCGTGATCGCAAGATCGCCTACTGAGCATGGCCAACTCTATGCTTTCACTAAAGGCTCACCCGAGATGATTCTCAGTTTGAGCGTACCTCACAGTATACCAGTCGATATCATGGATATCCTAAGGTACTTCACTGAACAAGGTTATCGGGTGATTGCTCTTGCTGCCAAGGAAATCGCTGGTGTCTCTGATGAGCAGGTGAGTTCACGTATAGTATTTTATTGATGTAAATTCACTTGAAAAATTAGTTCAGTAGATCAAGGTTCTTCTTGAATTAATTGCAATTTAACGTTTTATCGGACTGACTTTATCAGATTTTGATATATCACATGTATTCCTTTTTTTAAGGTACAACAAGTAGCGAGAGACGTCGTAGAGCAAGACCTTGAATTTTTAGGTTTAATTATTTTAGAAAATAGACTGAAGGATCCAACAATAAAAGTGATCACAGATCTTCGAGATGCTAATATTAAAACAGTTATGATCACCGGTACAATTCAATTAAAAAAAGAACAGTTCTTATTGTAGTGATAAATTTTGAATGGGTAATTTTACTGCACACAGGTGACAATATACAAACGGCAATCAGCGTTGCAAAAGAATGTGGAATCCTGACACATGAAGAAACGGTAGTAAGCGTTACAATGGTACCCAGTGATAACAAGGATCGACCCGAAGTATTCTTCAACGTACAAGGACTTCCTATATTGGTAAATAAATAGCGTTTTGTTATCGATGCACGTGTGGATTATTTGAAGAGCCGTTGAAGCTGGCTATTGATATTATGATATAAAGTCGATACGCACGATCTTTTATATCTTGAATGATAAATACGGATAATTTCCAGACTTTACGTAAAACATGAGTCATTTCAAATACTTAAATGTTTTCCGTTCAATAATCGAATCGTACAAAGTCGCAGAAAAAAATCCGCCTTTTTTAGATTACTACATGAACGAATTTCAACTATCTATTTACCAATTTTTTATACGATCTAATAAGAACTAACTTTATTTCAGGAAAATAAATTAAGGACCGTATCTATGGGAGATTTGGAATGTGGGCTCAAGTCTCAAAATTATAAGTTCGCATTGACCGGTGATACATGGCAAATGCTACGCGAACATTACAGTGACATATTACCAAAAATCTGTATAAAGGGTGTAGTTTTCGCTCGAATGAGCAGTGATCAGAAACAACAACTTGTTGTTGAATTGATTCAACTAGGATACCACGTAGGTTCGTATTATGAATTTCGAAACAACAAGTCGTAGACGTTAAAAAATTATCTCACCAACAAAACAGCTAGGTATTTATTCAACTAATGTCATCAGATCGAAAGAATTTACGAATTAAATTATATAGTTCAAGGCAAAATGATATACAATTTACTAACAAAACAAGATGACATTATTTATTTTTATATATATAATATTTAAAAATATTATATATTTAGAAAAATTATTACGTATACTCGAGCAAACAAAATTTTCGATAATTTAGAAAACTTGCAACTAAGAATGTGAAAACAAATTTTTCTTTCAATTATAAGATCGTTGGTATTTCAACTAGATGTTCAGGAAATGCTTTTTTATATATTATTGCAAAATAATTCTTGGACTACATTTGTAGCTATGTGCGGTGATGGTGCTAATGACTGTGGCGCATTAAGAGCGGCACACGTTGGAATTTCGCTTTCCGAAGCAGAATCAAGGTAAATTGATGCCATTGCACGATAGTATCATCACATATACGCTTCTTTACAACTTTGGGATAATGACTATAACACTGATGAGCGTATAAGCACATCTTGTTGAGTAAATAAAACTAATCTATGTATGAGAAGCACGTGAGACAAAGTAGTTAACGTATCTTTAATAATCATTTATTATTCATTATTTTTAATTTTGAAAAAAGAATTACATTTTTTATTTTGTTGATTTCATCTGCACAAGTTTAATTAAATATTGATAAAAATTGATAACGATTAAATAACTAGACTGCACGCTTATTGAAAAACTGTTGGTTTCCAAATTTTCTGTACGTTTCTTTATCTAAATTTGTTCTCAAATATTAAATGTTTCATTCGCAAAGCTGACAATCTTAAAACAAAGTTGATTAAATATTGCTTACGTCTGTGTTATTTAGATTCTAAATAAGTGGTGGTCATCAATAAAAAATATTATTTGGTCTCTTAATTTAATGTAATTTATTATAAAAAATGAATTTTTATTAACGCTAACAATATATAATATATTTACAGTGTCGCAAGTCCATTTACATCTCGAGTTCCTGACATCACGTGCGTGCCAACAGTCATCCAGCAGGGACGAGCAGCTCTTGTTACATCGTTCGGCATTTTCAAGTTCACTGTTTGCTATTCACTCACGGAATTCATTAGTACAATTATCCTTTATTCCATCAGTTCCAATTTCACGGGCATGCAATTTTTATACGTGGATATTCTGCTGTTCGTTACTTTTGCCTTCTTTTTCGGTAAAACCCAAGCTTATGAAAAGCGATTAGCTAAAGAACCGCCAACTTCGAGTCTCATAAGCTTTACACCGTTGTTTTCCTTAACCGTTCATACAATCATAATTGCTGTATTTGAGCTCATTGCCTTCTACGCGGTACAACAGTTCTCATGGTTCACACCGTTCGTTCCGAGAGATGAGTACCTCTACGATGGCTATGAAAATTATTCAGTTTTCTGCCTGTCTAGCTTTCAATACGCTATGTTAGCCATTGTTTTCTCACAAGGAAAACCGTACAGAAGGTCTATCGACACAAATAAATACTTTATTATCTCAATTGTTATGCTTTCAATCCTTAATTGTTATGTCACGTTATACCCAGCACAGTGGGTCGTTGACGCACTAGAGCTCAAGATGCCACCAGTTTACGACTGGAGATTTATGATTGTCGGCCTTGCATTCATAAACTTTCTGATTTGTTTCGCTTTTGAATCCTTTGTAGTAGAATATATTATCCAACAAAAGATCAAACCAAAGTTGTACAAGCCTGAAAAGGCGAAAAAGCAGTACTTGTTATTAGAGCACGATTTACAGTGCAATCCACATTGGCCTCCAATTAGCCGGGAGCTTCCGTGTTTACCGATAACACCGAGTTACGAAAATATAATCAATTCAACTCGTAGAGCAAGTATAGCCGAGTCAGCTATATGTGTTTGTATTGTTAACGAAAATGAACAGCAACAAACTCACCCGGATTAATTGATTGCCAAAATTGGAGTCAACAATTGAGCTTACAAAAGCGAGTTGACTTGTATTAATTGAATTTGTATAAAAGTGATATTTATAAGAGTATTATTTACAAAACTTTTGTACATTTATAGACTAAGTATTATAGACCGACATATTTTTAAAAAGTGAAGACGTTGATAATAAAAAAAAATACTGTTACCTTGACTGAGTTTTCATTGTTTTATCAATAATAAACCTGTCCATGCATGAAGTAGAACAAATTGCATATCATTAACCGTGAGTCTGATTCATTCCCAGATTCAAGTATTTGAATTTTCTTAGCGTTTTCTGAAATGATACCAACGGTATAATTATGACAAAATATCACTGTTATGAAATTCTCATTTTTATTTCTTACCAATTATTGCATCGTAATTTTCTTCTAACTCTTTTTGTAACCACTGCCTATATTGTAATACAACTTTGTTCAGCATACATATTGTGCTTTCATGGATTGTATCTTTTAACAGTAATGCTGGCAGTGTTTTAATGAATTCTTTGAAGACTTCTTCTCTATATAAAATAAATTAATTTTTTAATCGATATTCATTACAAAAAATTGAAAGTAAATATAAAAAAATATAATTTACTCATGCAGATGCCGTAAAGTGTGATCCATTACAATATTTTTAAGAATTGCAAATAAATGTTTTTGTAAATCTTTTTTTGTTTTGTTTAGATATGTATCAATACTGCTTTTCAAGACCTTTCCAAGGTATATTTTATTTCTATACCATATCGCACTTGCTTGCAGAAATAGAATATTTAAAACTTTAACCATGCTTCCAACTGCAAATGCTTCATTATTAGACCAATTTTCAAGTTTATCTGGAAAAATACAGAAACTAATATAATAGAGAATATTTCTAATTCCAAATATTTACTCTTTTTAATCCAAGTCATTTTACATTATGTTTACCTGTTAGAAATTGCATTATTTCGTTACAGAAATCAATTTTTGCATTTTTCTTATTACTACGTATTACTGTATTGTTAGAAATAGTTGTGAACCAAATGTAAATATAACACAAAGTTAAGTTTTGTTCCAGACAATGAACTAAAGACTGACTTGCAAATTCATCTCCTGACCTTTTTGTTCTTGAATTATATTTTTGTTGTATGTAAGGGAATTCATGCAAAAAAATTTTTATAAAAGCACTTTGAAAGTTATCTCTAAACCAAATACTTAATACAGAAGTTCCATTTTCATTTTCAAGTAGTTTTATGTATTCAATTATGGACTGGATTATACTAGTAATGCACTTCAGAAGATATGCTGCTTCTGCGGATATAAAAAGTTGCACATTTGTGGAATTTGAGCTCTTGGGACTAGCTTCTAACCAACTATCAAACATCAGAGGCATTAAAGAATCAATATACCTTTGTAAGGTATATGTGTTTAATGATTTGTCATTTGAATTTTGAAATTCATCTCTTTTAAAATCCATAGAACAAATTTGTAAACTGATTGGTGAATAAATTGGACAACAAACATCTTCATCTTTTATATAATAAATTTTTGAAGGACAGACTGACGAGTTAATGGATAAATATTTCTGATGATACACTATAGCTGATAAAAATTTCTCCAAACTATTTAAGACCTTGATTCTCCATTTCATACAAGTACTTTTTGTATTAAGATTAGTTGTCAACTGCCTTCCTGGTTGTGCTTGAGATCGAAGCTTGGAAATCATATCCAAGAAATATAAGAGAATTTTATGGCTATTATTAGCAAGAGGAACACTGCAATATTGTAACAAAATATCTAAAAATAGCAAAGAATCTTCCATTATATTCTGATCAATGTGTGTCATTGCACAGGTCAAATATGAAATTAAAATGTCACAGAAAGGAAGTAACTGATCTTTAGAAATGGAAGCCAAAATAAAACTTAAAGCTTTTAAAGATTCTCGCCTAATAGCTTTTTCTTTGTCAAGCACTAAGATTGTAATGCCTTTAAATAATATATTCAGTTGAATATTCAGAACATCAACAGAATTTCTAGATATTATTTCTTTTAATTCTCTGATGGCATCTTGACGAATAGATGAATTATAATGCTGTAGCCTTGTTAAAAGATCCTGAAAAAACGACATTAATTAGGAAAAATTCGAAATTGGGAATATTAATATTCTTTGCATATATAACATTATGAAAAAATTACCTTGATGTTAAGTTTCCTTCGACTAAGAATTTGAGTTTCATCTTGTTGCTTTAATTGTTCACGAATTATAATTTTTTTTGTCTTAAAGCTCGCATCTGTGATGTTCAAACCTTTTGGCAGTGATTGAGATCCTTTGGTTTTTAATTTTACTTTTGCTTTTTCAGATTTTAATTGTTTTTGATGTCTATGATTTTTACCCATGTTATCCAATTAAGTCACTAAAAACATTAACGGATAAATTTACATCCGCAAGTTGCTGACGTAACACTTTATTTTTGTAATTATTAAATTTTCTCTAACTAAATTAGATTATTATATTTTTATACATTATATTTCAATAAATTGATGAACGCACCTTAATTTTTTAATGTGAGATTTTTAATAATTTATACTAATCGTAAAACTAATTATTTCATTTAGCTATATGAAATAAACATATTTTACATGTTTTCCTGTACCATACACGTGCACATCATGCCGATAAACCGATATAAACTAAGGTTAGGTTAAGCTAAACCTCTGCGTATGCGCATGAGATGAGACGCGTACAATATATATACATATATATTATCTGTTAAGTCAGCTGATGTTAAAATGATATTTAAAACTGTGTAATAGGATCATTTCTATAGTACATACATAAAAAAATACAAAGCTGTGTTAACGATTATGTCGACATAAGTATTAAAATAATGTCTTATTAATTGGAAATGCTATACTCTATACTAGAAACGTGTTATAATGGTGAGTACAAAAAAATATGACAATAATTTTTTAAAACTTTTTTAACTGTAATAAAACGTAAATTAGTAAGGTTAAAGACAGCTCAATTGTACGCTTGAATCTAGTAAAAATTTGTTTTGCTAATTCATGAAAACTAAGAAAAGTATCATTACGCAATGGCCTTAGAAATGACTTTACACAATTTCTTTTTTCTAGTTATCATTGTTCTACATTTGTATTTAGTAATTTTCCTGTCGCACTTATTAAAATTGTGAATTGCGATTTGCAAGAAGTGTGTGTATAAATAATTTCGACGTTATTCATAGATAAAAAGTAATATTTATCTCAGAGATATTAACAATGACGAATTCATGTCTTTTATTAATAAATTATTTATAACTTTTCTTACTTTCAGGTGGTCTTGATAAAAGAAGAAAATAAAATTTATTGAAAATTCAACTACAAAAAGAGAATGTTTGTATAAAAGTAGATAGTAATAGAAATATTTACAGGAAGAGCTTTGACTGATAGTATTAAAAAAAAAGATTAAACATGGGAAGTATAAAAATGACTTATTGTCCACCAAATATAACATTCAATGAAATATGGGTGAACAATGGCATGTCGAAATGTTTTATGGACACTGTCAGTACTGCTGTGATCTCTTTATATATATTGATTTTTGGTTCAACTCAGCTGTGGATGTATAGACGTTATGGATCTGATAACGACTTACATACATTGCCAAAAAATAGATTATATCTGCTGCAAAAATTTTTATTATTCTTTATGCCAATTTTAAGTCTTCTCAGAATAATTTTGCAAGCTACAGTTTTGAACGATAAACAAGTTTATGGTTACATGGTAAGAGTTTATTTAAGTATATTTTCATCAGTTTTTACCATATTTACATTTCTACGTAAAACATGAGTTTTTACTTGAACTGAGTTTCATACTAATTGCCTTAAGGATCGTTTCCTGACATGAATTTAGACAAAAAATCTGTAGGTTTTGGTTCAACAGTATCCTTGAAGTAAAACATTAATGCCCCTTTGTTTTTCCAGCGTTCAACTACTTCTTTCAATTCCATCTGACCTTTTATCACTAGCATATCAATAACTCTGATGTCTTTAACATAAGCATTCTTTAAAAATTCTTCTCTAATTTTCATTTTTAAATTCCTATCACTTTTTGGAATCTCATAATCTTGTAAAATGTAAGGTATCTGTCGAATCCATGCTTTGTATAAATTGAAAACTCTTCTCTTTGCTTCAACTTGGTTCAATGATAAAAGTGGTTTTACTTGACGAGTAGCAGATTGTATAGGAGAAGCCATTTTATATTTTGCTTTAACTGAAATGATACAAAACATAAAATATATATGTTCATACAATAAAAGTGATATAATTTTCTATTTGTAGATTCTTACAACAGTTTTTACAGTCATTATTTATCCATATTCATTTTATGTACTAAGAGTGGAAAGATACAAATCATTACCAAGCCCACCACCCCGTGGTCATGGGATCGTCTTATTAGGATTTTGGACAATTGCTTTTGTCTCAGAAAATCTTGTATTTGTTAATATTTCAAAGTGGGAATGGTGGTTTAAATTGAATACGTAAGTAATACATTATAAATATTCATTTAAGGTGTCTTTGATACACTGCTGTATACCATGAAGAAGCCCTGTTGGGATTTTTATTAAATTGTTTATTGTTCAACAGTAATAAATTTATAAAATAATTTAAATTTTACGTTGTCATTGGAAAGAAAAATTTTCAAGTCACTTTTTTTGACATTTTCGTCTCTGAAATGCATTCATTTGACATATTTTTATGAGATATTTTATAATGAGGTTGATAATTAGTATTATACGGACATTAATTCGCGACCAGAAAAGTTCAAAATCCGAATTATTTTCAACTATTCGATGGTATCCAATTGGTTTTTCCAGCAAGTTGTGGAGGTGCAAATTGCCAAAATAAATCCTTGACTTAACCTCGTTTGGTGTCATCGATGCTTAGTCGTTGAAAATAATTTGGATTTTGCACTTCGGGAGTCACGATTTAATGTCCGGGCAGTGTGCTTTTTTAAAATATTACTTCAGTGTCATTAATCCGAATGGATAAGCTTAACATTATAAGAATATATGGATGCCCGAACCTAACCTCATGTCTTATCAATGTATACCTTAAACAAATTATTAAAACAAAATAGTACCTTATAAGTATCTAACAACAAATGGTTAAAGTTGAAATCCAACTATAATGCACTTTCACAGTAAATTAAGAGCTAAAGAGTAAAAGAAAACTTGGATGTATTTTGATGAACCATAGTCTGCTACAAAAGCTTCAAATACTTATTTATATATATACTTGATCTATTTGCAGATTTACCGACAGAGTGGAAATGACACTGTTTGTTCTACGTTATGTCAGTAGTCTTCTTATTTTCGCTCTTGGTCTACGCGCACCAGGTATTATCGGTGATTTACCAAGCAGTTATCATAGCTTTGAAGATGATGCGAACACCAGGTCGACATTCTATCAAGGTGTAAGTCTTAGAATTTTTTATTAAATAACTTTATTTTTATAAAATAATGATTTATTAAAATAATGATAATGATTTATTAAAAATTAATATTTTACTTCTTATATATAGATTATAAATACGTCCAATAATTTTTCGGTGATAAATAAAAGATCATGAAAATTCATTTAACGTTATCGCTATATTATTTCTAGCGCCGAAACGATAATGTATCAACGTGGAAAAATGCTTGGTATAAAGTCAAAACTCTTGCTCCTTTTCTTTGGCCAAAGAAAAGCATTTTGCTCCAGCTACGGGTGATTTTTTGTTTTGCATTACTTCTTGCTGGAAGGGTAATTAATCTCTATGTACCAATTTACAATAAAAAAATTGTAGATAGCGTGACAGATACACCAGGACAGTTCAGGTATGTCTATATGATGTATTGCTAATTTCTCAGAAGATTTAAGTATTTTTGTATCAATAAAGATATTTTTATTTATACTTTACAGATGGGATTTCATACTTATTTATGTAGGATTCAAATTCCTACAAGGAGGGGGTACGGGAGGTATGGGTTTGTTAAATAATTTGAGATCTTTCTTATGGATTCGAATTCAACAATATACGACTCGTGAAGTAGAAGTAGAACTGTTTCGGTATGCCAATTTGTCAATCTTAATTAACGTTATCTACATAGTAATATATTATCTCTAGTTATGTGCAGATGAAAATGATTATTTAATAATTTGAACACGGCAATATTTCAGACATCTTCATAGCTTGAGTTTGCGCTGGCACCTTGGCCGTAAAACTGGAGAAGTACTTCGCGTAATGGATCGTGGAACGGATTCTATCAATAACTTATTAAACTACATATTGTTTTCTATCATGCCGACTATTGTAGACATTCTTGTGGCAGTAGTATTTTTTATTAGTTCATTTAACAAGTGGTTCGGATTAATTGTATTTACGACAATGATACTTTATATTGGTAAATATTCTTTTTTATTTTGTAATTAAACAATATTAGAATACTTATTTTATTTTCAACAGTCGCCACAATAGGCGTCACAGAATGGCGTACTAAATTCCAAAGACGTATGAATTTAGCCGATAACGCTCAAAAAGCACGAAGTGTTGATAGTTTACTCAATTTTGAGACTGTGAAATACTATGGCGCAGAAGAATACGAAGTTGATAGCTATAGAGAAGCTATACTGAAATATCAAAATGAAGAATGGAAATCTATGATAACATTAAACATTTTGAACACTTTACAAAATATTATTGTTAGCTGTGGATTGTTAGCCGGATCTTTGTTATGTCTACACATGGTGATTAACAAAGAAGGTCTAACTATTGGTGACTATGTTCTATTTGCAAGTTACATTATCCAATTGTATGTGCCTCTCAATTGGTTTGGAACATATTACAGGTATAAACCTTAAATATTATTTACTTGACCAAAAATAACGTCACATATATGTAATTAAAATCTTATTATAGAGCTATTCAGAAGAATTTTATTGACATGGAAAATATGTTTGATTTGCTTCGAGAAAACCAAGAAATCACGGATGCACCAGGGGCTGGACCATTGCTAGTAAATAAAGGCCAAGTTGAATTCTCTAATGTTTCTTTCTCGTACGTTCCAGAAAGACCTGTTTTGAAAAACATCAGTTTCGTTGTACCACCTGGTAAAACGATTGCACTCGTCGGACCTTCTGGAGCTGGAAAATCGACTATTATGCGCTTGTTATTTAGGTTTTATGATGTTAATGAAGGCGCTATCATTATAGATGGACAGTACATAAAAGCTGTCAAACAAGAGTCTCTTCGAAAAATAATTGGTAATTTGAATTCGTGATTGCTGCAAAATTGTTATAATTTTTTATTATAATTTCTTTTAACTTTAATGATTAAAAATTATAGGCGTGGTTCCACAAGATACAGTATTATTCAATAATACGATAAAATATAATATTCAGTACGGAAAGATTGATGCGCCAGAAGCTGATATAATAACAGCAGCTAAATATGCTGATATTCATGAGCGGATCCTTACATTCCCAGATGGTTATGAAACTCAGGTAACAATCACACGAATCAAGTTTTTCTAATCTTATTTTATATAATAACAAAAACTCAAATTGTTCAATTTATAATTGCTATTGAAATGTTTACAGGTTGGGGAGCGCGGATTGCGCCTCAGCGGCGGAGAAAAGCAACGAGTCGCTATTGCTCGAACGATACTGAAAGTTCCAAAAATAGTCTTATTGGACGAAGCCACAAGTGCATTAGATACTCAAACAGAGCGAAATATACAAGCTGCTTTGAATCACGTGTGTGCCTATCGCACGTCGATCATCATAGCTCATCGACTTTCCACTATCATCCATGCTGATGAAATTTTGGTACTGAAAGAGGGCGAAATAGTTGAGCGCGGTAAGCACGAGGATTTAATAGCGACAGGTGGCTTTTATCATGATATGTGGGAAGCGCAACTGAGAAATGAACAAGAGGCTACCAATGAAGCGAAAGCTTTAGGGGGTGAAACTTCTAAGTAGATGCCTGATTTAGCAAAGTTATTAAATGACTGATGCAGGAGCTACTTTTTCTAGTATAAATTTATCTCGCAGATTTCGTGGATTCACTCGTACAACCTTTTTGCTTACAGAAATTTTGGGAATTTTTATACGTTATTTAAAAAAAAGCAAAAAGTTTCGTCAACGTGAAATCATCGATAAAAAATAAAATACTTTTCAAGTTTCCTAGAATTACGTAATGAAATGTAAATACCAACTATTTTAAAGTAAATTCAAGCCATTTTGAATTTTGAAAAGGTGAAGATACTCTTTTTCAATCGAATTTTGAACATACTTTAAATATATTCAACACTGTTCAATGAAATACGATATTAATAATTTTATAGACATTGCAAGGAAAATATGAAAAAGTTTAACAAGATTTAGTTGTTTATAACTAAAGGAAAAACTTATATTTCTTAATTTAAATAACCTTACTGCCAAAGATACAAATATTTTTGTTATTAATAATAAATAACGCAAAGGAAATTTTCCAAAGTGTCATTAATATTGGTGATATGGTGTACTTCTACGTTATCAAACATTGTGTACTAAATTTATTTGAAAAATAAATAAATGGTTGAATAAAAGAGCATATTCACATTAAATGAAATTTGATCTACCAATATCCTGATGTCATCTATTTAACTGAAATTTTTAGGAATACAAAGCAAATCAAAATTTCTATTCAAATTTAATTTTATGACAAATGAACATTTAACTAAAACTCAACAAGCTTTGTTCTCTAAATAATAAAAATGCATGCTTGCAGAAAGCAATAGTTTACATAGATAACAGTAGCTTTAAATTGTACCTTTAAGTTATTTGTCAGTGACCAACATAAAATTTTAATAGCCTCCATCGTATCAATACGAACTTTAATACTGATGACAAACAATTAACCTAAGAAACTATTTCACTTTTGTTTGATCACAAATATTAAAAATGATTTGATGCTTAATAAATATTACTCTCATTTTCATTACAGTATAAAAACATTTTTTGCTGAATAAATTATTGAGTTTTCAGTTTTCTTTATTACGCCTATGCGTTAATTTTCGCTCAGTGCAGTTTGCACACCTTGAAATTTTGTCTATTTAATTAAAAATTATTTATTTTGCAATTTATTTCAAAATTTTAACGTAGCACTTGATGATCGAGCATTATTAATTTATTTATTTTGCAATACACATGTGAAAGTGATATAATTTATAAAATATTACTCCAGTTTTTGTTATCTTTTTCCTCAACTTTGCGATTATTTTTTAGAAATATTCGCAAGATCAATAATATAATGTCTCTGATATCTTTTTCGCTAAGGATTTTTGCAGATTGTCAACACGGTTTATTTTCAGATTCTTAAAACGATTAGATTAATTATAATTACTCATATACGTTTCACGTATAGTATACTAATCAATGTTGAATATTATTTGCCTTTTTAGAAAGCCGAACATTATTTCGAAGAAATTAAAAATGTCCATTTGCTTACAAAAAATATAACATAAAATATAAACTTTTTTTAGGGTATGAACGAATGTTAATTGATATATAAATTATTGTTAGAATACATTTTTTGACATTTCATATCTACTATTCTGTTCTTGATTATTCACTTCAAATATCTAGTCGCTAGTCCGTGTTAATGTTTTAGATGGATTGGCGTTGATGACACGCAAGCATGAATAAATATTTATCGATTGAATTAAAAGATACCTCCAATTAAAGCAATCGAACTAACGTTTTATCTGTAAGAATACGTAGTGGATATCCTATCTATCATTAAAAACAATGAAGTTCTTCACCGATTAAATCTTCCGTGGTCCATTCAAAATATCTACATGTACGTACGCATTAAATAAATTACTTTTTTTTGCAGTTTCTGCAAAAAGACCAGTTTCTGTTTTCGCAAATAGCTGAAACTTTCCAAGTTAAAACGTTTTATTTCGCTTGGGAAAAACTATGGAGAGACTTCTTACAGTGTCTAGTTTTTTGTAGTTCTTTTTCAAGATCCCGTATGTATTTTTGATTATTGAGAAACAATTGTGAACTGAAGAATGATGAAGAAATACGGTACCTCATTCGATGAAAGTCTATTACGAATTTTTGAAAATGGAATTTATTTTGTCGATACTTCATTGTTTGTTAACGTCCCAAAAATGTGCGCATTTATTTTGATATCTTAATGTTTAAAAAGAAAGTTACGGAAGCGATTTACTAAATTGATGTTACGCCAACGCAGCGATTATCAAAGCCTATTCGACAGCGTATTTGTTCATAAGGTTTCCAAACATTCGATGACCGTAAATTTCAACAAGCCCTGAGCTGAAGAGCAAGCATAAGCGCTTAAATTCGTCAGGTCGTGGAGCAGGAATGAAAAGATTCACTTGTGTACTTCTAGTACTTTGAATAGCGAAAGTTATACGGAAATTAGTGCAAAAATACTGCAGGTTGGGTATAGGCTCTTCGACTCATTTCGTAAAATATTCTTAAAGACAAATTTGGAAAAGCTTGATGCTATAATTATGTGTTAGATAAGACATCTGTATTATATTATGCTCGGGTATAACTGCAACAAGCTAGTATAGTGCACGAACACTCGGATGCTGCATATACCAATGGAGATGCGTTTAATTTCGACAAGTAGGATGTCGGCCGAAGGTGTATTGACGCGGTTGGAAGAAGGGATATGCGCGCGACAAAAGCAACTAGTTTTGTAACAACTGGCGCAAGCGTATATTCCGCGTTGCTTGGCTTCAGCATCTGTGCATAATGGCTGGGTTTCCTTAATTTTTTTTTATCTCAGTGAGGTCGCAAACAATAGAAAGCTGTAAGCATTTGTAAATGTTCAGCGTCGTGTACCAATTCCTTTTAAATGACGTTGAAAAAGCAACTGTTGTTTGCATTGATTCAAATCCGTTATGCGGCCACTGAAATGCAATATAGCCTTGATTGAATTTAAAAGATCTTGCTATCGTCGGTGCGTGGTATCGCGAGGATATTAATTGTCGAATGATAGAGGTAAGTACTCATTATAGGTAAGATAGTAAAGCTAATATGAGTCGCTTTATTAGCCGCAAAACACTATATGAAAATAAACACTTACAGAAATTAGAATATCACGCCGCGGCAATACACATTTTGACCATTACAAATTTCATCGATCTTAAAGTTAGTTTTGTCAATATTCTACGCAGATGAAATGCGTTAACCCAATTTCCCGTCCTCGGCCTTTTCTTCGTGTCTAGCGAAAAATAGCCTACGCAGAGCAGTCTCCCCGTAGCGCTATAATAAGGCTTGCGCGTAACGTAAATAATGTTTCGCAGTGTAGGCATCTGCGCTATCTGCCAGGCAAGTGCTCTTGTCGCGAGAGGCTTATATTCGTTCGAGGCGATACATTCTGATAACAAGAGAATGTCATCTTGCACTAAGCGACGATTCTTTTCCATTGATATTTGATCAATGCCATGCTTAACTTGCGGCAAGAGGATTTCCTTCTGAGCGCAGGCCGATCGAAGCTTTCTGATCACGATAACCTTTCGGAAGATCGTATTTTAGCTTTTTTATTCTATTTGAAAATAATCTCAAAAATGTTTTCTTCCAAATCACATTATAAACTTCCTATTTTTCTTAATATTTACTGTGGTGATGAAGTCAAGAGATAATTAGCTTTCTGATCGTCCGAATTTCAAAATCATTCGTACGAAAGTACTGATCTCCCGATAAAAACGCTGAGTAATGGATTTCAAAAGATACCATTCGATAAACATCTCTTTACGTACACAAAAATTATTTTTATTTACAGAATGCCATTCAACGATATTTTTATAAGCTCAAAAATATAACAACAAAGAAACTACATGCTAACCAAAATGTGTCATTTCAATAAGAATAGCAATATATATATATATATATATATATATATATATATATATATATACTGTTGTTGAATTCATATATGTCAAAGTTTGTTATGGTTTTATTAACCTTCGCTGGCTTATTTATAAATTTTATCGATATATATCGAAAGTGAGTTGAAGATCATTGCGACAGTTTCTGATATTGTTAATTCCACTAACCTAATCTAATCCATCTTATCAAATCTAAATAATCGTTAAAAATTAGAAATAATCTAATTAAGAATTAGTAGTAAAAGTTAATAAATCCATAAAAAACTTTGTCACATATGAACTCAACTGGTCAAAGTCTAATTAAACAATTACTTTTCAGGACTAATAAAAATCTTATAAGAATAGAAATGGCTGCATTCATCGTGCGTTGTATCAATTGTTTTCTCTCACCTAGTATCGGTTTCACTACGTCGGCTGTTACTCCAATATTGTTCGACAATCAGACCGAGATTCGCAACCTAACCTGTCGGTCAAAATCCAATCAAAATGTAAGTTTGTAATAACAAACATCTATCTTATTTTCGTGAAAAATCAAATCAAATCGATAAACGTATCGCAGAAGAATGCCTGTCATACCGCTAAATCATTAGCTTCGTTTGTTTGGCCAAAAGGAAAGATCTCGCACCGATTACTGCTGCTGATTTGTATCTCAATCATCTTCATTGGACGAGTGATTAATTTTTACGCTCCCATGTATCATAAAAAAATAGTAGATAGCATTATATCTGGAGCATACAGGTTTAAAATTCAATGAAAAATTCTCATTGTACGTTGATTCTGAATTAGTTATAACGCATTAATTTACTGGAATATCATCTCTCTAGATGGGACTTGGTAGTTATTTACGTTACTTTGAAATTCCTTCAAAGAGGTGCTACGGGAGGTATAGGTTTATTAAATACCGTGCGATCACATGTATGGATGGAAATTCAACAATACACGACTCGAAATGTAGAAATAACATTATTCAGGTACATTAATGTTTGCATTCATGTTTCCAAGGCTCGTTCAGTCTCAATTGAATTACTTATTAAAATTTATTGATAGACGTACCATATTTTTCAATTAAAATATTGAATGAACACAGTGATTTGATTACGTGTTGCTTATTCTAGGCATTTACATGGCTTGAATGTGCGCTGGCATCTCAATCGAAAAACTGGAGAGGTCCTCCGTATCATGGATCGCGGAACTGATTCTATGAATAAATTGTTGGAAACTGTCTTATTCTCCCTCTTGCCTACTATTCTAGATATTGGTGTAACGGTGATATTTTTCGTAAATGTATTTAGCAAAGAGCTCGGACTGATAGTTTTGATTACTGTATTTTTATATATTGGTAAACATTTTTTTCGGCTTTGCAATAAGAATACGTTATGAATGTTATTTGTTTTTACCAGTTGCGACGATACTCTTTACCAAGTGGCGATCAAGGTCCCTTGAGCGTAAAAATTTGGCTGACAACGCTCGAAAAGCACGATGTACGGATAGCTTACTCAATTTCGAAACTGTAAAATACTACGGAGCTGAATCAATCGAAGTAGATAGTTACAATGAAGCCGTATTTGAATATCAGAAAGAAGAAAGAATATTTAGAAAAATGTCGAATTGCTTAAATCTTTCACGGAATCTCGTTGTTTCTATCGGCCTATTAGCTGGCTGTTTGTTATGCCTACGGATGGTTGTCAATGAAAAAGTTCTCACTACAGGAGATTACGTTCTGTTCGCAAGCAGTATTATACAGTTGTACGTGCCACTAAATTCGTTCGGGACTTACTGCGGGTAAAAGAAGCAATGATTACGTCGTATTTTCTTCGCAAACGTGGCGTGGCAAGCAACAATAATAAATCTGCCTCGCAGGGAGATCCAGAATAACTTCGCTGACATGGAGAGTATGTTTGCTTTGCTTCGAGAACCCCAAGGAATCGAGGACTTGCAGAATGCTAAAGCTCTCATAGTAAACGGGGGTCATGTCGAATTCTCCGATGTTTCGTTCTCGTACAGCCTCGACAGGCCTGCCTTGAAGAAAGTCAGTTTCGTCATCCCGCCCGGTAAAACGGTCGCTTTTGTCGGACCTTCTGGAGCAGGAAAGTCGACTGTTATACGGTTGCTGTCTAGGTTTTATGATGCCAGTGAAGGAAGCATTTCCATAGATAAGCAAGATATCAAGACTATCAGACAAGATTCTTTACGAAAATCAATTGGTAATCGTAACTCTAATATGTAGGTAAAAAATTCTTGCTCTGAATTTTCTTTAAATACTGTATTCTTATGATTATGAAATGCAGGTGTGGTTCCTCAAGATACCGTACTATTTAATAATACGATAAAATATAATATTCAATATGGAAGATTTGGAGCCACGGAAGATGACATAGTAGCTGCAGCGAAAAATGCTGACATTCACGAGCGAATTCTCACATTTCCCGAGGGCTATGAAACGAAGGTAAAGCTTACCCGTAAATTATTTCAAAGCCTTTAACATGCCAAATCACAAATATCGGAAATAATTCGCGTTGTGAAATGAGTGCAAACTACTTGCAATAATCAACTTTACAGGTTGGGGAGCGCGGATTCCGCCTCAGCGGCGGAGAAAAGCAACGAGTCGCTATTGCTCGAACGATACTGAAAGCTCCAAAAATAGTCTTGTTGGACGAGGCCACAAGTGCATTAGATACTCAAACAGAGCGAAATATACAAGCTGCTTTGAACCGCGTGTGTGCAAATTGCACGACGATCATTGTAGCCCATAGACTGTCCACTGTCGTCCATGCCGATGAAATTTTCGTACTGAAAGAGGGCGAAATAGTTGAGCGGGGAAAGCACGAGGACTTGATTGCACAGGCGGGCGGTATTTATCTCGATATGTGGAAGGCGCAGCAGAGAAGTGAACGAGAACTTATTGACGAAGCGAAATCATTGACCCCTCGTTATACCCCATGGTCGTTTTGGTTACTTAGTTCTATAGTGCTATTTTCGGCGTTGCTACGGGTACGATACCGTTGTTCAACTTGACAGAACGTGTTATCTTAATCGAATCATTTGAATTCAAACAAATGAAAGTTTTATTGTGATTAATTCGATAAATCTTCAAAAGAACGTTATTATTGAAGATTATCTTTATAATGAGACTGTTTACACTTAACCAAAAGCTCAATTGCTTTCATTTAAAATTTAACTTTGCCTACAGCTTTAGCTGGCGACTGTTTCAAAACTCTATTCATTTTTTTCGGGCTTGTCAACTCAATTTTATCAAAGTATGTATATTCTTATGAACGTCGTATTTAAAAATTTCAAAGATAATATTTTTTATTTTACATAAATTTATAATACTTGAATATACAGTAATTCGTTAACGCGAGCTCTCGACTGGCTCCAGAGCAGCTCAAAATCTCGAGTTAATACGGAGTGCCGATACAAGTATGAGGCCGTTTGAGCTTTAGCAGAATTCTTAGACATTTGAAAATCTTTTACTACGCATAAATGCGTTGTTGGGCGAGTAATTATTTATTTTTAATCTTATATTCATAAAGCTGTGAAAACCAAATTCTGTATGTCACTTGAACAATTAGAATTTGGACAATTAGAATTTGTTATTGAAAAACTTTCGCTTTTTATGTAAGCGGGTGAAACGCACAATAAATTAATTTTTCTTGACTTGGTAACTTGTATTGCACTTTTAATGATCTGCCCGTTATCTTTCTTGCCGTTATCTTTTGTTATGATTTTATGAAAGCTTCAAAATGAAGTTATAATGATCCGAACTAATGTTAAAGTTACTTTTTTTCAGTCTTCCATTAGTCAACTTAATATTTTCTAAATATAATTATTCAATAGATTTATAATTTTCAAAAAATTCAATTTGAAAACAAAAAAGAATTGTAATTCATATAGCTGCGCATGATGCAAGCTCGTGGCTCTCAGTCTATATAGCCGTCGGTGTTAAATATTTATAATTGCAGTAGACTATATTTCTAAGTCGCGGTTCGTACCATGCTCGCATCGACGCTCTCGGTCGAACAAGTTGCTTTCAGTCAAACTATGTCAAACTATCTCGTTTCATTATCGTCTGCGTTAAACGATCTACGAAAATCTGTAAATTACCGTGATGGCGCACAAGATCGCACGCTTAAAATAGTCATCGGTGCGGAATGGATTGCGGAACCAGTATGAGCGTGAAAAATTACAGAACTGCGACATCGAATGCACTGCCGTCGCGACTCATATTCGCAAGTGAGTCAATGTTACGGTGGGATTACGGTCGACTTCTGGTTTTCCCGTGCGGTAAGCAATCGATGTCTTGTGTTTTCATTGATTTTGCAATAAGATGCGACCGAGAGGCGATAAGTAACGAAACGATTGGGCGTTTGTCGGAATTGGTTAATAAAATACGCGTAGATCGAATGCTCGTGTTCTCCATAAATGATGTACAAGAGTCCTCCGAATTATTTTCGTAGAGAGAACGATATCACCTTTGATATCATCATTCGAAACTTGCAAAGAATTTCACGAAGCGATCGCAAAAATTGATTTCTTGCATTTCACCGTCTCCCCCCTCCCCCCGCCCCTTCAACGTACAGGCAGTTTCGCCAAGAGGAACGCGAATTTCGGGATGTAGCGTATATGCCTCAACGCAATCAATCAACAGTGGCTAAATCTGTGGACACGCGCAGTGGCTGATAATACGACGACAATGTATTACCCGGTTAACGTAACATTGAGCGATATTTGGGTGAAGCAAAGCATCTCAAAATGCTTTATGGACACTGTCAGTACTGCCCTGATTTCTTGGCGTTTGGCTCGCTGCAGCTGTGGAGTTATCAACAACGAAGATCTACTACTGCGAAATGGCATTTACTGTGATATATGGAATGCGTTGTTGAAAAATAAACAAGGAGCTGACGGTACGGAACAATAAAAGAATGGTTATTAAATACTTATATTGTAAAAATGCTATTACTTGCGAGCGTTGAAGTTCGCGCGTTTAGTCTTTTATTATTGATAATGTACAAATGTAAATATTTGAAGCATCATTTATATGACCATTGATGATAACATAATTTCCATAATGAACAAATAAAATATACAGGATTTTGTACAGAATCGTATTTTTCGTTATTCATAAGATAAATCCTTTACCTATGTAGTGGAGATGTCACAAATATATCATGCAACTAATAGTAAAGAAACGAAGTTAAAAAAACAAAACGAATATCGGCTATTGCAAGGCGGTATTTATCAGGATATGTGGCAAGCGCCATTTAGAAAGGTGGATGAGAAAATGATTTCTTATCGTTTTTCTAAACTATTTTAACTATGTAGATACTCAATTTATGGAATGTAGATGTTTAATTATATTAGCGACTCTAATGTCAAAAGTTTTTCTTAATAAATTATTAAAAGAATATATAGTTGAACACTTATAATTTTTCTCATGTAGGTATAAAGCATATCTTATTTATTTTGGCATTTTATGAATTTATTACTGCATTTAAAATTTAGAAAATTTTTAAATTAATTCAAATTGCAATTAAAAAGGACTAAAACTCATGAATGACAATTAATCTATCTATCGGCGTGCACTTAATAAAATAAGCATGACTCATAAATTATCAAACAATTACTTTTTTATAAGGCAAGTACTCGAGCTGAGCTTTACTTTATCAGAGAATATCTTAGCTATCAATCGATAAATTAAAAAATACATTATATAATTTTGGTAAGTCATTACTACTAATTCTAACGCAACAGCACGGAAAAAATTTAGAATAACGTGTTAAAATAAAAATAAATGAAAGAGTTTATATTTTGATTTACGTCTTTTTATTTAATTCAAACATTTTTCAAAGACTGATGTTCAAGTATCCCCAACTATATTGGCAAATGCACCGTCTGGTACCCAACCAGATTCGTCAATGGGATCAGTAATAGTCTGTTCATTCTCACCCCAATATAAGCAGTAACTTGATACAATAGCAAAACTGATGAAATAGATAATCTAGCGGCAGATATATCGAGCGTTTCATTAGTTTATTTCATCACAATTACAGTAATGTGAGCTTCAATTACCTTAATTATGCAGGCGTGCTGTTCTTCCATTTTGCATTAATAATACGTCGTAATTCTCTCGATAAAGATTTTACTTAAAAGTTAATGCCTATTTTTGTTACGCAGAATTTCATATAGCATTTATATTTTTATTGATGCTTAACTATCATACGGAAACAAAAGCTAATACGACACAAATACATCTGAATTTAGCGGTTTTTTACATTTCAAATATACAAATTTTCGCGGCTTTCACAAAGTGTGTCTGCTACAAAACCTAACCTACAATTAACGATTGTTGACATAACTAAGTGACACAATGACGAACAGCTGTTAATTGTCGTACTTTGTCAAAATGAACAGTTTAGGTTTAAGTTTAATTTTTAAAATGGGTTGTATATGTGCAAAAGAAATAATTACTGTGAATGGTAGGAAATATACTGTACTGGAACACCTTGGAGAAGGGTGAGTTCAATCACATAATTGATTATAAATTTTAGCATTGCAAGTCATAATGTGACACATACATTTATGGATCATTTATAAAATAATGTAATAATCATATTCATGTAAATTTGACTTCATTTTGCAGAGGCTTCAGTACGGTGTCTTTAGTAGAAGACAATTTGACGCATAAAAAATATGCAATGAAAAAAATTGTATGCCATAGCCTTGAAGATCAAAGATTAGCTGTTAAGGAAATAGAATATCATTCAATTATCAAACATCCTAATGTCATTGAACTTATTGATTCTGCTTATCAAGGAACAGCAGATCCTGTTGTTAATGCAACTAGTGAGGTCCTATTAGTATTGCCATATTACCATGTAAGTAATTAATAATTTAAATAAAGACATGAATAATTTACATCATGATAGCTTATTATTTTCTTATGAAAGTAAACAAATATTATTACAATTAATAATTTCAGAAAGGAACTCTAGCCAATGAACTAGAAAGGCGTCACAAAACTCATGATTATATGAAAGCTGTAGATATCATAAATATCTTTTTACAAATATGTGAAGGAGTAAAAGCCTTTCATGAGGCTAAACCAGAACCTCTAGCTCATAGAGATTTAAAGACTGCAAATATTGTTATGGGCGATGGAATGAAACCAGTTATAATGGATTTAGGTGGTATATTTAGAAGCTCAATTGCTATTTTTAAATATAAATAGTAGTCTATTTTTTTTTATAGTGTATCAAAAGATTATTTAATAAAAGATATTATTTTTAGGATCAGTTACACCAGCACGAGTGAAAGTATGTGGTAATCAAGCTGCCCAGTCTTTACAAGAATTAGCAGCAGAAAGGTGCTCAATGCCGTATAGAGCTCCTGAGCTGTTCAATGTTGAAAGTTATTGTATGGTTGATGAACGAACAGATATTTGGGTAAATATCATAATCACTCATGATACTTTATATAAAATTTTGATCATAATAAATTACATTATGTTAATAAAATTTATATCTAGCCATTTACAATATACCAAAAGATTATTAGTGTAACTAGAAGTAATTTAATTTTGTTTATAGTCTTTGGGATGTATTTTATACGCCATGTGTTATTTCAAATCTCCATTTGATACAGTATATGAAAGAGGAGACAGTGTTGCTCTAGCAGTCATAAGTGCAAATATTACTTTTTCAGAAAATTCTCCATACAATGAAGTACGTTTTTACATAGACTTAAAAAAAGTTATACCATTTATCATAAAATAAAGTTCACTAATGTTATACTGATCTTTCTAGGATATGCAAAACTTAATTTTGTCAATGTTGAAAGTCAATCCTATGGAGCGTCCTTACATATACAGTGTTATAGAAAGCTCACATGAAGTATTATCAAGATATGAAGGAAGAGTTTGATTATAATTTATTTATATTTCAATATTTGTGTCTTCAAGATTTTATGAAAAAAATCAAATGATTTTTAATGAATGTGCAATTGTATAACTTGTTAAATGGACCAATGTTGAAGATATTAATTTAAAAAAATATTGTCGTTGTACTAGTGACCAAATGAATTAACAGAGATTAAGTAACTCAAAGAAGCTTCTACACTGCATAAAAGACATTGCAACATGATTAAAAAAGCATTTTGTAAATATTTACATAGATTTTTAAATCAACATATGAATAGTTGTATACATTCCAAATATGTATATTATTCACCGTCATTGCACATTTTCCAATGAAGAACAATGGTTAATGTTTGTTAATAAGTCGTACATATATCAATAGTAAGAACTTTATTTATGATTGCATTTATCTACACAAGAATATTAGCATTTTTTGCGATTTAAAGTGTCGTTAAAAAATATTAAATTTACACAATAGTACATTTACACGTATATTAATAAAAATCTAACATTTTTTCACAATGATTATTATTTTTTCACGATTATGAATAATTAAATTGCAAATTAAAGGTATTCGTTTATTATTTTTCCATTTATTCTGCTTCATATAAATAAAATAAATTATAGTTGTATCTTTATATGACTTTACTTGGCTACTTTTAATTATTTAATTGACTGTAAATATTATTTTATTCATTTTTATTCCATTAACCGAAATAACTAAAAAAGCTTGACGTTCATTTATAAATTATTGAATTTTAAGATTTCATATTGATAAGTTGGTAAGAGTGAGTAATTTTACTCACGGCTAGTCGCGGTGTCGGCTATAGAGAGAAGAGACCATCTTGAATCAGTATTTTCCCGGAGTGCGACGAGAACAGACGTGTATATTGTTCTACTGGTGCGTCTGCTGCAAAGATACCAAATATATTGTTCAAATATCTTGTTGTTTGTCACTACGTGAGTACAATGAAACATCAGCTCCTTTCAAATGACGTTCTCTCGTTACCAAAACCTTTACTTTTTTAAATCACACATATCCAGCGGACCGTATAACCACAATCAACTTCTTTCGATTTTGGTATAAAACTGTGCAACTAATCAATAAACTTTACAACTTTTTGATCTGGCGTACATACATACATTGTCAATCGAACTATTTAAAAACCGATAATTTCACTTTTGCTTCTAGGTAAACGTAATCCCTTACCAAACTAAATCCTAACCTCGTAAAAAAATTTGTTGCACGTACTTGGTGCGCGAGAGTAACATCGGAGTTGGTAAATTGTATCAATTATACAATTAAACATACTCATTCTTTCCTTACTTTTACAATCGATTTTAAGAAAAATGTTTTGGAAATTATTTACTCTGAACAAAGTAAATGGGAAAGACCGACGAACTTTTCAATTCATTTAAAAGTGTTGGATATTATGGTTATATTTACGCACAAAGCTGAGCGCGGTGCATCCATTATACCGGCATTATTGGACTACTAATTGACTTGCTAATAACCCACATGCGCATTGTATTTTACATCTTTAAAATGATTGCTTTTTATTTTTAGTTGATAACAACGAAGGCCTATTAATTAAGTTGCAATCCCCTTGCACATTAAATACTTACTTTAATTGACTAAACCTTCGTAGACTGTCACGTGAAAGTCAAAGCTTGCAAAATTCAAGCTCGGAATTCGAAAGCGTCTTGCTCAATCGCGCCCCGACCACATTTTCCAAAATTACATTCTAGCCACCGTATATACATACTTTCACAAAGATACCTGCCTTAAGAAAAAGTTTAATGACGAGAAAGCCGCATGTGGATCTTCTTTTCTTTTGGGAGGGGATATCAGAGTCGTGACAGCGGCAAATGTAAATTCGTTTTACGCAATAATGTTAAACAAGCCTCTCGCGGAAGCACGACACAGTTACGTTTGCTATACAAGACAGATTTTTTTTATTGACCTCACTCACTACTTAACGATCCCTCTCGTGTAATTAATAAATGCAATCCGGTATTCATTCATACTTGCCGGTTTGGAGTAATGGGCTTCTTGTTACATGCTTGTGCGCCGCTAAATAGCCGGTGGTTTCATTTCAATTTATATTAATCGTAAGCGCTTTGCTCATACCTATACTAATAAGCTTAGTTCTTCGGGAAATGATAAATATTCATTCTTTTTTTCTTTTCGAAAGAGTGTAGTTTCGTTGAGGAATTTTCTATTTCAGAATGAATTTTTCAAGCGTTCAAACACAAGTTTATTAAAGAGAGTTAATGGGGCTTAGAGATGTGGAAGGAAAAGTTGTATATCACGGGAGATGTAGCTCAAAAACCAGGCGAGTCGCACACATGCATACGGACGTGAGGGTAGCAACGAAAAAGGGCGGAGCGCGCTTGCGCACCAGCTATGAATGCACCCCAAATGACTGAATTTCGTCAGGAAGGTTCAAGGTCATGTAGCACAACACACATACGTGCGCGACCGAGAACAGCTGCACTATCTCTCTTTCTCACTCTCACTCTATTCTTCCATCAGCGTGCGATTAGAGAAAACACGCGCAGCTCGTACCATTGTCACGTGATCTGGCGACGTTGTGCCTCACGTGATTTTACCGTATTAGAAATGGGCTTTTTGGCGGAGTTCTTGTAGTACTGTAGATTTTTATTTTTTTTCTCTGTTTATTTATTTATTTTTTTTTTCTTTTGAAAAAAAAATTCATGAAACGTATGTGAGATACTTTTAACTAACAACCATTTTATTGTAGCCAATTTGCACGTAAATATCGAAATTTAAAATAGAGACGCAAGTGTCTATGCACTTGACGTACCACGGTATAAACGTCGCGCTTTGTCATTTGATTCGCCGACTTGACATGACGTTCAAAATTCAAATGAAACTATTCAAATCTACTACTGAAACATTTTCACCTTTGCGATCGTTCGCGCAAATTATTGCGCCATTAACGCACTGATTGCCGTTTAATTTATTTTTATGTTTATTAGCGTTGAAACGTCGGTAGTCGCGGTTAATCACATTGGAATTACAAATTTAGAGAGAGGAAAAAATTCACGCGCTCTGGAAGAATCTTCATCCGGTGAAAGAGAATGTGAGCTACGACGCGTGGCATTTTGTCGGTCAGGCTGAAAAGAGGAAAACGAAAAACCGAGCCAAACGACATGGGAGATGCGGCGCGCGAAACTCGCGCATCGGGGCGTCGCGGTGCTTATTTTTCGCGCTGCGGCGAATCGGAGCATCATGCGAAACGCCCGGAGATCACGTTGAATTTCGAAGGAGCCGCGCGCTCGTTAAGTGGAGGCACGAAAAGCCGATCTGGTAGAAGACGAATTGGTTGCGTTTCGGTGGAATGCGCGGAATGTCCAGGCGTGCGTCGTCCCCGGAAAACCAAGCGTCGACGCGCGACGTTCGTGCCGGAGCATCCTCCCTCGTTGCACTCGCACGAGGCAGCGCGGATGCGCGCATTACTCTCGCTTTCTCTCGCTTACGTAACTCGGGGGGGGGGGGGGGGGGGGGGTAGTCGTTGCTGATAACGCCGCGGCATATCGCGCGCCCGCGCAACATTTTGCTACTGGCCGCGGGTTGGCGGCGAGCCTCTCTCCCGAACGGCTACGGCAACGCCAAAAGAAACGAACGGGTCTCGGCTGTACGGGAAGGGGGAGTAACGGAGAAGCTGCACTTACGCGCGTGGTCACTTATATCGAATAAACAGGCCTGCGAGGCGGCAACGCAGGCGCTTTTATCTGTCAGCCGAGCACGTGACCTTGACTTAGCGTATCACTCAGCGCGAACGCGATGGTTCGATGCTCGCCTGACGCACGCGCGCCAGCAAGCTGGCGCTCCGGCGGCTCCTCCGACAATCGCTTCTTTTCGGTTTTTCTTTCTTTCTTTCTTTCTTTAGCTCGGCGCGCGTGCTGCTCCACGTCACTGCCTCGCTTTAGGACAACGGTCCGGCAGATTTCCCGTCGCTCGTCGGGCCGACGCGCGATCAATTGTCCTCGCGCTCGAATCCTCGACGTTGCGTGGCCCGAAGAGCCACGACGAGTCGGCGACGCGACACCACCAAACGGGCAACGCTACACTCGGTCGCTGGAAAGCCAGCCCGGAGGGGAGAAAAAGTGAAAAAGAAAACGAAGAAACGAGCGAAAGAAAGGCACGTGGCGAGACGAGGAACAATGGCGCGCCTCCGCCGGCGTGGCCCCGTGCACGTGGTGAGCATGGCAAAAGCCGGCGATAACCACGCGGCCGCCGAGCCGTCGATGTATTTCGATCGCGCCCGTTCGTTTAGAAAGAAAAAAAAAAGAAGCAGCGAAGAACATTCGGCCCAGAGAACTTTCTCGACTGTCTCGGCGCCTCGATACTACGCGGCTCTCGTGGGATACATCGTTCGCTCTCGTGGCGCAGACTTACTCGAAAGTTTTTCCATGCCGCCGAGGCGAACTCATTTGGCGCGCGGCGCACGGGGGTCGCGATCGACGCGCTTCCAGGTCCGCCCGTGATTGGCTCGCTCGTGATCGCCGTAAGTGCACTTCCTATGGGCCGCGGGGTATGCGTGCAAATGTCCACGCTCATCTCTCGGCTGGCCAGCGACGACAACGGGTACTCGTTGCGAGCTGCACCGGAAGGAAAAACTGCCGAGCTCGTCTATTCGCAATTGTCAAGAGCTGCCGTTGCTGCACGCCGCGAGTAGAAGGGGCTGAGAGTGACATGCGCGAGCTTTAAAATCGAGCGCGCAGAGTTGGCTCGGATTCAGTCGCGTCGGCGAGCGAACCTCCCTCGGCACTCGATAAACGCGTATCGCGACTTGTCGCATCGATCCGCGCGAGAGAATATCCAGCCAATTATTCTCGGCGAACAGCGATCGACTCCGCGAGTGCAGGTGTGTCCTTGTGTGTTTGAGTATCGATTCGGCGTCGTCTCCGAAAATAAGTGAGTAATTGTGCATACGTAAGCGTTTTATACATGTCCAATGTAACGGATACTGAAAGAAAGTCGAGAGAAATCACCTTTCGAAAGTTCCCTTGAGTAACTAATCACATTTTTCCTCTTAACGGGTTTTCTTTCTTTTTTTTTTTTTTTTTTCGTTAGAATTTTTTTTTTCTCGTCGAAGGTTGCGTTACAATGGTGTCAGTCTGCGATAGCAATCTCGACGGATGAATATGAAGTAACCGTAGGATGCATAAAACAGGATTTTTGCAATGGCACGGAGGATTATAAATAATCGCTTATCCGATGATTAAATGACAAATCGCAGAATAATTACGTCGCTCGTAACAATCGTTTAACCTTGTTTCCAGCCGGCTCATAGCTATTACACGTGTTGTGCTGCAGTTGACGATTATAATCGACGTCGTTCCAAATATAAATAGGCTTGCTATTAATCCGTTATCGCCTCGATTACCCGAGTCAAGATTAAAATCCAACAGCGGCGGTTTTGCAAAATTCATCATCAAATCATCGTCCGCCGTAAAGTGCAATCGTCATCTGGCAGCGTCCTGCGAAAATCTGTCGCGGCCGCAATCGTAAACACGCGTGGCGTACAGGCGGCGCGAGTCCGTCCGATGCATTGGCACGACCGCGAGTTCAATAAACTTGGGCAATTGCGATTTTCGCGCGACGCGTAACTTTTGTGCTCGCCGGCAGTGAAAGTTCGAGGTTTGCTATTGACTTTTGCCGAATGGGAGAAAGTGTGCGTGGCCTCTGGGATGCCAGGTGCACGTTATATTTGTTCAGATTATGCACTGGAGTCAAGACTCGAATGGCGCTGAATATTATTATTATTATTTTTCCAACGACGAACTCGTCTCCTTCCCGCTGCACCCGAACGTAATTTTTAGCCCGACTTCGCGTTCACCGCAATGTCGACATTATTTTCCTCCTCGTTTTCACGCAAGCGAGAACAACGATCTCGCGGCAAACCCTCGAGCGTTTCGTCTGGCTTCGTATCTCGGCGGCATTTTTTTTATAATTTAAAAAAAAAAACGAAGCACACCCTCGACGCCTAGCACTCGTCGGCCGCGCGTTACGCAGCACCATTCGGCTTTTCCACGCGCGGCTCGGACACAATCGACGAGCTAATTAATCATTTCTTTTCGAGCGCCTGCGCGACAGTTAATTGTGATTGAGTGTCCGATTCGCATCCCAATTGCATTTTTATGGGCTTGGACTCGTTATCGTGCGACTTCCCTGGGCCGAACTCACCGATTGCGATATAATTACAATTGTCTTCCAATGACCGTCGGGATGTAAGCGAAAGTTTATAACACGTTCTGAGCAAAAACGTGAAAGTTTCGGGATTTTTTTTTCGAAAGAAAGTTCACGTATATATTTGGAAATCTTGGGAGGCGAGAATGCGTTCGGTCGAGCCATTTCAGACATGGGTACTTTCATCTTTTTCATTAACACCCGCCGCTGTGTCTGTTCCAAAGTCAGCTCGAAGATACACGCGTGCACGTCTTATTAATTAAGACGTAGGTGTATTAATTGCTTGCCCACAGCACATCGCACTTGCGAATAAGCTTTTGTTTTTGCTCGGCCGATGAAAACGCAGGGGAATTCTCGAAATGATCGTCGCTACGGAAAAGCGAAGTGGAATTTTTCTTTTTTTTTTGTCAATTCAACGTCATAAATTCTCACAACTGCACGGCAAAGTCAAAGTCAAGATCGACTAAAGTGTTTTATTCACGGTGCGATAACATTCCAATGCAAACAGTATCCGACGCCTGCCAATCGAACACATCCTCTGAATCTCAATGCTGGCCCATTGCGAACGGATACTCATCGCGTAGAAAAACACACGTACGCGTGGTCGAGGTATTCGCGAGGAATCTCATTCTGTTTATAGAGAATGCGAGGATGTATCACACTTCGTCATCCATTAGGCATTCAAAAAAAGGAAAAAAAAAAAATCTGTCATAAATTTTTCATTATTCAGTTTTGCAATTTCGAGCAGCAGCAAAAGCCTGCATGTATAATAACCGACGCGTAATTATCCAAGCTTGCAGATCGAATCGCCAACGATACGTCAGATGCGTTCCGCGATAACAGAGGCCCCGCACGCCGAGCTCTTATCTCGATCGCGTCGATCGTCGTTGCCAACGCGGATCTAATCGGCGCAAAGTAGATCGCGATCGCCGGTCGTATCGCGAAGGTGCACCGAGCGCACAGGTATACCCGACTGATAATTCGGTCTGCGGCATTTGCATGTTTTCCTCGTTCCCGCGAAATTTCGCGCACGGTCTTGGCGAAAATCAAGGAGCTTCTGCCGCGACCGTCACGAGCTTCGGAATTACGCGTCGGCTTGTGCTTTAATGTCGCGCGTGACAGCCGCGTTTTCGCCGTTGTAGTAGCTCGCGCCGTTACGCCATCGATCGATCGCGCGAATCCCACTGTCTATTCTGACAATCGTTTGCGACAATGTTGCACTCATCGTTAGCCCTCGAGTCACTTTGCGGTTCTGTCGCGAGAAAAATGTTTTATGAATGATGTTGCTCCGCTCGCAGCAGCGACGCGTTGTCTTCAGGAAGTCTGGTGCGCTGTCGTCGATATTTGTCCTCCGTCACCTTTGCTCCTCGCGTGCGCGTGCATTTCTTATTTTCCGCGGTGGAGTTCTAGTAACGCCCTCGAAAAAAAGTTTGTTAGTGAGCCAAAGTGCGATCAAATGTGAAGTGAAGAAAGTCCATTTGTTGAAGAAAGCGATTGACAAAGTTTCTCGCGGGCTAACACAAAATCAACGTCTGTCGAATCATCGTGATAAAACGAAATCATAACCCCAAGGTCATATGATTACAGGTGCTTCTAAGTGATAAAGATAATCTAAGCAGTAACAGCATCAGCAGCAACAATGTCAGCAAAAGCAATTCGTGAGGCGACCGGCAAGGATTTGATCAACCGCAAACTAGGAGCTGGTACATCAGCAGCCAAATGTCGCTTCGTTAGTATCGACGAGTCGACCAATTGGTCTCATCTGGTAGCTGAAAATCCATGGCTCGCGAACGAACGTTTGGTTGTCAAACCCGATCAGCTGATCAAGAGACGCGGAAAGCTTGGACTTATCAAGGTCAATGCGAATTTCAGCCAGTGCCAGCAATGGGTGAACGAGCGTATGAACAAGGACCAGCAAGTAGGCAAAGCCACTGGCAAGCTCAAGAATTTCATTATCGAGCCGTTCTTGCCACACAAGCCTGTACGTATAACGATCCTTCGTTTCTTGACATCATTTCCTCGTGTAAGACTGTACTTTGTGATTCGCGTAATGCCAATCAGATTTTATTGCGTGCTTTTATATACAACTAACATCCACAACTGTAAACTTACTTTTTATCGCCGCCTATGACAAGTTAGTATACTGGTAGTGTGGGTATATGTAGGAATCGAAAGTATGCGATGCGTCATCATATTGCTTAGTGATCGCGTGGTGAAAGCAGTTTTCAGATTACCACGTGTCGCGGTGCGAAGGAACGAGTATGATGAAATTTTATAATCAGCGAAAATGAAACGTCATGACCATACAGTTTTGAGATACGAAAAAGAACGTTATTAAAAAGTATGAATTTGCTATCTGCAGGAGGAAGAGGTCTACGTATGCATCTACTCGCACAGAATAGCCGACACGATTTTGTTCCATCACGAGGGTGGCGTGGACATCGGTGATGTTGATGCCAAAGCACTAAAACTCGAAGTAGCAGTCGGATCGTCGATTCCCGACGAAGCAACTATCAACTCGAAACTGCTAACACACGTGTCAGCTGCTAAAAAACCCGTCGTCGCAAAGTTCATCCAAACCTTGTATAAGCTCTACGTCGATCTCTACTTCACCTACTTGGAAATCAATCCATTGGTGGTGACCGACGATACAATTTATATCCTCGATCTCGCCGCAAAATTGGACACTACTGCCGACTTTATCTGTCGGCCGGATTGGGGTGAAATTGACTACCCACCTCCATTCGGCAGGGATGCCTATCCTGAAGAAGCCTATATTGCGGATTTGGATTCTAAGTCCGGTGCAAGTTTAAAACTCACTATCTTAAACCCCAATGGAAGGATTTGGACTATGGTTGCTGGTGGAGGTAATTTTAATTCTTCTTCCTTCCGTTCATTGCGTTTAAATATTGAAGTAGAGCCGTGATCGATAGATTAATTTAAGGAAAGTGATTTAACATATTGTTGAAAATTAGAGCTTTCTATTCTTATTTAACCCTTAGAGAACTGGGATTTGAGATACTTTATCCCCCATAGAAAATCCATGAAAAAGGTATTTCATATTACGGATAAATTGTCGAACATGGGTTAAGTCAGTATACTGGCGCTTTCCGGTCTTCTAAAGGTTAATCCGACGATACTTCACGATAATTATCAAATTAATTTTTATTCAACAAAGCATTTCAAAAATTTTTCAGGTGCATCAGTCATATACTCAGACACAATTTGCGATTTGGGAGGTTCATCCGAGTTGGCTAACTATGGAGAATATTCGGGTGCTCCAAGTGAACAACAAACGTACGAGTACGCCAAAACAATTCTTAGTCTTATGACCAAAGAAAAACATCCCGAAGGAAAGGTTCTCATTGTGGGTGGCGGTATCGCAAATTTCACGAACGTGGCTGCCACGTTTAAGGGTATCGTCAAAGCTCTGCAACAGTTCCAACCAAAACTAGTTGAGCACAATATAAAGATTTTTGTAAGAAGGGCTGGGCCTAATTACCAGGAAGGTTTGAGGTATGTATAATATTCGAAAAATAGAAAAAATGTAACATTTAGTCATTTTCCAACGTATTTTCTATTTTGTAGGATTATGCGCGAGGTCGGAAAACGTCTTCAGATTCCCGTGCATGTCTTCGGCCCAGAGACTCACATGACAGCGATATGCGCAATGGCTATGGGCAAGAAACCCATTCCCAATCCTGAAGCTCAAGAATTCTCTACGGCTAACTTTCTTCTCCCGTCCGGTCAAGACGTAGGTCCATCGGCGCCAGATTCTGGCTCGTCTACACCTTCCTCGCCGACGAAACAACCACGCATTCAAAAAAGCGATTCCGTCGACTCGACATCAATGAAACCATTATTCAGCGGCAAAACTAAAGCCATTATCTGGGGTATGCAGACTCGGGCCGTTCAAAGTATGCTCGACTTTGATTTTGTTTGCCGTCGTAACGAACCGTCTGTTGCTGCCTGTGTGTATCCCTTCACTGGTGATCACAAACAAAAATTTTATTGGGGTCACAAGGAAGTAAGTTTAAGCATTTATATTGTCTATTACGCTATAGAATTTGGTAAATTGTATTTGGAATTACATATTGCGGTATTTTTAGGTGCTGATTCCTTCCTACAAAAACATGAAAGACGCGATGACAAAGCACTCAGACGCAGACGTGATGATTACGTTCGCATCTCTTCGTTCGGCCTACGACAGTGCAGTGGAAGCCATGCAGTTCCCTCAAGTCAAGACCATCGCAATTATTGCCGAAGGTATTCCCGAGAATATGACAAGAAAACTGATTTTAAAGGCTCATGAGAAGAAAATTACTATCATTGGACCGGCTACCGTTGGTGGAGTCAAACCTGGCTGTTTCAAAATTGGTAATACAGGTGGTATGATGGATAACATTCTGCACAGCAAGCTCTACAGGCCTGGCAGTGTAGCTTATGTATCTCGATCGGGTGGCATGTCCAATGAACTTAACAATATTGTTTCTAAAGGTATATATGAGCTCCAGTTCTTTTAGTAATTTATTTCTATTGCATCAATGTTTTTTCGACTTGTTGATTCTATTCTGTTACTATTAAACTTATACATACGTTACTGTTAGCAAAGATCAACGTTAAATGCAATTAGTTCAGAATTAATAATTTTATAGTTAAAGCAAATTGTAATGACATAATTACTGGAATTTTTTCATTGCAGTTGTAAGTATTGAGTATCGACTCTGCCAGTCGTTCGTTGAAAGTATAAATTGCAAATAGGTTAAATAATTGAATTTTTCATTGCAAATTTGCATTTTCGATAAAAAATTGTGTATAAATGAAAATGAAATATGAATTTCCACTGAGTAATTATGTCTAAACAATAACGATAATTTTATATTTCCATCTTTTATATCGGTTGAAATGACGTTTTTCTGAATGAAAGGTTTCATAATGCTAATGCGGTTTCAATCATCACGCTCTTTTTTCTAGCTTCAAACGGAGTTTTTGAAGGAGTAGCCATTGGCGGTGACCGTTATCCAGGAACGACATTCATGGATCATATCATGCGTTACCAGAAAGATCCTGAAGCTAAGCTGATAATTTTATTAGGTGAAGTAGGCGGTGTCGAAGAATACGAAGTATGCGAAGCTCTCAAGTCCAAGCGTATAACGAAGCCTTTGGTTGCGTGGTGCATTGGTACTTGTGCAAGTATGTTCAACTCCGAAGTGCAGTTTGGACATGCAGGTTCAATCGCCCACTCAAACCTCGAGACAGCAATTGCAAAGAACGCAGCACTCAAAGCTGCCGGAGCTTATGTTCCTGACAGTTTCGATACCCTCGGAGATCTCATTCAGACAGTCTACGATCAGCTCGTCTGGGATGGTGCCATTGTACCAGAACCTGAAGTGCCGCCACCAACTGTTCCAATGGACTACAGCTGGGCTAGAGTACGTCCGATTCCTTATGATTGTTTATACTTTTCACTCATGGTAGAATCAAACAGTATATTTTTATAATTGTAGGAATTAGGACTTATCCGCAAACCGGCTTCATTCATGACTTCTATTTGCGACGAGCGTGGCCAAGAACTTTTGTATGCTGGTATGCCGGTAACAGAAGTACTAAAGCAAAACGTTGGTATTGGTGGCGTCGTATCGCTACTTTGGTTCCAACGATGCTTGCCTCCAATCTACTGCAAGTTCCTAGAGATGTCCTTGATGCTGACTGCCGATCATGGACCAGCTGTATCTGGAGCTCACAATACGATTGTTTGCGCCAGAGCTGGAAAGGACCTCATCAGTTCTCTTGTTTCTGGATTGTTAACTATTGTGTGTAGTATTTCTTACTTGAGAAGAATCGTTGTATTATTGATTTGTGTTCTAATTTATGGCTATTTTACAGGGTGATCGTTTTGGTGGTGCTCTGGATGGCGCTGCGAAGATGTTTTCGGAAGCCTACGATGCTGGTCTTCATCCTCAGGAATTTGTCAATAACACTCGTAAGAAGGGTTTGTTGATCATGGGTATTGGTCACAGGGTCAAGTCGATCAATAATCCAGACATGCGAGTCAAACTCATCAAGGAATACGTTTTGGAAAACTTTGAGAAGAAACCGTTGGTCGAGTACGCTCTTGAGGTTGAGAAGATAACCACTACGAAAAAACCAAACCTGATTTTAAACGTCGATGGTGTTATCGCTTGCGCTTTTGTTGACATGCTTAGAAATAGTGGAAGTTTCACGAGGGAAGAAGCTCAAGAATACATTGAAATTGGAGCGATCAACAGTCTTTTCGTTCTTGGTAGAAGTATAGGATTTATTGGTGAGTTGAATTATTTTAAAATTCTACTTTTTATTATAAATATAATTTATAAATACAAATTAACTAAAACAAATGTTCTTTTCTCCATAGGTCATTACATGGACCAAAGAAGGTTAAAACAGGGACTTTACCGCCATCCTTGGGATGACATCTCTTACGTGCTACCAGAACAGTACAACTGAAGAGTTTCCCATAATTATCTACGTCCATCGTATAAATGTTAATCGATCAGAAATGAATCTACGTCAATGATATTAAAAATAATGAAAAAATTACGTGTAATTGACGAGAATTCCGAAAAAAAATATATCCGTACAACATGAGTAGGACTCACTTAGGTAGCGATGTTCTAATCAATGAATTGGATCAACGCTTCTGTTATCAGCATTGATCCAACAACAGCACTGGCACATTTTGCACCGTCGAAAGTCCGTTAATTGCCTTAAACAAACGAGAAACAAATTTATGTTTTTAGAAGTTTTAGTCGCTGTGCGACAATTACATTTAAGAAATGAAATGTGAATGGAAAAGAACATATTGGTTTTAGCATTCCAGATTCTGCATTTGTTTTTAAAGACACGAATGTACGATATACTTGTATTACTCGAATTTTTGTATATATATATAGACGTCGGCTCACCTAAGAAAAACAGCACAAATGCGAATTTTTTTTAGTTCGCATTACATGAAACTTAAACATCTATGTACCCTATGGGAGACGCGAATTGTTTTACTTTTTTTAAGCTTCGGTTAGGTTCGCATGTTTAACGAGTGAAGTAGTTAAAAAAACTGCACAATAAAAGTGAACTATTCTACTAAGAAATAAGAATTTAGTATACATATTCAATATACATGTATAATATTTATGTATGTACGTATTATTATTTAAGAATTTATTTAGCGTCTTTTAATTATTTTATTTGCACTAAAAAAATATCTGGTTAATAAATGTAGAAAAAAACAAGAAACTAAATTGGTTATTAATCATGTTATCTATAATTCTTATAATTATGTATGGATAGAATGAAAAAAATATGAAATAAAAACAATAGCTAAACTAAAAAAATATGCCATTTATTTTTGTTCTTAAAAAATTATTATATTTATAATTTCAACAGTTTATTCACCAATCAGTAATTTCTTCAATTATTGATTCAGGCAACTCTGCTCGATTAATTTCTTTCTTTAACTTTGGCTTGATATAATTTTCATACCACTTGACTTCTGCTATATCGAAATTTCTTTGCCTATAATAATCAACTTTCTTTAGTTGAATAATTACATCATAGTCATGTTACAACTTGTTTTTCAATACTTACACATCATGCTCCGAATGTAAAGGTTTCCGCACTGGATTCCATTGTGATACAGGTTTATCATTTGCAATCATTACACCTCGAACACAATAAGACAGCGCTAATTTATGTATATTAGCGTCCTGCAAATATATCAGTTATATATAAATCCAAATGTTTTACAAAAATATACACATTTGTGGAAAAGATGTGTTGAGATATGTATTTTTTATTTTTGTTTTTTCAACTAGCTATACTATACTACTTTAATCAATTTGACTTGGCCAATTTAGATTATGCATCAAGATCTTACATAGACAATGTGCATTATATAGAAACATAAATACAAATACTTGCTCTCCATTCTGAATTCATTACATCAGCTAAACTTATAGTATCTATTGCTAAATTAGCTCCATCTACATTCGACCCTATTGTATTCAAATAATTTTCATGTATAAATTTGATAAAAGTATTGGCATGTGAATGAAAAGTTGATGCCAAATCATCTGGATTATGCACAAATTTCCAAGATGTTCCTTGAAAAGTTCCTAAAAACAAAGTATTCAAGTTTTATCAAATACAATTTAAATTAAATACTTAAAAACATTTTTAAATTTCGTACTTTTAGGATTTATTACTCTACCAATACCATGTAGTAAACCAAGAGTTTCTTCTCTATGAGTGCACTCACTGTCAAATTTACGTGTAACTTGTATAAAAGAAATTACATCATTAATCTCTGAAGTAATCAACATTCTAAATATAATTACTGTTTACCTTTCAAAGAGAGAAATATTAAATTTAAAAGTGCACTTCGAACATCACCAATATTATTTGACAGCACTTCATCTATCTTTTCTTGTGTAATATGTAACATATGACTGGCTTTAGAATTTAAAATACTCGAAACTCTTTTCATTATATTTTTTAAAGCTGTTGGAGTGGTTGCATTAATACTGAAAAATAGAAATGGTATATTTAGGCATTTTTCTATCTTTTAACAAAATAAATATATAAACTTACTTAATCAAATCAATTCTATAACGATCACGATTACTTTGAGAAAATAAAGTTGTTAACAACTTTGAGTTACTAGTTTCTGTATTTATAAATACTAATGGTTCTCTTCCATACTGGCAATATTTTCTAAAATATAATGTTTTTACTATGCTTTATGTTTGTAACATTGTTGCTATATACTTTTACTTACTGTAACAAAACAACAAAATCATCTTTCCCTTCAATATAAGAATTTGGTATATCTTTAATCAGTAATAAACGCCTACTGCAATCTGATAATACTGAACTATAACGAGTTGCTCTTATCAAAAAGTCTTCAAATCTCTCCCCTTGTCTCATCATTCGATCTGATAATAATTAATATTATAATTTGACTTAAATTTAATAAAATAAAAATCCTAATTGTACAACTCACTACTCTCATCCACAGCTTGATCCATTGGTGTTATCCATTCTACAATATCAAAATTGTTCTCTTTTGCAATAATTTTAATGGCTTCAGTTTTGCCACATCCAGATGGTCCAGAAATAACTAATATATTTGGATTGCCTAATTTTACTTTTTCTTGAAACCATTTTGAAATTTCATTTTGTTTTTGTTTACTAACTGCTAACTCTGATTGTTTTTGTGCAGAGCAAGCATTTAGTAAAGCAGATAGACTACAACTTGATTTTTTTGTTATAGGAAAACTAGTTGGAACATGAAAAGAATTTTCAGTTTTTTCATTGTGGCCTTCTTGCGATAAATTTATTGTTTTAGATACAGATTCATCAAATTCACCAAAATCAAATGAATCTAACCAAGATGCATTTCTCTGTAAATAAAATATAACCTCTTTAATACTGAATTATTATCTGATAAAGTAATAAAATAGCAACAAATATTAAATTAGTAGAATTAAAACATTGAAAAAGTAAAAATAATTTATAATTATTAGCTGTCAAAAAGGTTTAAATTGATAAATAAGCAGAAACACTTGGTTAACCTTCAATTTCGACATTTCATTTAGTATTCTTACAGCCAACACTTTAGAGTAAAATAAGCAAAGATATATACATATCAATGACTTGAGATAGATACTTTCAAAAAAATAGATTTTATTCACAATAAAATTGCTTTAAGAAACAAGAATATTTGGTAATCAAAACTACTTTACAATTAATCTATTCGCTTTAATTTTTAAATCAACTGTTGCATATTTTTATTTTTGTGCGCGGCGCCTTTCTACCCATTTCATACGGTCACGTGTTCCATTTAAAAAATTTACGCGTCTATTAATTCCCTTATCTTCGTCTAATTCTTTTATTTATTGTTCTAATTGTTCTGTCAATAACTGTACCATAAATGAATTATAGGTAAATCCCTGTTATAAACTATTATTATATTATTAGTATGTACAAAAAATAAAAGAAAATCACATATTTCAAGGAGAAATAAGTTATGTATAATATATAGCATATATGCTACAAGCTTAGACGTAAACGTAAACATACATTTGATGAATCAATCAATTAATAGATTGGTAGAATTTTCAATAAATCGTGAAAAATCAAAATTAAAACATCAACTTTACTTTTTTTTATGAAAGCACTGTATCGAAATCTATTCATAAAAAAATTTGATGTCAACATATTTTATGCGCGCGTGTGTATGTACACATCAACGTTAAATTAATAAAGATATAAGGATAGTCAATAATTATTCTAACAATTTTCTATTCCATATTTATTAATTTTAGTATATTTATAATAAATGAAGTGAACAACCGCACGCACTAACAAACTTTTGTATAATAAAATAACTTTTTCCCGCAGTCTAAAAAAGTTATCTGTACAAATTTGTCTTATTAGAAATGTACACGATATACGCCTACATAATAATTTTATACTTAATTAACGTAAAAAGTATAAATTACTAGCTCAAAATAATTTTCCTAAAAATTGCAATTAATCAACTCGAAATATACGCCACACTTTGCAGCATATTTTTCTCCATTTGTCCTAGTTTTCCTATATTAGTAACCGATACATTCAAACATTTCGTAAAAAATACAATTGAATGATATGATTAATCTATGTTTCTTTTTTGATATACTATAAATTTTTTGTTCTATCATCGCGTGAATAGTTTGCGTTAAATTAATTAATAAAATATTCAATTATCTAACAAGATTTGCGCAACATTATCACAACGTGTTTGGCCACCAAGGTCTTCCAGTTACCAGTACATTGAATAGACTATCTAAAAAGTCTATGGTGTACTGTTTAAACATCCACGTATATAGATATATTCGTTCTTAAATATAAAGATATATATTTATAGAAATATTTATATAAAAAGAGTTGCGAGGAATAACATATTGTCTCAGACACTCGCGAAAATTGTAACAACATTGTCCCTTCACAATGACATTTCCAACACATTCTACACTTTTTGATAAGCAAACCATTCAACTCCATACATCACTGGAGTAGCGCTTCTGCGAATCCATCTTCTTTATGTAGTCAGCCGCCTGTAACTCACTCATGTTCCCTTTTTCCATTACTACTTTCAGAAGAATGTTATGCACATCTCGCGCCATATTACGCGCATCACTGAAATCAAAAATTAAATTTTATTGAATACCATTTCATTCAATACGTACTGAGCATTTGATTAAATTAAAGTTTAGAGTCTTACCCGCATACGTAAATATGTCCGTTCCTTTCTCCAATCACGCTCCATAATTCATCACTATTTTTTTCAAGCAAATGCGTCACGTAAACCTTTTTATCCTGTTCTCGACTGAAAGCAGTATGCAAAGTTAAAGTTCCACTATCTACATATTGCTGCAACTCTTCTTTGTAAAGGAAATCTTCTTCACGTTTACGGCAGCCAAAGTAAAGAATTGTATCGCCAACTTCTTTGCCTGGACAAAAAATAAAAAAATTAATAAATTTAATTCAATCGTGGATATATCGTCAGAATAATTGTCTTTACCTTCTTTTTTAGCGACATCGCGTTCTTGAATGAATGCTCTAAATGGAGCAATACCAGTACCGGGACCAACCATCACTACAGGTGTTGTAGTACGCGATGGCAAGCGGAACTGCGACTTTCGAACGAAAATCGGCACTAAGCATGGAGGATCAGACGGATGCTTCTCCTTTAGCCAAGTAGTGGTAACACCTTTGTTAATTCTTCCAGTTGGAGTTTTGTACTCTACCACCACAGCAGTAATATGAATTTCATTAGGATGCAACTGAAAAAATTAGCATGATTAATTTAATTTTTTATAATAGCATTTCGAAAGTGACGGAAAAGTACCTTAGGAGATGAAGAAATTGAATAGTAACGGCACTGCAATCTAGGCAACAGCTCACATAAATGGTCTAAAGCAGGCTTCAAACTTGGAATGTCTTCCAAAATATGTACAATATTCCTATTTTCTTGAGTAACCCATTGATGGAATAGAGCTTTGCCTTCAGCACTGGAACACGACATATTCTTTAATTTTTCTTTATCAGCCGAGTCACTACAGTATTCAGCTAATTCCTTGAGGACGTGAGTGCGAGGATTACTTGTAATATCTAAGTAATGCGTTAAGGCAGTACGGTATGTACATGGGCAAGGGAATGGATGCTTCTTAGTAGATTCCTCTGTAAATAAAAAAATATTATTAATTAATTAAATAAATAGTTATATACAAATAATATTTGAAATATTTTACCATCAGTGTTGGTCAAGGTGATGACAGTATCTAAGTTAACACCACATTTTTCACCGATCTTGTTGACAAGCTCGGCACTGTTAACTGGATAAACGGCCAAATGATCACCAGCTTCATAACGCATCTTTGATCCTTCAATGTTGAACTCAATGTGCATACATGATCTTTCTGATGTAGGGCCATGCAATTCTCTGTTCTCTTTGACAGGAGCTAAGTAAGGATTTTTAGCGTCATAAGGCCTGAAATTAAGTAACAATTGGTATAGGTATTTGTTTTACAAGTTATTCATTTCCAGAATTTAAACTGTTTTTAAGCTTACGCTCTTTGATTATGGAAGGAATGGAGTCTAGCAATCTCTCCAGTGTAAACTTTATCTGCTGGCATGTCATTATGTTCAGTAAGTTTATATTGACGTATGCTGACATCCTCTCCAGAACCTTCAATGTTAAAGTACTCGCAAACCGATGGCCAAAATTTGTCTTTCCAAGTGATAAAATCATCTTCAATGCTAAAAATAAGAATTTTGTTTTAATCTCCTAGTTCAAATTGAAAATTTTGTTCTAATTATGAAATTTTAATAATGTTGATAATATAAACTTGATAATACGGAAAAAATATGGAACTTACTTAGCATCATCATCTCCAAGACCACATTCAACAACACGATTAGCACCAAGTTGTTCTAATCTATGATCGACATATAGGGCAACTTCATTGTAATGCTCGTAAGTTTTGTTTCCAAGGCCAAACACCTATAAAAATAAATGAAAATTAAGTCTATAAATAAAACAAAGTCATTTATTATAATAAATATTATTCAATCTTCCTTTACACTTTTTTCATCTTATACTATAAAGAAAGATGAGTAAATAATTAATACCAACAAGTGATGGTTATTAATTATTTTTAAATTTATTGATAATACAAGAAATAAAAAAGTAATTAACTGTCCAACAGAGAGGGTGAAAAAATTATTAAATGAATCTTCATTGCAGTCATCTCTGCAATGGTACTACAACTGTTTGTAATGTAAAACTTCTACAAAAAATGTATCACACTCGCTTTACTACAAGTCATGATTGTTGGTCAGATGTATTCAGCGTATGAATAAGACGGGTTTCGATAACTAACCAATTTTATTTCATTCAAAAACAAGCTTTAACTCAAGAAAAACAAACAAATAGTCATTGTTAAAAGCATATCAGAATCACCTCGAACTGAGGTGGCGCGTTAAGCGCAAGGCTGGCCGTCGTCTGCCTTGTGAGATTGCATCGTGCCACGATGCGACGCATGGCCACACGTACCAGCGACTTGATTACTTTCATCGTTTTTTTTGACGTTCGTTTAAATACATCATCGGCGTGTCACCATGAAAGAAAAAACTTTTCCGAACTTTCAACCCGCAACAAGTATATTATCGTGTCAAAAAAAAATGACGATCACTTGAATCACGTGTGTAATGTGCTACCACTCCAATTTCACAGATCGAATATAACTTACGTAACTCCTGCCATTGGATTCGCCGATTAATTGCGATAAAAAAAAACAACGATTTATTGATCGATACACGGAAAATGAAACGAGCTGCTCAAAAGCCAAACCGTGAAACACTGAACGTTATAAAACGAGGTTAGAATCATCCTTTAGTACGAAGCGCGAGCTAAAGAGCAAGATAGAATGAATGTCGATTGGTCGTACATTGCGGAGCTACTGGTAGAGGGGGCACTTTTAAATAAATTTACGCTCAATCCGTAAGCTTGATATGTCAGTTAATCTTTCTTACGCATACTTTAAAAATTATAATTTTTGAGCTACGCAAACTGGGATAGTCGTAACATCGTTTCATTGAACAAAATGTGTCTGTCAATTGAAAAAAAAGACTATCGTGTCAAAGTCGACTAATTAAAAAAATTTGTACTCGTCGCAATGTGCACGCAGAATGGGCACTACTTAAAAGTGTTGATATGGCGTTATTTATTTTCAAGGACTGACTGTTATCAGCATTGTCAACCATGAAAGCTCACTGGCGACAAAAAGAAGAAGAAAGCACAATATACTCACAGCATAGTTCAAGCCGTTAAGATCAGCATCGTCATTCTTGAGCCAATCGACAAACTCCATGGCGTTGTCGGTGGGATCGCCTTCTCCGTAGGTTGCCAAACAAAACACTGCCAAACTGTTTTGGATGTTCTTGAGATTGATGAGCTCTTTCTGAAAAAGAAAATCAACTGATAACGAAGCGTCGATATACAGGCGAAATTCAGTTTGAAGTTAAATTATCACTGACCATATCGCATTCCTCGGGGTCGGCGACCATACCCTTGAGCTTGTAACGAATACCTTCTTTGGCAAGTCGGCCGGCAAACTCCTCGGCTGTTCCTGTCTGGCTGCCATAGAATACAATAAGACTTCGTCCGGATTGCTGAAGCTTCTTGATAAATGAGTTCTCCGACGGTGTTACCGCTGCGTATGACGTTGGTCTGTTTAGAAGAAACGTGAGAATTTTTTATTTTTTTACATTGCTAATCGTCATTGAAAAGTCACTCAACTTCTTTATTGAAGACACGAAGGAAATTCCGTAAGAAACAACACACAGGAAATGTGTATGGCAACCCGTTGCGCGAAAAATTATTCAATTCCTACTACGTTCTTGAATCATTCACGATGTCTCGATCAAAATATGCAAAAAATCTCACAGCAGATGTATGCCCACGACAAAGATTAAGCTCCGATGAGACTCACTGAATGGTGTACGATCTAGTTGCAGACGTGTACTCTTCCTGTCTGTATTTCTTGAAACACCACCAGATTACAAGAAGAATGACAAGGCCAATGACTAAATCGAGCGGGCTGAACCACAGCGACTCGTCGAGTGCTTCGTCCGCCTTTGCTGGTCCCGGCGCGTCCGACATTCTCACGGCTTTTGGCTGCGACTCTGCTGCGTCTGTCGTCTGCGAACCAAACACGCACATTGTTATTTTGAAGGAATCTCACATTTTCCGCAAATCATTCAATTTGATCACTATGACAATACGTGACTTCGAGACGCGCGCGCGCGTGGCGCTTTTTGCCGCGTCGCGATGACAGGTACAAATTCGACGGTGATCAACGCGTGATTAAGGTGATTGGTTAAAATTATAAAGATTCGTCGTGTGACTCGTTAAATTCTTTTCTTTTGCACGTTAAATATTTCGAATGGACTAGATATGAATAGTTTTCAACACTTGGAGTTGTCGTTCGCCGTGGCAAAAGCGCAAATAATAAATTGTGACGAAAACGTATTTCATTGCTGTACAATATTCTACGAAGGCAATGCAACGTCGACGGTGACCTGCGATAGACTATATCTTTCTCGTACGAATAATCGAGCGATAAGAAGCTGTTGTTTACAGTGTCAGCTGATAGTTCAGGCCGGATACTTGTTCGGAGATAACAATGACATGCTATCTTGATCGTTTATTCCACGATGGCGTACAGATTATAAAGACTTGATTTGTAACTCGTTTGATGACATATAACACTATAGTTTTCACTCGGCGGATCTTCGGATGCGGCTGAACACTCGCCTACGATATAAATATTTTACGTATCTTATCGTCAATCTATCAATTATTGCAAACAAGCGATTTATCGTGTCGTATCGATCATCCTCATTCACCTTTTGCCGCATGGAAAACAACAAGAAAAGAATACTTTCGGCCTCGATCCGGGAGAAGAGGCATTTGAAAAGGAAATGCCTTTTACGGCATTCTAGGTCGAGCTACGACTGCTGCTGCACGTCGAGAAAGAGAGAGAGAGAGTCCATCATCCCAAAATTCCGATGCAGAATGAGAGAGAGAGAGAGAGAGAGAAACCGGTGACTCAAAGGGGCAAACCGGTCTCGCACTGTGTTCGTGCACGAGAAAAAGGAATTAAAAACGAGAGGATCCAGAGAAGGGAAAGAGATATAATAAACGAGCCGAGGATGTTGACGTAACGACTGCTATGCAATTCGTTTAGAGGATTGCCTGTTGGAATGCGTGTGTATGAATCAAACATGTAATAAGAATAGTCTAGTATGTATAATATTGCCGTTTTCACAGGGCCGATATTGGGAGAGGGTCATCAAATCTCCGAATCATGAAAACACATGTTTTCACTTTTTAAAGAACTTACATTTAAAATATAATTCCATCTTTATTTATTTAGTGTTCACCCCATAATCCAAAATTGTCCCTCTAGCAATTTTGAATAGCACGTGACGATTTCTTTTTTCTCTTATATTTTTTCTTTTTTATTAACCGACTCGTTAGCGAAAACTGTAGGCCGAGTTGCGACATTACTCGCGACGCGCACTTTCTCGATCGTAGAAAAAATTGGCATTCGCTAGCGTTGTCTTTTTACAATTGCAAGTTCGGGTACTCCCGGCGAAGAAGAGAAGCGCCAAACGAGTACAGCGAAGTGGCCGCCGAACGCGTTGGCTCACTCCGCCTCAAAATCATTTTCTCGACTTTGTAATCCGACGAGGGGAGATTGCCCTACGGCTCTCCTCGCCGCTGCACATCGACTTTGACTTCGTAATAATTATGTCACGGAGTTTAGTTAGTATTCACACGACGAAGATGATTTCCAACGATGAGTCGAGAGATTTTCGCAAGGAATAAAAAAGAGCCTACGTCGATGACGAACGTAGCTGCGCGCGGAGAGAGAAAATTTCCGCGCGTCGAATGACTAATGCACGATTAGATATTCCAATAGCGCCAGTGATGTTCGATCGAATTTCCTCTGTCGAAATTCCCGCGAGCGTCACGGTAAGCTCGAGCGTATGGACGAACTGCTCGCCCATCATTTCTATCGATCGAAAATATGCATTGATCTACAATTCCGACGTTGAAATAAGAGAAAAACATTCTTATGCGTAACGAAGCGAATCTTCGTTATCGCGCTCCAGATATACGGTCACCGGTAATATCACGGCTCGTTAGTTTCGGACGTTAGCGCGAGAATCGTTAGAAATGACCGCGGTTACGACAAGCGCACGATTACAATGAGTCATGGAGTTTTCAATCGCACACGTCGCCTCTAACCTTGAACGAGAGACGATAGCTCGCTCGTTGGCCGTGGCAAGCGACCGCGACATTGCGAAAGGAAGCTCCGCAGACTATGCCGGCGCTGTCGGGCATCGATCGGTATCGTCTTCCTGCTGTTGCGTCCGTCGCTCCTCGGCGGACAACGATGATTTTTCGCGTGCGCACAGAGCCAGACGGAGTAGCCGGACAGCAAAGACAAACGGCACCGTTTGAGAGACTCAGCGCGTGCCAGTCGCGCCCGAATTGCAAAGTCACGGGTCGCCATTGCAAAGCGTACTCGGGCGCCAGTTCCCTGGCCAATCTCGTTGGCTTGCGCGCCGAAGGGACAGAAAGGCGCGCACGATCGGCAACGCGACACACTGACATTGCCCAGCAGCAGCACCATGTCAAGGCTGATCACGTCGGCTTACGTAACCGCATCAGCGCCGTCGACGGATCGTCTTTTTCCGCGTTTGCATGATCGAACGCTTTTTCCTCGCTCGATTAGCATCCTCAGCATTCCATTATTCCTCGATCGCTCGTCATCGCGCGAACCAGACGATCGCTTAATTATCGCTCGCGAGCGCTTTATTGTTTTTCGTTTTCTCTGCGCGAGGCGTCGGCGATCTATCGGCGCGGCTCGCCGCGCAATCGAAGAATTGATAAAGCATTTTTCACAATTAGCCTTTAACTTTCGTCGCGCAATCGTGAAGAAGCAAAACAACCGAAAAAACAACACAGAAGACATTATTACAGTCCGCGTTAATTTAGATAATCGTCGTCGCGCTGCTTCTTCTTCCAGTTGCAATTTCGTTTCTAGAAAATTCGTTCCGCGACGAAAAATCATCATCAACGTCTCCAATTAAAAATATAATTTCCTGATACTTGGCGTTTCTCGCGTGAGCGCTGACTCTGCATTTATCGTTGTGCGCCGTTGGTGAAAAATCGGATGAAACGTTCGCGACGAATAGAGAGGGAAGGGGGGAGGGGGAGAGGCAGAAACAGACACGTAGCTACATGGTAAAATCGCTCGAGCGGGTTATACCGTTGAAAAGTAGTGCGAATGAAAAGAAAAAAAAAAGAAAGAAGACACGACGCCTGTCGCTCGGCGAGCTTTGCAATTTAAATTCGAACGCGCGCTCGGTGTGACGGAAATGCATCGCGTAATCCGGTCGTCGCTCGGTGCACGCGCGCCGGGCGCAGGTGCACCGCCGAAAAAAAGACACTCGATCATCGCGTCGGCGGGCGACACCGATCTATGCCGTTTTTGCAAGCGAGTCGGTCGCAACTCGACGATCCGCGCCCTGATCCGGCGTACGTGGCCGAGCGGCCCACGCAGGCAAGGGATAAATCCGACCGGGCGCTAAATTACTCACTGGGAAATCCATGGCAGCCTTGAGAAAACGCCCAATATTCGACGACACTCCCGCGCGACGATCGAATTGCTTGCGAGCGCCCGTGCAACGTGAATATCTTAAAAGACGCGACGGCCGCGACGTACAGCGCGAAACTGGCGAGTAGCCGTCGCCCGAACGTGTCAACGCCGACTGCCACAGCCGGAGAGCGAGAGGTGAGAAAACGAGCAAGTCATGCGCATACGTGCGCACTACATGGAGCTGTCGGGAAAGAGAACGCTCGGTCGATCCTCCGGTATCGAAGTACGAGGAGATCTCGAGTGTTGCGTTCCTTTTCCTTTGTACGCTTGCAAGCATACGTTTTCTGGGGGTGTAGTTTAACAATTGAACGGTACTCCAAAGCAACGAGTGCTGTAAAATTCAATAAAATTATCGACCAACAGTTGCAGATTACGCTTCTTGATGCCTTGGAATTTTTTCTCTAAGTCTTTTAGATTTACTGCATCGTTAAACAAATTTTCGTAAATCATGAAAATACTGATTTTCGAGTATAATGAGAAAATTCAAGAACTATTTTGCAGTGTTGAGATTATTAATTGACTCTATACGTTACCGCTTCAAAACAATGTTCAACAATTTGCCAGATATCGGAAAAAAGTCGAATGTGCGATACACAGGGGACTGAGAAATTAGTATATATTTTAACGAGGATTACGCGACACGCAAGAGGGATACATGCGTCGTAGATAATAAAAAATATTAAAGTCTCGCGTATTATCAAATGCGTTACGTTGTATTGAAGGAAGTACTATGTGATTTATTATACAAGATGATTGCAGAACAACGAGTAAATACACGATCCAAATTCAAGAGACAATTAGAATTAATAACTATTTTAATTATAGGTACATGTCTTCATGATCTATACAAGAACGAAACATTTTTATTTAACATAACGAAATAAGTTCGTAGTTTGTTTATAAGCTACTATTGAATTTGTTCCGATTACCGTTATCGGCGTTTAATGCATCGGTAATTGGAGTTTGGTCAATGTTCTTGCAGATAATATGGCCACCTGTGAAAATATTTCGACTCTTATTAGTATTTCCAATAATCAGTAATCCACATGATATTAGAGAATGGTTTTGTAACGCTTTATTCGGTAACAGATGGAGTATACGTTGTGAGAATGAACCAATCGAAAAGTCAGTTCTTGATTATATTGAAAATAATCGAAACCTTCACTTTCGTCGATTCTCTTTCGGTCATGATATTGCGGATAATCCTGATTTTTAAATTGGCGACAAACGCGCGCGCCATGAAAATTCCGAGTTTCGATTACTATTCACAGACATATCTTTGGAATTTATCGAACGAATGGACGGTATTATTTTTCCACTGTCCAAGCGGAAAATTTTATCGCCCGAAAGAATATTCCTAACAATGAGCGGTTAAACGCGAATAAATCGATCTAACCGTCGCACTTATGCAGAGTAAACAAGTGGCTAGTCTTTACGAAAATAACGTATTGGACAATTGAAAGCTTAGTCGGCAAAATGCACGCTTGAGCGCGAGCTTTTCTGGCACGTGAACCTTCGAAAAAAATTAAATAAAAATCTTCGGTCTACCCACGTAAAAGTCTCAGAAGGCCGGGTAAGGAAGCATCAGCAGCGCGCACGTAACGAATGCCTCGACGCTCGTGAATATTCAGCGGCTGCGCTGACGGATGCTTGACGCGCAATCATGGCAATTGAAATACCCCATCAGCCACTCGACGTCGACAAAGATACCAGCGTGGAGCGCGAGTGTGACGCGTAACGATTGCAGCGGCGACCGCTCGCGTGCAACTTTTCGTAAGACGATGGCTGGAACTGAAGCGAGAAGCAGCGCGCGAAGCCGGTAGTCTCGAGATTCGCTGAGTGATATCTTGCGAGTTCGTCGGATAACGCCTTTGAGGCGGGACTGTGGCTTTGAAAACAAAGAACATACACGTGTGTGCACACCGATGACTGGTTAACGATTTGTCCAACATTTGCGATAAAAGGTTTTATTATTTTTAAAACAATCGTATTTCGATAGCGCAGTTAATTCCATGTTATAAAAACGCTAGTCATTACACTGGATACTACATATACTTTTTATACAAATGTATCTACACATTGGTAATTAAAAAAACAATAGCTTTCCGTCTATATGCAATTTAAAAACGATTTATTCATATATGATAATAATATATAAAAAATTTTGAATGGCAATCTTACACTGTATAGGTGCAAAACAGAAAAGAATCAGTCGCTCTCTCTCTATGCAATAATAAATAATCTACACTCTGAGAAGAAGATGCTTGGTCATTCTCACCCGGGTTCCTAAAGATTATGCAACCCATCTGGGTAAATTAGATCTAATAGTAAATGTTGTCGAATGACTAGATACCTTTCCAATGACAATTGTCAAATGACCAGAGGGCGTGAGATTTGTTAATCTCGTACAAGTACAGATGAATAAAGTAAAGGTGGGTTTTTAAATGATTGGTGGAAACCAAACGATTCTGCATGAATTTCATTCTTGGATGAGTTTTCGTATAGAAATGAGATTTTCCGTAAGTTAATTTGATAAAAACAAAAAGAAATTATTCTGAATAGTGTTGCATTGTCGTGAAAAAATCATCTTATCTTGTTAATGAGGCAATTGTCGTCGACGTGATCTTATACGATTTAAATTTAAATTACGATTAGGTTTAAAAACAATGAATCATTTCCATATCCGTATCTTTTTCGGCGTCAGAATTGTTCACAAATGCTTAAATAATCGCAATTACTGAGATTACAGAAGCACATATATTTTACACATCAACTGATATCACAACAAACATTAGAGAATTAAAAAAAAACTAAATGATTTACTTTTCGCATGAGCCTCGAGCGTAGATACTCCATTCATCCACTGCGTTTTTTATGACGAGGTTTTGTATAAGCTTCCAGAAAAGAGTTATTAGTACATTTTAATACTAATGTGAGAAAGTAACTTTAGCCTCGTGGGAACGTTTGCGCCTTCTCGGCATGCACTTTCTCGACACATATTTTACTTGATTTTTCGATGACGTGCTTTGTATGAGAACTGAATCTTCAAATCTACGGAAAAATCACGTTTTGGTAAGAAAAATCACGTTTTTCTTACCAAAGAACTCCTCGCACAATACTTGACTTAAGCATTTTTGTTTAGAAAAAATGTGTAAGCAGTAAAGTGAGGGAAAAAAACGTGATTTTCTTTGACATCTTGACATCCGTTGATAATAATTAGTAAATAAAAAAAATCCAATTAAGTTTACATTTGCTGATTCGGTTATAATTTCAAATCTAATTTTTCTTTTTCTAAATAAATCGAAACGTCGACTGTGCCTGATAACTTCATTTTTTTTTTTTCAACGTATTTGGCTACGATTCTAAACCTTTTTTAAGACATCCCTATGTGTATATATATTGTTGAAAAAACAGCGGAAATGAGTTTCGGCTTATTTGGGGCAGCCCTTTTCACAAACTAAATTTCAAAATTTTCATTTTCAGCAATTAACATTACTATCATCTTTCATCTATTCATCCGTCACGTTTTTAGCTTTATATTTACATTTATTTTATTTTTCTGATTTCAGAAAAGTTTTTCAAGAAATATTGCACTATATAAGCCGAAGTCGCTTCACGGTATTCCATTTAAAATAATAATTGATTTAAGATTCTTTTTAGTGATGATTATATTTATTCAACACATAGATATTCAATAAATTTATGTCTTGAGAATGAATGTAATTTAAGTGCATTAAGATTATTTTACTATATTATTTTAAAGTTAGGCCGTTGAATGAAAGTGGGTGTTGTTCTTTTTGCGATGCCTACAAATTAACTTACTTATTTTTTGTTCATGATCCATAATAAATCGATGTACAATAACGCGAGTTATTTATTAGCAACAATATGTTCACTGGTACAGATATTAACCCACGTGACCTGCATAGTTCAGTCAATCAGGTCATAAATAAACTGGTTTTACTTTCAGACCCATCTCTTATATATTTTTTATATAAAAAAAGAAGAATCAAGAAAAATAATTTCACCACGGAGCTACGATTTATTATACTTCATGCCTTTAATACCCTCCTACGTTGTTTACATACAAAACTTTACTACAGGAACCATTACATACATACATATATACATACATGTACCCATACATACGTGTGTGTGTATATATATATGTATTTATGACACGTAAATCAAGATTAGTGTGTTTATTCGATAAAAGGTATTATCGAGTTTGTCTTTATTCGTGAATTTCTTGAATTTCTTTCACTTGTTCCGAATTACTGAATGTGGTAACAATTCTTTATATATAGCCTTCTTTGTTATTTATATTAGTGTATTATTCCAAAAATATGCTACATTTACACTTTTTATAACCTCTGTTTATTTATCGATTTATCCACTAAATTCAGCACTGGATAATTGTTATTGAGGGGTGTCTAATCATTAGAGAATAACGCAACTGGGCCACATAGAGATAATACATTTTTGGTCTCAGCGTATCATTTAAAAGAAATCATCCTTCGTAATTATTTGCCGTTCAAATTAATTTTGATGTAAATCATCGAAATTTCTATCCAAGTAATAATTTAACCTTGCATAAGCAATAGTTAAAATGTACTATCAGACTAATCAAACAACTTAAATGACTACACATTTTAAAAGTACACATAAAGGAAAGAGTTTGACATAGTTTAAAGTAGAATCTTGAACGACCTTATCGCGTAGACGATTTCGGAATGAAAAATTTTCCTATCTTCAGATCGCATGATTGATATAAAAAAATGGAGAATCTATCGATTTACGTTAATATATCGTGTGACGGCAAATTCTCATTGCATAATCGTGCGCATAACAAACGAAGTACGTGCATTATCTTTTTCGTTTGCCAACTGAACAATGTAGCATAATAGTAGTTACGAGAAGAATTATGTAGTATATTTATGGGGTTTGCGTAAATATTCGTTGAAACAACAAAAACAGTACGAAATTATGTGAGGTGTGAAAGCTTATAAGCGAGCAGGCAATCGACTAATTGGAAATATATTGTATTTACTCAAAAAGGTGACTGAACTTATAATAACAGTGAGTCACGCAGGCGTCAAGGTAAATGATTTTTCGAAAAAGTTTTGCGAAGGGGAAAACATTGGTGTTGACTTCTACATAATCGAACGAAATGTTGCGATAGAATTTCTCTAGCAGTCGACATGCTTAAGAGCCAGATAATGGCCGTTGCTCCGAAACATTTTCAAAAATGCTAGAAAATGTGAAGAAATACCGTAAATTTCTGAAAGTAATGGTTTCACATGAAAATCGTATCACGAGGGAAAAAAATTATCACTTTAGCCCTGAACTTTGATCCAGTTGCATTATTCAACAAATCAAACGGCCAAGGCTCCGAGAGCTGACCAGAGTTTTTCGTTATTTTCAAAATTCCGAAGACAATATATTCATCTATGTGTTACTGCTATGTTGACTCAAACAACCAGAAAAAACTTAATTGCGCAAGACGATTGAGAGAAGAAGAATCTTATTTGTCTAGCCATTTTTACTTAATCGACAAACATCGCAGGCCGCGATGAAATTTATTAATAAATTACTCCATCGAACAAATATTTGCAACGGCCGGTTAGTGTAATGTCTCATCGCCAATTCAGAGAAAAAGGAAATATTATGGAAGTCGCGTTTGAAAAAATCACTGACTACAGTCGTCTGGAATTTACAAATAGAGGTCGTCGCAAAATCAAAATTCCCTTTCCCATAACACATCGGTGCAGAGCAGACGATCGTGCGCCGCAAAAAGGAGTAACAAAGATCACCTGTTGCGCAACGACAGGCAATCCAATTATGCCGCTGCACCGTGCATCTCAATACAACGACGATATTTCGTCATACAACACACGCGCGCGCATACTGAAACGGATAAACAAAATTACGCGCGAGCGCAAAGACAGACCTTGGGGGAGAAAAAAGAAATAATTAAATTGCTCGAAATGAGCAGTGTATACCTATTCGACACAAACTTCACTGCCACATACGTATCGCACACGCACGTACGATGTACACGCACGCTAGAATATGTAAATGCCGCGTAAGTCGCGCAATAAATAGCGTCGAAACGCGCGCACGTATGATTCACCGATGCGCGATTGCGATCAAATGTACTTTTTCTACCGACGAATCTCGATCGCTGTCTCGTTTCTGCTTCATTTTTTCGGACAACGTATCTGTCGTTTGAAGCTTATACTCTCTCTGCGCGCTTGCGTGTGTGTGTGTGTGTGTGTGTGTGTGTACGTGCGTGTACGCGGACGCCAACAAGCAGGAAAATATTATCGATTACATATATATATCGCGAATAATTGATATGAATGAGAAAGAGGGAGAGAAAAAAAGAAAGAAAGAGAGAGAGAGAGAAGTAATCACCGACCTGCTGAGAAGTGACTGGTGATAGAGCTTTGGAGAACAGCTATTGCTGGACGGTTTTGATGACTACGGACTTGTGCGCAAACGAGAGCTGTATAAAAAATTAGCAGTGAGCTACCTGCAGGTCACGATAGGGCTACGATGGCCACACGATCACCTTCCACGTGTACCCCTCGCGACGCTTTCCGTCTTTCTATAGTATGTGAGTATGTACTCGTATATACCATGGACGCCTTTGAGTCTCTGCGCCGCGAGCAGGACAGAGACAGACGAGCACCCACCAGTCATCACCACCGCCTGAACAAGCATTCGAGAAATATCGAAAGTGCCCGTCGACCGCGGCGACGCAAAACGCGCCACTCTCTTGCTTCGTTCAAATTTCAGTTTCTTACTTTTATTCTCATATTTGAAGATAAATCCATTTATAGCTCGTAAAAATTTCTAGCTATTTTCATCTGCTTAGTATCTTTCAACGCTACTGTAACGATTTGAAGCATTTTGTATTTGAATATCATACTTAATTAAAATATCATTCGTGTATTTAATTGACCAATAAAATATCAAGTTACAGATCTTCACATGGAATTCATTTTTATTTCTAATTATATTGGGATACACTAAGAAAATCGTACAAATTTATATTTTATACTTGTACAAAAATACATTTAAATCGTATAAAAAAATTTTGAATTACACGTTCTTTTTTGAGATTTATATTATTTACATGAATATAAAATTATGAAATATATTTAAAAATACAAATACAAGTTTTCGGGTACACGAAGACCTCGACTAAAACGATATTGTTGATAATTCATTTGATAATTGTCCATAGAAAAATATTTTGCACAAGACTATATTCATTCAAGATCAATGATCAACTTATCCTAACAAAATTACAGTAGTTTTCATATAATAAAATGTTTAAACTGCGATGGTTGATATACCTTTCAACAGTAAGTGATGTGAAATAAATTAAAAAAAACACATCACGATTTTGTCAGACTTGATTTTGACAATTAGCGCATTTCGGTAATCCCCGATTCTTCGTCCTTGTCTTTTTCGTTTCCCGATTTAGTCCTGGAAAAAAATTATCGTAACGTTATATCTAACACAAACGAGTCATCAAGTATATCATAAAGCTAACCAATAAAAAAAAGAAGCGTGTGCTAATACTAAAAAAAATTGGTCGATTTAAAAAAACCTCGAAAGCTAAATTAAATATTGATAAACCGTGGTTACAGAATCACGTTCGAAAAAAAGATCTTTGAATTTTGAATACATAGAATATTTTTGTATCTAATCTTGAAGCTACTTATACTTTTGTCGGAATAATCTCTGATTCCTTGTATGTTTTATATGCACAGTTTATTTTTTGGAATTTTCCAAATTTACACGACTGATTCTATAATAGAGGTTTCGAAGAAAGACTCGCTTAGGCATGCAAATGCTGCATTAGTAATTTTTAGTTTTTATCAAAACTATAGATCAAGAATAAATTTGATCGCTTGAAAATAATCACTTTAAAAGCTTTAAATCGTTCTCTTAGAAAGCAAAGACGATTTGATAAGAAAGAGAACTTTGAATATGTAAATGAAGCATTGATTGAAACGGCTCGACGAATCCGACGTGAAAGGTGAAATGCATATCTAAGCAAGGTGTATACCAACGATGAGCTGAAAAAGCAGGCACAAAGGCGCTCGTGCGTCGAAGCGTGACATCATCCAGCACGTAAGATTCACAACTTCTGTTTTTTTTTTCTAATATAATAATAGAGTGAAAAATAAGCGAAAGAGAGCGTGACTTGAAACTTTATTCAAACTTGTCATTCGAAAGAGTTACGTTATTCAAAGTTACGCTACTCAAAGTTTTCACAATGCATAACGATGTATTTTCGGAAATGTAGAAGTAAGTTGGGAGTGTATTTTTTTTTTGTAATTTGTTGTGGCAAAAAATCGCGATACCTACGTGAGATCAGTCGAACGCAACACTCAACCAGTTCGTAGTGATCTATCTATATGTATCAATTATTGCTATACCATCGATGTACATTAACGAGTTATACTAAAAAGCTCTGCGATATGTATGAAAGCAACAGTCGCTTGTAACCAGAAAGAAAAACTCAAAGACGTCTAAAAGCGAAAAAAAGTGAGAACAAAAAGAGACCCAAATCGCATTTCCTGCGCACGTGCGCTCGATGACTAAACATCGCGGCGAGAGTCAACGAACCGCGCAGAGCCGCGACGGCGATAGTCATTTCAGCGAAGACATCACGCATTGGCAAGAGCGGAAAAGGGAGACACGGCTGTAAGTAAAGCGAGAGAAAATACGAGAGGGACGTACTGATTAAGTCGGTGCCGAGGGTAATGGGTTCGAGTCTGAGGCTGGTGACCTCGCGCAGGACGCTCGCGTTGAAGGCCAGAGCTGTGATCCTCGCGAACAGTTCCGCCACGCCGTCGCCGGTTCTCGCCGACACCGCCCACAACTCGGCCTTCATGCGCCGGGATATCTCCAGCGCCTTCTTCTCCACGATCTCGTACACCTGGTTCGACTGCAAAAGACACTCGCTACGTGCGTTAATGGCCCGACCTTGTGGTCTCTGTAAATTTTTTCAGTGGCAGTGGCATACCAGTAAGTCTCGCTTGGTACCGACGAGAAAGATGTGATGGGGGCCGTTGTTGCTGCGATTAGCCTCGGCCAACCATTGCTGGCAGTGATGCAACGACATCAGACTACCCAGGTCGAATACTATCATTATCACTGCAAAAATGAAAGAAAGACGACTCTCGCGCGTGTCCCCGGCGCGGGGGAGCTGCGCGGAAACGAGCGTGTGCGAAAGCCGATGCTGCGATCGCAGCGATAATTACCGTTCGCTCCCCTGTAGTAGGAGGCAGCGATGCATTTAAACCTTTCCTGTCCCGCGGTGTCCCAGCTGAAAAGAGAAAGCGCGCGCAGATTAATCAAAGTTGTTCCGATGGAAAAGAAATAAAAAGAAAAGAAAAAAAACCGGCCATCTTCGTTCTTTTCTTTCTCAGTCAATAACGCGAACAATGCGCGCGCCAACTTTCTCGCGTGCTTGTGGAGGCTGAGCGCGACTAACCCAGTTGAGCTCAAGCCCTGATTACCGTGAGAGTCGACAGTCAAACGTACATTTGCAGGTTGAAAGGCACGCCGAGCACGTCGAATCTCTCGACCTCGAAATCCACGCCGATCGTCGCCTTGTAGTTGCTGTCGAACGACTTGTGGCAGAACCTGCAACTCGCACACAGTACGTCCCGTCAGCGGCCGGCCTTGTCGACAAACGAGCGCCCGTTACGCCGCGAGCGCGTTGCCCCATCGCGCTGTCTCAACATCCTGGTCGAGAGAGAGAGAGAGAGAGAGCGCGGAGCGTGACCGGGACCCACGGCGCGCACATACTCACCGATTCACCAGAGAGGTTTTGCCGACCGCGACGTCGCCTAGCACGATGACTTTAGAGATGCGCGGGAGCAGCGGCTGCGCCGCGCAGACTCGACGCACAACCCCGCTGAAGTCCCGCTCGTGATAGGGCGTCTTGTCAGACGCGTAGGGCGCTGGCCACTTGCGAATCTGCGGAAGAGAGAGAGATAGAGCCACGCAAGTCCATCACACGTCCTCTCGCGGCGCGCTCTGCCCTCGCCGTCGAGGACACGCGAGTCGGAGAGCACACGCGAGCTTTTGCGTAAGCGCTCGCCGCCGGCCGTTGCAAATGACAGTATCGTCGAAATAGACACGACTGACCGATCGTCGCTCGCCTCGGCGCACGGCCCCAAGGCGAACGGGAGCCGACGACGGCAAACGAATCGCGTACGCGCGTCTTACCGTGCGATCGCCGTCGACGTCGCTGTTGATCATCTTGTAGACTGCGGATCGGCTCTCTAGCATGGCCAGGCGAGTCGGAGCGGCATCCGGGAAAGCTCTCGGGCGCTCGGTTTTCCCAGCCGCGCACTCGGTCCGGAACGGAGGCTCGCACGATGCGCGGCCTGGCGCGGCAGGTGCTGCGGGCCGATTGCCGCGCGAGTGTTACTCCGCGTATCCAAGCGACGCGCTCGCCTGCACACGTGCGGCGCGGCATACGCGGGTGGCCACCGCGCCGCGCCGCGCCGCGGTTAAAGGGCGCGCGCGCGAGTAGGGGGAAACGGGAAGAGGGAAAGCACGCCGCTCGTCACGCGTATCCCCCATTGTTTCGCTCGGCGAAGGTGCGTCACTTTTCAGGGCTTTGTGCCGATCGAAGGGATATGGCAGCTTATAACTGTATGGCTCGAACAGTTCCCATGAATGTTAAACTTTCTTGTCCGACGCTACTCGCTCGACGTAGTTGCGTGGCGTTTGTTTGCTTTGATGGGGCCTTTCCATTTGGCGCCGATGCGATCGGCAGGAGGTGCTGTTCCGAAGGAATCAACTATACTTAGTTTCTCCTTCTCAGTCGCGTTTAATGTGTCGATTTCTTTTCGGATAACGATTTATCGTTCTCGCTATTGTGTAAGTAATTGTGTCGTGCGAATTTTCATTTTGCTAAGAATAAAAACTAAATATAGAATAAGATAGAACTATGAAAATAAAACGTCATCTCATAAACGAATGAAACAATGAGTTTTATAGATGATACAGAGTTGGTGTCAAACAAAATCGGAGCTTATGCCCTTATAAACAAATTTAATAACTTATGTATTCTTTCATATAATCCTGTAATATTTATGTGAATTGTATGATGTTCTACTGATTAAGATAGGCCTTGCCTCATTCGTTTAAGTAAAAGATTTGAAAATATTTTCTCCTTATATAAAAAAGTCACAATAAAGGCATGATAAACACTGTCTTATTGGCTCGCAGACAATACACGTGTTTTGTATTTCAATCTAATTTAATCTAATTTATAAATATAATTATGCTAATTTCGGTTTTCATTTAAATATAAATACATAAAATCATTTTAATATTTTTAATTCAAATTGTTTGCATGTACTTAAATTATATTTTTATTTTAAAATTATGTTTTTCATGCATAAGTTTGGAGAAACATTATATTTCCTCCACTCTGATTATTGTTACATAGCAGAAAATTAAGAAGCTATATATCCCTCTGCATTGATTGTAATCTCTGATAAAAATCCTGAAAATTGTCAGAAAGCCAAAGACGTTGTTAGCTTTTAAAAAGTAAAGTTGACGCATTTTTTTCGTACAACTTTATATTACGAAGACGTACATCCTTGTTTCACTTTCCGAGATAGTTTTCAGGTAAATAAGCCTTTGCAATCACGATAAATAAAGTGCAAGGTCAAAGTTTTAACAAAATTGGTATAGATCTATAGAGAAATATTTTTTATCACGAACAGCTTTACGTAGCCATATTTCAGGTTCGATCTTAGGATCCCCTTATAATTTATCTCGGTGATCATCGAAGAGAAAATACAAATGTCCAAAATTATATTCATAAAAGAGCTATATTCATGCTTATTAAAGCTAAAAAATTTATTTTATTAATTATTCTACAAACGTAAAATTTTTTTCACTGACAAAATATTTCATAAAATCAATTAATCAATTAAACAATTAAATCAATCAATAATTATTAATCGTGTTGAATTTTAGAAACTTAAATATGAAAAATAAAAATGCACAAGTTGGTGCACGTGAAGCGTGCTGTTCAAATTCTATAGTAATATAATTAAAGCGTTATTTTTCTTCTAATATCTTTTTCAGAGATATTAATTATATAAGATGTGTGTTTTTATTACCGGCACCTATCCATATTCAGCAAAATGTTATTTAAATTGTAGGGATGCTATGTGATCTATATAATATCTAATGATGCTATCTATCCAAATCGTCAAAGCTCGCTGAAGATGAGATGTTGGAAAGGTTTCTCCAAAATTTCGCATTTTGGGTGTGAAGTGATAAGGTGTTTTTCCGTGCTTTTCCAGCGAATATATACTTCTAGCTGCAGATGCGACTAAACTTCATTTCGGTTCTAGCGCTCGTAGGAGTAACAGCCTTTACTCTCGAGCATCTCTCAGTTTTGTTTATACTCTTTTTCTTTTTCTTTTATTCTAGTAAATACGGAATTGTATTCTGCTGAACAGATTGATTTTATTTTACCTATAATAAATTGAATAAATATAGAATCGACACGGATTGTTTCGTCCAGAACAGAATGAAATAGAGCATAGTATAACGCTTTATAAATTATTCTTCAGGCCAGAATTTATAGCACTGGATATCTCAATGCGCTGATTTCTCTTATATAATTACCAGTCGCAATTTTGCTTGCAAATTACAAGAAACTGTACGAAATCAATGTACTATTTTCAAATCTGCTATGCGTCTATGAACTAGCCGGCAAAGGCGCGACAGTAGCTATCTATTTCCCCCGTGAATCGGCTATTTTTTTTTGGATCACCATGGCTCCGAAAACAAAATCCACGGAAAAAGCAGGTAATTTGATTGTTTTTCTCTGTTTTCAAAGTTTAAAGAACCGACAATTGATTCATCAGAATTTATTTTATTAAACATTACAATTGTCTTTTATGCTATGAGTCCATAAGTTTAAAAAATACGTTTTAAATTCTAACTTGAATGGCAAAGTGGTCAATTGCATACGGCAAAAAAGTAATTTCTATTCTATTACTATTGATATTTGAGTACAATTGTAATTTTAAACGATAAGGTATGACGACTTCAATATTTTAATTTATTTCTACATAGCAAACTTTCTAAATAATATTAGATTTCCAATGTTGCTTAACTTAACCTCAAATCAACAACATGAAGAGGTTAACACTAACAAATGTATTTTCGGGTTATTTTTGGATTAATATAGTACTGTTTAAATTTTTTAGCGGGTAAGTCCGGCGAGAAGAAGACAACGGAGAAAAAGGCCGAGAAGAAGCCAGCTACCGCTGCTTCTGCCTCCAAAGTGACCAAGCCATCCGAGAAAAAGGCAGCACCAGCTCCAGAAGCAGCTAAGAAAGTAGCACAAGCAGCTGCCAAATCGGCACCCAAAACAGTATCGAAACCCGTAGCCAAACCTGCTGCTAAGCCTGCGACCAAGCCTGCGGCCAAAACTGTAGCCTCCAAGCCTAAGAAAAATGTTCAGGCTCAAAAGAAGACCCCGAAGGGAGGCAAACCTGCTCAACCTGTGCAGAAGGCTCTCAAGGCTCAGAAAAAGGTAAATAACATAGGTATTTCACAGAGACTTGTTTATCAATCAATAAAATAATTTAGCTAATTTTTAATTTGTTAACAATTTTTTTTCTCCACATTAAATATATGAAAAAGTATTGTTTTTAAATATGGCTTTACCCTAGCTCGAATGGATTAGTATGAATATTAAGTAGCATCAATAATAATATTTACAGTGTGACCATATTTGTTTTATGTTTTTAAGACATTTGCTGTTCAGTTGCACGCAATCATGTTTTATTCTTTCTGATGATTTAGTTGTGTGGGAATCTCTTTGAAAATTATGAAAAGAAAACCTAAACACAATACTGATAATTGTAAAAATTAGGTTTAATTTCCATTAAATATTTGCAATAAATACTTCAGTACTTTGTCATTTTTTATGTCAGATCCTAAAGGGTACTCAAGGATCTAGAGTCAGGAAAATCAGGACATCGGTCCACTTCCATCGACCCAAGACCTTTAGGCCTCCAAGGAACCCAAAGTACCCGAGAAAATCAGTTCCAAGTAGGAGCCGGTAAGTGTAACATAGAAGATTTTCGAATTTATGATTTCTCTGTACAAATGATAATACTTTGAACAACTGCTTTGATTTTACTTTTAGTACAACCTAATAATTTACATATAATTATACAATAACTTCGATTTGTATCCCTATAATGACCTTCAACTAATAAAGTACTTTTATCTTACAGTATGGATGCCGTAAACATAATCAAATACCCGTTGACTACTGAGGCATCAATGAAAAAAATTGAAGACAATAATACATTGGTCTTCATTGTGCATACCGGTGCAAATAAATTTCATATAAAATCGTCTGTTAAGAAATTGTATAACGTTGATGTTTTGAAAGTCAACACACTCATCAGGCCCGATGGTAAAAAGAAGGCCTATGTACGTTTGACAAGAGACTACGATGCTCTTGATGTTGCCAATAAAATCGGCATTATATAATTTATTTGACTAGCATAAGTGATTTGATAATTTAATAGTATAATAGCTTTATCGATCCTAGGTTGATTTAATCTTTTGGATAATTTCGATATGTCTTCAAATGAGTAAAATTCATTCATTTTTGTTAAAAAATAGGTGCAAGTTCTATTGTAATTCACTAATGAATATTTATGTATATACTTCATTTTAAACAGCGTACAGCATGACTTATTGGTGCCGATTAGAATCTCCAAGTTGGCATATAAAAGATTGAAATAACATAATAAATAACAAAAAAATATAAAAGAAGGAAAGCGCACTGAAGAACAACACTAGTTTTTTACCTTAAAAAATGATGTATAGCCTATCATCCAATATTGTAATTGATTTATGCTAAAAAAGAGCGTGAAATTTTCAATATTCCTATACTTTAAAATACGTATATTATTATCTAGAACTGTACTTAAGCATTACATACTCAATGAATACAATTAATATCGTCTAGCGTTGTACGTTGCCTCTATGAAAATACCTATAAATATTCTTCCAATTTAACAAATTGAATATTGTGATAATTAGTATCAATCGCTCGCATACTTCTTAATTTACAATGTGAAAAAAGTAAAACTGCTAAAATATAAATCTCACACTCCTAGATATTAAATAAAATTATTTCAAAGTATATGAAAATTCAAAATTTTCAGATATTTTTAGTATCAATCAATCACAATGTTGACAAATTATCATTTTTTTAATATACAGGCTCATCAGTTAATCTCGCATGATTACGTAGTCAAAATTATGTTCAAAAATATACTCTTTTCGTTACACATGAAAATTTAAAATAAATTAAAATTATAATATTCGATAATGGTCTTATTGATTATTAGTTCATAATCTATAATAAAATAATAATAAAACTCGGTTATGTTGTTTCTCAAAAGTTTTTACTGCATAAGCAGTTAATGGCAAACTCAATCATAATATCAGCTTAATCTTGTAACTCAACGTACGGGAATTTTTAAATTTTTATAACATCGTATTTCTCATTGCAAAATGCTCACACACGCAATATCCATCATGTTAAAGGAAAGAAAAAAGCAAATACACGAAACAGAAAGTTGTACAAGGGCGTGAAAATAATCTACAATTAATAGCATCATACTGTTTGAAATTACGCGGGCGTCGAATGCTATCGGGTTGCCTGTATGTCAAACATTTTAATCTTGTAAAACAAGGAAATTATCTCTTTATCGTCAAATAACTCTTAAAAACTAACGTTGATTTTAAACTTTTATTATATGAGTGGAATTCTCAGTAAATAATATGTATAAGTTCATTTTCAAATATGATTTCTCGTTTTTCGGCAGAGTAATTAATAAATCAAACCTCACTTCCGCTCGGTTTCTCATAAGTCACCTTGAATTTCTGATATTTAAAAGGCTCGTGAAAATTTTGATCGATGACAGGGGCTGAAAATATGGCAAGGGATTCTTCATACCTTGAATAAATACCGTTTAACATTTTGTGATAATATCCCATGCTCCATTTTACTGATAAACCACATTAATAGGAGAATCAAGAAACACAAATTCAAATATTAAGTTCGTCAACGACTTGTATAGTGCTAAATGCAATGACGGCGCTAATCGTAGCAGCTCTATTTCCGCCCGTGAATCAACCATTCTTTTTAAGATAACCATGGCTCCGAAACCAAAATCTACGGAAAAAGCAGGTAATTTCATTGAGATTTTCCCTGTTCTCAAAGTTTAAAGAACCAATAAATGATTCGTCAGAGTTTATTTTATTAAACATTACAATTGTGTTTTATGCTATGAGTCCGTAAGTCCGTAAGTTTACTAAAAAATGTTTCAAGATCTGACTTGAATGGCCATGTGGTCAGTTGCATACGGTAACAACATGATTTCTATTTTATTACTTTTGATATTTGAGTACCATTGTAATATTAAATAATAAGGTATGACGACTTCAATATTTTAATTTATTTCTACATAGCAAACTTTCTAAATAATAATTTCCAATGTTACTTGACCTAACCTCACGAAGAGGTTAGCACTAACGAATGTATTTTCGGGTTATTTTTGGATTAATATAGTACTGTTTAAATCTTTTAGCGGGTAAGTCCGGCGAGAAGAAGACAACGGAGAAAAAGGCCGAGAAGAAGCCAGCTACCGCTGCTTCTGCCTCCAAAGTGACCAAGCCATCCGAGAAAAAGGCAGCACCAGCTCCAGCAGCAGCTAAGAAAGTAGCACAAGCAGCTGCCAAATCGGCACCCAAAACAGTATCGAAACCCGTACCCAAACCTGCTGCTAAGCCTGCGACCAAGCCTGCGGCCAAAACTGTAGCCTCCAAGCCTAAGAAAAATGTTCAGGCTCAAAAGAAGACCCCAAAGGGAGGTAAACCTGCTCAACCTGTGCAGAAGGCTCTCAAGGCTCAGAAAAAGGTAAATAACATAAGTATTTCACAGAGACTTGTTTATCAATCAATAAAATAATTTAGCTAATTTTTAATTTGTTAACAATTTTTTTCTCCACATTAAATATATGAAAAAGTATTGTTTTTAAATATGGCTTTATCCTAGCAAGAATGAATTAAGATATAGTACATAACGATACAAGTGTGGGAAAGTAGATTATTGTCTCGTGTGACGTTTATGCCCAAGCAAAGGTGGAAAGGTACACGAGACGAGAAATTCTTTCCCAAACATGTACCGTACCGTATTTTTCGATACTCCATGTGCAAAGAGTGTCTTTCTCGTACTCTCGGCAGAAAATGTGCGTTGAAAATCGCACTTTCCACACGTCATATAAAAAAATACGGTACAGCACATGTTCGGGAGAGTTTCTCGCTACGTGTACCTTTCCACTTGTATTGTAATGTACTATTTTAAGAAACTTGCTGCTCAGTCGCATACAATTATATGTTTTATTTCTTCTGATGATTTAGATGTGTGGGAATCTCTTTGAAAATTATGAAAAGAAATCGTAAACACAATACTGATAATTGTAAAAATTAGATTTAATATCAATTAAATATTTGCAATAAGTACTGAAGCACTTTGTCATTTTTTATTTCAGATCCTAAAAGGTACTCAAGGATCTAGAGTCAGGAAAATCAGGACATCGGTCCACTTCCATCGTCCCAAGACCTTTAGGCCTCCAAGGAACCCAAAGTACCCGAGAAAATCAGTTCCAAGTAGGAGCCGGTAAGTGTAACATTTAAAATTTTTGAATTTATTATTTCTTTGTATAAGTGATAATACTTTGAACAACTTCTTTGATTTTACTTTTAGTACAACCTAATAATTTACATATAATTATACAATAACCTCGATTTGTATCCTTATAATGACCTTCAACTAATAAAATATTTTTATCTTACAGTATGGATGCTGTCAACATCATTAAGTACCCATTAACTACTGAGGCATCGATGAAAAAAATTGAAGACAATAATACATTGGTCTTCATTGTGCATACCGGTGCAAATAAATTTCATATAAAATCATCTGTTAAGAAATTGTATGATGTTGATGTTTTGAAAGTCAACACACTCATCAGGCCCGATGGTAAAAAGAAGGCCTATGTACGTTTGACAAGAGACTACGATGCTCTTGATGTTGCCAATAAAATCGGCATTATATAATTTATTTGACTAGCATAAGTGATTTGATAATTTTGTTGTATAAAATACAAAAGTAATGCACCTGTGGTGATAATAAATTATCTACTTACTAACTTCGTGTTTCCCACCCTTTCGCGACTGTTCAATGAAATACGTATGTAATTTTAATAAATAGGAAAGAAATTAATTTCTCTATCAGAAAGTGGTCGGTTTAACCTTTTTGTAAATAATTTTGAAATCTTTTAAAGTTTACTATGTTGTATTGGTAATAATTAATAATGTAAATGAAATAACAGTAAGATTAAGTTTATTTTCAGGAAATTATTTACAATTTATCTTTATCACTTTATTTGAAAAAAATATTTACAACCCTAACCGTTTAGGAGTACGTCGATACGATGCGGGAGTACCTGGTTCCTTCATTCCAGGTGTTGAAATTTCTTGTCTGAAAAAGTGCAAAAGTAACGATAATAGTCACAACTGTTAATTCTTTTCAGATTCATGATATATTTCATTATAAGAAGTATACTCACTTTTTGACAGATGCTTGTTCTTTATCAAGCTGTTCTTTCGCTCTTGCTTTCATTTCCGCTTCTGCCTCCTTCATTTGACTCTCCATCTCATTCAAATGGCGAAGCGTTTGCCGTTTAGCTTTGGCACTTTTACCCGTTTCCTTCACACTAAAGAACATCGGTCCCAATTCAGCCAGCCAGTAACCATCCACGGCAGTCACACACTGCATGTACTCTTTGGAAGTCATTACAAGTTCGTGATAAACTACATAGTCTGGTGTGAAACCCATTCCGAACAAAGCAGACGTAGGATGCAAATGACAGGGCATTCCTGTACGACAGTTAACATATTCTCCAATACCTTTCAGCCTTGCTGCTTGATGGAAATAAGCTGAGCAAATACATTTTCGTACAATATCCCATTCGGTTCCGCAACTTGTAACTTCCATTTTCTGCTGTTTTAAAATTTCCTCGAGTTGTGATCTTACTTCTCTTACCTGAAAAAGCAATAGATAAATTATAAATTCAATTTTGAATTATTTGACATTAAACTTTTAACAAGATATAAGTGAAACAATTGATTACTAACTTTTCGCATTGCTTTGCCATGGATGAAATGATCATTGCACCAGGACATCGAATAACCATTAACCTTCCACTGATTATACACATTGAGAAATGTCAAGTGATCCGACTCGGGTACTTGAAATTTTTCTCTAGCAGAATCAGAGTCCTCTTCTCGTCCTTTGGGCCTATAGAATATCGATGGTACAGAAAGCATAGATACAATGATAAGAATCTCAGCCGTACATCCAAGTTTGTCGGCTGTAATGAGCATCTGACACTGCGGTGGATCTAGTGGAAATTCAGCCATTTGCCGGCCCAACGTCGTTAGTCTTCCTGTATTATCGAGAGCTCCGAGAATCCATAATTGATAAAGTGAATTAAGGATATTGTCCTGAGGTGGTGGATCCATAAAATGGAAAGCAAGCAAATCTTGTACTCCTAATGACTTGAGCAGAAGGACAGTGTTCGCTAAATTTGTTCTCTGAATTTCAGGTACACCAGTTGCAAGTAATTCATCCAAATATTGCCGTTCTGTATACAGGCGGAAACATCTTCCAGGTCCAGTTCTACCAGCACGACCACTTCGCTATTAACAATTAAATATTAATTATTGATTATTAATTATTAATTATTGAATATTAATTATTAATTCTCACCTGATTAGCATTAGCTTGTGATACTGGATAAATTTGCAACGCATCCATACCTATTAATAAAAGTCATTTTGTTATATCAATTCTATTTTGTTATAAATAGCAATTTACTTTCGCGAATGTAAGAAAGAAGCATACCAATTCTTGGATTGTAAACTTTGAGCTTGCAGTATCCAGAATCAATAACAAAAACGATACCGTCGACTGTCAGAGACGTCTCAGCGATATTTGTAGCGACGACACACTTTCTTAACTCCTTTTCCGCTTGCTGAAAGATTTTCGCTTGAAGATCGGACGGTAGTTGTGAGTAAATAGGAAGAATTGAAAGCGGCGCAGCACCTTCGATCTCATTGAGACGTTCTTTCAATACTTCGCAAGTGACTTCAATATCTTCTTGACCAGGCATGAATACCAAAATATCACCGTGAGAGTGTTGCAAGTGAATGGTCATGGCTTGTTTTACGGCAGCCTCTACATAATCTTCCACGGCATTCTTATTAAAAATTGTCTCGACGGGAAAGGTACGTCCGGGAATCTGAAAAGTTGCTGCGTTTCCGAAAAATGTGGAAAATTTACTAGAATCCATGGTAGCAGAAGTAACAATGAGTTTCAAATCATGACGTCTTGAAACAACCTGCGAACGAATTTAAAAAATTTATTAAAATCGTTATAGTACTTAATTTGTTTATTTATTAGAAAGCTAGATTACCTCTCTGAGCAATCCAAATAATACATCTGTTGACAAAGAACGTTCGTGAGCTTCGTCCATAATTATTACACTGTAACGATCCAAATCTCCTTCTCGCAAACTTTCTCTTAATAATATACCGTCAGTCATGTATTTGATGATTGTCTGTAATAAATAGTTAGGACGTAAATAAAGGATATGTAGGATAAATTAAATGTAACAAAATAAATATACAAACATCTTTTGAGGTACAGTCTTCAAATCGAATAGCATATCCAACTTTATCCCCTAGATTGGAATCCATTTCATCTGAAACTCTTTTAGCAACACTCACTGCTGCTAGCCTTCTGGGCTAAGTACAACCAATTATATATATAATTATAATAACAATTATAATAACAATTAAATAATAATAATAATTAAATTATAATAACAATTACCTGAGTACAACCAATCATTCCATTTATACTGTAGCCATCTTCACAAAGATATTGTGTTAGTTGAGTAGTTTTACCTAAATAGCAAACGAATTAAACTTTTATCAATTGCTTCTCAAAATTATTTGATGAATAATGGTTCCTAATCTTACCACTGCCAGTTTCACCAACAATAATAACTACACTGTTTTCCCTGATAACATTTAAAAGTTCCTGCCTTACAGCAAATACAGGCAGACGTCGACGTTGTTCTTGTATTTTTTGGTATTTTTCTTCGCTTCTTTTTTCAATATGATTGGCATACTTTTGTCCAGATTTGTAATCAGTTTCTTGTCCTGGTTTTTCTTTATCATCTTTGCGAGAATCATGAACACCCATTATATTTCCTAGTTTGGTCCCAGCTAACTCCCAATGCTTCTTTTGCGCGCGCCTATGCTCTTTTTGTTCTCTATAAGATCGTACCAATGCAGATCCTTTTCTTGCTACTAAAGCCATAGGGGAATTGGGATCTCTCACAGGTACTACAGGTTCTGGTTGTTTTGTGAATACGATTCGTCCTGCAAAAAGAAAACAAATTTACTAAGTACATTTGTATGAGACTCAATTAAAAATAGATATGAATTTGGTTTAACCATCTAAGAATGGAGGAACAACATTTTGAACCAAAAGATGAACTCTTGCTTCCAATTCATCATCCACATCGTCATCATGTTCTAATGAACTAACAACACCAGAGGTTAACATCCTATTCCGTTCCCACAACTCATTGTCCTTGTTTATTTGACGTTGTTGAGCAGAAACTCTTTTCTTTTTCTTAGCTTCTAATTCTTGTTCTTTCTTCTCTGTATATTCATCAGAAACATCGCCAAAGTGTCTATTTTCTTCATCACCAAGCCCATACCATTCGCGATCAAGCCTACAAAAAAACTTTAAATGATAAGTTTTTTATATAAAGTAATGATTACTGTCAATTAGAAAGAAATTTATTTACCGTTTTTGTTCCAATTCCCATAATTCTCTATCTTCTTCAGTTTTTACAAGTGGAGTTGCACCAGTAGTTTTACGCTCTTTGGCCCAGACATTGTATTTATAAGACGGAGTAAATTCGCTTCTGACACTATCTCTTCCATCTCTATTATTATAAAGTTTCGGTGTAGGATGATCCCAACTTGATTTTCTAACAATGTATTCTTCATCATCATCATCATCCCAAGCAGACTTAGATGTTGAATCCTAAATTAAGATAATTATAATAAATTGAATTATTAAAAATAAATGTAATCTATTTGATCATTGACATTACTTTTATTCTGTATTTTGGAGTTTGAGGTTCGGATCTAAATCGTGGTGTAGTGTCTCTTCTACTACTTTGATCTCCATTTCTTTCTCTATTACAATCTTTACTTCTTCTGCTATGATCGTAATCTTTGTCTCTATTCCTATTTCTATCTCTATCATTATTTCTATCTCTGTGTCTTCTGTTCCTTTTTGCATCTAGTCGTTGACGCTCCAACCTTGCTTCCAATTTTTCTTTAACACTTTTGTGAACACCTCCAGTATGTGTAGGAGTTTCTTCTGAATAATTTCTGTATTTTCTTTTTTTCTCATTGTGAGAGACCGAGCAAGAATCTCTTGTCTTGCTTGGCTCTAAAGAGTTTTCTCTTCGTTTTTTTTCAGCTAATTTGTCTAATCCAAACATAGATATTTGTGGTTTTTTGAATTCGTGATCTGAAGACTTTTTCTTTGTGATTACTAAACCACCAACTTCGTTACCATCACTACCTTCAAGCCTGTACACTGATGAATCTTCTTCCATTTCTAATGGATTATTTGTAGAATGGAAAATGTATAATAAGATTAATTATTATAGACAAATATACTTTTCTATAATAATAATACACTCACTGAAATTTCCTGAGGAGATTATAAATACATAACTTATTTATAAATTATATATACTATTTTAGACTTTCACACGATCACGTTTTTTACATAATATTATGTACAAACTTTATTGCTGATCAACAATTAGATCTGGAAACACATTTTCTCATAAGAAAAACATGAAATAACCAAACTTATTCGTGTGTCAAAGATTCCGCATTACCACCAACGTTAAACGATTAAAAAACGTACATAACAACCAGGAAGACAACCAGTTCAACCGAAATGGGCAAAGGTTGGTACTCCTTATTATCAATGAACCTGAAAAATGCAAAATGCCCATATAACATCATATCAGATAAAGTGGAAATATAAAAAAATATTTAGTAAATAATTAGGCATATATATAAAATAATATGGAGCATCAAAATTAAATGTACTTAATCTGCAAGCACGATTAGAAAGTGCGGTTGCCAAGGAGCTCACCGTATACTAAGCATTGCGGTCGCTTGGTGACCAATCGTGAGTAAGCGATGACGAATTTTCTACCAATCAGGCAACATCGGGGGGTTGGTATAAAAGAGAAAATGGCGCGTCCGACATCACAGTCGATCCGTTGCCGTTTGAGGAAGTTGCATTACCTGCTTCCACCGACAACCGACTTTTAGCTCTCTTTGTCCTTTAAAGTTCAAGAAAAACTACTTTTTTATCAAAATGGTAAGTATTTCCAATTTGACTTATTTTCATTTATTTTTGCCAAACGTATCGTTCAATTTGTAATATTCAAGAGTAACGGTACATTGATTGAGGTTCTCAAAGACGCTTCCAACGGCCATTTTGCTAAGTGTAACGGTCGAATACCGGCCGGCACCGCCCTAAGACAATAAGTCATTGGCCTTTCCCATTATGACCCTTCCCATAATACTTTACTCAAGTAGGTTTCACAAGATAATACGATATTCTACGTACTTCGGTGAGCATTGTATTGTGATATCAAATTTCCCAGATCAAGTTCGCGACGCATTTCATTTTTGTAACGGGACTATCGAAAGATCCGTGATCCTCGTGTGTGGAAAGCAGTCAAGCGTGTCGGCGTGTCTTTGCCTTGAATTAGAAACCTTGAAGTATGTGCAATGCAGCAGCTGCATAGAAACGTTTCTTTCGCCAATTATTCATTTTTTTTTTTACAACTTTCCACATAGTTATCATGTATAAAAATGCTTTCTTTTTACTTTTACCGATGACATTTCTAGCACGCGATAATTTTAATTAAATCTTTGAGTGTTCTCTTTTATTCTATTTTTGTTTCATAAAATTATATATATATATATATTTCATTTTTAATTTTCATATAAATAATTATATCAATATATATTGATTTATAATTTAAGTTATATAGGATATTATGAAATGAAAAATTTAATGTTTAATTTTCTTAACTTTTAACCATTAAATTTTAGATAAAAAAAGTTATATATACTGTGAAAAAAATTAATACTTTGCACGAAAAAAGTGCAACTTTTTCACAATGAAAGTATCTATATAAAGCCCTCCTGGTTTCTTATTGACTTTTTTTGGTGAAGTGGGCTGGCTCCAGCCATCGCCTGCCCTTATAAGGCAACAGTGACATCATGCATCCTGTTCTTGTTTCTTATACTTGAAATCTTCAACTTGGATTATGTCATCTTTTCCTAAATTGGACATGGATTGATGCTGCTTATGAGATCATTAATTGTTTTTTTATAGTTTTTCAATAACTTATTTATACTATTTTTTTTAACTTTGAAATAAATTTACTGTTTTATGCAAATAGAGTCATCATACATAAAAAAATAATTATTTAAAAATTTTGAATTCGTCATAAAAGTAAAAGATTTGTTTCATTTTGAGTACTTGATTATGTGTATTCCCTATTGTTCTACCATTTTTTTAATTCAGTATACTAACTTTGATTTTTCATTTCAGCGTGAGTGTATCTCAATCCACGTTGGACAGGCTGGAGTCCAGATTGGTAATGCCTGCTGGGAACTTTACTGCTTGGAGCATGGCATCCAGCCTGATGGCCAGATGCCATCTGACAAGACCATTGGCGGAGGAGACGATAGTTTCAACACCTTCTTCAGTGAAACAGGAGCTGGTAAACATGTTCCAAGAGCTGTTTTCATTGACTTGGAGCCTACAGTAGTTGGTAAATCAACACTTAAATCAATTCACTTAAAAAGAAATTTCAATATTCAGAATGATTAACTAAAATTTTTCTTTTTAATTTTAGATGAAGTTCGCACTGGTACATACCGTCAATTGTTTCATCCTGAGCAACTGATTACTGGCAAGGAGGATGCTGCTAACAACTATGCCCGTGGTCATTATACCATTGGAAAGGAAATCGTCGACTTAGTTCTAGACAGAATTCGCAAATTGGCCGACCAATGCACTGGTCTCCAAGGCTTCTTGATTTTCCACTCTTTTGGTGGTGGCACTGGTTCTGGATTCACATCCCTTCTTATGGAGCGATTGTCCGTTGACTATGGCAAGAAATCGAAACTTGAATTTGCTATCTATCCAGCTCCTCAAGTCTCCACCGCCGTTGTTGAGCCTTACAACTCCATTCTGACCACTCACACCACTCTGGAACATTCAGACTGCGCTTTCATGGTCGACAACGAAGCCATTTATGACATTTGCCGTCGCAATTTGGACATCGAGCGCCCAACCTACACCAACCTCAACCGTTTGATCGGTCAAATAGTCTCGTCGATCACTGCTTCTCTTCGTTTTGATGGAGCCCTCAACGTCGATCTAACCGAGTTCCAGACCAATTTAGTTCCCTATCCAAGAATTCACTTCCCTCTGGTCACCTACGCGCCAGTCATCTCTGCCGAAAAGGCTTACCACGAGCAGCTTTCCGTTGCGGAAATTACCAATGCATGCTTCGAGCCGGCCAACCAGATGGTCAAGTGCGACCCACGTCGTGGCAAGTACATGGCCTGTTGTATGTTGTACCGTGGTGACGTTGTCCCGAAGGATGTTAACGCAGCTATCGCTACCATCAAGACCAAGAGGACCATTCAGTTTGTTGACTGGTGTCCCACTGGATTCAAGGTAAATATGATTTTCTGATACCATGTAATTTGTAACTTTATTCCCATGTATGAACGTCTACGCAAAATTAAGTTGTTACAAATTCTAACTCGGCATGTTATTTTTTTTTTCCAGGTTGGTATCAATTATCAGCCACCGACTGTTGTACCTGGTGGAGATCTCGCCAAGGTACAACGTGCAGTGTGCATGTTATCAAATACAACCGCCATCGCCGAAGCCTGGGCCAGACTTGACCACAAGTTCGACTTGATGTACGCCAAGCGTGCTTTTGTCCACTGGTACGTTGGTGAAGGTATGGAGGAGGGTGAATTCTCTGAAGCCCGTGAGGATTTGGCTGCACTCGAGAAAGACTACGAGGAAGTCGGCATGGACTCTACCGAGGGCGAGGGCGAAGGCGCCGAAGAGTATTAAATTCAAAAGTTTTGAAATATCAAACGACAAAAAAGAAATATTTAATCATCAAAAAAAGTTTTCTGCAATGCATTTTTTTTTACTTCATTTACACCTCTGAGACATTCTGTATTATTTTTTTTACTCGTTTGTGCATACAATAAATTCGAAACTTAATTCAAGCATACATAATTTATTTTATTGTTCCCTATCCCTTATCAAAACATAGTTCTATAGTTAAAATATTCCATTTCGTAAAATATTTTAATTTGTAGATGTTTCATATTCTTTTCCATAGATACAATTGAATCAATAACTTATCATTCAGGGTTAATAAATAAGTATAAATGGTCATATTTTTATGAATAGAAATGAAATTAAAACTAACACAAAGTAGTTTTCCAGAATCATTAAAATTTTTGTCTAACCAATATTATGTAAGAATGAGTACTGAATATTTTAAAAATGTGTAAATATAAGATAAAACTTTGATATAAAAATAATATTGACTAATAAATATATATATATATATTCATCTATATATTAGTCAAGTTCTGACTTGAACCCCTATTTACCGACGGATGTGACATCATTGATTTTTTAAGCAAAATCGGTTGAGTGGCGCGGTTTGTCTTGGAGTTGCGGTTTACTTGTTAGTCTGTGATAAGTCGATCATCAAAGTCAAGGAACGAAAATGTCGGCTGTAGAACTCAATCCACGACCTGTGCGAGTTTCGCCATTAATCAAAGTATGATATAATAAATGATTATATTTATAAATGATTATATCAATTGCCTCTATGAAAAGCTGGATTTCTATTGTTTCACGGCCACCTACTGCTGGGTGGTATAAAAAGTTACATAATTTCGTTAAGATTTAATTTAATTTTCATTGTGATTCATGTCAAACAGTTATTCGTGTAAGATTAGTTAAGCAAATTTCACTTTCCTTCCTAGACAAAAATATAAAAAGACGTCTGATGGGATTAGAAGTATCCTAACCTATAATTTCATTAATCTAGTATTAATAATTCTATTGTATTATTAACTTAAACTTGATTTGACTTTTAGCCATTAAATTGAAAACATTAACAAAGCTTTTTGTTACAAATGCTTAACATAATTAGCAAGCTAATTCTGCTGTGTTACTAATTTACAATGCTTAATATCAACTAACTATGTTTTGATATTTAACAAACCAATTAACTATCTGCATTTGAAAATACAAAATCATTATAATTGCATGTAATTAATTAACTTTGACGATGGTTCATGCTTATATTTTGAAGTTTTCTATGCAAAACTTCTACAGAAAATTTCTTCATAAAATCTGTTACAGTTTGGCCGATGGAGCTTGCTGATTACTGGTGTCATGTATGGTGCATTCTATCAAAGCAGATTCAGTAAGAAGGAAGCAGCACTAAGAGAAATCGAAGAACGAGAGAGACCAATAAGAGAAGCCAAGATTGCTGCAGAAAAGAAGCGAGCTGCAGAAGGTAATTCTTGTCAATTGTCATAATCTAAATAATTGTAATGAAACTTTATTAGTCAATATTATTTTTATATTATAAGTTTTATCTTATATTTATATATCTTTAACATATTCAGTACTCATTTTTACATAATATTGGTTAGACAAAAATTTTAATAATTTTGGAAAATTACTTTGTGTTAGTTTTAATTTTATTTCTATTCATAAAAATAAGGTATAGTAAAACTATGTATAGTAAAACTATACCTTATTTTTAAATCAATTGTCTAGAACTATTTTTTACAATTTTAATATCCAAAAAAGTATTAACATTACTTTATCAAGTATCATTCTGTTGTATTATTTCATAAAAAATTAAGATTCTTAATTATTTTATTTTATTCCAGCTGAGGTGAAAGAGTTGGAAAAGTTGGCTCGTTGAAGTTCTTCAACACTCCATAGTGTATGTTAAATCTATTACAAATAATTTTGTTGTAAAATATGTATCAGTAATTTAAATTTTCCAATAAGTATATTGCATCTATGTAAACACTGTCATACAACAGAATAAAAAACAGTTTTAAATTATGAAATATTTATTTTTGTACAGTTTTAAATAAATTTATTATAAAATTGCAGCTAATGAAAAATTATAATATACTCAACACTCTTAATCTGATATCTGTACTTTCTGTTATATTACTTATTGATTTTATGTGGAAATTTATTAACTTTAAATTGTTCACATATTAATTTGATTTGAATATACAAAGTAGATTTCGTGCACAGGAAATGATTGACATCATTCTATAATTAAATTGTTCTTGCAGAATATAGTCAATATTTGGATATGATTGTCAAATTGTAATCATTTCAGCATAGTATGATAATTTATGTCTAGCATTCAAGTAATAAGATACTATAGTGAAGAAGTAAAACTGGAGTATTAAAACCCAAAAACGCTTTTTATAAGAGCAATTTTTATAACATGCGTAATTTATTAATTTACTGTTTAAACTTTAAAAAAGAGTTACTACTTGCCTATAGGTCTGAGACTATAAAATATAAATTCCAATTGTTAAAATTGAAATTATAGAAAGTACCCCAAAATCTTATCATCAAAAGAATCTTCTCGTCTATTAATGTGTGTGCGTGCGCGCGTGCGCGCGTGCGTGTGTGTGTGTGCGTGCGCGCGCGCGCGTGTGTGTGTGTGTAACAATCAATAGTTGCATTTACCTAAGATTAAGGATCGAAAGGCAATCACGATCTAACATAAATAATCTTACTTTTGCTTGAAATATATTTTTGTTATTTCTCTTTTTGGAAATCTCTAGCTTTACCCAATACAACACCTTTTTCTGGAAAATTAGTGGTAGCTATTTAGCCTTGGTAATTCCTAGTCTGAGTTGACTCATAAGGATGATTGGTGGATTTAAAATCTTTTCCAAGGGCCTTCTGGACTGGAACTTTCAAAACTACTGATCTAATTTAGAAAAGCTGATTGGCTGGAGGGCGTGAGTTTTCCGGGACGGTCCCTCAAAAGATAGCCTTTTATGTGCCATGTTTAAAAGAGAGAAGTGCCTTCCCCTCAGTATGAAATTATGTTCTTAGTGTTTGGTACTGACTGGAGCTAATCTGCCAAAAACATCTTTTTCGCTGCTATCATTTGAATTGAATATCATTGAATTTAAATTCATTTTTTGTAATAAATCCCAAACATATTCAGCGGCTACTTCCATCAAAATCTGTTGAAAACAACAAAAATTTGGACTTATAGGTACTGCAAGAATAAGAAAGATAGAATGCGCCAGGCTTCGAATCTTCGACGTTTGCCTTCGTCTCGAGGGAAATAAGACAAGATAACAAGAAAAATAAACGTGCAGTCACAAGAGCGCATAGTTACAAGTCACATCATGATGTAGGTAGTCATTTTAATCTGTGCGATTTTTAAAAATGTGAATAAAGTTTGCAACGTTTGTCATGAGTTATTAGGGAATAAACATTAATAAATGAGTTATAATTTTATATGCTTCGAGTTGAATTATATTAAAAATTAGTAGTTTTGCGATTTATTTTCGTATCTTTAATCATAGAATAATGTACATCGATTTTACTTTATATCTATTCTAGGATAACTTGAGTTAGTTTTGTGTTTGTGTTAATGAGTTGGGATCTAAAATTCGTCACTTGAAGTCTAAGCTCAAACTTAAATTAAATATAACCATTAATGTGCAAGTCTGGATTACTATAATTAAAGGGATATGCACTATTACGTGAGCAATGCATGACATTAGCATGTCCGTATTGTTTTGACGCTTATCGGTATTATGAACGTTAAGACACTGAGGTATACGTGCAATTTAATATTACGGGTAACAGGCTGATTGGCAGTAATAGTTAGTTTAACCTACTAGCTGTATAATAAGACATAGAAGATTTCTATAAGACATGGAGTGGCTGAATCCATCGCAGTTTACACGATAAAGTTTGTCTTTAGGAGCATCAGACGGGAGCGAGCATGCGCCAGGTCCACGGTCCTCGAGTCACTTTTCGCAGTGGTAGCTGAGTGGCGCTACCGTGGTCCACGCCTGTTGATTGACACTTTGTGCACTGAAATCGCCTTCTCTTCTATGCCGTTCCACTTTAAACATTTGGTAATAATAGTGTGATTCAACTTTAAAACTGTTGATATAGTGATACACTACCGCTAGTGAGTTCAACCAAGAATTGTTGAATCATTACATAGGACCATGTTTATTAATTTTTTTAATATAATTGTTGACACTTTCGTGACGTATTAATATCAATTGGGGGTTTCCATTAATATCACTTTTAACTTTATCGGCTTTTCGGTCTACAAGTAAAATGTTAAATTTTATCTTCTTGTGGTGCACTGACGACTTTACCATGTGCATTGAAACTGCAAGGGAAAACAGTTTAGCAATCTTCTAACTTATGCTTTACAGTGAGTACGGATTACGCTTTAAATAAATCAATAACAAGGTTTAGTGTAAACATGCGTATGAATCGGTGGTGCTCTTGTTTACACCCGTCGTAGCAGTATTAGATGGTCTGGACTTATTATCTTAGGTGGTGAATGCTTGTTACAAGTATCGGAATGTTGAGAGCTGGCGGGATCGTTAAGGTTTTTAGTTCTTTACAGTACGACACATGTTCGAAAAAAGTTTTCGATACTCCGTGCGCAAAGTGCATCTTTCCCACACGCTCGACGGAAAACGTGCGTTGAAAATTGCAATTTCCACACGTCGTATAAAAAAATACGGTACGACACATGTTCGAGAAAGAGTTTCTCGTCTCGTGTACCTTTCCACCCAATCCTCGCTTCGTTCGGGCGTAAACGCCACACGAGACAAGAATCTACTTTCCCGCACTTGTATTGTAATGTACTATTTTTTTAATTTAATCGACTCTGTAATTTTTTTATAACATAAAATAATGATAATATAAATTCATTAAAATCATCAAACATTTATAAATGGCACTGAATTCACAACATACTTTGAATAATCGGATTAGATCAAATAATAAACGAATAGGCTTCGAAACCATATATACCAATAACCATGATAAATTACGTATAATAATTGAATAACCCGATAATTCGCCGATAAGAAAAAGTCAAATCAAGAAAAGAGAAATATTCAAATAAACAATTTGTTACTGTATTAACAAATATATGTTAACAAAACAAGAATAAAATACGACATAAAGAAATTATAGAACGCAAAAATTCGATGCTTAAATATTGTTATAATCATTAATAAAAAAAATGTGAAAAATTAAAAAAAAAAAACGCCCGAACAGGGACTCGAACCCTGGACCCTCAGATTAAAAGTCTGATGCTCTACCGACTGAGCTATCCGGGCTGATGTACGACTTTTTTAATATTACTTTTAAGGTCAAGCTCATATAAAATTTATTTATTAGATATTTTCATGATTAATAATTTGAAAAAATAGTGAAACAATGTTTTGTGAGTTATTAATATTTTGATCTGAAACTAAGGCTATCATAAATCTTTAATCAATTATTTTGAACGGTATAATTAATTTCTAAAATTGAATATAATATGTACTAAATAGTGTGAAATATTGTTTTTATTACTTGGACTATCTTTTTATTATACATATTTATAAATAAATGTACATTTAAATTTTGTTATGGGTTTCATCATATTATATGAACAAAATATCTTGAGAGAGTAGGAAAGGATTAGAATAAAGTGTAGAGTCCTACCTTGAATAGAGTTTTATATTTTATTATATTTTCAAATGTATGAATATAAGTGCATTCATTTCATTTTGGTTCTAAGTTAACAAAATGAAACGGGCTCAAGCAATCCTTTAAAAGTAACAACTTCATAATAAATTATCAAATCTACGTAAATGTCGATAACGAGGTACTTGCAATGAAGATATTTAGCGTGTATCTTATTTATTGGTATTTCATCGCACTCTGAAAACCTCTGAAATTTGAATCAACCTTATTGGTCGAAGACCACGTGTAACTGGAATTTTTTTTCATGAGAACTAAGCTTTAATCCAACCATACTACTTCTTTTCCGGAGCGCCTTGTGCTCTTCCGGTTCATCGTACAAAGCGGTGCCGTTTTTCGGTGAGTTATTGTTCAAAAATCCACTGAGTCTTTAGAAATCGCAAATAATTTGCAACTGTTGATGTTATATAATATTAATTAAATAAACTATTTGAGCTTTGTCATGTGTATTTTTCTATTCTGTCAACATACTGAACAAAAATATAACCTCTTTGTTGACAGTCATTTATTATTCTTCATGAATTGGTTTATTCTATTTAAGATTCAAATAACATTGTGTTATTTTGCAATACATGTAATTACAATATTTGTAAATAGTTACTCTTTAATCATTTGTACTGCCAAAATTTTTTTATAATTATAAGGTTATATTTATGTTCAGACGATAGAGAAAAAACTACTATAACTTGATCAAATTAATCATATAAAAAATATTTATTTTAGGGTTGAAAAATGAAGTTCAACAAGCTAGTTACATCCTCCAGGAGGAAAAACAGGAAGAGGCACTTCACAGCTCCTTCTCACATCCGAAGACGACTCATGTCTGCTCCTCTTTCCAAGGAGCTCAGACAAAAATACAATGTCCGTTCTATGCCTATTCGCAAGGATGATGAAGTTCAGGTAATATAAAAGATTAGACTGTTGTTTTTCTTCTGCTTGTGAAATTTAAAATAGTGTTATTAAAAGTGGGACAGTTAGTGAGTGATATTTAAATCTATTGAATTTTAAATTTATAAGATATCTGGAAAATATGTTTAATTCACTGCAAATATTAAATGATGATACAAACCATTCACATAAGTTGTGTTGTTGGATATTCTTGATGTTGGTTTTTAAGGTTCTCTTATTAATCATAATTCAATTATTTCCTTGCACAACTGATGCAGAAAAGTTGGCACTGACTTTTTATCTTAAACAGATACATTTAAAGCCGAAATAATTTCATAATCTATTTTATAAAAGTAACTTCTTTTTTATAACAGGTTGTACGAGGTCACTACAAGGGACAGCAAGTTGGTAAAGTTATCCAAGTATATAGGAAAAAGTTTGTTGTATACATTGAAAGGATTCAACGAGAAAAGATGAATGGAACTAGTGTTTACGTTGGCATTGATCCATCAAAGGTAAGCAAAAATAAGATTAATTCTATTAGATATATATTGAAAGGGATATGATGATTCAAACCATTCACAAAAGTTTAAATAAAAAGTCTAATTTGTTGGTTACTGTTAGGGTTTTCCTATTAGTTGACAAACTATTATACTTGATTTAATCACTGTAGAGAAGTTGGCTCTGATTCTTTTCACTATAAACTTAGTTTGATAAAGATGTTAACAAATGGAATTTAAATTTAATAAAAAAAATATTTTCAGACTGTTATTGTCAAACTGAAGATGGATAAGGACCGCAAAAAAATCATTGACAGAAGAAGTAAGGGTCGTCTTGCTGCACTTGGTAAAGATAAGGGCAAATACACTGAAGAAAGTGCTACTGCCATGGAAACATCGTAAATTATAAATTTATTTCCACTATTGTATTACTACAAAAATAAATTTTCGAATGCATATTCGAAATTTGTATGTTTTATTTTTTATTGGACTGCAGTAAGTAAAACGACGATCTGTTTTTTTTTAAAAACTTGTTTCATTTATTTGCATAAAATGAGAATACAAACTCTACAATCAAAAAGCTTATAAATTAAAGTATAAATTGACAGTTTATATTACTATTTTTAAAACAGCACCCTTAATTTTTTGTTTGCGTTTTGTACACTATTTTATGACTATATTAGTCATATAATAAGTTTCTATTTAATCTTTTATTTAGAATAAAAATAATCTTGAGTTGGAGAATCATTACAATATATCACAATAAATTTGTAGATTTGTGGTAAGTAATTATCACAAAAATAAAATGCAACATTTTTACTTTTATGTTGATTTAATGTGGTGAATAATTTAAAAAGTCACAGAAAGTTGAATAAAATTTTCACATTATTTCAAACGAATAACAGTTTCAAAATACAATTTTATTTCATAGCTGTATATTATTTTTAGATAGATATACGTGCTACTTTTTATTTTGAAATACTGATGTAATCAACTTAATCAATTAAAATAGTGTCGAATTTTACTTATGTTAATTTATTGACAAATGTACATAAAATGATTTAACGTAGTAATTTAATTATAACTGATATTTAATTTTGCAAGTAATTAAAAACTTTCATTTCAAAGTTTGGAAAACTAGTAGTCAAAAGGATATTTTATCTTGAGAAATGTATCTTCAACTGTAGGTGTTTTAGTACATAGAAGTTACAAGTGTAAGAATTAATTTTGAAATCACAAAATATTTTTAATTATGAATTTTGATAAGCAGCCAGTAGACGTAAAATATTAAGAAATAGATTAATGATGTCCAAATAAATATTAATTGTGGCTAAGATATACTCTTCAGGAGATAAATTTTCCATTAAGAGTTGAGTATCAAATACAATGAAGAATGAGAACAGCATTGCACCTCCAATGCAAAGCAATTGCTCCATGAAACTACTTGGAATAGCTATCTGTAGTAATCCTCCAATCATTAAGATGAAAAGACAACTGAAAAGTCTAAAAAATAGCGAAAACAATTAATGAATAATGATATTCAATAAATTTTTTTAATAACATATCTTTTCAGATATCATTGTTAGTTACAATATACATGATAAATTATTTATAAATTATCAGTGATTTTCTCAACATAAAATTTTCAAATTTTATTAAGAAAAAAAGTGAATAATAAGTTAGTGAAAATTCATAATATATTGATATGATTAAAACAATGGTCTCGAACATAAATATTTATTATAATTTGATAAAACAATTTTAGTAGATAAAATTTTACTCTTACCCACTGTACATTGCAGAGAAATCATGTTTTGTTTGGAAGGTGTATGCAGTGAGAGCAATCACAACTGTCAGAGTTATGAAAAGAGCCTCTAAAACTAGAAGCACATCATAGAAACTCACAACTATGCCAATCAAACATGCTTGTACAACAGTCTAAAAAACAGTATTAATGAATTTCAATGAAGGTGATGTCAAGATTTTTTACATTAAGAGAATGGAATTTGAATACATACAAAACCAGCTAGAAGAATCAAGTTTGTTGGATGATCTCTTCTTTTGAAGTGAAGAGCAATAAGAAGGACAAAAGTTGCCAAAAAAAATGTCATTACAAGCCAGCCACTAGAAATTAATATATCACATTAGTAATTACTTAACAATTAAAATCAAGTCTGTAAAATAGATCATTTTGATCTTTATCAATTCAATGTAACAAACAAAAGTATTACTTGTTGGCTACATAAAGTTCTATAGGATCAACAAGACAAAATACTGCAGCTATAATCACTGTCATAAACAACTGCATACTAAGTAATCCATATACTTTACGAATAAAAGCTGTGAAATATGAGTATATTTATTGTATATATGTCTTTTAACACAATTAAATTAAAATGTCTATAACTAGTGAATTTACCCATTCGAATTTTAACTGATGCATTATGAACATTGTTATGATATGCGAAGTCATTCTGTAAACCACTAGAGCGTCCTTCCTTTCCTCCACCTTCGACATCTTCCTCTGAGAAAACCAGAGGGTCTGTTAATGATTGATTCATCATGTTTAGATTCTGAAAATTATAAAGTAAAGTACAATAGTATTAAAACCCAGCATTTCATTTTATACATAAAATTGGTTGAATGCAATATTTCTTGAACAATTCACTTTATTGCTACTATTAGAAAAGTAATGGAACAATTAAAAAAAAGAAGTTTGTTGATAATCGAAGAAAAAATAAAACGAGATAAAAAACTAATAACCTTTCAACTAAAATACGATTATTACCACTGTACGACTTCAATTTCAGATTAATTATTTTGCTAACAGCTGTCAGATGTCTTGATAACTTTCTTTAATGGTCCATGCGACGATTGTACAGTCCAATCATTTAACGTTTGACTTTCCGTAAGGGTCTGTCTCCATAGGGCCTGTCCGAGCCGGCCGAGATTTTTTATGGGCACGCCATCTCTATAATTTCGTGTTCAATGGCGAGTTTCATAGTGAATGCGAGAAACGCATCTATGGAGTGGCAGTACCCGTGGTTTGAAGTTTCCTGTCTGGCTGTCTCTATGCTCTGGCTATCCTCCATGTTCCTGCTCCAATTTTCATTCGGTAAGTTCGTAATTAATAATAATTCGTAAATAATTCCTACTTTTATTTTCATAAAATTGCAAGTTTCATAATCCCTTTTTAGAGTCATATGCACGAAGAGTTAGGCTTTCGAAATCCGTCAACTGTCAAATGATAAGTAGTAGCAGCAGCAGCAGTAGTAGTTGTAGTAGCAGTAGTAGCTGAGGGCAGGTGGTAGGTGAGAGAATCACAATGGCAGCCGAAATCAAGCCCGCGCCCGGGATGAACCAGGACAAGTTCAGCTCCAAGAAGCCTATACTTCTGTCGAAGCTCGAAGGTTGCAATGACGACGTCAATGCCGCCGTTATCATTCCCAGGGTTGACGGCGTCATCAGCGTCTGCGACGACAGGTCAGACTCACTTTTCTATTGTGTTTGCAATGCTTCTGATACTCGATGCATATCTATATGATGTATATACGATTAATTTATTTACATCGCATGCTTCTAGCTCGACTCTTATTGGACTCATTGTTTATAATGCAAATAGCAATCGTACAGTCACTTGCATCTTTTGTTAGACTTTTTTCAGACTATTTTTTGCATTGTACATATTTTTTACTCCTATTTTTTCATGTAATATATAATTTAATTAAATTATAGGTAAAACAGCAAGCTTTTTGTTATAAGTAAATAATAATTGTATGACACCTGAACAATCTTTCTTTATCTGCAAGTTCTTAGATAGGATGATTCAGACTGATTGCTTTATCTATCTGGCCTTTAAGCAATGTTTTGCTGTATTTTAGTTATGAATAAATTTTCTAATTACTATTGCAGAACTGTCAGAGTTTGGTTGAAACGTGACTCAGGACAATACTGGCCAAGCGTATGCATGTACATGGTTGCAGCACCAATCTCTCTTGATTTTTGTCCTGAAACCAGACAGCTGTTTGTTGGATTAGATAATGGTAGTATAAATGTATTTATCAAGATCAAATTCATTTATAATTTTTTCAAAAATTGTGAATCAAACGAATTTTTGGTTTTGTAGGAGTTTTTATTGGAAAGCGATTACAATCGTATGACAGCCATTCGAGAATACATGGCTCATCAAGCAAGAGTTGCTGCAGTAGTTTTTTCTTTGAGCTGTGAATGGGTACTTAGTATAGGTAGAGACAAATTGTTCCAGTTCCACAGTACTGAAAATGGAAAGGATCACATCAAATAATATGTTCAATAATCCAAAAGGTAACGTCTACAAAAAGTTGCTGTACCACATGCATGGAACATACACCTACAACATGGTGAGCATTATTAAAAATTTATAATAAAAAAACCTTTTGTTTTTCATAGTATATATATATATATATATTTATATGTAAACAATGAAATAACAAAACTATAAGAATTAAAGGTTATAAATGCACGTTTTTTTATTCAATATTTTTCTTAAATTCTACAATGTACAAAATTATTTCCTTCGTACATTGGTATTTTCTTGATTCTGGTATTTTACTGTAACCAGATGTAATTAATTTTAAAAATGGTTCAATTTCTGGCATTCGATCAGTCGTGGTAGTTGCTACATTATTTTGTATTATTTTCATCAATTTTACGCTTTCATCAATGGTTTTTTGTAAGTCATCGCCATCATCTACTTTTCGTTTCCGACAAAATTTATTGGTGATTTCAGATTTTGTTATAAACTCCACGTCGTCTGAAGAAATTTGTAGTTCATGACTCAGATATGGATCAAGCCAACTCATCTCATTATACAATTCCCAGGTCACTTCGGGTTTTCTTTCTGATCCAGATGGCTGGTATTTGCGTTTTTTTGCTTTTTCTCCTTTGAATTTTTTTACTAAATAGAACCATCTCGCTTCAATCTCTTTTTCTATTATTGATTAATGAATATTATATATACATATATATATTTTTTTATTTAAAATAAAGATTTATAGTGTATGAATTTCACCTGTAATGTGCACTTCGTATAGTTGATAAATCGCTTGGGAAATAGTTTCGAAAACTTGTGTTCGTTGCGATCTAAATTCAGTATAATATTTGTCATTCGACTTATCGTAAATAAAATTGTTTGGTTTCACCATTTGTATGATAACTTCATCAAGTAGTATATCTTTTTCAGTGTTTCCACTCATTTTTTATTTATGGCAAATTCAATCGAAGAACTATTGTCAATTTGAGGTTATCGGAACTGCTTTGCTACGCATTTAATTTTGAATAAGGATATACATCCATTTTCACCTCGTACAACGTACATTGAGTGTTGTGCTACACCTGAATTTGAGGTTATCCGACCTGCTTTGCTGCACATTCATTTTCATAAATATCTAAAATTAAAACTAATGTATTTGTTACTAAATACTTAAAACTAATATACCATTTGTTTTTTTGTTTTTTTCAAGTTTCTACACAATATGGAGGAGTCTTTTGGAAGAAATATAAATCTCGATAAAAAAATTTGTGTTTATTTGAAAAATTATTCATGTTTGTATGATAAAACACATGAAAACTATTATTTAATAAAAGTCAAAGATAAGGCTTTCAATGAAATAGCTGCTAAAATTAATTCTGACAAAGAGTTAAATGTCCTATTGACTGGTAAGTTATCATTTATATTATTATAGTATTTTTTTATATACAGAGAGTGAAAATACATTAACTGCATTTACTTTTGTTTTAGGTGCTATTGTAAGAAAGGAATGGGAAAATATAAGAAGGACTTTTGTTAGAAAATTTAACAAACCTCATTTAAGCAAGTACTACTTATACAATGAACTTCAATTTCTCATCCCTCACGTCATGAAAAAATACCAGTGTTTGGGATCAACAGAAAGTGATGAGCCGTCAACATCAAAAACTCAAGATATTGAAGTATGTAGTGAAAAGAATGATAAAATCATTCCACCAGTAAGCCAATGTTACTTTAATAAGAAAACTCATCTCGAAGAATTAGAAATGAAAGTTTTAAAAAATACAAGTACAGCTATGGAAAATATAAACATTTTAATGAAGGATAGTGATAATGAAGAGATTAAAGATAATTTTGTACTATGTATACAGCAAAGTTTGCAGTATGTCCCATCAACCCATGTGTTGGAATGTGTTAATGGGATATTAACTATTATGGATAAGTTTATGATATCTAATGAAGAATAAATATTAAAAATAAAGACTAACTGCTCTTATTTCTTTAATATATTTATTTTCTCAACTCATTTATATTGATTATTAGTAGTTTCATGTTTGAAAGATCCTGACATAAACCGTATTACAATATAAAAAAATATTTAAATATTATAAAGAACGTATATAATAAAAACGATTAATTTTTCTTTAAAAAACCATTCAATTCAGAATAAGTTATATTTATTAGTTACTATTTGGAAAACCTTTAACTATACACCTTTACAAAAAAGATAAATCTGAATGGCATTTACACGCATATGAACTTCTCCACCTCCTTGAGGATAATATCCTTTTCTTATAAACATCAAGCTCAAAGTTTCCACCAAATCTGTTCAACAGAGGTCTAAAAACATACTTAAATACTCTATATGAGGGCCAAAAGGTACATTAGTTCCTCCTTTGAGAATATAAGTTGCTGCCCTAGATGAAAATAGAGCACAAGGTAAAGTAACTTGAATGAGCAAACCAATACATCCAGCTGTTCTGGTGTCTACTATAAATTCTTGTTTTTTATTAAGAAAGGTCTCTTGGTATGAAAGTTAAGCAGGTTGAGCCTATTGCAGCTCCATGCACTTCAGCGTTACACATTTCTTTTAAAAATTTGACTCCTTCAAGATGCTGAGCTGACAAACCTGGTTTTGGACGACCTGCTCTTATGTTGCTAATCTCAATAGGAATTTTATAGAGTGCACTCAAACATAATGAAATTCGTAGCACTTGACCTCCTCCTTCACCGAGACTACCGTCGAGTTTTATTATTTTAATGATTGATTACATTCAGGTGAGTTGGCCACAGACTGCGGTATCAATTGCTTTGATGCAAAGACCATCTATTTATTGTAGCATTATTTGATATGCGATTATCGTCCTCAATCGTGCCCAGGACTACATGTGCTTCCTCTAATTGTATTAATTTCTTGCATTATCTTTTTTAATACTAATCTATGGCTCATCATATTGATGTCAATGTCAATTATACCTTCATTCTCGTTGGAAAACCACAGAATGAAATTATGACTTCTCATATTTTCCAAATTGAGATTGACAACACGAAAAGCTACTGGTACGTAGCGACGAAAATCATTTTGCATGATGTACTGAATGGTGAATTTCATTTTCACGTTAAGTTTTTCTTCTTCAAATGGCTTTGAATGTAAAACATTTTTCACAGATAGGTTATTCATTATTAAAGAATACTTTCTGGCATTCGATCAGTCTTCGTAGTTGCTACATTATTTTGTATTATTTTCATCAATTTTACGCTTTCATCAATGGCTTTTTGTAAGTCATCGCCATCATCTACTTTTCGTTTCCGACAAAATTTATCGGTGATTTCTGATTTTGTTATAAACTCCACATCGTCTGAAGAAATTTGCGGTTCATGACTCAGATATGGATCAAGCCAACACATCTCATTATACAATTCCCAGGTCACTTCGGGTTTTCTTTCTGATCCAGATGGCTGGTATTTGCGTTTTTTTGCTTTTTCTCCTTTGAATTTTTTTACTAAATACAGCCATGTCGCTTCAATCTCTTTTTCTATTATTGATTAATGAATATTATATATACATATATATATTTTTTTATTTAAAATAAAGATTTATAGTGTATGAATTTCACCTGTAATGTGCACTTCGTATAGTTGATAAATCGCTTGGGAAATAGTTTCGAAAACTTGTGTTCGTTGCGATCTAAATTCAGTATAGTATTTATCATTCGACTTATCGTAAATAAAATTATTTGGTTTCACGATTTGTATGATAACTTCATCAAGTAGTATATCTTTTTCAGTGTTTCCACTCATTTTTTATTTATGGCAAATTGAATCGAAGAACTATTGTCAATTTGAGGTTATCGGAACTGCTTTGCTACGCATTCATTTTCATAAATATCTAAAATTAAGACTAATGTATTTGTTACTAAATACTTAAAACTAATATACCATTTGTTTTTTTGTTTTTTTCAAGTTTCTACACAATATGGAGGAGTCAATCGATCAGAATCAATCGGAATTTATTTCTTTATAAAAACTGCCTTCTTATTTCTATTTTGTTAATATAGATTATTTATCTTTAAATATAATTATTTTGCCAGGGAACAGCTCCCTCATTGCTGAAATATTCTGCCAAGTTTTGCCGAATAAAAATAGGGTTTCGCATAACATTCTGATTAATTTGCCTATCTAAGTGTCTAAAATCGTCATCAACGTTGATTACATTTTTCGTAATTAAAAAATTATGTAACACTAAACAAGCGCTTATAATTAATTTATTCTTATCTAAATTATGAGCTAAAGCACTATTCAATAACTGAAATTTTGCACAAAGTATTCCAAATGCACGTTCTATAGTGAATCTGGCTCGGCTCAATCTATAATTAAAAATTCTTTCTTGATTTGACTGCAGCAATCTTCTATTGTACGGTTTCATCAAGTTAAATCCCAAACCAAAAATCTCGTCAGCGACTATTACGAAAGGTGATGATCTGTCACTGTTAGGCAACTTTGTTGGAGCAGGTAAGTTCAATTCATTGTTCAAAATTTTGTTATAAAAATTAGTATTTTGAAAGACACTGGAGTCGCTGAACGAACCTACAACATAAAGAAATTATTACATATAAATTAATTAAATTACTCTGTCTTTATTGTTTTAAAAAATTTATTCTTACCACCATCACCAAGGGTGAACCAAACAAATCTACTTTGTGCATCGCTGATTGCTATCAAAACTAAACTATGAAATTTTTTGTAGTTATAAAAAACACTTCCAGCATGAGCTGGTCTTTTTATTCGCATGTGCTTCCCGTCTAGAGCTCCAACACAATTCGGAAAATTCCATCTGTCTTCAAATTCCTGGGCAATACGTAACCAATCCCGTTCGTTGGGAAATTTCACGTAAATTGGCAGCAGAACTGAAGTAATAACGTAGCACGTTTCGTGTATGATTTTAAAAAATGTAGCTTTTCCAATTCGGTAGTGCGCGCAATAAGTTAAAGCATTTCCTCCTTGAACGAAATAACTGAAATTTTAATAAAAATTAATATTTATTTTTATTATGAGATGAAAATACTTGACATAATTGTATATAAATAGTTACTGTATTGTTATAGCCAGTCGAATATATGCAGAAATTGGCTCTCTAATATGATACTGCTTCTGCAACTGATCAGCAATTAACGTATACAACTCTTGAAAATTGCCTGGTGTCATCTTAAATTGATTTGTAAACTCTTCGTGATCATTGATTTGTAAATATTGGCATACTGTAGCAAATGCTCCTATAATATTCCTTATTCTCGGTACGATATGTGGCTTCACCCACCATCTCCGCAAGGCCTTCTTCTTTTTTTTTATAACTTTTAATGTTTTAAGCGAAACAAGTATAACCTGCATTAATGTCCAAATTCTCATAACTTTTCGTTCATCTAGTCTCATAATTAAAATCTGTAAAAATAAAAATATTTATTATAAATTCAGCGAATAAACACAAAGTTTAGAATAAAAAATAATTGTATATAACTTTTTTATGAAAAATAATGAGTAAAAATATATAGCGTATGCAATGCTCAGTTGTACCGCCTATGTTGCACGTTAATGGGTTATGATCCAATGAAAAGCCGAGATTGGTGATTTTATTTTCTTTGTTTCAGGACGCGTGCATGCCCACTACAGTGTGCATTGAACCTTCATTGTGTCAAGGCAGTTTTTATAAAGAAATAAATTCCGATTGATTCTGACCGAAAGTATTCTTTAATAATGAATAACCTATCTGTGAAAAATGTTTTACATTCAAAGCCATTTGAAGAAGAAAAACTTAACGTGAAAATGAAATTCACCATTCAGTACATCATGCAAAATGATTTTCGTCGCTACGTACCAGTAGCTTTTCGTGTTGTCAATCTCAATTTGGAAAATATGAGAAGTCATAATTTCATTCTGTGGTTTTCCAACGAGAATGAAGGTATAATTGACATTGACATCAATATGATGAGCCATAGATTAGTATTAAAAAAGATAATGCAAGAAATTAATACAATTGGAGGAAGCACATGTAGAGTCCTGGGCACGATTGAGGACGATAATCGCATATCAAATAATGCTACAACAAATAGATGGTCTTTGCATCAAAGCAATTTATACCGCAGTCTGTGGCCAACTCACCTGAATGTAATTAATGTTCCCTTGAGAAAATTGAGGGCATTCTTGAGGGAACTTAAATCGTCTTCAACTCCTATTGCGACAAAGGAGCTCGTTGAAAAATGGCATGCTGCATGTTTCACCAGTAGACACCTGTGGGATGATGCCAAAAATATTATTCGAGATGTTAGGTTGTTTTCTCACGTTTAAACATCTGATAATGATTTAACATATGATTATTAATAAATTTAAAATAATAAAATAAAACCTCTTGTAGTTGATTATTTCTAACCTATCTAACCTTTTCATGTTATGCATCTTATTGCTTGGTCTTGACACTATAAATTTTGTCGGAAACGAAAAGTAGATGATGGCGATGGCTTACAAAAAGCCATTGATGAAAGCGTGAAATTGATGAAAATAATACAAAATAATGTAGCAACTACCAAGATTGATCGAATGCCAGAAATTGAACCATTTTTAAAATTAATAATGCTCACCATGTTGTAGGTGTATGTTCCATGCATGTGGTACAGCAACTTTTTGTAGACGTTACCTTTTGGATTATTGAACATATTATTTGATGTGATCCTTTCCATTTTCAGTACTGTGGAACTGGAACAATTTGTCTCTACCTATACTAAGTACCCATTCACAGCTCAAAGAAAAAACTACTGCAGCAACTCTTGCTTGATGAGCCATGTATTCTCGAATGGCTGTCATACGATTGTAATCGCTTTCCAATAAAAACTCCTACAAAACCAAAAATTCGTTTGATTCACAATTTTTGAAAAAATTATAAATGAATTTGATCTTGATAAATACATTTATACTACCATTATCTAATCCAACAAACAGCTGTCTGGTTTCAGGACAAAAATCAAGAGAGATTGGTGCTGCAACCATGTACATGCATACGCTTGGCCAGTATTGTCCTGAGTCACGTTTCAACCAAACTCTGACAGTTCTGCAATAGTAATTAGAAAATTTATTCATAACTAAAATACAGCAAAACATTGCTTAAAGGCCAGATAGATAAAGCAATCAGTCTGAATCATCCTATCTAAGAACTTGCAGATAAAGAAAGATTGTTCAGGTGTCATACAATTATTATTTACTTATAACAAAAAGCTTGCTGTTTTACCTATAATTTAATTAAATTATATATTACATGAAAAAATAGGAGTAAAAAATATGTACAATGCAAAAAATAGTCTGAAAAAAGTCTAACAAAAGATGCAAGTGACTGTACGATTGCTATTTGCATTATAAACAATGAGTCCAATAAGAGTCGAGCTAGAAGCATGCGATGTAAATAAATTAATCGTATATACATCATATAGATATGCATCGAGTATCAGAAGCATTGCAAACACAATAGAAAAGTGAGTCTGACCTGTCGTCGCAGACGCTGATGACGCCGTCAACCCTGGGAATGATAACGGCGGCATTGACGTCGTCATTGCAACCTTCGAGCTTCGACAGAAGTATAGGCTTCTTGGAGCTGAACTTGTCCTGGTTCATCCCGGGCGCGGGCTTGATTTCGGCTGCCATTGTGATTCTCTCACCTACCACCTGCCCTCAGCTACTACTGCTACTACAACTACTACTGCTGCTGCTGCTACTACTTATCATTTGACAGTTGACGGATTTCGAAAGCCTAACTCTTCGTGCATATGACTCTAAAAAGGGATTATGAAACTTGCAATTTTATGAAAATAAAAGTAGGAATTATTTACGAATTATTATTAATTACGAACTTACCGAATGAAAATTGGAGCAGGAACATGGAGGATAGCCAGAGCATAGAGACAGCCAGACAGGAAACTTCAAACCACGGGTACTGCCACTCCATAGATGCGTTTCTCGCATTCACTATGAAACTCGCCATTGAACACGAAATTATAGAGATGGCGTGCCCATAAAAAATCTCGGCCGGCTCGGACAGGCCCTATGGAGACAGACCCTAATATACAAAACTTCAATGACGTATTTACACTTTTCAGATGATTCCAAGAACATGAAACAATGATAATGGAATCGACCAATCAAACAGACTGTTTGCTTTGATACTTTTGACTGGTTAGTTGACTCAATAGATATAAGAGAATGTGATTTAATTTAAAAAAAAAAATTTGTTTCTTAAAAATTCTGAATTTGTTTCTTAAAAACGTTTGGAATTGTTATGATTTGATGACATAAATTCTAATAAATAGATTCAGTAAATTAGGTTGCAATGATAATACATTATGGCTCAACATTGTCAATTTCGTTAATGCTATTATGTATGCAACGATTGATTAATTATTATTGCTATTAAGCTTATATTTTAACACTGAAAAGAAACCTATAAAATTATAAACTCTATGAATACTTATCTTTTATTAATTATACTAAACAAATTATTTAATTAGGGCAATGAAACCATCTGAATTTACCATGTGCGGCTTTTAAAATTTTTAATACATTGTAAATTGTAATTAACACTTGTAAAAGTAAATAGAAATTGTTACGTAAATATCTTGTCAATTTCCGGGAAAAATAAAATAATTTTATAAATTAAACGATTTTTTTGCAATTATACTATATATATATGACCAACTGTTAAAATTATTATGGCGCGAAGCAAAGTAGATGAACGTTATGAATGTATATAGAGCGTGCCGGTTTCTCCGGCGTGAATATTCGATTTGAATTACTTTGTTCAGTAAAGAGAATTGTTTGCAAAATCAATTACTTACATATTCTATAATTTTGATAAAAATCATGGATATGAATATTCTATTTAGAAAGTGAAATTATAAACAGACTATTGTTCATAAAAAGTGCGATGAGCTAACCTTAATTCATCAATTATTATTTAGTTATTATATATATATGTGTGTAAATACCATATTACCAAATGTTATTTTGATACATTTGTCAACTCAAAAGAGATTTCCAAAAGTATTTTTGTCTTTATTTCGTGTAAGTATTACGAACATTTTTTGTTAAGCAAAGTTTAAAAGTCTAACCTCTGTTTTATTTTGATAAGTAATTTTTATATCTTATAATAAATGTTATACTAAACAAAATTTTCAAAAGTATTTGTATTAATAAGTTCTACTAATTACAATTTATTATAAAATTTTTGAATGCAACCAATCAATAAGTTTCACTTTAATTTTTATATAAGTGTAAGAAAATTTCTAAGTCTCGATAATTTCCATTTTTCAGACTTGATTTTAAATAATTGTGACAACAAAAATGGAGCCAATGAAGATTCATTTGGATGCTTTAGAAATGGCAGGAAAAATGGTAGATAAGCACATAGTTGCTGACAGCAATTTTCCATCCCTCGTCAATTTGATGCGATACAGTGCACAAGGTGGCCCAACAGTTAGTGGACTTGATGTATATGATTATCCAAACTTGAATGGAGCATCTATGAGCTTAACCAATGTCAATCAAATGAGAACACACAGCAAAATACCATTACCATCAGAAGTTATGGAACATTTTGGACGTATCCTTTATAAAAATAAATACTTGTCTTAATTTCTTTATTTTTATAATTTTATTGTATATAATTGTTTTGAATTTTAGATCTGCATCAGAATTTTTTCTTAACTTTTTGGAATATTTGATATTAGATATGCAATGTCATTGCATGATGGGTTTATTCACAGATATTTCTAAAGCATGGTTGACAATTGATAGTGATATATATGTCTGGTCTTATGAAAATGAGTATGTACTACATGAATTCTTATAAAAATGAGAAGAACCACTTTTTTCTGAAATTCAAATTGTTCTTTTCTTATGTTACATTTTATAAAAATATGTATCATAGGTCTGATGTTGCTTATTTTGATGGATTGAATGAAACAATAATCAGTGTTGGTCTTGTTAAACCAAAACCTGGTATTTTTCAAAGTTATGTCAAGTATCTGCTTGTTCTGACGACCACAGTTGAAATTACAGTTCTTGGTGTTACATTGACTAATAATGAAGATGGTAGGCGAATAAAATTCTAAGATATACACAATCCTATTTTACATAATAAACTTGACATTTTCTTCAGGTTCACAAGGTGAAATGCAGTTGGTACCAGAACCAATTTTTACTGTAACTACTGATGGAATAGCCATAACAACAATTGCAAACACAAATAGTGGAAGAATTTTCCTTGGTGGAAGGAATGGTTCTTTATATGAAATCTACTATCAAGTATGTTCTCAATCTTTAATTTAATTTTTTTTAATTAATAACAATCATGTTATGAAATTTAATAAATTACTGATGATTTTAAATGTAGGCCGAGAGTAGCTGGTTTGGAAAACGATGCAAAAAAGTTAATCACTCTGAGGGACCATTTACGTTTCTAGTTCCGTCATTTATCACAGTTGCATTAACTGAAGAAGAGGCAATAGTTCAAATTTCTGTTGATGACTCTCGTAATATACTTTATACCTTGGGAGATAAAGGAACAATTTCTGTTTGGGATATTGATAGTGGAGGCGCTTCAAAAGTGAATTCAATGTCCCAGGCGGCTCTGGTGCAAAAATCCGTGGATGTAGTAAAAACATTAGACAGCAATAATTTTAGACCTCTCGTTAGTATTTCAGCTATTACTGAATCTGAATCTTTAAGTTTGCACTTGGTTGCTGTTGCTGCTACAGGCACTAGATTTTACTTCAGTTGTACTCCGCTATCTTGTCCCGTAGTGCGCCCTCAGTTTTTACAACTTATTCATGTGAGATTACCTCCTGGCTATGCAGCTAATGCCCCAGTTATGAGACCAAGAAAAGTTCAAATGGCTCATTATAGGAAGGGTACTTGTTATATTGTCTATTTATTTTAATTGAAAGTTTTTTATTTGAAAATCTGTTTCTTAATCCATTTTTTATGATCTCTAATAAATTTTTTTTTAAATATACAATTGAATAATTAGAGCTAACCATTTTAGGTACCCTTATCCTGATAAGTGGTGGTGACACTGAAAACGCTTGGTGTTTGAGCAACGATGCTTATCCCTTTTCAAATTATCTGGCTGAAACGCAAAGTATTTTGCCTCTTGACAGTCCTGTTTGGGCACTCGCTGAGATTCCTGGAGAATCTGCGATTCAAATCGAAAAACAGGCAGTCCAAGGAGATCCTCCGCTATTAGTCCGTCAACACATGGAACCCCCTCGTAAATTTATTTTCCTGACTGCTCAGGTGTGTAATATTGAAATGTGCATAACATAAATTGAAATAGATAAAGATACAGCAATGTTTTATCTCGTTTAGGGAGCTATCGTACTAATTCAAGTTCGACCAGTTGATATTCTGCGGCAACTTCTTCTCGAGCAACGTGGTCCAGACACAGAAGCTGTCAAGATTTATTTCCAAACGCAATCACCAGAACAAGCTTGCGCAACTTGTCTTATCCTGGCTACTCTAGAAAGTTCTCAAAATGCTCAGGTATATATTATTTCACGTATTCTGAATCTTTATCGAAATAAAATGAGTTAATAATTCAATGTTATTTATTGGACACCTTTTAGTTGGCTGAATGGGCAACTAGAGCTTTCTTTTTGTATGGCGGACAAAAGATAGCGGCAAATCAATCACTCGAGCCACAAACTCCATTTGCAAGTCTCACAACAGGTAAATTCAATATTATCTCTATGATTCCAATTGTAAAATTTTTATAAGAATTTACAAATTTTTGGTTTACTGATATCTCATTTGCCTTTAATGTTAATATTTCAAATTTCACGTTATTCTTGTACGTCACGTAGTTATTTTATATGAATTTTCCAATCGCCTTGGATTTTTTTTATAATTTAAACGTGCAAAATAAAATAATTCAATTATTTAATAAGTTCTAAAATTTAATCGTTTAATTACATGTTAGTATATATTAATAAGTAATTTGGTAAAAAAGTTTATTTAATTTTATTTCATACCAAAATTGTAGTATAGAATTAAAATACAAATGAATGTTACACATGAATACTGACGATTTATACCAAAATTGACATACAGCTTTATCTTCTTCATTAGGCAAAGTCATTTCATACAAGACATTTAAAAAATGTCGACACTAGTAAAACTACCGTACACGAAAAGCCGATTCGGTAATTGAATTTTACTGCTTTGGCTAACGAGGTTAAACCTTTAGCTTCTACATATGTTTCTTCAGGATAATTTTCAGTCTCTTTCGATATTACCGCTTTTTTAATTGTTTCATTGTAAGTTCCTGTGTCTTTATCTATGATTGTTTTAATAGTTGCTTCAGCATAATTTTTAGTATTTTTATGTATCGGCGTCAGTCGATTTATATTCAATGGGGAATGTGAGTTGCATAAGTTTGCATTGCAGAGATCACACGAGTCTGTTAAAAATCCCAATATCATCAAAGACGTTTCAAAAATGCTGCAATTTTTTGATTTAGGAACACATCCTCTAATTACTTTTTCTTCTTCCCAAGTCCCTAGAAAATTGACGAATTTGTAAAAAAATAACCAAAATGCAAAATAATTAAATTCTTTATTTAAGGCTTTTACTCACGTCCTATAATAGTTAAGCAATCAAAGCTATAATTACTTCCATGTCTGTAATCTAAGAATTTTAATTAATATTTAAGTGTATCAAAATTTTGTATGAAAGTGATTCAGTAATTTTAAACTATTTTAAAACTGCTCTACAAGTATCTTTTGTATAAATATTTAGAGGTTTAATTTTCTAAATTCTGCTTAATCTAAATCTTTTTCAAGTAAAATTAATTGAAGAAAAATTCTTTACCTGCGAAATGTTTCTTTGCAAGAGTCTGCAGATATATAAACGAACTGTCGATATTACTTGAATCATTAGTGATAGTCTTCATACAATTATCCTGGAAACCACTGTTTTTAGCATTGCTGAAACATAGTCCATCGACGCTTGATTCGCAAACATAACATGTTCGCGAATAAACTGGAATAAATTCAAACAATCAATTTTTTAATAGAGTCGAACGTCAAAGTCGTAATATCCACATATTTAGCGTAAAAGTGTTGACGTTACCTTGCCTAACAAACCCCAAAATAATCACAAAAACTACAAAAAAACACATAATGGAAGAAAACTTCGCCATACACATTTTGACGCCCGACTAGAGTTGTCACCGTAAAACGTACAGTGAGTCTTTTGAAGGATTCTTGCACTGAAAAAAAAAAACGAACGCACGATAACTGAGTACGCTAACTGAGACGATTTGGTACTCGTATTTATAAATCTATAAGTTAGATCGTTGTGCGGTATGAACTTCAAATACAAACTAAATTGACAACTTTTTACATTCTTTTTCAAATTTCTATGTATGTATACAACGAAAAAATGGCGGTGTGCGACACTAAAAGACTTCCTGCGGTTAAAATAATGCCCTCTCTTGTACACGTTACAGTTCTCTGACTGTTTCGCTTTTAAATCTCAGAAATATGATCTACCCACAGGTCATTCCAGGCTATTATGATCAAGCTCACAGACGTGCGTTATCGAGTTTCTTGAAACTTGACATAAATCTTATCTATATAGCAGTGAACTTCAGTACGAATTTTTAGACCATTTTAACAATTAACAAGTAAATAAAAAGTTATGATCAAATACAAATTTTGTCAAAAATGCATATCTCTGCAATGCTTAAATTTATTGAAATCAATGGATTAAAACAATATTGATACTAAGTTTTAGGAAAATCGATTACCTACGCCTCTAAGACTTATTATTATAAAAGCCTGGAACGGCTATGTTCGACTATGTATACTTATTACCTTGCAGAAAATGACGGTGTACAGTTTCGGCCAACCGACTTAATCAGCTGTAAATTTGAGTAACCATTTTAAGCGAACATTTTCTCATTTCTTTACAGGGGACCTTCGCACATCAACTCCACGTATGCAAGGCTTTGATTTACGTTCACCCAATATGATGCGCTCAACAGGCCAACAACAAATCGTTCCGAACGTTGACGCAGCTCTGCAGCATTTTACTGCCAAGCATGGTGGTCTTTACCTCTACATCGGCCGAATACTCAGACCAATTTGGAGCTTGCGTTGCATCAAACAAGAGGCCGCCAATGGAAAGACGCAAATACTCAGTACCGTCAACTCCAACCAAGTTGGCTGGATACTTGGGCACCTTCAGGCGTTGCGCGCTTTTCTCAACAAGAACACTCATATTTCCAAGCCGTAAGCCTTTTTTCGTCGCGATATTTATTATGCAGAAATACCAAGGCAGATTTTGTAAATTTGCAATCACAGCTCGACGAGGAACATTACCGACGGTTTCGATAGCACAATCGCTACACAATTCCAGGAGCCCATTGTTGAAGAGAGGAATTCCCTCGACGCATTGAAGATTTTCATTACACATGCCTGCGAGATTCTCGGACTCTGGAAGATTTTATGCGAAAATCAGCTTCATGATATCGTTAGCTGCCTTTCCAAGGATCAAATTAATCAGTTTGCCACGGCTACATTTCGAGATCTGATACTCATTGGGCATGAGATTTCATCGCTCCTTATCATCCACCTTATTGACAGGTAGTATTTATCTGCCTATATAGTAACTGCGTATTACTAATTTACTACTGATGATTTTTTTTCGTATTAGCTATCTTGGCGACAATGCTTCGGTGGATTCCGTTAGTGCGAAACTGCGTGAAATCTGCCCTAATCTGTACCGTAGTGAAGACGCTGTTTGTTCGAAGGTAATTAGACGGTTACTTCAATTAAAATGCTCATTGTGGGTACATTAAATAACGTTGGCTTATTTTGCAGGCAAATGAAATTATTTTAAAAGCCAAAAGCTGCACAAATCCAGATGAGAAAGAAACTTATCTGCAGTCGGCCTTAAAGGTTTCCTGTACTTCTTATTTCTATTGTTATTATTAATATGTCATTTTAACAAGTGTATTTGTTTTCAGTTGTGTAAAGAGGTAGCTCCAAGGTTGAACCTCGGCGCTGTATGCCAACAATTTGTCGCTTGTCATTTTTATCACGGAGTATTAGAATTGTGCCTCTGCTGTGCAGAAAAAATTGATCCCAACAATGCTGCTTTTCATTATTACAAAAATAACGAACCTGTGGAAGATCAAGAAGGCAATTTTGCCCACTCTAAAAGGTATATACATCTTTTAATGACTTACAGAAAACTGGTTATTTTTACGAATTATTTATTTTACTTCCTACTGCAGGATTGAAATTTACAAAGAATTCACTGCCATGCTTGATTATCTTTACAATCAAAGCATTTCAAATTCAATGGCCGTCGTTACTTCAGCCAAAGAAATTGTAATTACAATTTTGTTATGTTTAACATGATTTTACTGTTTCAAATGTAACTAAACAATTTTCTCATTTTAGTTGCATGAAATCATAGAGGAAGCCTTACATTGTCCGTGTGAAACATTGCATACTGAAGTATACGCTTGGATGATAGATAAGGGGCTCCAAGGCGAATTGGTTGCTCTTGCTTCTCCGTCATTAGAAACTTATTTAATTCGCATTAATGCTCCAGAATTACTTTGGCAATTTTACGAAAGGAACAAGAATCATGCTGCTGCCGCTAAAATTCTATACGCTCTCGCAACTAAAGTTGGGTAAGTATGAATTTTTCAAAAGAATTGGATAATAAAATGACATCTACTTAGTATCATTAATAATTTTATAGAACTGACGCATCACTACCCCAGCGAGTAGAATATTTAGCGAGAGCTGTAGTCTGTATGCGAAGTGACGAAGCTGGATATGCACCACATCTTGGAGTCTTCTTGAGAGAACTAGAGGACAAAGTTGAAGTTGCTCGCATTCAGCAGCAGGTTTGTTCAATTTCTTACAACCATAATTTACACAAAATGTGTATTGGTGCTATTTTTTAAAACTTATGCGAAATCTGTTTTTTTTTAGATTTTAGATACTATTCTGAATCAACAAGTACTTTTTGATCCAATGATAGTGAGAGATGCAAAATTAAGATTGAATTCTGCTCTACTTGATATCACACAGGTAAATAGATACATTTTGAAATTTACAATAATTTTGTGACACAAAGTTATGTAGAAAATGTTATTATAGCTTTATGAAGAATATGCAGAACCTCTGCAGCTTTGGGAATGTAAATTAGCCGTTATTCATTGTTCAGGTCATCAAGATATTATGCTTATTCAAGGAATATGGAAAAATATAATTGAGATAGGTAAATCAATAATGAAATACTAACTCATATAAATTACTTCGCAAAAAATATTCCACTTTTGATATTTTATACGTAATTTTATTTAGAATTGAGCAATGCTATTTCGGCTTCTCCAGAGGACAAATTAGCGATTGTCACGAGTAAAATTAAACTTTTGGGACAAGAATATTGCGGTACACCTCACTGTTTCCCAGTGGGTTAGTATAATTGATAATGGCAATATTTATATAATCATTTTATAAAGTTCACAATATTGCATTAGTATAATTTTGTTTTTTTTTCACAGACTTTCTCATAAAAGAGTTAGAAATCAGAGCGTGTAGATTAAAAGTATCAAATGGCCATATAATCACATGTTTTCTTCAATTGGGTATACCAATGGAAGAGCTTCTTGATCATTATGATAAGTAAATGTCATAAAAAATTATATAGTTTTGATGATTACAATATTACCTAAAATTATAATAATATTTAATACCTTGTTATATTTAATTTATAGAATGATTGGAGGTAACAATAGAATATGGTTGAACGAAGGAAATGAGTTTCATTTAATTGAATCTACAGAAAATCTTGTGCGCTATTTTATCACAAATTCTAAAGTTACAAATGCTTTTATCAGGTAAATAAAAAAAATTTAATTAAGTTATTCAGTAAAATAAGCAATAAGTTGAAATGTAACATTTGATTTTCAGAAGGAAAATCATCACAATATGTCAAGATGTGATTTCCAAATGTCTGACTACGTTATTCAGTAAAACCAATGGCGAAGAACTAATAGTAAAACTTAGGTCGATACAAAGTGTATTAAATAGACTGTAACATATTTTAATATTTTTCTACTTGATGAAAAAAGAAACTTGCCAAACAACAGCTGCAATGAATATCAATTTGTTATGTACAAAAGCAGTGGTGAATATTAAGTGTGTTTAATTACAAAAGAATCATTTTTATAAATGTTTCAGTCATGTGAAATTTGATTATAATTAATATTTTAAAAATACAAGGTTTTTTTATATAATAAACAATAGAATATTAAATTTTGTCTTTATTTATTTTTTATTAAACTATTAATAGTAATTTTATATAATTGCATTTATACGATTATCTCTAAAGTATATTTTTATTTTGTTCAATTATCAGTATAGAATTTTAAAATTGAATTTTTTTAACAAGGTTTACTGATATCTAAGCAGTTCTTTTGTATGCAACTAAAATGGTTTGTCAAATGTTTTTTATTTATGAAGTCTAAGAAAATAACATCATTTAAAAAGATAATTTATGCTAAAATATAAATAAAGTATTTTTTGTTACTAAACAGCCAGAAAATGTTAAAATAAATCTGCTAAATAAATTTGCTTATTGTCGTGAGTGTTTACGAATGACTGATGATTTTGCTTAAAAAAATGCTTTTGCAGATGCCTGGCCGTGGCGAAATTTTAAAGAAAAAACCGTAGAGAATAGAGAAGAAATATGGTTTGATGTTTCCTGTGTATCGAGTTCAACGGTATTTGAAGAAAGGACATTATGTAGCACACATTCAAATTGCAAGTTCAGTTTATGTGGCGGCTGTTTTCGAGTACCTCGTTGCCGAAGTTTTGGAACTTAGTGGCAATGCTGCACGTGATAACAAAAAATAAATCATCATTCCTCGTCATTTACAATCGGCTATCCGCAATGATGAGATTAATAATCTTCTCCAAAGAGTTACGATTGCTCAAGGTGATGTCATGCTCAACATACATTCTTGCCTCCTATCAATAAAATCGTTGCTTCGTAAACCGTTAAAAGTCCAGATTAAAGTTATTAATGTTAAGAAAAACTAATTAATTAGCTCTTTTTAAAGCCAAAACAATAAGCTTTTTTTCAAAGCTATACAATTCAACCTTTTCAGAGCCTTAATTTATAACGTTGAACAAATATGAGCATTCGTTTTTTAATACAAATACAATTAAGAACTTGTATTTTGTAAGACGCATTCCACCTTCAATACTCAATTTTTACCAAAAAGATACTTTGAAGTTTATACAAGCTCAAGCAAATACATATTTGAAAATTATGATTTTCTCGGAACATACAGTGCCGGTCAGCCACTTTTACCCCCCCACGGGCAAAATCAGTCTAACTTCAAAGTTTTATATCTCTGGTAGAAATTAACGTACAGAGACGAGCGTGGGTGCGTTTGAAAGGTCTTTCGGAAGGCTTTCAAATGATATGACTCACGGTTGCCATCGATTGTTTTTTTAAATTTTGCAACAATTATGCAAAATTGAAAATTCTGAAATTTTTTTATTATTTTTGACAATTAGCCAATTTTGGAAAAAAAATCGTACGAAAATTTGAAATACACCATTTTTTAGCTATTACCAAGCCCTATCTGAATCACTCATCAAAAATTTATTTTCGTCAAATATGACGCGCGCACGGGCATTTTTTCCTGGAAGTGACAGTTTTTTTCAACATTTTTTATCTCCGTCAAATTGTAACAATCGAAAAAAATTTATAGGAGAAAAAATGTTTGTTTTTTAACGTAGAATACTGCAATAATTTTTTTTTCGGTTTTTCGAAAAATTTTTATTTTCGGTTTAAATTATTTTTCAAGGTCGAAAAAAAAAAGATTTTTTTTTTATGTAATTTACGATACTTGTTATGTAGTATTATTGAATGGGTGGAAAAAATTTTTTTTTTGTGGTTTCTCATCTTTTTAGCGTACCGACTGTGAGAAAAAAAAAATTGAAAAAAACCGAAAAAAAAAAATTTTCGAAAAACCGAAAAAAAAATTATTGCAGTATTCTACGTGAAAAAACAAACATTTTTTCTCCTATAAAATTTTTTTCGATTGTTACAATTTGACGGAGATAAAAAATGTTGAAAAAAACTGTCACTTCCAGGAAAAAATGCCCGTGCGCGCATCATATTTGACGAAAATAAATTTTTGATGAGTGATTCAGATAGGGCTTGGTAATAGCTAAAAAATGGTGTACTTCAAATTTTCGTACGATTTTTTTTCCAAAATTGGCTAATTGTTAAAAATAATAAAAAAATTTCAGAATTTTCAATTTTGCATAATTGTTGCAAAATTTAAAAAAACAATCGATGGCAACCGTGAGTCACATCATTTGAAAGCCTTCCGAAAGACCTTTCAAACGCACCCACGCTCGTCTCTGTACGTTAATTTCTACCAGAGATATAAAACTTTGAAGTTAGACTGATTTTGCCCGTGGGGGGGTAAAAGTGGCTGACCGGCACTGTATTTAATTAGAATTTTTATTATGAGATAATTACGTTTTCAGATGATTCAGTTTGAGCCATTCACGTTCGACGATGAGTCCTGTATCAATAGAGTACCGATGTAGAAGTAAAATCAGGAAAGTATATTCTATTGCCTAAAGTAACTTTTCCTGTATTAGCTAGTAGTTATTTCGGATTCAATCATAATTTTCCGACGTTACCAATATACATGGTTATATCCCTATAAATTGCTTTTCCCAGTCTTGTGTGTATCATTCAAATTATCCGAAGCGACAGAATACTTCGGTGTAGCTTGTGTCACTTTATCAGTGTCGGTTTCAGACCATTCTTGATTAACATCGTTAAGGATAAGTTTAAAAACATTTTTCAGTGATTCAGTTTGAGCTTCGTGTAAAGTCATCCGAAGTTTTGCTTGTAGCCGTAAAATGTATTTAGGTCTAACATCCCTTGCGTTTGTTTAATGTTTTAAAAAGCGATTATGCGATTTCCGATTTGTTCGTATTGTAATTCTCTGACGCAGCTATGACAATCTTTCTTAGATGTCTCTAATAAATTGTCCGTGTTTGGAACTTCAGTAAGTGTTTTTCCCGTGAACATGTAGAAACTAGACAATTATTCTTGAGATTTTTCATTGGCGGGTTTTGTGATTTTATCAAACAGTATAATAGGATCAGTGGCATATGACTCATTACCATCACCGTACTAGACCGTTTGTTTTCTAAATTATGTTCTCCAGGATATTTATTTTTTTTATTTCAATTTTCGTTGTAATTATTCTTTGGATTTCTAAGTTAAGCTGTAATATTTTTGTAAGTATTCTCCGGATGTTCTAGTATTACTTCAATATTTTGATTAGAAATCTTCCGATCTTGAGAGTTTCTGTTCGATTTTTGTTGTTCGGCTGAATTCTTTACTTTTGTAATCCTGATTATTATATGAAAACTGTCTGTTAATGAATTATCGTTACTGTCATTATTTGTTTTACTGAAAATATTTGATTAATTTCAGTTGCATTGTCGAATTGCAGCTATTTTTGTGAATTTATTAATATTGCAATACGATTTTTTTTAATTTGAATAAATCATCCGTACACGCGGTGCGAAGTAAAGTATTTTATGAAATTTCTTTTCATTTTTGTATGTAAAAATGGTTTCGTGAAGAGGATAAGTTTAAATAGACAATTGTTGCATTAAAATGATTGTGTGTTAAAAATATTTTAGTTTTATAGATAATTTGCTAGCAGTAACGAAAAAAAATGTAAAGGTGACACAATAGTTTATGATAAATATTGACTACATGGAATTAATAGTATTCAATTATTTATAGATTATTTGAAATTAAAATTGAGTCATCAAACCAGGTATTGTAAGTATATTGCTACGTATAGTAAGTAATATCATAAAAATGATATTTTCTCAAAATATATTTTAATTTTATTAATTATGTTCAAAAATAAATTTCGAGTGGTTGGTTTTGAAGTAGAAGCTCTGTTAATTTATTTCAAATAACTATATTTTAAAGCGAGTACCTGTAAAATATCTAATCAATATGTGAATTCTGGTGATTCACAATTATTTTATCCTTTTATTCTGTCGAATAGGAAAAATCTGCTGTTGGTTGGGAAAGTAAATAGGATATTTACTATTATTAAACAATTTCATGCTCTTCACTCGTTTGATTGGTATTTTCAAAAATATTGTTTTCAATTATTTTCTCCTTCGTATCCACTAGTCAAATAATTTTCATTTTTTTTAGTTCAATTTGATTTTCAGTGAATATATTGAATAAAGAAAAAATTAGTATTCCCTTTTCAGAGAATCCAACAATTGAGGTAAGAATAGAACTTTTGTTACATATAAGAACTTACATACGTTTTTACGTAAGATTTTACGTAATTTCTTACATATTATAAAACGCTTGCTTTATATACCTGATATTTTCAGGAGGGGAGCAAATTAAAAACATATTTTGTATACCTATCATCAAAATTAATATTGCTCTGGTCAGATCATTGCAAATCGCTGAATTTATAAAACCAAATAAATAATATTTACTTTTTATTCTCGAAAATTGTACTTTCGCGTATAAAAAAATTTATATATTGTATTCTGTTTTACCGATAGAATAATTTCGCTCGGAAAAATTCCTAGACAGTCGTTCAATAAAAAATCCTATTATGTTTACTTGCAAGTCTTAGCTGGTCTAAGAACGTGTAATATAAAATATTTTTTGCCGATGATGAAAACTAAACTAAAATATTTAATAAGATTCAATAATGGAAACTGTACGACCTTGCGGTTGTAAAGGAATTCGTACATGCCTAATTTGCGAAGCAGAATTTGACATTTTAAAGCCAGATTTAGCAAGTGACTTAAAGGTTAGAATGTTATTGTATTTTCATAAAATTTTATTCGAATTGTTTTTATGGAACAATCTTAATAATCTTATTAATCTTTACAGAAATGTCAAAGTTACGTGTACTGTCCTCTGTGTGAAAAATCATGGCCAGGATGGGATATGAATTGGTATAAACAACATCCCAATCATCCTGGAACTCCTATTGACTTTCCTGGTGTATATATACAGGTAAGAGATATTTTTCTTGTCGTTCAGAATTATTTAAAAACGCGAGAATTCATTTCAGTTAGATTTTTTGAAACATCATGAATTGCAACTACTAATCAAAGACTTAGATTCTTTACCATGGGATATATCTCAAAGTGGTAGGAGAAAACAAGTAAGTCAAAGCATTTGAAGGTATTTATTAATCTAAGTTCTTTCTATGAAGTTTACCTTCTTATTAATTTGCAGAATTATGGGCCGAAAACCAATTTTAAGAAAAAAAAATTACGCATAGGAAATTTTAATGGTTTTCCTAGAAACACTAAATTTGTCCAAGAAAAGTTGAATGAAGTTAAAGAATTGGAAAAGTTTCAAACAATTGAACAGTGCAGTTTGGAATATGATCCTAAGCGTGGTGCTTCAATTGATCCCCATATAGATGACTGTTGGATTTGGGGAGAGCGCATTGTCACAGTTAATGTTTTAGGTGACTCAGCTTTGACAATGGTACCATATCGAGGTAACAGTGAGAAATACAATTTGAGCTATGTTGAAAACTTCAAGGATACAAAGTTACCAGAAAAAGACATTGTGGTAAGATTACCTATGCCAGAAGGATCTTTAATGGTCCTATATGGAGCAGCAAGGTATTTTATAAAAGTGAATTTTTATAAATTATTAATAATATAGCTTAAATTTTGTATTTGTTCAAATTACACACGTTTTTACATAGTTTTTTTGTTAAAAGTACAATAATTTACTATTGTAAAATTAAGAATTAAATACTGAAAATTTTTGAAATTATTATTTTAATGGGGAATGGAAAAAACTTTTAGTATTATAGAAATTTAAAAACAAAGGTTTACTTTTCTAAAAAAAGATTTGTTGTAGAATGATTTAATTACATTTTGTTGTCAAATCTATAGTTGTCAAAATATTAAAAAGCAAACATTTTTTTGTTTCTTAATAATTTTATTGTAATACTGATAAAACTATTTGAAAATTTGTAGCCTACAATTAATTTTTAATGTGAACTTAACAGGTACAAATGGGAACATGCTGTTCTAAGAGAAGACGTAAGCAGTCGACGAGTTTGTTTAGCATACCGGGAATTTACTAAACCGTACCTGCCGGATAGTAAAGGTAATTGCAGTAATGAATCATTGGAAATTCTCGAAAAAGCGAAAAAATTTTGGTAATATTTAACCTAAATATCTTGTTTTTTTTTTGTAATATGTACATATACATAAAGTAAATTCAACTGTACAGTAAAAAATTGTAAATATACGATATTCATGTAATGTTCAAGTAAACTTCCAATGTACTAGACTATTAATGAATAATTTTTATTTCACTTAAATAGTAAGTTTTGATTGATGTACTCCCTACCTCGAGGAATATTGAATTTTTATTAACTACTAACTGTTGTATTATTTTTAAAAGTATCTTCATTCGTCATATAGACAACTGGGAACGCCGAAAAAGGATCAGTTTTACCGAGTGGTTCGTAGCCAGTCAATAAACTTTGTCGTAATTGCCATCGACGTCTTTCCCTTTCGGTCTTCTGTTTTCTGATCGCCTTGCCCAACGTACAAGCAAACATAATACCAGCCAACTGGCAAAGGAATAATTCATTAAAAATGTAATAATTGGATTATTCTATCAAAAGAATTATACCTGAATAAGTGCAATCATTACTGCTCCGGTAATCAAGTACAGAGCACTGCGGTTGACAACAAGTGACAATCCATGATAACATCCTTGCGGATAAATAGATGTGCATATATCCACTTCGCTGTACAAGTTATGACAGCACGAAGGTGGCACTGCAGTACTATTGCCAGTCGTTAGAACATCTGTCCAATCACGTGGACCGCTATATCCACAGCAGTGTAGCTAATATAACGCATGATCGATTGTTCAGTTTGTTTCGTCTTATTAATTAAAAAAATGCGTTATCGCTTGTAATTGTTCTCATTTTTAGAAAATTCGCTTATATTCCACTTTATGATCGCGAAAATATTACCTTTGATTGTAGGAAATCTATTGCTGATTTGGCTTCGTGGCTCTTCTCATAATATTGCATCGTGTATTTAATGTTTTTCTCCAAAAGACTCGTGATATTATCTTGAAGAGCATAGGCGGCAACGGCAGCCGAAAATTCTAATATTAGAACTATCGACAAGGATACTGCAAACTGAATAGTAATATATTAGTCAATTATTTTGCTATATTTTTCATTGTGTTTTCCAAACAACTCAACATAATTGATTTAATAATTAATTTGAATGTTATACCTAAAATCAATCATGTCATATTTATAAAACTAAATTATGTGAACGTTTAGTTTCTTCCATGATAAATTATGTATCGATTTTTGTTACACAATTACATCTGAATTACTTCGCATGAAGATTTGGCAATATATAATATCCCAAATAAATTCAATTCTAGCGAACTTACCACCAAAACCATGCAGGTACTTTCTTTGATTGCGCCACAGCAGCCGCAAAAAGCAATTACGAAAATGAGAGCGCCGACGACGATCAACAGAGTCGCGGGCGAAAAGTAGCTCGAGTCTAAGAAATGAGAAAAGTCTTCATACACCGCGTAGATTGTTGTGCCTACTGAAACTATCATAGCACCCGTCAACTGCAATATAAACATTAATTTGAAATGAGTATTTTACTTGTTATTTGATTTACAACAAAGACGTTGGTCATTGAATCTATTTTATTTTAGAATTTGAATTGAACAATTGTTTGTTATCTTATCGCTTCTTATCTCTCTCAAAAGTAGATTTTTTGCACAGGTGGTTTAAAACTTGTACAAAAAGCACAACTTTTCAAACCATCATGTTTCTATTTTCATTTTTCTATCAAGCAGATCGTACTTGTAGATCTACTTGGAGAAGATATGGATCTTAATTTTAAAAAATGTATACATCATAATTTCAATGTTCATGGAAATGTGTCGCTAATATTAATTATATCCTCCCATTCTTTTAAAGATCAATATAGTATAGTGAAGAACGTACATGTACACATATGTATTAAAAGTATCGCGTCAATCGTAGAGATAGCGATGAGATAAGTGTGCATGTACCTTCACAAATAAAAACTGTGATTGAAAGCGAGTTTATTCGTGTGTGAATGCGCGCTCGACAATTTTTTACCACGATTATTTCCGATCTTTCTATTTCCGCAGAGCAAAATGTTGACTAATAAATATATCCGTTATAATTGGCTTTCGTTCCTTAATATGCGTTATTTACAGAATGTTCGTGATTGAGCAAGTGGTGAACACGATGTTTTCGTTCCTTAATATGCGTTATTTACAGAATGTTCGTGATTGAGCAAGTGGTGAACACGATGTTTTACATAGGAAAAGTTTCACTTGACTTTGGCGTTATCGGACGCGTCAGGTGTGTGCAACATTGTGCTTTCGCGAGCGACTTGCAATATAAATTGTGCAAGACTTATTAATTGTGGTCATATAAAACATAAAATGATTGACATTTTATGTTTGCTGTACATTACGTACATATTTATGGATAAAAAATATTCCGAATTATCCGGTAGGTATTGTCCGATCCATTTTGCCATTAGTCTTCGCAACTCACGAGTATGTATTATATATATACCTTGATTGTTATCTACATCTTCTAAAAGATAACCGACTCGATAATGAAATGATTACCTCTAACACATTTTCAATGTGCCTTTTGAAAATACAACGAACTATTTCTCAATGCACGTGATGAATCATTGATTCGATGAAGAAATGTGTAAGAATGAACATGTAAAAATAGATGAAGGGAATTTGTTGTAGACAATATTGTTGGCTTCGACGGGAAATTCATTTGTACATGAAATATATATTCTATTTGCGCGATCGGAAAGAATAATATTGACTATTGGCGCTATCTTTGGAATGGAATTTCCCCGCGTTGGTAGAGTCAGGTGAGAAAAGCTCCTCGTCTAAATAATAATAAGCTTTTATTGTATTTGCGGAGAGCAATGGCAGCCTAAGATAATGCGTGAATAAAAGAAAATCGCAAAGGCTAGAAAAGAAAACCCATCCAACGCTTCGTACGTACGCTCGCAGTGAATAAAATAAAAGCCCAGACATCGTCGGTGTACAGAACTTGGAGCACACGGCGATAGATGAAGTATCGAGAGCCGATTCGCGAAGTTACGTTTTATCACGTAATGATTCTTCGATTCGATTGCGCGAGCAAGGTCGATCTGATGAAGCGTCTCGCTTTAAGAATGAACGCCTCTGGAAAAAAACCTTCGTTTCGCGCATTCGATAATGTGTGTCTGCGATGATACGGTAAGACAATAACACGCGGCGACAAGATAGCGAGCTCGACGCGATTTTCTTTCGAAAACGCACGCTTCGGTTATTATTCACGACGGAAGACAATGCGCATTTCTGTTCCATTCGAAAGAACGAGCAAAAAGAGCACTCGGAATGCGGTTCTTCGGCGACCGTGAGAAGGACGCGAGGTAAGAAAATGAAACGTCGACATTGAGCGCGCGCGTGTACAACGCGATCGATCGAAAAGTCAATTACACGAGCGGCAGCGAAGCCGAAGCGATAAAAATGAGAATATACCGACCACGAAGAGGAAGTTGACGGCGCACAGCAGGTACTTGATGCATCGCAAGCCAAGGTCGAGGTGCGTGGCCGCCATTCTGCGTCGGGGAAGACGAGGAGTCGGTCCGCGGTGGAAAGCTCGAGCGGCAAGCAGCGCTCGCGCTGATAAACTGACCTCGGCGCCGCCGTCAGGTGCGAGCGTCGCTTTTTTCCTCTCTCTCTCTCTCTCTCTCTTTCCGACATATGCGCTTTATCTTTCAAAAGTCCCCGCCGCTTGGTAGGCGATTAACGTCGGCGCGCGCGTTCGCTTTGCGTCTCCTCGCGGTGCTTTGGCTTCGCGTACGCGTGACCGTGCCGGGTGTGGGTAAGGAGTAATTTCATTACGTCGGCCTGCATTTATTCGCTACGACACACCTAGGTTCCGCCGAACACTGTGTGTGTATTGGCAAGCTCAAGCCTGGAGAACACGCTCGATTCGGATATTGATTTCAACAACGAACTTTCTCGTTTCGAGCGTCAAGTTCTTGCGAGTCGATGCGGTTTCGAGAGCTTTTAATAGGATTGCTACGTTTATTTTCTCGCGATCCACGTGTGCTTCTGGCGTTTGAAGTTCCCGGCGTTGCATCTCGAGTCGAATCAGTTTTCTTCGCTGTCGTGCTGATTGAATTCTCTCGCGAGCACGTATTTCGTGAGTCATTGGTGCATTTTTAAAGCGTGTTAATAAAAAGTAATATATTACACTCTTTGCAGCTAAGTACAATGCAACGTATTTGTCAGCTTAGTTGGTAGTGTGTTCCGAAAACCGAATATGATAAAATTAATAATCAATGAAATCATGGTATATTACAATCTAATCGAGTCTGATTTATTATCTAGATGAATTATACGGATCACAGAATCAATATTGGTGTGTGTGTGCGTGTGTGTGAAATTTTTTCGAATCGATATTTCAACGATTTTATATGATTTATTGTATGAACGACGGGGAAAATTAATAATTTCATGATTTTTATAAATTTAATTTTATTAATAATATTAGGACATATTAAATTTAATTACACAATGAATTTAATAAACAAAGGAATTTTTAATTCTTAAAATGAAACAATATAAAAAAATGACTATAACTGCACTATTTTATCGATTTTTTAATATCAAATTCTCGAGATTAATTATTGTCAATTATTTCAGCATCAACTTTGTTTGATGAATTTACAAGAATATGAAAACATATCGGCTTTTGTAAAAATATTTTGGTATATACGTACTTTTTTTACAAACGTCTGGCATGTTCATTTTATAAAAAAGTTTACTTTACATCAATGGAAGAATTTGTAATGAATAAATGTCCACATAGATAATTTTTTTTTCAAGAAACTATCGTTACTTTAGAATAGCAAATTTACAAGATGGCACAGAACACTTTTAAATTATTTTATATTTAAAAAAAATAGTAATGGTAACATATTAAACTCGGAAGTACCTATAGTAAACTTTACGGTGCGAAATATTGTTTGCCACTCAATCGAAGATTGTCGAGACTAAAATTGAAAAAATTTATTATCATAAGTCATTCAATTCCAAATTACTTCTGACAACTCGTAGAAATGGTTGTATTATAATTTTTATAAGTCATTCTTAACGTCGTTGTATTCTGATAGGAACTTGCATCTTTTTGCTAATTATTACATATTTCGATAAGATTTCCTTACGGCTTTCGCCAAATAAATTGAGAACCAGATGCCTATAGCCTGAAACAAAAAAATCAGAAATAGATGATAATTGATTGCCCATATTTCGTTAGAGCGCATAATGATTTTTCTTTTTAGTAAACAACTGACTCTTACCTGTATAAATGCGATACCGATACCCGTACCTCCTAATTGAAGCGCATGAGATTGGATAAAAGTGGTTATGGCGTCAATACAGCCCACGTTATAATGTTTCAGAGTGTCCAATGTACAATCTATATGTCCGATACTCCCTGGAATCGGCGGACAACAAGACATTGGCAAATTTTGGAAGTAATTCTCCCAGTCTTTAGGTCCATTTGTACCGCAACACGTGTACTGCAATTAACAAATTAATCACGATATCTACACGTCATTGATTGTAAAAATAACTAATCAAAAATTTACTGTAGATTGAATGAAGTCTCAAAATACAAAAATCTCTTCGGTTCCATTATAATTTTTCATTGTATTCAGCATTTTTTCCGAAAGAACGTTATACACGTCGTTCTTCAGTACATATCCAGATATGCCCGCAGCTAACTCCAAAATAAATACTAAGACAATCAGCGCTGTAAACTGAAGGATCGATTTTTATTATATTGCTAGACTTATGTGATGTGCGCGGAAATACGCGTTAGTCATAGCCTGTTTAACATCAAAGCAACGAACCGTGATGATCATGCAGTAATTCTCTTTGATAGCTCCGCAACATCCGAAGAAGGCGATGAAGAAGATGATGGATCCAATTGCGATCAACAGATTCGGCACTGAGAAAAATTTGTCGTCGAGGAAGTGATGGTAATTGCTATAGATGCCATGTATCGCTGATCCTATCGATATCAAGATTATTCCTGTGATCTGAAAAAGATGTTGCGTTCGAACTTTAAGTTTATTTGTCAACTATATGCCATTTTGTTAAGAGTTTGGTTAAGAAAATGTCTTACGATGCGACTGTTTTACGATTTTCAAAATTAAGAACCAATTCAATAATTGTTGGAATTATTGCACATTATATTTTATATGCGTAATGCTTATTATTCGTATTGAGATTTTTATGGAACATCATTTCTGCATAAGTCTTCTTTGGTAGTTGAACTGCGTCAACTCATTCTAATGGAGCTGACCTGGTACGTCATTTATACGGTTTCGATTGCTCCGCTTTTATTTAAAGGAGAAAAGCCGGTGAACCTGAACGTAGTTTAAGCGCCTTGTTTTCAAAGTACACAACGACAGCAATCCCATTTTTTTCTATGACTATAGAGTATATTTTAAGTTGGTAAAATTAGTAGAAAGGTAATCTCATTCGAAAATGTAATTGAGATTTATTCATAGCATTGTACTCTACTAATAGAGAGCTTCAAGTCAAGAGTTCGATATTTCAATAAAATTATTTATAATTTTAAATTATCTAATGAAATAATAACAATAATTTGGTTTTCCAATAACTCACTGTTTTTGGTTAACGAATATAATAACAATTAAAAATCAAGCTTAATAAAAATTGTATATAAAAAATTATTTCAGTCGTGAAATAATTATTTGACCGAACGATAAGACGCGATGTATTGTCTCATGTCTTAATACATATTAAGCAGTATCTGCGCACTAGCTGCGGTGTCCGAGCGGTTAAGGAGATGGACTTGAAATCCATTGGGTTCTACCCGCACAGGTTCGAATCCTGTCCGCAGCGAATTTTTTTAAATGTCTATTTCGCTAAATAATTTAATAAGCCATACAATCAGCAATCATTTAAGCACATAGTTGAATTATTACTGCACTTATTTATTTATGATCTGCATGAAAGCAAAATTACGTGTTATTTAAGATAGATTTCATATTTCTTTATTATTATTCCATGTACCACATTTTAACTTAAATTACTTTATTCAAACGTTGATTTTTCAAATTAGAAAGCATATCACAACGAAAAAAGGTGTATTCGTAAAACAGCTCCGGATATTCCAAATTCAAGATTTATTATATCGAAAACTGCTATAAAATAATCTCTAGTGCTTTTCAACTACACGAGTTAAATTTTATATTACCATTAAACATTCATCCTACTTTCAAAAACCAGAGTGTCGATTAGTAATAGAACAGATTTAATCGCTGTTAGATTCATAAAATAAGTGTTAAAACAATAACGCTGCAGCCTATTTTTTTTTACTTTCATTATATTTAGAATGACTCGTATCGATGATAATAAATTCAATCGTGTCTTAATTCATCACAGATCACGAATAAAATGCTTCAAAATGGCATCTGTCACTTTTTTATAAGAAAAAAAAAGAAATAAGATGAGAAAAGAAAGAAAAGGAGCAATTTCAAGCAGCATAAGAAATAAAATCATATTAAAGTCGACGAGTATCGTAAATATTTGTATATAGGTATGTAGGTGACTGATGCTCTATTCAATTGTAATTAAGTTCATCCTGACATTTTAATAGCATGAATTTTAATTTATTGGTCATTAAATTACTGTCGTGTACTTTAAACAACATATGGACAAAAAACTGTTCAAACCAATTATTAGAATTTAATTTTGTACCTACTAATAGGACATTACAAAAATCCAACTGTCGATCGTAATAAAATAAACAAACGAGTCAGAATTAAACATGAATTGGCATTGTTTTAGCGTCGCTACAGGTTTACTCGCGTGAAAGAAGGTTATCGGTAAGCTTTAGTATACGATAACGAAAAGACATTTCGAGAGATTGGGTCGTGTTGTACATGATTCACTTGCCACGAATATATAAAAAAAATCGAAACCTTTATTGAAAATGTAGGTAGCTGCAAGGCAAATGTCACGAGAATCACGAAAGGTAGTTAGTCACGCTCGAAAACTGAATCATCTCGTAAAGACCAATAAAAAAAATTTGATTAATTTCGAATGTTTCCGGAGGAACGCGTACTATTTCGTTTAGCATACGAATGATAACAAGCTATTTAGAAAAACGTCGCTCGAGCACGCGTAGCACAGCGACACAGCTTATCTCGATCTTTTTATCGATAAACACTGCCGATTCGTAAAATGTCGAAGGATAAACATATATTGCAGATAGTACGCACTAACACGCGTGATCAGTTTCATATTGCGAGGCAGAATGTTTCACGAGCAAGACAACTTTCACCAAGGAACGAAAAAGAAAAAAAAAACAGAAGCAACGAGGCTGCACCACCGCGTGTCGGAATTTCTCACTGTACCGAATACGCAAAAGCGCGTGTCACGTTATAAGGCCCTCGCCACATATGCGCATATGCGCGCGTACGAGGGCGTACAAACGCGTACAAATCGCTAAAAATTTTGATAGTGCCAACAACAGAAAGTTACTACTATTTCTCGCATGCCCCAAACGAACACACTTACTCCCGGAACAAACGTATCATAACCTTCAATAATATAGCGTTATGATACGTTTGTTCCGGGAGTAAGTGTGTTCGTTTGGGGCATGCGAGAAATAGTAGTAACTTTCTGTTGTTGGCACTATCAAAATTTTTAGCGATTTGTACGCGTTTGTACGCGCTCGTACGCGCGCGTATGCGCATATGTGGAGGGCCTAAAACGCGATAGCAGCCAGTTCGCCAAAAGTGTGCCACGATTATTGGCCGCTCATTGAAGTCGGGATGTCACGCGCGTACGCCTTCGGCGTCCTTACAAGCCGCGCAAACCGTTGAGTATCAACTCACCACGAACAGCAGGTTGAAGGTGAACATAAGGTACTTGACGCACTGCGAGCTCGTTGACATATGGAAGGTGCCCACCATGGTTACGCCGGGGTCGTGCACTGGCGAAACGAGGTTAGGCAAGCAATCAGCGAGCCTCCGCTCGAGAATAGGAGCGTCAATGCGTCCACGATGGTGCGTCAAATACGCGCGGACACCTTGGTGGCATGTATATCACGCGCGCGCGCAGACACTGCTCGCCCGTCGACGAGCACCTGAGAGAGTGCCCGCTCGGCACCGTCGCCTGCGAACAAAGGCTGTGCGCGATGTGTCGCCTCGCCCCTCTCGACTCTCGCGAGCGCGCGCCTTCACGCCGCCGGTGATAAGAGAATCGGGAAGGCTGCGTCAGCCGATTATTATTATTATTATGTACGATTATCGGTGCCCTTTGGCTAGTTTGTTTGAGGGCTATGGGCAAAGTCAGAGCGGAAAAAAGCAACGCGACCGCCTTGACGCTTTTCCTTTTCTTTAATCTCGATTCTCACATTACAAAAATTGATGTTTAATTATTTACGCGCTGAGGTGGTTAATAAATCACGATCGATTACCTCAACAAGATGAAGCGCGTGCATCAGACGACATCGTTCGTTCGTAATCATCAAACGCGTATGAACCGATGCATCGGTGGGGCGCGATGGACGCCAGGCGGCGCGACGTCGCAGACGGGAACGGATCGAGAGCGCGAGACAATAAAATAACGGAACACGAGGACGACGAGGCGAAAGGGTGATCGCGAGCGCAGGTCAGCCAGAAGCCAACGCAGGCTGATTGCGAGTTCCCGTGCTCGCATTACGCGCCGCATTGGATTTCATCGAGGCACGCTTTCCCTCGCTCACCCAGATGCTGTGCCAGCGGAATGCCGTAGCGTCAACTCACCAAATCATAATTGAATTTGGTCGAAATACGCCCACATTTAGCGCGCATCTAGCTTTATATTTTCGCTGCTATCGGCGGCGGTTACCCGGATAACTACATCCCTTCTCACGGAGTTCCGGTATAGTTGCGCTTGCGCTAGAAACGAGCACGCTTTTTCAGCTACATTTATCAACGTACAGCGAAAAATTTCCAATTGATATGTAAAAATAACTGTTGTCATCGATTATAAGTCGTTGAATATTTTATTATTCAACGGTTACAATCAAGGTATTGAGATGTTTCAAGGACGTTCGCAAGTGGAAAATCGTTAATAAAAATCTATTACAATTAATTCATTAATCCATTCGTCAGATCTATTTGTTAATAATCATTCGTGAAAAGCACCTGTACCAATTGACATGCAAATGGAGAAATAGTATAATACTTTATGACTCATGGCTGAAGTTTTTTAAAATACTGTGCGATCAAGTTATTATTTTATGCAACGAACGATCAAGATCCTTGCTCATTAATCTACCAATGTCAATACGCGCAACATCTTATATATGCAACGTTATTCGCTGAACTACATCGTACTCTGTCGAACTCTTCAGTTGCGAGTGTAGTATTTTTCAAAGCTGATCTAATGTGTGATACGTCCTGTATTTCCTTTCATCCGATGACAAGAGATTCTCCTCTGACTTTTCTTCAATCTGGTCGTTCGAATGTAAAAAGCGCTTGAAGAACCACTCACAGCTACGCACATTAAACAAGTCGAGGGGAATTGGCGGAGAGTTTAGGTTTTTCAATTTCTCTAGAAACTATTTCGAAGAAGGTTTATTCACTTCACTTCTTTTATTATGGACGCCAGATGATAATAGTACACGCCTGCGACTTTGCAACGTGTCCGCTCTCCCTGTTGTCTCGTCTATTTCTACCTTTTCTTCTTGTTCCTAAAAAAAGAGATTACTCCCGTAAAACTTGTGGTCTCCCTAACAGCCCAATGCGAAAAAGTAAGTCGCTCATTAGCGCGATCATAAACGTCACCGACCAACCAGCTAGTCACTCCGCTCTCCACACTGTGAAATAAATTGTGAGAAAATATGATTTCCTCTTTCGTGCGACGACTCTCACGAAGGCGACAAAGAGAGAGCAAGTCCAAAAATTAAAGAGAATGATTAGGTGGAAGATGGAGAGAAACTAGAGACGGGAAGAGAGAGAAGTACTTCTCTTCATAGAGTGCACATCGAGTGCTATTATGTATGTTTGTCAATTATGCAAAAGGCAGCCTCGACTCGCAGGCACCTGTGCGCCTTTCCGCGGCTGCAGCAAGCAACAAATCCTCGTAGCGCGATCAAACTCTCAGCCGAATGACCGATGGACAAACCACAGCAGTATCAATCTCGGTTAAAAATTAAAAAGGCCTTAAAAAATGTGCCCTCTTTCAATGGCACGAACTTACCTCAGCTCTTACGTGCGTGTCGACGTGTTCAGAGGCTGGTACCATCGGAAGCTTAATCAGAATTGATTAAACTGCTTACTAATAAATTATATGACAAGGCCTACGTGGCTATCGAGGGCCTTCGATTCGTTATAGCTCAGTTTGGTTTTGACCGGAGTGTGAACGATTACAATAAAACTTAGCTAAGCAAGTGCAAAATTCATTCAACAAGCTTAGACGATTCAGCCTACTCAAGCTTAGAAATGTCTTTATCTATGAATGAAATCATCAAAATTTTTCCTAATTATAAAGATAAGCCTGAAAATTTCATATTAGATTTCAAAGCAAATAAGCAGATGAAGAAGACTCAAGGACGCACAAGATTAACCACTACACCTGGAAAGGTCATTGGTCCAACAAATGTGATACTAACGCCGACTCATGTCGAGCATAATAAGGCTCCTACGCCTCAAGTAGGAAATACTCAACATAAATTATATGAGGAGGCAATTTATGACATTAGAATGTCAGCGAAAGAGATCAATCCAAGGCAGTATTTCAATATCATCCTGGCAAACGTGGTAAAAGAGATATTTGACAACCCACGACCAGATATTCTGGTTGACTGATAAGGAGAACTTTAACATTCCGCATCCATTATTTATTTATTTGGCATCGATTGGCAACTACACAGATCAAATGAAGAAGACTCAGCTAGAAATCCCACCGATGTCACCACAATGTTACGTCCTGTATTTCCTTTCCTCTGATGGCAGGGGACTCTCCACCGACTTATCCTCAATCTTGTCGTTGTAAAAAGCGCTTGAAGCATCACTAACAGCCACGCACATCACAAGTTTAGAGAAATTAGCGGAGAATGTAGGTTTTTCAATTATTTTCTCAAGAAACTATTTTGAAGAATAACGCTTATTCACTTCGTTACTTTTATTATAAATGCCAGACGATAATACTATACGCCTGTGACTTTACCAATTATCAAACATAATCGTTACATACATAGTATGACATTCAATAAAAATTATTCACCAGCCCAGAACTTATAGGACTAGGCATATTAACGTACTGACTGATTTCTTTTACATAATTACCAGTTATAATTTATCTTGCGACTTATAAGCAGCTATAGGAAATCAATGTACTATTTTCGAATACGCCATCTGTCTAAACATTAATGAACTAATAAAGTGAAATCTATTTCTTGGATTAGTTCATAGACGCATAGGCAGATGGCGTATTCGAAAATAGTACATTGATTTCCTATATCTGCTTGTAACTCGCAAGCAAAATTGCGACTGGCAATTATATAAAAGAAATCAATCAGTGCGTGAATGTCTTCAGTCCCATAAGTTTTAAGCTAGCGAATAATTTTTGTTAAACGTTATACTATTTATATAGCAATTATGTTTGATTATTGACGTAGCCGTAGAACATTAAAGTTATAAATAAAGTAGTCAATTTTTATCAAATATTAATCAAAATGATTTTTTTTAATTAAATAGTCAAGTTCTTACGTCGAAAATCCACTGATAAGTCTTGCATAAGAACTTATATAAGTTCTCATGGTATTTCTTATACAATTTCTTACGCAAGTTCTTACCCAAGATTTTATGTTCTATTTTCAGGAAAGGAAGACTGAACGTCACGCTTGGACACGCGCTGCTCCGCGCGATCGATTGCCGTGCGCGCGAAAACGTATATCTTCTTTCACTGCGTTACGGACGATGCGAATATTAAGTTGTGGGATTATTAGCGCGAGAAGAATCAATACCATGGAAGGTCAGCAATTAGAGTTGAAAAATTAACGAGGCCGATTCTTTATCGAACCAGCCCCTAACCCCCTGTCGCCGCGTTTATTTAAATTGACGTGAGTCACGAGACTACGAACATTCAGTTTTTGACCCTTAATAAATCGTAAAGTATGTATGTAGTCTCGAGTTCAATACGCGTGCGTACTACGTGTATTCGAGCTACTAGAGACTCGTCTTATCCTTCCCCCTTGGCGTTTCATGTTTCACGCTCAACAGCGTCGTTTAATAACAAAAAAGGAAACAAAATGGCGCGGAAATTTCAGTTTGATCTAATAAAATTTTGATGATGTAGGAGCACTTCAACGAAACGCGTCGCCTCGACTGTATAAGTAGCTCGCGTTAGGTCGTGCAGCGATCAATTGAGCATTAGGAGATGTCGAAACTACGTCAAGGTGGAGCTCACGCTCCCTCGCTTTCTCTCTCTCTCTCTCTCTCTAAGTCTCTAAGAACGCGATGCGCTCACAGGTGGCACGCGAGGCGTAATCGAGAATCGAGACACTGCACGCCGACAAATTAGCCGTCAAGTGCAGTCCGCCCGCCGCTGCGCGCGCGACGTTTCGGTCAATCAATCGATACCTACAGCCCTCCCGCAATGCGAGTGTATTCGAATGCGCCGGACGATAGAAACGACAGGTGCGAGCGAGAACGAAATAAAAAAAATAACGGAGTTGACCCCCTCGGGTTGGAGTATTGAGCAAAGCCGTGCTCGCCTTCGTTTCATTTTCGCTTCACCGTGGCGCGCGCGCGCGATATATTTCTCGTCGTCCCGTCATCGGCGTCTCATTCTTTCTTTTCTTCTTCCCGCGCAACGCGCACGCCTGAGCGCGCGCGCCACGGTGGCTTATTATAGAGTTTGTTAGGTGCTTTATCGAGCGATTATTACTTCAACTTTACCGTCGTCGCTGGATTCGTTTACACTTCGCCGGATCGACACAGTAATCCATGCGAATTATTTCTCTGCTCGCGTGTGAAAGTTCGAATCGCGGAAAAGATGAAGCGAGCGAACATTTGCGCTTGCATTTTCCTTTTTTTTTTTTAATTTCGAAAATGAGAAGTGATACTTGCGAAATTGTTGTTGCTTTACTGTAAACCAAAGAATCCCGCGAATGGAATGTTCAGCAGCTCGGAAGGAACGTCAGAATGCGCGCGCGCGCGAGCTTTCACTAGCGCGTTTGTGTGTATGTTTGCGCGCATTAAACGTCACAATGCAAAATTAAACGGAGACTAAACAGCGCGCGAACGAGAAAACTATTTTAATAACGTAGACGAGCAACCTGGAAAGTCGATATAACTCTCGACTAAAACGGTTGAAAGCAGACGAACCCATAATTCAATTAAAACTTTGAGCGCACAAAGTCGCGGCAAAAAAGAACACGTGAATAAATCGAATGCATTGTGCGCGCCTCGCGAACAAGGAGACAGAGAGAGAGAGAGAGAGAGAGAGAGAGAGAGAGAGAGAGAGAGAGAGAGAGAGAGGAAGCGGAAAGAGAGAGAAAGAGAAAAGGGTGGGTGTGCCGGCGCGTCTCTCTGGCCGAAGCTTCTATAAGCGACGCTCGTCGTCGCCACTGCCACCACCCGTCTGAAGTCTAGACGCACAAGCCTTCGAAGTATCTCGTTCGCGTAATATCAAAGATGGATGAGGTTGGCAGTTGCGGCTCGCTTAACCCCCCCCCCCCCCCCCTCAAGGCTTAGTCTTCCCCAACGTGCTGCGCTGGGATGACATTTTATTGAGAGCTTTAAACGAGCCAAAGTCACGTCTATACACTTGTAACTGAATTTTTCCGTTAGCCCTACCCGCCTACACGACCTAAGCTCCTTTTTTATACAAATTTTTCATTGGGCGCTACTCTGAGAAATTGATTTTTATAGGGGCTTGATCAAGTCTCTATGAGAATTATTATATATAAAAATGTTTTTTTTTTCCCGTGATTGAAACATGATAGACACGATTCGCGTCGTGTTGAATACAACCAATTCGAAAAAAACAACTATAATTAAACTTAGAAAACAGATACATATATATTTTCTTTGATGAGTTTTGTCACAAAAACATACCATTTTAAAGCATCCACATTTTGTTGGCGAAATTATTGATCATTGACTGTCGTTGAAAGGGCACTATTCTTCAGATTTTTAAATGAGTGCCGTAATTATTTGGCGATTCAATTTATAGTTGCCCACTATCAAACAAAGATCAAATACATTTTTCCGAAAAATATAATGATACCTTTGATTTAATTGTAATTGAACTAATTCACATAGTTTGGATTGATTTGAAACATGTCTTAACAAATTTTGTTTAACTGCCTTTTCAATAACCCATGTGCATCATTTAAATTTTGATACTACCACCCTTTTTCGGGCAGTCGATCTTTACTTTACCGCAGTCAGGAAAAGTTTAGCTAACTTTTTCCGAGGTGTAACTACACAACTTTCAGTCTCAATTACACATCTGATACAGTCTAAATTGATCGAAAATCAAGTCTGAACTTGCTCTATTAAGAATATGATTGAACAGCTTTCCAAATACTTTGATTTAGCTTTGACCTTGTTTGAGTTTTTTTATCCATAAATAATTAATAAATTCTCAAAAACATTTATATAAGAAGAAAAATGAGATTCGTTTATACAAGTTTTCAGACGTGTCTGCGATTTAATCTTACGATATTTAATAAAGCAAAAAGTTCGATAGAAGTAGTTGACGAGATAAGTTCTAGTCTTACATGACTGTAAAACTGAATACTAGATCGCAGATTATTGTTCAAATGACGTGTACAGTCTTCTAATTCAAAATTTATATATTACCATTCTTTTTCTGGATATCCAAACTTTGACACAAACGTCTAAGATTTCTTCTCTAAACCAAATAAAGTTCTCAATTCAAATTTTTAAAACTATGACTTAGACACGTTAAAACGATAGCCTATTCTTCTCTTTGCCAATACTCTTCATTCCGCAGCTAATTTAAAGGCATGTACACTTGAGTTGTATTTTCAAAGGAAACAATCGTTCTCAACGATCCTCATTCATCGATTACTACTAGCTTTCTCTCTCTTCCTCTTTCCTCTTATACTTCCGTTATTAGCATAACCACGGCCAGAAAAGAAGTCGCGTCTTAACTGCTTTGAAAACATCGTTGGCGCACCTCAAACGCGTTGGTGCAAGGGATAAAATGAGAAGAAAGGCTAGAAAGAGCTTGTCGTTTTATGGAATTCACGAAAGGAAATATGTAAGTGAAAAAACACAACACAGTCACGAGAGAGTAAAAGACAAAACTAGAGAAAAGGAAACCTAGTGAGAAAAGGGATGGCAAAACAGTTGATGCGCGAGGGCGCGACTTGATGTTCTCTCGCGCTCTCTTTGTTCGTTGCATTGGTGAAAAAGGGACGCCGCGTGCGCAGCACACCGTGGCCGCCGCGAGAGAGGGAGCAAGCGCAGCCACGCGCGCGCGACGATCGACTCGCGGTCAGTCGTTGCCGGAGACTCGCTCTGCCAAGATATTCTGTGCGTCATTTTACCGAGGGTGTTGTTTGCAGAAAAGTGTGCGTGTAACATACACGAGCTTTTGTTCGCCAAGATTTGTGCTGCGGAGAAAGGGAGAGAAAGAGTGGTGAAGTTGGTTTGATCGTGATTTGATATAGTCTGTCAAAACGGCCGCGAAAATGGTGTCTGGTGGTATGGCCTGCGTCAAGTACCTGCTGTTCCTTTTCAACCTGATCTTCGCGGTGAGTGTGTGTTGGTTGTTGAGAACAGTGACGCCGCTGAGAGACACTCTCCCTAAGCAACAGGACGATGATGACAAAGAGAAGCCCCACGCGGCGCGACGTTGTTGTCGACGGCCGTTTGTATTTCTATTTCTCTCTTTCGCGACATGGTATTGTAAACACACGCTAAGAGAGAGAGAGAGAGAGAGAGAGAGAGAGAGAGAGAGAGAGAGAGAGAGAGAGAGAGAGAGAGAGAGAGAGAGAGAGAGAGAGAGAGAGAGAGAGAGAGAGAGAGAGAGAGAGAGAGAGAGAGAGAGAGAGAGACGCTCGCGTGCCTCATTGCAATTGTCGGCTCGATAATCGGTTGCGGATTCGCGGATAATGCTTATAGGTTCGTGCGTACAAACACAGCGCACAGGGCGTCCACGCGCGCGTCTTTGTTGAGAGCTCGCTGCTGTGTGTACGATATTTGCGCGGCCGGTTTCCATAGGGTCGCCTTTCCTCGATTTTTCCTGTGTCTATAACTACCCACACACACGCACAGCGCCGCCGATATATCTACCTACTCGCGAGTGCACGCACATGTATGTGTGTGGGATGGATGCATCACGCGAGCCCATAGTCTTCATTTCTACGAAAGAGAAGGAGAGAGAGAGGTGTATACGCGTGTGCAGTTCTCTTTCTCTTTCGCGCTCGCCCCGTTCGATAATCCCAGCGACGGGGCAGTGGCTCTCCGCGACGCGCTGCCGATAATAAAAAAAAGACTGAGCACGGCAACCGTTCTCGATTATTCGCTGTGTGTGTGCCATGCCGCTGTCAGCGCTACTTCGCGTTACGTAATCGCACAAGGGCTCAATGAGCTTGACTCGTGACACAAAATTGAACTGTTTCCCCTGCGACATGTCTCCCTCACTCTTTGCTCATTCATTGCGTCACGCGAACAATTGTGCTGCGCTCGACCTGACTTTCACGTGCTAAGAGTACGTTTCACCATCTCTGATTTAAATTTACACGCAGGAGTAGATAATTTTTAAGATTTTTGATTGTTGAAATTAGAAGCTGAGTAAAACACGAATTTCGCACAATTGCTAACGTTCACCTATCTTCCTATAATCCTACCTACACTCGTGTAAAATCGCCTCTGCAACGCACTTAAGTAAATTGGCTCTCAATCATTGTACTAATTAAAACATTCTCTCCCTCTCTCTCTCTCTCTCTCTCTCTCTCTCTCTCTCTCTCTCTCTCTCTCTCTCTCTTGCTCTCTCTCGCAAGATAACTTATTCATCAGCAAAATGGCTTTCTATTCTGATCTCTCTTTAATTTATTTCTAATATAATTATGACGAATCATAATAATGCCCATTTTTTTATTATATTGATGTCACAATTACTCGACTATTTGCAATAACTTTTCCACGCTAGTTAATCCCGTTTTAATTGATATTAACGTAACGAAATGAAGATAAAAAACGTTCACCGGTGTTACGCCGTGCTCGTCGTGTGAAACCTCATTTTAGAGAAAAGCTAACGACTTTTCCAGGGATTAAGAAGCTAAAGATTTAACGAGAATAGCCCAGGGTTTTATTTACTTTCTCTCACAGGCAGAACTAGGTTTCATGACTACCGCTAGTTCTTTTTAGGATTGCAAAAAGAAAAGAAAGGGCGTTCGTAATCGCGTAGAGTGTTGCTCTTTCGAGCTTGTGTTTCTCGGAATGAATATGAGATTTTGACGTGAAATTGAATATTCCTAAGATTTTGTAATGAAGAAAGTACTTTCGAGTACATAGTAAAACAAAAACTATATGGTAGTCGCTGAAATGTGAAAATTCCATGTACACGTTGGCACGACAATCACGTTTTCGTTACTGCCGTCTCGCAATAAAAATCTCGGCTGTACTGCATGCTTTTCTAACCATCAAAGTTCAGATTATACGTACCTGCGCTTACATAAAGTTAATTGGATATACCGTTTAAAAAGTGACCATGAATGATGACGTGACTCGGGCAAAACCCAAGATCCACTGCCTAAAGCATCTCAACGGTTGTATGTCAACCCGACGGTCAAAAAAACGGTTGTAAGAAACCCGTGTGTCCGTTCGCAAATGTGAAATAACAGGTTGCGAAAATAATCAGCCGGAGGCAAGTGCTTGGATCAATACTTCGCGATTGTGACGAGAGAAAAAAAGAAAGAAAGCAAAAGTGAACGACCGCGAAAAGCGCGTTTCGTGCCAGGAAACTGCGAACAACGTTGCAGATGGAAGTTCATCGTTGATGCTATTCCTACTTTGCTTGATAGTCTTCTATGGTCTTCTATGGTCTTCTATGATCTTTTATGATCTTTTATGATCTTCTATGGTCTTCTATGGTCTTCTATGGTCTTCTATGGTCTTCTATGTACAGCTAGAACCTACCCGGAATTCGTGTGCGCCTTGCGTGACTTTGATCTAAAATTTCGGATTTACGTACCGTGAAACGAATTGTATGTTAATTGCGCGTGTTTGTGTTTACAGAAAGTAATTTTGTGAAAATGTTGACATTGCAGGTTCAATAGTCGGCTAGCAGAATACAGACATGTAGTTGTCGTATAAACGTAATTACAGTGTGCTCGTGCCGTTGAATGTTGAAGCCGCCGTGGTATTCGTTCCTAAATTTATTTTGACGAAAAAAAAAATCAGTATAATCTTCAATCGTTTTACCCGCGTTATTTCAAGCATTTAGATTTCTAGCTTGTCTTTCATGCTCGTATTAATATCTGTTTCCACGCGGTCGTAGTCCGAGACAATTAATTACTTTTAAATTACAGCTTTTCTTGATCACATTTATTATTTTATGAAATACCTTGACTTCGTTTGCCAAGTTAGTTGGGAATAAATGGTTTTTATCACATATTGCTCTAATGAACGAGTCGTTTTTAACTCATCTTTTATGAGTAGATTAAGAGTAGTTTTTTTGTGTGTATTCATGATGCGGAAATGACAAATTACAGATCTTCAAATTTAAAACGGCGGTTATCCATACATAACAAGTGGTTTTCGTATGAACAATTAATATATGCATTTACCAAATATCAATTAAATAATGAGTTAATTTTACAGATATAAAGCAATTTTGTATGTTTGCCCTATTTATTTTTTCTTTATTACTTCAATCAATATTTTTAACGTTCATTAAATCTCCATATGTTACATTATTTTTATCGATTATGGCAGTTATTGATTTAAAAAAATTCTTTTCTAGAAAATGAAACGGTGAAAAATTAATTTCCAATGTATTAAGATTATTCATTAGAAATACGCCAATCTTCTCCTGAGATGTTTCATTTAGACTTTGCCAAATCAAACCTCGTATATTTACGGTAAAGCTTAAGTAATTTTGACTGAAATGAAGTTACATAGTTCTCCGGGGAACCGTTCCAACTAGTGAGCACTAGTTACAATACTGTAGCTGTGAACGACAGAAGAATATGGACTGCCTTCAACGCGCAAACGTGCAAAGCGTGTTTGTATAGGGAATAAATTAACCCACGTAAAAAATGTTAATTATCTCGTGACAAGAAGAAAACTATTAGTTGCCGATGAAATGGTGCACAAAAGTTTTCTACGAACCAGAAATAGACTGCAAAAGTCACCTGGTAATAGTATTCTCAACAACTTGCGTCATTGAAAATATATCATTTGACAGGTTACAAAATGGCTTTTAAAAAAGATGACAGGTAAATAATCATAACGTTCTCAACTTGCAAATTTTATCCTCGCTCCGTTAATCATACTCTGGATAAAAAAAAAGTGCACATACGTATTTCTGTTATTTTGAAGGCTTGTAGGTGTTCCGTGCGCAGTTCATTAGCGTCGAATGCGAAAAAAGAAAAACACGTTGTAAGTTATTTGATCTCGGTTTATTGTATGCTTTAATTAGTCAAACAGTTATTATTGGGACCGTCATTTATTTTCAAAACTTCGTAGCTGTTCGCGAAGTATTCTGCAATCAATGTAAGTCCGGCGCATCCTCTCGCCGAGCCTAGAGCCAGCCGTCGCGTAATACACCTGATTAGTAATCTCTGGCTCGTCCTTCGGTTTCCTGCCACTCACAGTCGCGCGAATAATGTTTTCGGGCAGCTGCGCCGGTGTCAACGCTCGCTCGGGTGCGCGCATCATTGCAATCCTAATTGACGCGCGCGCGCTGTCACCGCCTTTTTCGGGCCGCATGCGGCCGAGAAAGGACACCGTGCCGACGAGATTGCAGCGTATAGAGCAAGCCTAATCAATCCTGCTCTTTTTCTATTAGTTGCGTCACTTTCAGCTGACGTTTGCCCGTTCTCTTTTATCGATTGCGTGATTCTAGTGTGTCGACGAGGGAGAAAGAGAGAGAGAGAGAGAGAGTGAGTGAGAAACTACATGTATATAGACGTTGATCGTTATGCCGACGTACGATTGCGTGTTTGTCCTGCTTTTTGGCTGTCGATCGCGATGTTTCCGATGCCACTGAGTTCGCGTCGGTGTGTGCATTTTTTCGACCAATCGCAGGCAATCAATCACAATTAGCGCTGGGGGATGCGGAAGAGTCGCGTGAATTCGAGCGTACGAAACGCGCTCGGGTCCCGTGCAGCAACGGAGCAAAGACTAACGGGAACGCCTGTCATTTCGCAGATCACCGGGATAGTGTTCATCTCGGTAGGCGCAGTGATCCTGATAGCGTATCGCGGCTACGGCAACTTCGTCGACATCTGGGTGTTCGCCGTGCCAGTGCTGATGATCGTCGTCGGCGTGGTGGTCTTCGTCACCTCGTTCTTCGGATGCTGCGGCGCTGTCAAGGAGAACCACTGCATGATCATCACTGTGAGTACGGTCTTGCTTTCTCGTTCGCTCTCTTAGGCGCTCTCCGCGCCTAAGATTGGTCGATGCTGCTGGACACCTGTTGATGGCTGCTTTTCATTATCAACGGATGTGCATTCATATTCACGCGAGGAGCGATACGTGCGATGCTTGATTCAAGCGATATTTATACGTGAATGCGATTCCACTGCACGTTGTCTGGCCTTTTTCCATCCTTCGCCTTCTCTCTGTTAACCGTGGCTCAATTAGGCCCGAACGACCATTACTGAGATAATAATACTCTCAATTAGTCGCGTCCCAAGAGAATACAAAAAATTAAAAAGAATCGTCCTCGAACGAATTCATTGACGTGAAATTTTTCCGTTAACGCAGCATTACTCAATTATTTCTCCAGCAATGCGCTCATAATTATAATCTGTTGTTCGAACAGTTCTCAGTGTTGCTGCTGCTCATCTTCGCGTTGGAATTAGGCGCTGGAATCGCCGGCTACATGATGAGCAACAAAGTGGACAAGATGCTGGAGAAATGCATGAACGACACGCTCCAGGCGTACATCTCCAGAGAAGACTACAGGCAGTCGTGGGATATTATGCAGTACGACGTGAGTGCATCCCGTCGAGCTTCAACTCGTATCTCGCGACTCGTGAGGACTCACTCGATCGCGTGATAAATTGGACGGATGCGCCAGATTCCTGTGAAGTTCCGGAGATAGTTGCCGAGTCGCGCATTGTAGCAAGACACAATAATTCGTTCGCCTGTTATCGCTCGCAAGTGGTGACAGCCACGAAATTTCGCCCTTTATTCAAAGGCTCATTAACGCGCCGAATTCCACTGGTATTGCTCTCTTATGCATTTTTCATACGCAGTGTCGCGAGATAATCGGCAAGTATCGAATGTGTCGGTAGCTTTTGCGCTACGGCTGAAAATGTTTACCCAAGGTATTCGCGAGTTAAACCCCGCAAAGTGTAGTCGAATGAAGATATTGGAATTGCCGACAAAGCGCGATCCGCTTTCGTGTGCTGGGCGCCATGTATTCGTCTTCCACCCGGCGGCGACAATCGAGCAATCAGCCTCGCTAACGCTGCTACGAATGCAATCTATTCCCGATGCTGAAATCGCTCGCGTGCGCACGCCACCGCGTACGCTAATTTATCCCACGCATAGAAAGTCGCCGCCTTTTTATCACTGCAAAAAGGATATACGAGTTGAATATAGATCGGAAACGTCGGACTGTGGGAACGATTTACGCGCTTGGCTGCATAATGCGTTCCCTCAACGCGTCGACTGCGAGACACTCGACAAGCTTGGCTCTTGAGTGTTTTCTTTTTCTACTAATTGATAGCATCGCCGCATTTGCAGCTCGTTTCAAAAAATGAAGCTGAATACGTAGCTCGCGTGTACTGCGAGAAGAAGAGGGAGGGGTGCAGCTGTTTTCGTCCGTGCACATGCAAAAGAAATAGAAAAGAAATGAAAAGGAGAGCAGCGATAAATGAGAGCTCTATAGCAGAGAATATGTGTACGCATCGTACATACACATGCGCGCTTGTCGCATACACGAAGTATATAAAGGAAGAATGGTCGCTCGCACGCGCAGCGTCAATCAATATCTCACCTTGTCGGAAAGACTATAGTCCGCGACGCGGTTTGTGCAAGTACGTGTCCCTTTTTGCCCGTGGCAGGCAACTATACTGCATCGCACACCCCTCTCTGTACACATACATTGCGAAGGCCGCCAAAGTCGCTGTATTTCCAACGCTTTTTAAGTTTTGTTAAGTTTCTTATATTTTCTTCCTTCTGTGTCTTTTATTTTTTTCGCTATTGTCAATTCGGCTCGGCTGATAAATACGCTCTTCCGTTCGATCTCAATTTGTACACAGTACTTTGGTTTTACACTATTCGTGTTCGCGTAAATTATTTAACACCCACGGTGGCGGAGGTTTCCCTTTGCGCTTATTACAGGGCTTAATTATTCATGAAATGAATCGTTGAACGGGCGACTTATTTAAAATAGCGACTATACTATCGGTGTGTCTTGCCGCTGATGCGATCTATTTTTGGTTTCGACTAGCAACGGTATTCGTCGCTGTAGCTAAAATCGTATTTTATCAAATACAAAATTATCTGTAGATTGCAATTAGTGAGCAACGTTTCTAGGGGACAATTAGTTTTCAACTAAAAGTAAATACGCCGCGCGTGCAGTTGTTACTTTTACGTTGCGAAATCCAAAATATACTCTGGTCGCTCGACAGAAAGCCGTCTAGAGTGCAAAAAAAAAAGAGAAAAAGAAAAAGAAACCCTCCATCTCGCACATATGACGTGCGACGATCTGACGGCCAAGATAGGCAACAACAACAAAAACGTCATTGCGAAAGAAAGAAAATCGTCGTCCGGTATTTAGCATTGCGATTTGAGACCGACGATAAAAGGAGGCCAGCGATTTGCGTGTCGACGCTTAAAGGTGTACCTACCTCCTACTCTTCGTGACCCGGCTGGCGCTAAATCTAAGCCGTATGTATATAAATACATGTGTACATGCGTACTAGTAGATGCTGACCGACACTCAACGACAGGAACGACAGCAGAGATCACGTACGTTCAGCTCACTCGCGCGCTTTGAATATTCTCCTGTGTGCGAATTAATGGGTCTTCATTTGCTATTATTAATCTCTCGGAGATTACTCGCTTCGTTTTTTTTCGCTGCTGTACAGAAGCTTTGGAAAGCTAGGTACAAGGGAAACAAAGTAGAGAATGAGAAAACAATTTGTATGCTAATTTAACACTGAAATTGCTATTCATTACATGGCTCTGCTGCCAAGAGCTAGTATTGCGCAAGACTCTTGCTCGTGATTTTATTTGTCCGCGATAGACGCCATGCCGCAGACCGCGCGAAAGGTAGAAAGAAGGATGACGATGTAAAAAAAACCGCAAGCGTTACGCTTCGATTATCGTGTTACAGTTGCAATGTTGCGGAGTTAACAGCCCGGCCGACTGGTTGAAAGCCGGCTTCGCCAACAACAAGCTGCCGCACTCCTGCTGCACCGAGCTGCCGAAAAACAATCCCGAATGCGACATGAACGATATTAAGTCCAACACCGAGGGGTGCAAGAAACAACTGAGAAACAAGATACAAGACAATGGTATTATACTGGGTGGCGTTGGCATTGGCGTTGCTCTCGTACAGGTACGCTTTCTTTTCTCTCAGTAATGTAATCGTACATCAATTAATTAAACTAATTAATTGAAATTATGCTTCGTATTTTCCAGCTGATCGGAGTGATCTTCGCGTGTTGCCTGGCTCGCTCAATCCGTCGCGAATACGAGACTGTGTAAGCTGACTGATCAAACACGAACTTGTCATTCCAAAGAAAACAAAAAACTATTATTTTCGCTTATATTAACGCCTCTGCGTGCAGTACCACACCGACACACACATACATACACGATTTTTTTTATCTAACACTCTATCTATAAATAAATCTCACGTGGGACATTTCTTTCTTTCAAATGGCTATTTGTATGAAAAACAATATAACACTCATAACTCTGTATATACGTTCTGTATACATTTTGCATTGGATACATTTCATTACTTTGCCATTTGTAATGTCCTTTTTTTATTATCATTTTATCATATGCACACATGCGCACGAGTTGTGTTTTTTTGTTATTATTTATTTTTATTCACTTTTTTTATCGCTTGTTTCGGATTTTGCGCAACAAGTTTTTCAATGTATAACTATTTATTGTTTTTACTGTATACAGAGTTTTATCAGATTAACGATCTTACGAGTTAATGAAAGCTCCTCGTATTTTCACACGTTCGATTTGTCGATTATTGTATTTTGTATGTGGTGATGGCGGGGAAAGTTTCAGGGTATGTGATATGAATATTATTTGAAATAACATTATGCAAGTTTATAGTAGATGGACGTAACTCGCTTGTATGCAGAAGCATGAAGAAAGCTTTAAGGTATAAAATTACTTATATACTCTATTGATGATAACAATCCATACTCTGGAATCCATCTCCAACACAATAAGATATGCTATGTACTTTTTTGAGTTGCTTCATTCACTTTTATTATCTTTGTATATTATTACTCTAAATATTTAATAAAAAAGATAAAGTTTTACAATTTGCATGATATTTTGATAAACAGGGCTTTATAACCGTGCTATATCACGATATAAGAATGTAATTAGTACTCATAATGTATAAAAAAATAAACGAATTTATTGTCGATTTTAATGACTGATTAGAATAATAATCAATACATGTAAAAGATCAAAACTGCCAAAACCACAAAATTTAATATACTATATAAAATTTTACATGATGTTCAATCGGATTTACTACTTACACTTTGTATGATGAATGATGCTCAAATAATTTCAGAATAATTATTACCCATGGTAAAGTCATCTGTTAGGGTTGATAAACTAGTTTGAACAAGGATTTTTCAGATGCAAACAAACAAAATACTTTTTAAGACAGAACATGCTAACAAAATCATAGTAATATTGAACAAAAAGATCTATCGTAAACCGCGTTTGAATCTTTACACGAGCCTTGACCAAGATAAAACACAATACTAATAGAAGCATACCATTTAACACAAGGGTACGGAGTTTATTGAGCTTCGACATCTCTCAAAGTAATTTCTTTGACAGATTGAGAAAATTCAGATGTAACTAGGATGCAAAATTTATCGTCCGTCACTGTTCCTACGTATTTAAACTAAACAACTGTATATTCGAAAGCAAATCGATACTTTTATGGTCTTAAGAAACGAGAGCTAATAAAGTAACAATACGTAGATGTAAGCGCTCAATCTATAAACACCTCATTGGTATAAAATTGCTTGGTTATAGTATTCTTTCGAGTACTTTTTAATTTATATATAGTCAACATATATATATATATATATATATATATATATACACACATATATATTTATCGAAGTACTTGGTTGTTTCATATTTTATAAAGTTTACATAGTGTTACAGCCATTGAATAACATTTTGACAATGTCGAAGTTGAATTATAAAGCTCGTAAGTTAAAGATCTAAAAATTTTTATTAAGATAAAAAAATTTAAAGCTATTTGCTTTGCTCTCCTCATAAAAGAAATTCCGTCTATCGAGGAACCAATGAAAAATGAATGACAAAACAAAGTAAAGTGGCTCTAATATTGTGTAACACTATTTAATGTGCTTCTATTCAGATCGATTGAATGAAAACAGTCAATGTTTGCGTTGCTATATAAATATGGGGCTATGGAGGTGGCTTTTATTATTTATGCCGACTTTGAACGGTGGTGGTGGCAGCTTTTCTGTAAACGTCAATGTGTACGTATGTATCACTAAACCAGCACACTTTGATAGCACTTGTATGCGTTATTTTTAATCGAAGAGTTCGAGAAAGGATCTTCAACATTTTTGCCGTACTTTCAAAGCTTTCTCGAATTCAATTATTTTTATTTTCATTTAGCTTGGAAAAAAGATATTTAAAATGCCGTCGCACCTATCTAGTCGTCGGCATTTTAAACATATATATATATATATATATATATATATATATATATGACATAATCTGCATTGTAAAAATAAACCTGTTTGTCCATCAACCCAACATAGTATACATGTCAAGTTGTTTGATCTCTTTGCTCTTCTCTTTTTTTCGTGCTTTGTTGAGTTGATGCGAAAATCTTATACACAATGTCTTTCACTGACCGACTTTACTCGATTTTACTTCAAACATGCTTAGTGATCTTACGTTTTTACTCTCTTACAGCGAAACCACAGCGCACTGATCAGCCACCGCTTAGAAGGCATATTATCATAATCTTGTCCATCATGCATTGATAGGTAAACAAAAAAGCAAAAAACTATAAATCTAGGAATGTATCATCGCGACCTCTTTTTAGTCCATCTACGACATGTACGCTTGCGAGTTCATGGCAATATTCTGTATTAAACATTGTAAACAAAAGCAAAAAGAAGGCAAAAAATAAAGCGAACACAAGGAAAACTTGCGCGAAGAAAAACGACACACTCGCGATCGCTCTTCGAATGCCCAAACTACATCTCTTCAAAATGATTCAACGGATAACTGCCAGATTCCCTGCCAAAGACAACACACTGCGCGAAGCGAATCTACGGTAGATATACTCGGAAGGATCGCACGTACATCTTTTTGTCACTCGGCGATGATATACCTGCGAACAAAAAAACAAATCAAGTGGAGTAAGAGAGTTACGGAGCGCGTTTTATTTTTCAGTCGAGAGCCTAAAAATAATGAGTTTTCCTTATGTATGTTCACCCTCCTGTACACAACGCACACACACATACACAAAGCTGCGTCGTGTAACTGCGCTTCGTGTGTGTCGCGCATTTGGCCTTCTTCGATTATACTTTTGTGCTAAGGGAAATTAGAGTTGGTTGGCGTACACGCCGAGCGAGTCGCGAGACCCAAACAAACAGTTCACTTGCGTGTTATTGTAACGTGTATGCTGAGGAAAGAGGAACGTCTGGAGGTGTAACGTTGAGATCGTGGAATTAGGCAGCGCTGTCTTGTTCTCCATCACGCGGTCGGCGGTTCTACTAGTATCGATCGTGGTGTACGCTCTTGCTATCGAGATCACCTCGATATAAAACTCGCGAATGCGTGGCTGTCGACTGGATCACCAAGCCGGCAATGACTAGTTGGAGAACTACCACGCCCTGCCTAATTCTACTGAGCTTCAGGATTACAAGTTGCACCGATCCTGTCGTTCTTACTTTATATACATATATAAATATATATCGATTATAATTTTAGCATAGCGTCGTATTGTTATACACAACACGGTCCGCGTGGCAACGACAACCCGCCCTCTGTTATAGCCGTTGAAAAGCAGTTTCATCATTCACGCAATTATTGCATTTACCGCGTAAATATGACTTACTGCATATAAAAATTGTATAACGAGGCGATGATACATCGCAATGCAAAGGAAAAAGCGTTGTAATAAGCTCGCGAGCAGATTATCCGTGCAATCGCATTAAAACCCTCCTCCGTCGTTCGTTCGTTTATGTCGGTGTATCTATAATCATTTGTATTATTATATTATTATTATTATTATTATTATTATTATTATTATTATTATTATTATTAAGTATAGAAAGCATAATGCAATGCGCGTTCGCTTGACATTATCAAAGTTGTCACGCCAAGTCCGAATGGTTCTTGCTCTCTCTCTCTTTCTCTCTCTTTCTCTCTCTTTCTCTCTCTCTCTCTCTCTCTCTCTCTCTCTCTCTCTCTCTCTCTCTCTCTCTCTCTCTCTCTCTGTCCCTCGTGATCATTAGTAGTGGTCGTGCGTCGATGTACAGCTCTCTCACTCAACTCGTCGGTGCAAACGCAAAAGCAAAAGAACAAAGGAAAAGTGAAATTTATCATACTCGCGTGCAGTCGTAACGATCCTGCGGAAAACAACTGTTGCTAGGGGACCAACTGCGATCACGAGTCCATGCACCGCACGGAGGGAGGGGAGGCAGGCTTCGTAAGACATAATTGTGATATCCGCCTTTTTCGCGCGCTGCGTCTAAGTAACAAAGGACGACCGGCGGCAGTAGTGCTTTTGTAGTTTATCGATTGAAGGCGCCCTTGATTGCGCGCGACGCTTGCGACGTGGCCGTCATTATTATTTCTTGATCGTCGCACCGACGGCCAACCGATTTACTTCTGTCCGCGTGACGCGCAATATAGTGGTCTTTAAGCTTCAGTCGTTGCGAAGGGTGGCACGATTGTTTCGTTCCCTTTAGTTGCTCGTTCCAGCACGATTAACTGTGATCTGCGCGGATCACGAGTGATTTTTATAGAAAAGTGCCCTGTTGCCACTCTCTCGAACGACTGAGCCGCGAACAACGAGCTTTCCGCTCTATCCTCAAACTTTCGCGCCTCAACGTCGATGATATTATTGCGTCATTTGAATCCGATGTGTCTATTTGATTTAATAAAGATGTCTACTAATAAAATTATCGGGACTATGCCTAATGCAAATATAGTGAGCAAGAAAATAAATAAATCAATTGAACACTGAGATATAAGGTAAAAGAATTTTAAAAATGTCGTAAACTTATATTGTATATGTCATCATTATAATGCATAGAGTATAGTGAATAAATGATAAAAATAAATACGAGTATGTAGCCGTCGTTCGGGTGTTAAACTTCTCTGTAACGCTTGTTCAAGAATTGTATAAGCACTTGTCCAAAGTTCGCTCCTTTTTAAGCTCGTGCAACGTCATTCTACAAGGCTTTATTTTCAAGACACTTTGATTCGGCCCAGCACTCGTAATGCTCGATATTATTGTTGTCGTGTAACGCGTACTTATTATCGTTATTACCAATCGTACCATCAGGCCCAGCAACCGACTAATATTCACCGAAACACAATGTCAACCGTTCGATTTTCAAGCTAAAAAACATGCTGTCGTTAATTAATTGATTTGAACGAAAAGCAACAAAGACTGATGAAGATTGTAATCAGTATTAATAGCCATTGGTATTTTGAATAAGCATGAAAGGATAATACGGGGGAAAAATAAATACTAATTTTTTAAATTTATATGAAAATCTATTTTGGCTGCCTACAGTAATTTTTCTATGATCCGCGCTATTACAATGCGAGTAATTTGGTATGGCGATGAGCAACGGCAACGGTAGCTCTGTCATGGATACAATCAAACGTACATTAACATTGAAAAGAAAAAAATAACAACTAAAACCAATGAGTATGAGAAATACAAGCAGACGTGAAAGAAAAAACCTTTCGTCATATACTTGACGCGCCTTTTTGCATTTGGCATTTTTTAGGAGCCAACAAACTGTCCTTGGCACATATTTGTCTAGCATTTATGATACGTATTAAATAAATTAATAAACATTCAGTGTACTGTCTCTTTATTGCCCATCATATCCTCTCCATAACTTGTGAGCAGTCCGGAGTTCCAACGCACCAATGACTTGGAACGAAGTTATCAACGGCGTTAAACTGATAAAAATATAACGACTTAAAAGAAAAAAGCTAATCAAAGCTTTTCGAGATTTGTCTTCGCGAGCGTATATGCGTCGCACGCAAATTTTCTTTGCTTCTGCAATAAAGTAAAACTTAGCGATGGAGAAGGTCAACCTTTAAATAAATCGACAGCTCTATTCGCTTTTCTAAATTTTAAACGACCAATTCTTAGCTAAATATATTGTTAACTACTTCAGGGTACTAAATTTATTAAACAATAAAATAATTTAATAATAATACTCACGGGTATTAATACATTATAGACTTGCCGTGAAAATACGTTTGAATCGATTGCCAAATTCGACAATTGTCACTCGACTCTCACGAACTACTTGAATTCACCTACGTCTGACATTCATTCGGAAGATCACCATGTCGAAATAATTTGCTAAGATAACGGCTTCACATAACTTCGTTATTTAATGACGCGCTGCTGAGTTAATATTTTTCTAAAAGTAACGCGGTTATAACTATACTGTCGTTATTTATTATATCCAAGTTATATCTGTATGACGGTGTGATATTTTAAAGGAATTGTAAAGACACTAGTGAATAATTTGGCGAAATAACGAAGCTACTGCCCATCGCTATAATTACCCTCCTTTGCATTTTTATAACGACAACGTGTTGAATAAAATGTATTATTCAGTATTCGCACCTCACGCTATATAATCAGACGGAAGAAAGAAAGTGGAAAATTAAATAAAATTGAAGTTGGAAAAACTAGTTAATAACGATGTATACTGTATAATTCAAAGTAAAAATAACAAGTTACAGATATAAAAATAGATGAACTATAAGTCGCATGCTTATATGCATTGGGAATAGCGCATATTGTCAGTTGATAAATAAGAAAGCCTGCGTTACGATATATATACGTGTAAGCGTCCGGAATATAGGCCATGGAAAAAACTATAGGGAACTTGAGTACGGGCTCTCAAAATGAATGATGTTATACGGAAGATATCCATTATCTTATTTTGATACTACATAAATATTTGTCGTCAAATGTAATATCTGATAACCAGCTCGAAGTTTCTGCTCATAATGAAATTAAAGTGACGCACGATCCTTGAACAAACATTGAGAAACCTTGAGCGGCTTGAGTGGTTCGCTGGCAAAAGTTGTGATTGTGATAGGGGACAGGTGAAAATGAACATTCAAGATTCGAGTACAATAATTTTATTCCACTTTGTCATATCAATGCCACTAACTAGCAGACTAACATTTATTAATATTATGTCAGATAGAGAAGCGAGTCTCTATCGTAGTTTAAGCACGCGCAAAGTCAGCTTGGGCTCGAAGATGATTCATTGCACGAATCATTATCAATTTAATCTATTCTTTTGTGACAGACTTAAGACGAACGAAAAATCAAATTTACTTTTGTTAGGATAGTTTTCATTTCGACATTCAAAGTCTTCTGAAACGCGTCAAAGATGTTTTCAGCCAAAACTGCCGTTCCATTCCTTGCAATTGCGTATCGCTTATTAATTTTACTTTACACGTGATCACTAACATTATACACAAGCGAATGCTGCATTAAATCGGTGTGAATAAAAGTTATGAAAGTGTATTTACATGAGATTGTACCGACCCACAATTAGCGGTGATAAATTTGTGGGAAAGCTTATTCGATCACTCGTTCATAGCTTGAAAAGTTAATGACCAAACATTTTATTCATTTCCCCTTGCTTTTTACCTGTTTTTCAAATACATTCACTCAACTACATCAATTTTTGCACTCTTTCCGTCCAATCTAATGATGATATGAAAACTTAGTCTTGCCAACTATTATCTGTACTTTGCAAATTACATAAACATTTATGAAATTTTCTTTAACGATATACCTGCTGAATGGATATTTCATTTTTTGTCAAGCAAAGTATATGATAAGACAGCGTGAAATGCATAAAATATGTACAAATGAAATTTATACAAATTCTGAATTTCTCACAACAATGTTCACGTATTTAATCATCTACTTTGCCTAAAATCCAAGTAAATATACAATTACAGATTTTGAAATCGGTCAACTGTAGGAATGACAATTTAAAATATTAACTTTTGTTTTGAAAATAACAATTTCATTAATACTCTTCAAACAACTCTCTCAATTTTCTAATTGATTTTGTGATGCGAACTAAATTGATGTCAACAAAAAAATTTCTCTTTACAAAGGGAAGACCTCCGTGGTCGTTTTGGTACTTTTCTGCTTTATACTTTCTCTTTCCGCATTTTTTCCACCATTTCAATCAGGGATTCAAGGAACATAGATGTGTTAGTGTGCAAAGTTGGCAGTTCGATTACGAATCGCGTCAGGTACGCGAGTCGTGATTTAAATAAAAAAACTTGATCATAGAGATAGCCACAGTTTTAGTGCAGCAAATTTTGGACTGGAAATATATACAAAATTTGACAATATTTTAATAAGATTTGTACAACGCCATAGCCGAACTATATTTCAATTCTTTTTACTCAGTTCTCAATGCCATTTTGTGCTTACTTGTTTCATCCCTAATTTCGTTTCAGTCACAGTTGTTCCAATTTTAAACCTTGCAGAAATTATATAATTATTTTTTTCAATCTTTTAAAAATTGTTCAACTTTGCAAGATTTCGTTACGAACTGCAACTGGCCCACTAACACTTTGTTTATAACAATTAAGATACACGTAATATCTTACAGACACCTACTATTTATGATTGAACAGCTACGCGCGCAGAGTCAATTATTTACAAAGTGGATTAGTCCGCCTTGCTTCTAAAACTCTATCACTTTTACAAAAATAATGTGGAAGCATGGATAATGTTTTTTAGAGTTAATATGATTACATTGCAGCTTTTTTGTCAATAAACATTCTTTTGTCTCGTTATCAAACACCAGTTTCTTTACTGTCATTCATTACAAAAAAAATCCACAAGCTTGTTTATTGGGTACCAGTATTTTTTTATTACCCTTTATTAATTAAAAAAAATTAGCGTGAAAAATATGGCCTACACAGTTTTGCTGATTTGCCAGACGCTTTCATTGACCATTTTAATATTTATACGATGTTTGTATTACTATGTTATAATATTCGTCTTATTGATAAACGATTCATTCTTTTTTTCTTCAAAAATTTACGAACGCACGCACATACATACAAGCTCACTCTACCATTTTTATTAATTGTATATAAAAAAATTATCTTGCGAAGGAGCAAAAAGAGAAGGCGAGAATACAAATTCCAGAATTCGGCATTCCTCGACGATCACAAACGTGAATATACAGCAAAATGATATTGGTATACTTTATTTACAGTCACAGTTGATTCACTTGCATTTATCAATTTTTTTCTTTTAGTAGTGGACCCCAAAACGTACTTAACTTACACGTCCAGCTAATACATCTTATACGTTTACAAAATACAAACAAATTATACCCTTCCTATCAGTATATGTATCATATAATTTAAAAATAAAATATTTTTCAATTGATCGATGGATAAAAGTTATGAATTTTTTCAATTAATCGGACCAAAATAAATATTGTGAAAATCGAAAAACTGAAAATTCATGAGAAGCTTGACGTTAAAATAAACAAGCAATAGTAATACGAGTTTCGAACGCTAAAAATTGATTAATAAATTTAAAACATTCAGGTAAGTGGGTCTGTTTTAATTCACGTCCTTATTGCCTAAGTACCTAATCACTTATAACTTAGGAATTTATCGTTTATTGTTTTTCGTGTAATAATTAAATACTAACTCGTCGTGGTATCTTATATCCGCCTTTTTTTAAATTTCGCTTATCTGTTTTCGATCTTTTTATAATTGAACTTCATTCCTTGTTGTTTTTTGTTGAAAAAAAAGTACTCCTAAAGTCATGCCTCAACGTACAATACACTTGATTTTTAGGCACATTGTGCGTGACCTTTGGTCGAAGCGCGAGAAAAAATACGAGACGCGCGGCCGAGCAAATATTAGACAGCACCGTTCACGCATTTGCCTTTTTTCTAGTTCGTCGACAGTAAAATAAACTTCGCACAAATGAATTAGCTACTATACGTCACTGATCGATGGATATATTAGGTTTAATTATTTAGCACTGATTAGTATTGTAAATTGTTATAAGTAAAAAAATCGAATAATAAAATGGTTCTTAAATTCAATTGTGCTCCGTTCTTCATCTACATAAAAAATACTCTATTTTTTTAATAACGGCAAAAAAAACATATTATAAATTACTCGAACCAACGCTTTTTGAACATAATGAGGGCTATAAAATTGGCATGAAACTTGATAGGAGTTGCTTGTAATTTCGTGCAAATTTGCTCATGTCGCATAACGTTTCGTCCATAAACGTGCGATGCGATCGTGTTCTTCCCTATTTTGTAAGTATTGCGTTGCTATGCTGCCCACCAGAGGATCCGCTATAACATAATTGTAACATAATTTTAATTTCCTCTATATCGTATTTACAACAATAACGTATAAAATATATGTTGTAAAAGATTATGTTAATATTTTCTAACCACTAGTACAAAAATATCTAAACTTATGTCAGAATGTATATGATATTTAAAAGAATGGCATTTAATAAAAGTAAAAATACGAAATTAAACTCACCAGGATTGCAGTCTGTAAGAAGAGAACAAATGGACAACAGTACTTTTGAAATAGTTAATGCTGGTGACCAATTATCTTTAAGGATGTCTAAACATATAACACCTTGGCTGTTAATATTGCAATGATAAATTCGAGTTCTAAAAGTCACCTAAAACAAATTTACAACTATTAAGCATGGATGTGCCTAAAAAATAATTAGTTTTGATGGATAGTGAGGTTAATTTACCTTTGGTGGTTTGAAAGGATATTCTGGGGAAAAGTGAATATCTAAAAAGAAAACACCACCTTCATAAACTGATCCTGGTGGGCCTAAAATTGTAGAAACCCATTCATACAAATTATCGCCTTTTGGTCCAGCACTGAAAATTTTTTAATTATTGTACATTTACTATTTACCTATTTTGATCCTATTTACCATACTTTGTAACTGTTATCAACTGTTATCTTTTTTAAGTAACATGAATACTTTTTCAAACTAACCTGCAATTAGGAGGTGGATCCAGAGTGATTTCTGCTAGTTCTTTTTGTATCCTAATGAAAATATACAATATGAAATTAATTATATAAAACATGGTTATTAAATAAATAGCATACAAATTACTACCTTTTTGCAGAAGTTCCTAATGCTTTTGACATCTTTGGATTAGGTTTGGCCTCCTTATTCTCTGGCTTGTTGTCAGCCAAAGATGATCCACGGCCTCTGCCAGTTCCACTAGACCCAGCTCCAGATGCCATTTTCCTAAAATATAATAGTGTTTATTTAGAATTTTGTGATTTTATAACTCATATATAAGCATATAAACAAAATACCAATTAGAATTAATTTCAAACAAAGAATATTAATTCTTTAGTTTTTTTCACAAACAGTACGCACAATTCACTATTAACGTGTAAACAATCACCCGTGAAATAACCAAAGAAATGATAGGTATGAAACTGACAAATAATTTATCATCTTACTTAAGTTATGAATAAAAAATAACTTGGAAAGACAGACTACATTTGTAATACTTTGTAATATTTTGAAATACTGTGAGTAGTTCTAGAAACTGTAGGTTTCAAGATTGTGTATCAGTGAAAACCAATACTTACAGTAAACTTTTTATATCGATCACTTTGTAAAAATATGGAAATTAGAAACTTAATTTCAAATGAGACCTTACAGCTTGTTTTCAAGTTACGTGAGTCTACTATTAACATTAAATAAAGTATTCTCGATGTCTTTATACTTTTCAACAGCAACACTTGAAAAATTGTATGCACTCACAATTCATGAATACAATAACTCCAAAGAGTCACGGAAAGTACTTAGAAGTCAACAGCGTGTAACAAATTTTGATTTATGCATGTGCGATATTAGCATTCGGCGAGATATCGCGTATAAATGAACACTCAAAAATCAACGTTGACGAGGTACACGACGTCGAGCATTGAACATTGATCAAACCAAGGGACTTGTAGAGATGCTTGGCAGCCAAAATTACTCGAGAAGCCCGAGTTCAAGATAAAAGATGGATAACCGAGCACACTGGAGCAAAGTCTACAGATACATGAAAACTGCGCGATCAAGGCTGTAACTCGAACGAACAGCGTATATAGAGCGAGAATATGAACGAATGAACGCAATTTCAGAAGAAAAAAAATGTCACTCTGAGGGCGCTGAACCACGAGAGAGTAACGAGCCGAATCACGGAGAGAAAGAGATGTCGGGATGGCTATCTCGGGCGGCCACATTAATAAACGTACACGCGGTCTTGGTTTTCTGCAAAAGTAATCAACCTCGAAAGTATACTTCTATACGAATGAAACAGCAACGGCACTCGGCAGCAACCTCGAAAGAGACAGAGACGGACGATGCGTATACACTTATATGTACAACTGTAACGACGTGCTAACTTGCATAGGTCGTAGGAAACAATGAGAGAAAGGGTTAACGAAGTATAGGCGCTTTTGTAGGCGGCTCGGAAGGTTACCTTATTGTTAGTGTGCAGCAATTGTCGGACGGGATAGCCTCCTGGGGAGAAAGACGAGGCAGAGCAGCTTCTCGGCGTGCCGGTGATCCACTTGCTGCGTATGCGCACTCTCGCGTTCTCACACACCAACACACGCCGAACTACCTCTAAACGCACAATGGATACTGATGCTGTGTAGCTGCTCTCGCGTGAGCTTCTGCTTGCCTACACGTTTCCTTTTTCTGTCTGTCCCTCCCCCGAATGTCCCGGCTGTCCGAAGCTCTTTCTCAATTAGTCGTGCAACTTTGTTGCTGCTTATACGAATGCTTCCGCAAAAAAGAGACAAACTACGAGAGCTGAGAGAGAGAGATAGAGAGAGAGAGAGAGAGTTTTGCAGTGAATTGTCGGTTATCCTTGATTAAAGGTCGCCAAAGCTCGAGTTATTATTTCTTTTTCTGTGATTTTCAACACCTTCGTTTCAGCATTTTGGCTTTATAACTAACATTTCTCGTATGGCTTTTTACGCTCAACTCTACATCTTTGCAATAGCAAGAAATCGACATTTCCGCGATAGAGATGTCGATTTTGTAATCACGAGAGATTATCATTGTTGTCAGGCTAAGTTCGAGTTTATTACTGTATTTTGTGCTTTTAAAAGCTTAAATGAGCTTTCATTGCGTTTTTTTAATTAAAAAAATGTTAAGCGAAAAAATATTACTTCAAGAAAAAATTTAAATTTGCCACCAATTTTTACAGTATTGGAAAGAAAGAGACGGTACGATACCCGGAAGAAACGCCGGTAAGTCTGCACCTCTGTCTGTCTTTCTCTAATCTCAAGACAGAGATTCTCAAATTAAGAATGTTATTTGACTTACGTGTAGTAATTGCCTCAGCAGCAACAGCAAATTCGTCAACTTTAAAATCTTTTCTTGATGTAAAGATGTCAAGTAAGCTTTATGGCAGTAAATATTTGCAAAGGAAGACTTTGCGGGAGGGTTGTCGTCGGCTCGTCTCGCTCCGTCTCTGTCTCAGCGGCTTCACGAAAAATTACGATTGCGCATTCCTGCGGCGTCGCCGGATGATTGCCCGCCTCGGCTGCAGCACCGCGCCGGAAACTCTGATCCACTAGCTGACGCCTAGATACGCGCATGCGTCGCTTTCAGAATCCGAAATCCTCGAGAGTCGTGGCGTGGGGGTGGCAGTAGTGAGTGTATATCAACATCGCTAACCTCAAATATATTCTTTGTATTGCTAATATTTTGTAACAATTTTTTTGGTTCAGAGAGATTTAAACATCATTCAAAATGGGGAAACGTCAGCATCAGAAGGATAAAATGTAAATTTCACGCTTATTAAAATTTTATTTTCAAACACTACTGAAACGTTTACAAATTCAAATTATAATGTTTAATGACAATTATTTGACTTTTTAAATAGGTACCTGACATATACAGAATGGACAACTCTGTATGGTGGAAAAATGTCTGGTACTTCATCCGATTCTAGTGAAGATGCCACATTTCGAAAGCTACCTTTTGATCACTGTTGTTTGAGTTTGCAACCATTTGAACATCCATACTGTGATGCTGATGGAAATGTATTTGAACTTGAAGCTTTAGTACCATATCTTAAGCAATATAAACATAATCCAGTAACTGGAAAGCCTTTAGATACCAAGACTTTGACAAAGTTGAATTTCTTCAAAAATGCACAAGGCGAATACCATTGTCCAGTCTTGTTTAAAAATTTTTCAAAGCATTCTCATATTGTTGCAGTCAAGACTACAGGCAATGTTTTTTCTTATGAGGTATACTTTTGCTTTTTAAATAACATTTAATTTATATATAATTGTTCAAATAAATTATTTGTTTCTTATATATTCCAGGCAGTTGAACAATTGAATATCAAAACTAAAAATTGGAAAGATTTAATGAATGATGAACCTTTTACAAGAAAAGATCTTATTACTATTCAAGATCCAAGTAATGTTAGAAAATTCAACCTTTCAACATTTCATCATATAAAGCATAATCTTCGTGTCGATGATCCAGGTATATTTTTCATTACTTTATTATTATATTATTCATTTTTTATAAAATTATATGGTGATTTCAGATGCCATTAGGGACAGTAAAGATCCACAAGCAAGCTTGAAAACTGTGTCAAACGAAACAAAAGAAATTCTAGGAGAGTTGGAACGTGATTATAAACCAAAAGAGCAAGTTAAAAAAGCTGAAAAACCTAAAGCAGATAAATTTAATGCTGTAAGTTAAGCTTAGAACAGCTTTTAATAAAAATATATTCAAACTTTGATTTCATTAATTATTGGTTTTACCACCAGGCATCTTACTCTACTGGAGCAGCTGCAGCAAGTCTTACATCTACAGTGATGCCTAGAGTTACTACAGTAGATGCTGCTGTTTTAGACGAAGATGTTGTTCGTTATGAAAGAGTAAAAAAGAAAGGTAAATATGAAATATAAAAAAATTATGGAAGCAATATATCTCTAATAACTAATTCAAATTTTTTAGGATATGTGAAACTTCTAACAAGTCATGGGGCATTAAATTTAGAACTGCATTGTGACTTGATACCAAAAGCTTGTGAGAATTTTATAAAACATTGCCAAAATGGTTATTATAATGGTACAAAATTCCACAGATCTATTCGAAATTTCATGGTGAATATTATATTTTTAATTTTCTTGTATAATCTTCACTGATATTAACAAATTTCAACTTTATTACAGATTCAAGGAGGAGATCCAACGAACACGGGGAAAGGTGGTACATCTATTTGGGGTAAACCATTTGAAGATGAGTTTAAAACTAATCTTGTACATAAAGGTCGTGGTATTCTTTCTATGGCCAATTCTGGAACCAACACAAATGGATCTCAATTGTAATAAAAAAATAATACCTACTTAGCAATTTTACGAACGAAATATTAATCGAATATTTTTCAGCTTCATCACATTCCGATCGTGTCAGCATTTAGACAATAAACACACGGTCTTTGGAAAAATTGTTGGTGGCATGGAGACTTTGAATTCTATCGAAAAAATTGAAGTAGACAATAAAGACAGACCTATTGAGGATATTATTATTATGACAGCTCAAGTATTTGTTGATCCTTACGAGGAAGCAGATGAGCAATTGGCAAAAGATAGAGAAGCAGAAGTAGAAAGGATAGCTAAGGAAGCTGCAAAGATAAACGCTCCAAAAAGAAAGGAGGGAGAGGAAGCTTTAAAAGTTTACCGAGAAGGGGTGGCAAAATACCTTGATCCAAGTGTGCTTAATTCAAAGTGAGTTTTATGAGATATCGATAATTTATTGAATAGTTATTCGTATTTATGTTTAATTAAAATTTTCTTAATTTTAGTTCGAAAAAAGACGAACCATCAGCAGAGATACCCAGAAAGAAAAAGAAAATAGTGTCAAGTAATTTCAATTTTTCTTCTTGGTAATTATGCGATGACTTGTTAGACGTAAATGCTATTTCTCGATCACGTGTATATACTAATTGTAAATTGTGATTATTTGTTGACATGAAGAGTATAAAGTTAAAGTTTTATTTTCTAATTTTCATATTTATTTTATTTTTACCAACCACAAAATCATTCATAAGTTTAGCATTTACATAGCTTATCTAAAAAACAAGAAGAAAAGTTGTGCAGTCTATAACACGGTCTGTCGATATGCACCTGTCTGATCAGCGTCCGTCCAATATATAGCTTGATCTCTCCTTTTCCGCATGCGTGCAATCTTGTTCTCTCGTGGATAAGGCCTTCTTTGGAAACTCGTTTCACCATCTGAATGTTTGTACTATAGATCGAAAGAGGATTTTACAGTTTTATTTAGACGGAAATTCCATCGAGGATGGCTATAGGCTCCGGTTTCGCTTCGATCAGCCGTAGTTCACGCTTGGAATGTGTAAGCGTGTCAATCGGATGATTCGCACTGTTTTCCACACTCCGCGTGGGCGGTTACAAATGCGTGACTTTTATGAAAGTCATTGACTCGATTATAATGTCAACGTTAGAATATTGAAAAATATTGATTACAGTAACGCTATCTGATAAGATTAAATTTATTTACTTGATGAAAGACATGTGTTAGATTTTTAAAATAAGAAAAGTTCTATTTGAAATGGAAAATTTCATTTAATTTTACGGAAGATTGTGGTGTTTAGAATAGCTCTCATCTAAAAAATATTTCAAATCAAATTACTTTTTTCAAGTAACACTAAGTTATGCTTATTTAATTTTAACTTCACAATAATCGGCCCTTTTTAGGGCCATAAATAATTTTGAACATGTATCTCATTTCTTATCTGCATAGCGATGCTATATATTTTTATTTCATGAATATTACTATATTATTTCGGTGTTATGCGTAATCTCCTGAAGTCGTAAAGATACTCAGTTTTGCAAGTTTTGTCGAGACCATGATGTTCGTCAGCGTATACAACTGTTTTATTTAGTTTTTTGTATCGAACGATTGAAAATCACAAGCTTTCGCAAAAGATCGACAGTTCTGCTCGTACCTATACGTTCTTTTATTTGCTCAACGACATCAATGGAACGATTACCACTAGAAATCGTCGTGCGCTAGAAGACCACCTGTCAATATATTTTAAAAATAGTCGACTCGATCAAATTTAATGGCGATCTAAAATGTAAATAAACTAATTCACACAGATCTATCAATAAAAACATAAATAATATGTTTTACATAACTCTGCTTCGTAAAAAGCTAATGTCATGCTATAATTATAAAGATAAAAAATCAGGCAAAGTTGTTATTTTCAGTGAAATATTATTATTATCAACGTTTGCGTTGATAATGCGTGCCAAAGTGCAAATAAATAAGATAAATTTGCCTGACTGTGCCGCTTGACTTTATCACAAAAAAAGTGTCCCGTGCAGGATAAGAGAAGGGAAGGAAGAAGAGACAGAAAGAAAGAGATATACAGGACGTGGATCTCCCCCTACATATACACACACGTCAAAGCTCCCTATCCTCTCTCTCACTCACTCTCCTTTTCAGTGAGCCACGAACGTCCATGTTTGCAGAATAACTTTTGACGGGCAGTACGGCCGCAGCAAGCAGCAGTAGCAGTAGCCGCGCATGGCCGCGCGTGACGTTCCGGGCCTTGCCATTGCCGTCAACTCGTATATTCAGCGGTGTATTAGTGCGTGAATGTGTATGTACATACGCATTCCGGAGTGCGAGGCAGCCCTCACTGAACTTTGACGTTTTACCGTTCTCGTAGTGAAAGACCAGCCTGGTGTTCGAGATTAGAGCGGCGTCGATCATGGACGACCTTGGTAAGTGACATCCGTGTGGAGCTTTGCTCCGGATTCTATCCGCTGATATCTTTTAACCTCAAAATGCCGCTGCCGCTATATCTCTCTCTCGCGCTCCTTCGCTCTGACGTATACGTGTGTGTGTTTACGTTGCAAGAGTTTTACGTGGGTGTTGATTCTTACATATGAGTGCAGCAATCCGAGGTGCCTCTTTTCCCGCGGCCACAATCTTGCATGTTTCGTGTCGATGACTGTTGAGGTTAATTTCCGTAGCTGCGGCCAAGTTCATTGTTTTGATTTGACAAGTAAAGGGCTGTCGATCGCCTTGGGTGGCGGCGTGACTATCAGAAACCCGTAGGAATGTGGTTATCGAATGGCAACTGTAGATATATGCAATTTATATTTTGTGGGCAAAGCCTCACTGCTAGCTTGCTGTATGTATAAATGTATGTATATGCATGCGTACTCCGCGAGGCAGAAGATTTTGGAGTACTCAAGGAGTTGATTTTTACGTAAGCGAGGAGGATATTTCTCTTGATGGTCATGTGGACCTCTGAGCTGAATACCATCTTTAGTGCATGTAAAAAATGTCGCGCTGATAACGCAAACCTACGCAGTAACAGCTGTTGCGCAAAAGAGCACGCAGCAGTACAGAACGAACGATGGTAAAGTGTAAAAATCTCGCGCGATGTCTCCTGAAATTTAGTGGCGATTGAGAGCCAGTAGCAGCTTTCAAGATGAGGTAATCGTAGACGGTCACTCGTGACTCAACTCGGTAAACTCGGCCTTTTTCGGCCTTTTACCCGTACGCACGCCACTTTTTCCGTAGCGTGGCCGCTACCAGCTGACAATATTATCGTGCAATTCGACTTTCCTCTTTTTTCCACGGATGTAGATATAGAAATGATTTTATGATAGACACCCTTTTCGAATCATTATGACGTATAATCGAATCAATTACTCGTTGTAGAACAGTTCGTTATTATAATGAGGTCTTTCATGAATGAAGATTTGCGCGAACAGATAAGTAGCACGTGGATAGTGCTAGGTGTATATGAGAATGAAAATTATTAGACGTGCACCTTGATGAAAAATCATCGTCTATAATTGTGTTCATAATTCCGTCTAGTTTACATCGCATGTATTATGCGTGGATCTTAATAGATGAAATAACCTTGAGATCAATGCTATCAATCAGCAAAAATTATTAATAGAAATTGATATCTCCAATTCGAGCGATGTCTAAACGGAGCAAAAAGTGTCACGTTAAAAAAGAAGTAGAATAACTATAGCAATGAAAAAGATATACGCGCTTGCACAAGAAATTGAGCGAAGGGCGATTAGGATAAAAACGAGCACTTGTGCTTGGACATTTACCGGGTTGTTGGGAAGAGTCTCCGTTTCTGTCTCTCCTTTTTCTCACGCCCACTTGCTCGATCGTTTTTTGATATTGGCGCACGCTGCTGCACTTAGTTTTAATGCATCTTGACGTCAATATGTCGACCGGAAATTCGAGACGATGGAGTATCAGTGTCGAAAATATGATATTTGGATGTATCTATGATCAGGAATAAATTGCTCGCCGCTCGACCTTCGTGTTAAATTCTTATTGCAGAGGCGCCACGGGCGAATTTCAATCGGACAATTGAGTTTTGAAACACACTTCGTGCATGCCTGTCGGTGCTTTTTTCCCTTCTCAGCGAACGCGAAAAGATGAAAAATATTTCTCTTGCGCGCTGTGTTTTACCAGATGTTTCTGAATCATTCATCTGCTCTGAACTTCACACTCATGACTCACCGAGACTTTAAGTCTACGTTTGGCCGAGAATTTCATAAATGAAACGGCAGTCAGAGCGCTGAAACTCACTGCTCCGAAAATTTCACGAAATGATTACTTAGCGATCGATGCGAGGTCGAAAAAAATGCTGCGACGCGATGTATTGGCCGTCGGCGTTAATTTTTTTTTTCCTTTTTCTGTCGCGCGCACGACGGAAACTATACGGCGCTCGTCGATGGTAACCGGACACTAATGCGAAGCCTGCGCGTCGCGTATATACACACCGTGCGGCGTCTTATGCAAACTCGGCGAATCGCGTAGGCGGCAGTGCAGCTGCGCCTTCGTACCAACAAACGCACTTTGTTTTTTAACGCTCGGAAGAGAAGGACGGCGCAGTGCCATTCGTTTGGAAAACATGAATTTCCAATTTGTAGGTAGGTAAAAATCTGTTTTTTTTTTCCTTTTGGCGTGGCGCGTGATAACTAAAAATAACAGCGACACCCGACGATTACGCGCGATCGGGCGAAAATATTCTTCGTCGATTGTTTCGCGGGCGCAACGGTAAACGCCGCGCAGATCGGGAGGAAAAATCAGCTTTGCAATGGGGCTTGTAAAGCGAAAAAGGGTATCAATGGCACGGCGCGCATTAATCGTCTACTCGCGCGAAGGCGATCGAACGCCGGAAGACGGAAAACTGCCGATTCGGAGCTGATGGACGCTGCCGGAGCGTTGAACGTAATCTCCTCACGTCCGTTTTGACTTGCTCGAGTGGCGCGCGCATCGGCCGACAGCCCCACGAAAGATTGCCGTCTAGTCAATCGACGCTTAATCGTTACGGCTGCGCGCTGCGAGGCTGTCATTGTTTCGTCGAGGCGCTCATTTGGTTTCTCGTGCGATCGTCAATTGTGCCCCATCGGTATCGTCGGTCGGACGACGTCAATGTCGTATTCTTTTATAAACTTTCAAAGAGTAAAACACCTTTTTTGTTCATCCGTTACACGCATAAACGGACCGCGTAAATATCGTAGAAATCAATTGCAATGGCATGTATACAGAAGGAAAAATTGAATTATATATATACACCGACGCGCTGCGATGTGTCGCGGCGGAAACGGAGACGTAAATAGAATAAGGGGGGTGCACTTTATTAAGGAATAGGGTTACCATGCGAACAGACTGCGAAAAAGATAAGTGTAAACGGAGAACACCATTAGCCATTAATACCTCGTGGCGCGATTTAATATTTCGATGCTGGGAAAAAGACGGAAATAATTACATTTTTATTTCGTTCGTTTAATTAGAAAAAAATTATTCTTTCAGCAAAAACAGTTACGAATAAATATATTTGTAATTTTTCGCTTATTGAGCGTATTTATTATCAGTTGATTTTTTAATTAGCTATTATGTATTTAATAGCACTTTCATGGAATAAAAAAAAATATATAAAACTTCAATTGAATTTTGACTATTTTTGTTAGCAAGAAATATAATAGAGAAACCTAACATAGGTATATATCGCTTGGTTTATTTCACGATAAAGTCTGCTAAAAATACATGTTTAATTCAGTGATAACTCTTGAATATGTTTTCTACTAAATTAATACAATTTCGTAAGACGTATATCGAACCAATGATGGAACACAGTTTTTTTTAAACTATCAGTTATTTAGTAGTCACTTCGACCTACACGGCAATTAATCATTTCAATTTGGATAGGCAATTGAGTATAGAAACATGAAAATAAAACTATCGTGCTTCTTCAAAAATATAACCCCAAGCACAAAAGTTCGAATTCTAAGATAGCATCGGTCAATCCACTTTCGACAATGCTGTCATTAACGACAGATTAATGACCTCTCTCGCCCTGTTTCAGCACTTGCTTAAATATTTCAGTCTCGGTTGCGGTAAAATGAACAACAAACGAAGGAAACAATTGTTTAAAAACGACGAAAGCTTAATAACATAGTAACGAAGTTATCTGACGCTTTGCCTATTAAAAGACATAATTCTAATCTCAGAAGTACTCACTTTCTCCGTGTTTTCTCGGAACGAATGGAAGCTCTGCCACTCAAACATCCCTGGCGAATATGTCGAGCAATTAGGTTGAGAGCGATCTTGACTCCATGTCAAGTATAGCGTGCGCGTCGCCGATTTGTCAATGTGATCGACTCGTAAAAGCACCTTGACGTGGCGCATAAGCGAGCTCCGCGCCGGCGACCGCTGATCGCCGGGAGAGAAGCGGCCCGGTCGAACGCCACCTGCTCGAGGCCCGCGACCCGGGCAGCGTGCGAGCGGAACGCGAAGAAGGCAGAGCGGCTCGGCAGAGAAAGAAAGGGAATATATTTTTGTGTGTGTATGTTTTTTTTTTCTCTTTTCTTTTGGCGTCGCGTGCCACCTCTTTGCCCGCGCTATTTTCAGCGAGCGAAAGCTCGGTGTCCGAGAGCTGCGGCGCCGCACTTGGAGCTCGCTATACGCACCACGTGCGTGCTCAGGAGTTCAGCGGCTTTTCTCGTCGCCCACTCTCTCTCTCTCTCTCTCTGTCTGTCTCTGCGCCGCGAGCCTCCTCGTTCTCCAAGTGGTCTACAGCCGCGCCGACGTTGGGCCGCTGCAGTTCTCCGCGCGGGCGCATCGGCTATGCGCCGCTCGTGAAAGTGTCGTGCCGACGTTGTGTGCGCGCGCGCGCTCTCTGGACAGCCCGCCATGGACCGGACGATGTACGGCAAGCTGGAGCCCGGCTACTCCTACCAGCCGTACAAGCTCACGCTGCAGAACAACAAGCTGCCGCCTGGATGTAAGCAACGA